TAACTCGTAATTCCTACTCGCATCACCAAGTCCTTAATTCGCTTATTTCTACCTTACTCTGTCTGCCCTTACTCTGCCCTTACTTTTGCCTTGCTTCTACCTTAGGGATCTTTATTTCCTTAAAAATTAGACTATAATTATAAAATTCCTAAAGAATACCCTAAGCTTAGTACTTAATTACCTTATTAGGCTTATATACTTAGCTATTATATATACTTTTTATAGAATAGAAACTATAAATAATTAATCTTAATTAAATCTATAAGTATCTTTAGATTTAATCTATCTTTAATAGTCGTCTTTAAGGGTAAAGGCTTAATTATACGTAAAGCTAATATACTTCTAGAAAATTAGTATCTTGAATATAATAATAATAGATAGATCTAAGATAAAATTAGACTTTAGTAGCTTTAAAAGATATCTCTTTTATTAACTTTCTTCTATATAAAGGGAAAATACTACTTATTAGTGATTATTAGTTATAGACGTTATCTAACTCTAAAGTTTAATAAAATTTACTATTAATATAATATAATATTAGTTTATATATTATTATACTTTTCATATATTTTATAATCTCTTAATATAGATGATTTTATATTTCTAAAATATATATATAAGAAAAAAATTATTAGTTTTATACAAATTATATTAAACTATATTAATAAGTTAGACTATCTTAGTATATCCTAATAAGATATAGAAACTAATCCTTAAGGAACTTTACTTATTCCTTGAGAATTTAAACTTAAATACTATAAAGGGCTAAACCCTACTTTACGCGAGCGGCCTACTATTAGATCCCTATTATTCTATAGCTAATATATAACTACTCCCGTTAAGCCTTAGTGGGGTTATAGATATAGGATCTACGACGTAATAGTGTTCTTAAATGATAGGTAACTTTATAAATCATCTATATTAATTAAAAAGCTCTTAAGATAATAGATAATAATTTATTAGCTTTATTAAATTCTAATATTTAACCTAGATAAATAGGTAATTTAGGTAAATTTTAGTCCTATAAGGTATAAGGGCTAAATATATAGGACTAGATTTTCAAAACTTTCTAAGCCTTACTCAGACTACCTATTTAGTTAATTTCCTAACCTCAATAGATAATCCTATAGGTATAGGACTAGAACTGTCTTCTGCTTATAGGTAATATCTAAGTTTATCTCGTTAAATTATATTATTTTGAATTATTTAAACTCTATAATATAATCTAGCTAACTAAATAAATTACTTATTTTTAAAATATCTATAATTTATTTAACCTTATATCTTTCTTATAAATTATCTTATAAATTACCTTTTAGACTTATAAATTGTTCTATTTTCTCAATAAGCTCAAGATAAATCTTTTTTAGATATCCTTAAAATATTTATAAGATTCCATTATTAATTCTATTATAGTTTATATATACACTAAGCTTTAGTTAATTTTCTAATATTGAGCTTTTTTCTATGATGAAAATAAGTTATATTAATATTTATCTATACTTTTCAAGAATTATTCACTTATATATAAAGTCTTCAATAGTAAGAAGCCTTTGGTTTTTATATAGATAACTAGTTTTTTACTATTAATTTCTATTTCTTAAATATTTAAATATAATAGATTTTCTAATAAGAAGATTAAGGTCTTTTATACTAACATAGATAAGACTGGATTTATAAAAAAGGATATATTAAGATACTATAATAATAAACTAATTTATAATAAGTATTAGCTTTTATCTTATTAAAGAAAAGAAAAATTTTTTATTCTTAGATAAAAAATATAAGAAAGATACTACAAGATGATGAGATCTGAATAATGAATAGCTTAGTAATGAATAGCTTCTTTAGAGATATAAGAAGTTAGAAAGAACTACCTAAAACTTACTTAAAGTATACTTAAGTTATTAAATAATTTAGTCTCTACTAAGCTTAAGAATATCAATATAGACCTAAGATTATATATAGATAATATATTATTCATAATTTACTAAATAGCTTAGACTTAATATTACTTCATTGTTAGAGTAAATTATTATATATCTTTTATCTTAGTTATTTCATTAACTAAATAAATAATAGTTTGTATTTTTAAATTAGCTCAAGTAAATAGATATCCTATAAATTTGACTTTATTGATTAAGAAAAATTTCCTCCTCATAGCTTTCTTAATAATGAAAAGGAAATAGTAAATTTCAAAATTTAAGAAATATAAAAGAAGTTATTTACGAAATTTCGTTAGTTTAAAAATTTAAGTGATATATTTTGAATCATTATATTAAGATATCTAAATTAGATATTATTATAAGTAAATTAAAGCTCTTGATTTATTGTAAACACTCAATTAAATACTGAACTTTAGATTTATATATTATATATAAATTATAGTAGTAATTAAAACCAAAGCTTTCTATCAAAAATACTAAAAATTCACTTCTAGGTTGAAATTTACATAGCTCATAAAGTTTACTAAACTACATTTTAAATTAGCCTAAAGAAAGTCATAAAAATAAAATATATAAAAATTTTGATATTAGAGTTCATGATTTATATATTATATATAAGAAATAGAAAAAAGATTTATTAAAGATAGTAGAATATTTAATCTAAATATTTAAATAATAATAAGCTCTTATAAATAAGTTAAATTATTCTGACATATTTAAATTAACCTTAAGAAATTAAGTTAGTTAAAATTGAATATAAGAACGAATAATAAGCTTTATAGGGAGACTTAATGTATAATATCAATATCTAAGGTTATAAAATGATATATTAAAAGAATTCATTAAATAGCTTAGATATCTAATATTATAAAGTTCTAGTGAATATATCATACTTTAAATTACTTAAGGGTTGGTATTATATATAGCTTACTAAATAGTTATATAATACCGTTTTACTTAATAATATGTTATCTATTATTGATTTTTATATCTTTATAACTACGTTATATATATCGAGCTTTTTCTTCTTATATACTATTATATAGTTATATATATTAATATTTATGTATATAAGGAATGGATTAAAATGATATAAAACTTATATTTTTAGATCTATAAGTTACTTTATTTTTCTATAGCTTATTAAATATCTTTTTAATAGTTATTATATTTATTTATTGAGTAATATATAATATAGTTTATTAATAGTCTTATTCTAGATACTTTTCTATATTTAAAATATAGCTTAAATAAAAAGACCTATTCTTATAAAAGAAAAGTATAAAAAGTTTTTGTTTATTTAATAGTATAATTAAGATGTAATATTTTATATAACTACTTTTATAAAAGAATAGATTTTCTTTTTATTTCTATCTTATAAAAAAGATATTAGAGATCTATATAATTATTATATATTTTAACTACTAGTAATATACTAACTAAGCCTATTATCTTAGTTAGCTATACTAAATTATTACTTTTTATACTTTTTATACTTTTTAAGCTTTTTTAGTATTATACCTTCTATATCTATTATATTAAGTTATTAAATATATTATTTTATTAATTCTCTCTCTATATTTTGAATTTTTTTATTATCTACTAAGATTTTTATAGGGTTATAGTTATTTTAAATTAGCTATCTATAGATCTTATAAGTCTCCCTTTACTTCTTTATATCCTTACGCTTCTAAAATATCTAGTTAGAATTGATTTAAATAAGGCTATTAAATAATATAGAAACTAATCTTTAGGGAAATTAACCATTCCTTACGAGTTCTAATAAGTATCATTAGGGGTTGAACTTAGGTCTAGATGAATATATAATTATGTACTATAGGAGATAAGACTGAAAATTTAAATTACTTATAGATTTTATTAAGGTCTAGGTCAAACCCTAGTACTCTACTTGAGAGAGTAATCTACTACTAGATCCTTTTAATTTTGTGGCTGATATTATACTAACTTTGTATAGTCTTAGCGGAGTGACGTAGATTAGGTTTTGCTCTAATAAATTTGATTTATTTTCCTTAAAAAAAAAGAAAAACTAGTGGTAGTAGTAGTAGGAGTAGTAGAATTCATTGACCCGATCTAGCTTCCCTCTAGTAATGGCCGCTATGCGGGGGTGCTACCGGGAAAAAGAAAAACTAGTATTATATTATATTTTTGATTTTTCTTATATTTAGTATTATTATATGTTCTTACTGAATCTATAATAATCTAATATATCATTATTATTGATGATATACTAATTAAATAGAATAAATTAGCAAGATTGTATATTCACAAATTATTAGGTAAAATTACTTTAACATATATAAGGATATATAAGGGCTTATTTTCATGGGAAAGGTAGAGATGCCTTATTATAAAGGCACGGAGTTAGGTATCTGTGTATGGAGACCTCGTCCCTCCCGATGTGCATGTAAATCGCCTATAAATTCCATTTACAAGGGAAGAGAGGATAGACTCTCTCCTATCTTATTAGGAATAGTCGGTATATCCTACCTAATACAATTTTAATATATAATAATAAAGCTTAGCCTATTGCGATCCTATTATACTACGGAATGAATTTCGCATAGTATAAAGTCTGATGAATATTCGATTTTTCATAACAAAGTCTTGCTCTATAGCTGGGGTTATATTTAAATATTGATTTCTCCCATCAAAAGACAAAAGGATGAAAAATCTATTGATATTAAGAGGTATATTTATTTAAGATGAATAAATATCTTTCCCAAACTTTATATATAGAATTTTATACCTGGTGTCTAGCTAATAGATAGGTTTTCTTTTGAATAAGAACACTAATGATGAAATATATCCACTAAGACCTCACCCCCGCTCCTATCACTATATATTCACAACTATCCGCAGAGAACCTCTTATAGTAGCAACACGTTGATGTAGAAGACTTTGGTGATAGATAAACATACTAACTTTTATTTTGGTCAATTCCTTTTAGATTTTACATGATTCTCCAGCAAGCAGAAAAGCGACCCAGACTGTCAATCTCATTAAAAACACCTAAAAAACCATAGACAAACAAGACTAGAGCTTGAATTTACTTAAGTAATCCGAAGCCAGTGAAACGGCGTCGTCCACCTTTTCTGTATTGACACCATTGCCAATAGAAGTCGATCCTTTTCCTCCCGCCTTACCACCAACAGCACTAGAGACGACAGCAGCCCAGTCATTTGCAGAGGCACCCTGGTCGCCGAGTTCCTATATTGACTAGCGTTAATCTCGAATGTACTATTGAAGATCATCCTGAATTAAGAAGCAGTGATTACATACCTTGGACACATAGCAGCCGTGCGCAACTCGGGTTTGTTCGGAGTCCACGGCTAGAACATACACGTTCTTACCTTGCATTTTCGATTTGACGTGGTTGATGGATTCACTGACAGCTTTCGCGCTTGCTGGCATCGGAAGCTTGACAACCAGAGATGACAAGTTCTCATTTTCTGGCAATTGGAAATAGGTGGTAATTGCCTCCACAGCCTTCTTGATCTCTAGCTTTTGCTGGGCCTTCTGGCCATCAAGAACTTGCTTGTTGATTGCAGCGAACCGTTCCCGGAGTTTGGCCTTCTGGACCGCAGATATAACAAGCTGGTTGAGATCCACCTGAACCTGCTTGGCATCTCGCTCTTTCTCAGGACCAAGAGGCAGCGAGTCCAATTGGTCAAGGCGCTTCTCAAATTCCTGGGCAACCCGTTGAACTTCGTGAGCATCCTCGCCGGTGACGGCGATGATACGGCGAATTCCTTTCGCAATGCCACTTTCCTCCAGGATGACCAAGTCTTTGATATCGCCAGTTTTCTGGACATGCGTACCGCCACAAAACTCAATACTGACCTCTTGCCAGCGGGGATCTTGGACATTCCGCAAGATCTCTTCCAGCTCAACGCCAACAGAAACGACACGAACAGGATCAGGGTATGTCTCTCCAAAAACGGCTCTGACACCAGAGATCTGCTGTGCCGTCGCTAGAGAGACCTCCTGGGAATACACAGCACAATTTTGACGAATATATTCAGTGGCTTTGGCTTCGATTTTCTCCAGATCGGTGTCCGAGATGGCTGCCTTGTGAGAGAAATCAAAACGAAGCTTCTCCGCCGCTACAAGAGACCCCTTTTGTTCAATTCCATCCCCCAGGATTTCCCGCAGAGCAAAGTTCAGGATATGGGTACCGGTATGGTTGTTCCGGATGGGCCAACGACGAAGCTCATCGTATTCACAAATCACGGTATCCCCTACGGAGAGAGCTCCGTACTTCATGAAGCCCGTGTGGAGAACGTACCCGGCGTACACTTGAACATCACCGACTTCAAGCTCGGCCTGTCCATCAATGACAATCTTGCCAGTGTCACTTTCCTGACCACCCTGTTCGGCATAGAAGTTGGTGCAGTCAAGAATGACACCAAGCTGTTCTCCATTGGGGGCAGACTCGGTACTGTCGTAAAAGGTCCTTCCGTGATAAATGGCTTTGACGTGGGCTGTGATATTACCTCGTCCGAACTTGGCAGAGTCATCCGTCTTTTGAACATCATCCATCTTCTCCAGCTTCCCTAGGTCATGAACGTCGAGTTTGACAGCATCTGCAGCAGTCTTTTTCTGACCCTTGCTAGCTTCCTTGGCCTTCAGTCGTGCTTCCTCAAACTCCACATCGTCAATGCACAGGCCCCGTTCCTCAGCCATGATCTGAGTAAGGTCGACCGGGAAGCCGAAGGTATCATACAGTCTCCATACATCGGCACCATGGAGCTTCTCGGCACCCTTCACCTTGGCTTGCTGGGCATACTGCTCAAACTGACGCTCACCTCTATCCAGCGTTTTGGCAAAGGATAACTCCTCTTCGTCGAGGACCTCCATCACGTCCTGTTGCTTTCTCTTGAGCTCTGGGAACATATCGCCAAGTTGAACCACCACCGTGGGCACCAATTTGGAGAAAAAGTTCCCAATCTCCACCTGGAAGTATTTGCGAGCAAACCGAGCTCCTCTGCGCAATACTCGACGAATTACGTAGCCACGACCCTCACTGTTGGGGATGACGCCATCCGAAATTGCAAACATCAAGGTCCGTACATGGTCCGCCACGACGCGATAGGCAGTATCGATACCGTCGGTATCTTCGGCTCCAAACAGTCCGCGGTACTCCCGAGCCCCGGTGATATCTTGAATGGCTTGGAAGATAGGGGTGAAGACGTCAGTGTCATAGTTCGAGGATTTGTCTTGAAGAATCGAGACGAGTCGCTCAAAACCCATTCCTGTATCAACATGCTTATTGGGAAGGGCCTGCAGAGACCGATCTGCTTCTCGGTTATATTGGATGAACACGTTGTTCCAGATTTCCAGCACGTTGGGATCATCCTGGTTAACCAGATGGGCCGCATTACGACCGCCAATTCGATCGTAGTGCACTTCACTGCATGGTCCACACGGACCTTGGTCACCCATTTCCCAGAAATTATCCTTCATGTTGCCGGGAATAATGTGGGCTTCCGGCACGCCAACTGATTTCCAAAGTTCCTTGGCCTCGAGATCCGGTTGCAAGCCACCCGCTTCACTTCCTTCAAAATAGGTGACGTAGAGACGATTCGGGTCCAAGCCATAGACCTTCGTCAGGAGGGTCCACGAATACGAGATCGCTTCTTTCTTGAAGTAGTCACCAAAACTCCAGTTACCAAGCATCTCAAAGAAGGTCTAGTGTAAAATAATAAGTATTATCCCGTCAAGAGATAGGAATGGCGTACTCACATGGTGATAACTGTCCTTGCCCACATCATCGAGATCCTACGTAGCGGCCATTAGCAATGGTGGGGGAGCTTATAGCGGGGTAGTTTAGACTCACATTGTGTTTTCCACCGGCACGCAAGCACTATCACAGGAGAAGTGAAAACAACGATTAGTAAAAGATCTTTTTACTGGTCCGGAAAGGCAAATCTCCTTACCTTTTGCGAGTTCACGGCGCGTCGCAATTTTGCAAAGTCTGACTGCGGGTCCACGGTGCCTAGGAAGATCGACTTGAACTGATTCATTCCAGCATTGGTGAAAAGTAAGGTCGGATCGGACAGCGGAACGACAGGAGAGGAGGGCACTGTCATTGCGAGCCATGGTGGCGTGGGGTCAGTTTGGAGGGGCAAAAAAATTATCGCGCGGAGGGGTGTCTCCTACCAAAAGTGTGGCCATTCTCCTTGAAAAAGTCGAAAAAGGTCTCTCGGACACGCTGGGCCGACCAGGTGGAAGTATCGGACGCCATCCTGACAATGGGGGGGGGACAAGAGTGGGCGAAGGCGAACAAAGCGAGGAGGGGAGAAAGGTGGAATCCGCGCGAAGAGATGAGTCAAAGCCACTTCCCCCCTCTGAATTCCAGGAACCCGCATTAACGAATGGGACTAGAAGCCCCTCCCCTCTCTCTCTCAGGAGTCGAATCTCTGGATCTTTCTTGGACCCTCCACCGACACTACCGATTAAACAACAGAACAAGAACCTGATCCCAAGGGTTCCGCCGTGGGATCCGGTGCAATCAGGGGGTGTGGATGGCACGGAGTGATGAGAAGTCCCAAGGCAAAAAGCGTCCCGCCGAAGGTGATCCAGATGGCGCGCAACCACTAACCAAGAAATTCGGCTGTCTTCAGATCGGTAGGGCTTGTCTTGTCTTCTCTTCTTCTTTCCCTTTGATTGTTAACAGAACTAGGAGAAAAAATGAGTTGAATACGCTAACCCATTCTTTCGTAGACCATGACTCCTGTGCTCGGACCAAATACGACACGCCTTCCCACGAGTCTGCCATGCTATTAGATGACACCAAACACACTACCTATATCTATAATTTGGATCATGAATTGGCTGAACCGGATCCACCGGATACTCTGGTGCTTCTCCCTCTCGCGGCCAGGATGATCTCGCTGCCCAAGTCGGTGTGGTCATCCAACCCAGCCGAAGGCAAAGAGTTGGTTCTTTACACCGAACCGTCGTCTCTGACGGTTCCTAAAGAGCAGGATAGTGTGCGCAAAGCGATCATTGAATCGAGAGCGCGGGCTCGTACCTGCCAATCCCCGTCTATCAGCCCCTCGGCCGTGAGTAATAGCATTCCGCAACCCGACCATGATGATCCAATGGATATCGACTTGGATCCATAAGCACCCATTGGCCATAGTCTAGCGGATGTTATTACCACGTTTCGTTGGAAAGAGTGAACACCTTAGCCCATCAAGACCGTATAGCGTAGTCGATCGAGGGAGAAATGCATAGCATTGCTGTTTCCGTTTCTTTTTTTCTTTTCTTTTCTGTAGCTTCATGGTATTGTCATCTGAATTATTAGGTATCTACATTTCTCCACATTGCACAATTGTCACGTCTTGATTTGGTTTGTCCCTTGTGGTCCGAGTGTTCTCGATCATACGAACCACGTCTAATCCATCAATGACTTGCCCAAACACAACGTGTTTGTTGTTCAAGAAAGGCGTTGCGGTCGTGGTGATAAAGAACTGGCAACCATTGGTATTGGGTCCCGAATTCTGCCCTTTCTTTTAGCCAGAAGAACTCGCCAGAGGGCGTTCCCGAAAACTTACTGCCATACTCAAGAGACCTGCACGGTCATGGGTCAATGCGAAGTTTTCATCCGCAAACTTGGGAGTTCCATAGATGGTACACGATCCTGTCCCATCCCCATTGATAAAGTCTCCGCCTTGAATCATGAAATCTTTGATCTAGTATTGTCAGCACCATGTCCAGTCTTGCATCGCAGAGCACATACTACGCGGTGGAATTTGCTCCCCTTGTAGCCCTGAGGTTGTCCTTTGGAGTTCTTGCTCTCCCCCGTGCAGAATTGCCGGAAATTCTCTGCGGTCCGTGGGGTCACATGGGCGAAAAGCTCCATTTTCACTCGGCCCAGAGGCTCACCTGTGCTGGGAATTAACTTGCAAGTTCGTGTCATCTCGTGAATTCTCATACCTGCAAGGGCTATATCAAAGAACACTACCGGGTTTGAGGGGTTGGGTGCTACGGAATCAGCCATGATGATCTGATGTAGGAGGGTTGCAATTGATTCATACGGATTCGGGGAAGGGAGCAAAGGAGATGATACGTTGGTAATTCTATTGTAAGAAGGGTGGCAAGGTAAACTAAATCTCATCTCATTTCTCGCTATGACGCAGCAATCCTCTAGGCCTCTAGACAGCCATGATCGTGTTTCATGCTTTGATTAACCTCTATTTAACGGAGGACTAGGTCCTACGGGGCGGGCGTCGTGGTGGTGTAGCTGTCCAAGAGGTATGGTATGTAATGAAATTTTAGACTTTCATCCCGTGACTCCAGCCTCAAGTCCTGCTCCCCTTCCACCCCCTCTCTACAGCCTCCTTGGCTCTTTCGGGGTAATCCACTTGAACCCCATGAGACCTTACCTAACCTGTACAGAGAAATACCGTGACCCCAAGTCGATCATCGTATCCTTGTCGTGGTCACTGGCTATATGACTTCCAGTCCACTCTCCTGAGCGGCAGCTCATCCATTTCTGTCGCCAGAGTGGCCGTTAATTGTGTTTAGGGATGCTGGATTGAAATCCAGAAATCCTGATATCAGAGTGAAGCGCGTCCTCCATCATCTACTGGACTACCACTCATTCCCCTCGTCCATTACTGTATAAATTTTTCTTAAAAAGGCAAACAAAAAAATGAATTCAACCACGACTTCCGCTGCAAGTACCGCAGCGACTACTACGAGTAACAGCGGGAGTGGCTCTGGTTCTGCGACCAGCTCACCTCTTCTGTTTTTCGTGGCCCTTGGATTCGGCGTTGTTTTCACCAATCTATGGTATGTCTGTCGTTACTATTTCCTCTCCGAATCCACCCTAGTGCCAGGTAAATTTCTTTATCAAAGAACTGGAATTTTGACGGGGACTTAGGATTATTGTCGGGGTAAAGTATTGTTTTCGGTACAACCAACGAAATCGGCAGTTGCGCAGTGAGGAGACTGGGGAGCCCATTGATCTGGTGGCGATGCCTCGACCCCATCGGAGACGACGAGAAAAGAGACTGATGACGATGGACGAAGTCAATGCGAGATTTCCCTTGATGAAATACAAAGTCTGGAGGTCGTCGCGCGCCAACCAAGGTCTCCCAACAGAAGGGGGCATCACTGCTCCTAACAGCCGGCCGCAGAGCTTGATCCATGAAGGGGGGGTGGTCGCCGCACCCGATGTTGTAGAAACAGCTGCACTTACCCCCGCCGAGGGGGAGCTTGAGGGTGGCAACCTCAGTTCTTCGCATAGGTCCTCCCATCCCCAGCCTGGATCAAATATACAGCCCGGGGAGAAGGTCACGCAATCTGCAACTATTTCCCAGGGAGAAATGGGTGCGGAAGTTACGGAAGAGAAGTGGCAGCATAACTTGGTCAATCAAAATATTGACGAAGAAGAAGAGGAAGGCGATCATATCCGTAAAGCTGTCCCACTGGAGCTACTTCCGAACCCGGGGGATTCTTGTGCGATCTGTCTGGACATAATCGAGGACGACGATGATATCCGTGGGTTGGCCTGCGGACATGCTTTCCATGCCTCGTGTGTTGATCCTTGGTTGACTAGTCGGAGAGCTTGTTGTCCCTTGTGCAAGGCCGATTACTATGTCCCCAAGCCTCGCGCACACGCAATTGAAGGAACATTGGCAGGGGAACGACAAGGGCGTCGCACAGCATCAAGCCGTAACGACGTCCTGCCAAGACCTCCTCGTGCAACTCATTCCAGGAGCAATCAGACTCCTCTTTCCCGATTGCAGATGGCTCTCCCTGGACGTATATTCCAAAATCCACGCTCAGAACCTTACTTAGAGTCTTCACAGTCTGAAAACCGCTCAAATCGCACTCTCCAAGACCGTGGAATCCCGGACAATCAATCACGCCAGCCTTTTTGGTCACGGCTTTTTCCACGTATGCGTCGGCATTCTTCCAACACTCCCTCAACTCTCTCTCCTGGCGTCTTGACTGATCGACTGTCAGCTGAGCAGTCCCGCACGCCTGGCCAACTTGAAGCCGGGCTTTGAATTTTGCACCACCATTTCTACTTACGATTCCTTGGTTCCCAAGTACCTGCATGCTGCATCAACATCTGGAATGTATGAACAGCACAGCCGTTTCATTGTCGAATATTTGATTCTGTGTAATTTATTGATTCATTGGGGTCCTGTGGGCGTACGCGGGCTATCAGCCACTCTGGACCATTTATGACTTAACGAGCTTCTCTCTTTGTTGTGACCTTCCCTGTCGCTGCTCGTGGCGAGGTGGGCGGGGGTAGCCAGGTGGGTCACCAGGGACTTGGCCCTGATCTGTAAAGATGAAAACCTCGAACCATGATCTCCGCCTATTTCGATTACTTTTTTGGATATATCTTCCAATTCTAATATTCTCAATACCTCTAATGGGTATTTTGACGTGCCACCTTTGCAACAAGATTCATATGGTTATATCACCAGTGCATTCCACCCTTGTATCTAGTCCTCTTTTTCATACATGGTCCCATTTGAGTATATGTAACCCATACCGAACGAAGTAGAGGGCTCTATATGTGAAAACCCCTTGTTCTAGGTATAGGTATATATACATGTATACTATGGCTTGATCTCGGGAAACAGCGAGTATGTCCAAAAAAATTCAAAAGTCATTATTCTAGTTTGGAATATCAACCAAAAAGTCTTACATTTTCGATGGTCATGCAAGAATCTCGAGCATAAGTTGGAGTAGCACCATTGCGTTGTGATGCCCCATCTCCAGGACTCGCTCAAGACCAGGGGATAGCTGTGCACGCACACATGGTAAGGGATCTAGATATGTAGGGAAACGACTCATCCCCAAAGCAAGAAAAGTGCAACAAAACCCCTGGGCCAAATATACACAACAAAGTCGATTTCCCTGCAGAGAAACACAAAAATACCCGAATGATAGAGTCAAAAGACAAAAGCCCCTAATTTCATGTTTGCACTTTCGATCCGCCTACTCCAGCTCCTATCACACTGGGCAGCTCTTGCTGGCCCATGCTAAACAACATACCAACCACGCTACTTACCATGATGATAGCGAAGACACTGACACCGGCAATCAGGAAGAAAGGAGAGCTAATATCCTTTTTCTGACAGGCCGGCCCACCCCACTGGACCTTCTGAATAGTGCCATCTTTTTTCCGCACCACAGTCTGTTGGCAGCGACATGCGTAGCAGTTGCTGGTGGTTGCCTCGCCACCGGACGTATATTTCAGGTAACAGTACCCATGTCCAGAGCAGTTGTTAGTTGCCTCTGAGCAAGACGAGTTGGAAGCATGACAGACGGGGGCGAGGTTTGAGTGCAGAGACAGGTCTCGTGATGACATCTGCGGATCATTCTGTGCCTCGGAGGCAGATGAGAATGGTTCTGCCCGCGAATTCTCGCCTCGCTGAACAATATTCTTCCGGGCTTCCGAATCGTGCGCCGAGCTGGCAAGGAGTACAACGGTGACATCCCAGTTGTCCGCGGAAGATAATTTGGCCAGGTGCTGGAATACTGATTCCAAAGGTTTGATATCGAGAACGTTAACACTGGATGTGACCTGTTGACAAGGAGAAGAAGAAAAAAGAATGAGCACTAGTCTCTCCAAATAGTAGTGAAGATGAATACCTTGAACGATAATCGGGAAGCGGTTGTCTTTAGGTCATTACTCGCCCATGTCTCCACCGAATTGATAAGATCCAGAAGATCATGATTGAACAAGTTATGACCGAGAGAAAGAACCGGGTCCTTAGAAAGGCAGTCTTTGGCGGTCTGTGTTAAAGTGTTAGCACAGCCAATTTTTTATCCAACAGCAATAGTGTAGAATATCCATACACGAGTAGACTTCGTCTTGCCATCGCCCCCATGATACATGCAGTGGCTCCCTTTACTGCCGCCTTGCACAAGTGATGTAAATGGCTCGTCGACCAAGTCGAAAGAAGCACCGGGGACAAAGAAATTGGGAAATTGGTTCTTGCGCAAGCTCCTATCTGCTGAAAGAAGTAGAGTATGAGCTTTGACATCTCCCATCGTAGCAAGCGTGCTCCCCATACTTACCGACGTCCTCGTCAAATCCTTCTAGGATAAGCAAACTTTTACTAGGTACCTCGTGGTTGCTACCGAAAAGAGGCAGTTGGGTGTCGACAAATTGGTCCAGGCGATCCGCTTCAGCCTCCATGCCTCGAAGAACTGATGCTAAAGATGATTCCACGCGAATCTTCAAAGCGAGTTGTGCAAAGTCCTCAGACACTGTCACGGATTCTGAGTCCAAGGGCAGGCTGGAGGGGAACTTGAAGATCGAAGCATCCATCGCATTCGTCCCCACAGCACCTGTCGCCGCGAGGGCAAGGAGCTTGGAGACCCAGTACATTTTGTCGGTTCGTCTAAAAGCAGTCTTAAAAAGGTCCGAGTGGAGATAATGTCAGAGTAGCAAGTCTTCGTGTGCGAAAGATTGCGTGGATTCCACGTCCAGGAGATGATCGAAGCTTCCCGGAGTCAAGCTACGAGGACCCTCAATACGTTCCCGAATACGTGGAGGTCGGCTGCGATAAGATATCACGTGGTCGTCCGCCACATGAGTCGCGCCTCAAATCTCTCTCTATCACCATCTCGTTCGAGCATACTCATTTGGATTGTCTCAATGCTCCGGCTCAGGCATCTATTCCGAAGCCAAGCCCGCCCCTTTCGCTTCCACTCTGGCCCTCGTGAATCAATCCATACAACCCCGACTGTCCGGCATGTGAGATTTAGACGGCCTTGGCTGAGGTGAGTTGCTTTGACCTCCATCTTAATGTGGAGACCATTCTTACAAAGTTGTTATTAGATCATTCTTCTCTAAGTGTCTTCTTTATGGTGCTGCCTATCAGTTATGGAGTTCTTTCGTTCTAGTCCGCTTTGACGATGATACTCACGATATCGATGCACCCGAATCAACTCCGGAAGCAACTGGTTTGCGCCGGAGTCCCTACGGTGGTGAAGAGTTGCTGGAAGATGAGGAAGAAATTGGGGCACCTTTGTTTGTTCCACTGACTTGGTCCTGGTTGGAAGAAGGCAAGCTCTACACTGCTTCGGATCCGGAATGGCAAGAGTTTGTGCAAATATCCAAGGATCGAGAGAAACTGAAGAGCCTGAGAGGTAGGTAACTATCCACAGGGTGTATTGATTTGGCTGATCAAATTAGATGAACTTGCCGCGATTGTTCGAGACAGTGCCTCGGGCCAGTTGTCTCAGATTCTTGGGAGTCCCCTCTCCCTGACTGGGTTTTGGCTCGTACATCAATTTCCACACCGCGCTCCTCCAGAATATCTACGATCCGGGTATGTATACTTGGAAATCGACTATCCCGGCGTACTGACATGTTTGACTTAGCATTGAAATCACGGATAATGGTGTGGCTTGGGTTACGAGGCCCATCGATTCCGAACTCGGCGACAAGGTGCAGACCTTCATGAAACCCATCCATGTGGCACTTGCTATCAAAGATGCCTATCTAGTATTGTTGGGAAGACAGCTAGCTCGCTTCAGGGGCGATACACCTCATGCTCTGGAGAGCTTTAGTCAACGACGCATTCTATCGAATAACGAAAACTTCAGTTCTACAACCTCTCATGAACAGCCCAGTCTTCGGCCCGCCATGCCTGAAGAGACCAAAGGAAACATTTCTTCCAATGGAGACAATGAGCTCCATCCTTCTTCTATTATCTCGTCATTACAACGACTCCCTTTGCCTGATTTGGGTCCCGGGTCGGATTTACACTTGGCATCTCTTGCTTTTCGGTTGCGATTAAACGAGTATCAGACCAACACCCCACGTACACCTATTCGGGGAACATTCTTCATCTCTGGCCCTGTCGGTCTCAAGGGACCCAATGGATTCTGTCGATTTGAGGTGCGCGGTGAATACGACCCTTCTAAGTCTGGATGGCGTACGGTTGAGATGTCATTGCGGGATGTGAATTTAAGGAAGCAAAAACCGCTTGGGGGCCGCTGATCATGATCAAATCACACCCCCCTGTCTTTTGATGCCCCTTGTCTAGGTCGATCAAGCTAGAAACCACCTTTTACCTCATTGGCCTAGTGACAGCAGTAAGTTACTAGTGATTGACATTGCAGACAACGTCGCTAGAAAGAGGACTGGTCAAAGGATCACGCCTACTTTGATATGCTTGTCCAACTTTATAAGTGTGATATTGTTCTCGAGTTGGGTGTGTCATTCCAACCCGACCTATATTTATACAGAGACGAATAGCTATGGTTACACTTGGGGCAAACAGACCGCGAGCTGTTAATAAAGTGCCTATCAAAAGGAGTATATGCACGGTTTCCAACGTGAGAAGGTGCTGTGATGTAATAATAATGGATCCTACGTTAGTTAGGCCGAGGCGGGGTAATGTCAGCACCCTTACTATAATAATACGTGTACTCCCTCCTCCCTCTTTGAACACCAGATCCCACAAGAAACCATGTCGGTCCCTCCTAAGTTCGCAGGGCTCAAACTTTCCGCTAGTGCTCCTCAGGCGAGTCAGCATACGCTGGAATTGTGTACGTCTATGCCTACGACTTAGTGAACAGTAATGAGAAGCTGACGACATCCAGACCTTGACTATGTCTGCCCGGTGAGTTAGTTGCTCGGGGGAATATGTACACCGGACTAAGGTACCTTCAGTTCTCCGCCAAGATGTTTAACACTTTCTATGCAATGAGTCCCCAAATTGCACTGCAGTATGGTCCCCGGCTCCAGGTCTTGTTTCGACAGCATATCCAGCCATGGCATCCCTCCTCCACACTCACCCATGAAGCTGGGGTAGCGGTTCTTCGTCTGGCCCCGGAGAAATTCTGGGATTTCAGTGCCGCCTTGTTTAAGCGCCAGACCGAATTCTTCGACGTGAGCGTGGTGAACGAAACCCGGAATGCCACGTACGGACGGCTGGCCAAGATTGCCGGGTCTGTTGGCCTAGACGAGAAGAAGTTTTTGGATTTGTTGAGGATCCCAGAAGCCCCCGGCGACGATGGTCACTTGAACGTCGGAAACCAAATCACCAATGATCTCAAGTGGATCATCAAAGTAAGTAACTGATGCTCCTAGTCCCAGAAACCCGCCTAATGCTAGCCAGACGGATCGAGTGATCGGGGTTCATGTTTCGCCTACCGTCTTTTTCAACGTAAGAGAGCCCCACTGAAGAAATTTCTCATATGATATTGACACCTGGCCCAGGGAGTAGAGGAGCGCGGCGTCAGCAGCAGCTTCACGGAAGCTCAATGGGCGGAATGGCTGGCTCAGAATGTGGTTTGATCAAGAAAAAGGGACTTATCTATGACAGACAGGGTGGGTTCACTTTTGCGCGTAGATAAGCACCTTTACCGAGTCCATGAGCAATGGGAACATTTTGAATCATATCTCATTCCAGAACTTCCATAAAGAAAGATGTTGTGGACCCTAGTGAACATACTGGTCGGATGCATGTCCATGTAATAAAACAAAGAAAAGAAAAGAGATTCATCACATTTGTGTCTCAGAAAGGGAAGAAGGTGAAAACATCCGCTGCGCAACCGAATTCATCACGAGTCTATTGTGCCATTGGCGGCTGGTAGTTCAGAGGCCGTCTGGAATGAGTCAGTCGAGAACATCGGAGGGAGGAAATTCGGGGAATACCGACTTGAATAAGAGAATATGAGGCTCCGGCTCATGCACCTCATAGTGTTCCCATCCCAAACTCTGCGAGCTCCTACATTAGCCGCATTATCGCCCGACTGAGGATTGAACCGACTGTACCTGTGTTATACCCAATGCTCGCCATTCCTCCTCCCACAACAGTTTCAGTGTGCCTTTCGAGCTGTCAAAGTAGTCTGAGGGAATCTTCTTAAGCATGTTCTTCGGCAACTGCACGTGTCGGTATTCGAATTTGTCGTCCGAATATCTACTTCCAAGTTAGTTGCCGGGTATAAATAGACAGGTGAGGGAGGGGTCCATGCCTTGCCGAGTAGTGGATGGAGTCGATAAATTCATCTAGACGGTCACGCTCAGACTCCAACAAGAGCCGCGGTTTCTTGTTTCTTCTGATCGGATCGATATCCATTGGAGAGGCAAAATATGCTGAAAAGGAAACGTGATTGAAGAATTTGAGGAATCTCTTGGCTCTATGACGGGTCAATGTGAGGTTCGGCGCACGACATTCTTGAAGGTTTTTTTTTGTGGTAGTTGGAGGGAAGCTTGTCTCAATCTCACTCACACTTTGGACAATTTTCTGAACCGTGGATGTGAACCTACCAAGAAATTCAGCAATTTGGAGACGTGGAAGGGTGAAGTGAATGTTTTGGAGACACGAACCAGTTTGTTTTTGCGGGACGCGGAAGAGAGAGCAAGAGAGATGGAGGGGGAAAGGAGGCCTGAGGTGTCAACAGTGCAAGGTTGTATTTTGTCCTTGAACATTTGTGTTTTATCATGTCAGGGATAACTATTGCACTGAGAGAAACATCATGCCACCATTTTAGATGTATTGAGCATAATTCCCTTGATCATCTCCAAAAAATAAGAGAATCAGAGCTTCCAATCATCGTTGTCATCACTGTATTCCCATTCCCGCCAATACGCTGACGCGCCGAATACCACTTACCTAAGACGGCGGGTCCACTCGGACGATCGCAGCGCGTCTGCACACGTCGAGGTATGAACTTCTGGGGCATCCTTTGAGTCCTTTGCTTCTCATTTTAGGTGTATTCCTTGTTGAAATTTCTCCGAATCCTCTCCCCTATCCACGAGATGAGCACCAAACGGCGCGTGGCGGTGGCAGCGGCTTCTCCCGAACTGAAGCTGCGTAGTCAGAAGCGTCGCAAACTGTCTGTAAGTCATCCCGATGTACTTCTGGTCTCCCTGTCATCCACCGAACCAACAGAATCTGTCGCATGGCATTTGTGATGGCCACCGTGCTTTGATCGCGTATATCGCATTCTCAATCTATGCGGGCGGCGCGACGCAAGTTGCGAACCAGCTACGCTTCGTATCGCAATGAGTGGACTAACCTCGTGGATATGCGTTAGGACAATGATTTTGTGGATTTCGAAGAGTCAAACCGTGCATCCTCCGAGCCAGTAGACGACGCCGAAGCAGACTTCAGCTCTGGATCACAGAATGACGAGGATGAGCCCGACGTGGATTTTGAGGGCGATAGCCTTCAAACAGCACAGGACAAGATTCTCTCGGAGCTATTTCGACTAAGGGACTCAGAGTGAGATCCTGTGACCCACGCTGTAAAATTGACGTGATACTGATCATGCTCTGTAGTGGCGAAGAGGTAGCTTACCCGTTCATCGGTAAACCAGACCGCAATTTGTATCGGGACTACTATGAAGTCATTCACCATCCAGTCTCGTTGCGCAGTATTCAAAAAAAGGTCCGTGGTACTGACGGAAGAAAGAAAGGCACTAAAATGACTGCCTTTCCTACGTGGCTGTCCTTTGAAGAGGAGGTCAGTTATCTGTGGCGAAATGCCCGAGAGTACAACGAGGATGGCAGCGAGATTTGTGTTCTTGCAGGTGTGCTTGAAGTAAGCCTTTCCCTCGACTGCAGCACCTTTCACTTTTTTGATCAAGGAGGGGGCCTGACATGCAACCAGAGTTATTTCCAACATCGCGTGGCAGAGGCCAAGAAGCTTGTTCCGGATCCCATTCAGGTAGATGGTCACCCCGAATTACCTCGTATCAAGTTGAAAATGGCCTCGAATAATCCGGAGGTGGGGGCACAAAGGTTAACATTGAAGATGGCTCGCCAGACTCCCGGAACCCCGAGGGACGATAAAGCGCCATCCGGGGTCACTGTCGATAGCGATTCCCTCAAACGCCGACAAGAGGTGGTCCGCTCCGGGTCTATAAGTCAAGAAGTTGATACACATCATATGTCCCCTCGAACAAGGTCTCTCCGCAGAAACATCGGAAGCCCTAAATCCAGTGCGGCTACTACCCCGCCGGCCTCGGAGCAATCGCACGGCCTGGTCAGTGGGCGAGACACAACTAGTGTTGTTAAAGACGAAACACCAGGAGCGCCATTTCAACGGACCGAGATGCGCTCGTCCGCCGGTCTACATGGGGTTCCTTTAGACTCCACAAACGGACTTTCCCATCAAGATGGTAAGGCGAGAGATTGCAACATCATTGAAATATAGGGTTGGCTTACGTTTTATGGTTAATAGCAGCATTGATGCACCCAGCTCCTGAGCTATCCCCTCTGGACTCTCTTTGGAGACGACCAGGCCAAGGTAGAACCTACCCTCTTTTACATCGGGCCACGCTTCTTCAATTAGCTAGGAAGATCTGAGACCCTGTTTGCTAACCCACCATTCAGATGCCAACTCAGCACTCATCCGCAACGTTCAAATCCTCACCCATCCCACGCTATCTTTGAAAGAAGACTTTTGCTTGGACATTCCTCCATCATCTACATTGTCTCAACAAACCATTACTATTCCTCTACCCCCCCTCACACCACTTGTTGACAGTCCGACCCACATTAACAGCCAGCACAGCGCAACGGCAGGTCAAAGTTGTTGCTCTGATGGGCACTCAACGCCTTCATGCAACTGGAGATGCATCTACGCTGGCGTACGATATCCAACTCCATCCAGGTACTACGAAGGTTGACTTGGAGGCCATTGCTGGACCAGCTAGGGGAGCTCCTAAATCCGGCCCCCCGGGCTCCGAGGTGGATTATGAGCGGGTCACCATATTCTTTAATCTATTGCGATGATTGAGGGAGAGGTATCACGGCAATAGGATTTGCATATTTCTGTACCTGGTTGTTGGCATTTCCCTCCGATTCTTTTGAATGTCTTTGCAGCACTGGGGTTCGTTTTCTGAGCAGTCTTGTGTGTTAGAAATGAAATTAACCAATCATAGTATCATTGACCATGTTGGCCTTTAATATGGAAACCATAGTCTTAGGTCGGAAAAATGTAACTACGTAGTCAACTAGTTAATGTGTCTCTGAGTCGCTAACTTATTAGTTAAGTCATGTAAAAGATGATCAGTCATCATTCGGCTCTTCCCACACCACGTGATACACCGCCACCGCAAAGTTTTCTGCCCTGCCCATAGTGTGGGCATTGCTTTTATAAAAAAAAATTTCGACCCGTCCAAACCCCTCTTTCCCACCTTTTTCTATTCCTCCAACTCTACCACTCAATTTCACAATGGCGGACCTTCCGGTGTACGACGGAGCGATCGGTATCGATCTTGGTATGATCACTGCAAAAATCCCACAAATTCCAATTCTCTCTCTAACTTAAATGTGCAGGCACCACCTACTCTTGCGTTGCCAACTACGAGGGCACCAATGTCGAGATCAGTGCGTTCTTCCTTCCGATAGCCCTAATTGATAATTGTGTATACTGACTGGAGATCAATCAGTCGCCAACGACCAGGGTAGCTACACCACCCCCTCTTTCGTCTCCTTCACCGACAAGGAGCGTCTGATTGGTGAGGCCGCCAAGAACCAGGCTGCTATGAACCCTACCAACACCGTCTTCGACATCAAGTGAGTCCTGAATATTGATTCAATTTCTGTTTTTGTTCTGGTTGTATCTGACTGGTTATGCAAAGGCGTTTGATCGGTCGTCGTTTCGATGACCCCATTGTCAAGAAGGATGTTGAGTCTTGGCCCTTCAAGGTTGTTGACCAGGGTGTCAGCCCTGCCGTCGAGGTTGAGTACCTCGGTGAGACCAAGACCTTCACCCCCCAGGAGATCTCCTCCATGGTCCTCATGAAGGTAAGTGCCCGATGTATATAACTAAATCGACCGTCTTACTCACAATTGAAAACAGATGAAGGAGGTTGCCGAGACCAAGCTCGGTAAGAAGGTTGAGAAGGCCGTCATCACTGTGCCCGCTTACTTCAACGACAACCAGCGTCAGGCTACCAAGGATGCCGGTGCCATTGCCGGTCTGAACGTCCTCCGTATTATCAACGAGCCTACTGCCGCTGCTATCGCCTACGGTCTGGGTTCTGGCAAGTCTGACAAGGAGCGCAACGTCCTGATCTACGATCTGGGTGGTGGTACTTTCGATGTCTCTCTTCTGAACATCCAGGGTGGTGTCTTCACTGTCAAGGCTACTGCTGGTGACACTCACCTTGGTGGTCAGGACTTTGACACCAATCTGCTCGACTTCTTCAAGAAGGAGTTCCAGCGCAAGACCGGCAAGGACCTCTCTGGTGATGCCCGTGCCCTTCGTCGTCTGCGTACTGCTTGCGAGCGTGCTAAGCGTACTCTGTCCAACGCCACCCAGACCACCGTTGAGATCGACTCTCTCTTCGATGGTGAGGACTTCAACTCATCTATCACTCGTGCCCGTTTCGAGGATTTGAACGCCAAGTCCTTCTCTGGCACTCTGGACCCCGTCCAGCAGGTTCTGAAGGACTCTGGCATGGAGAAGAAGAAGGTCGACGAGATCGTCCTTGTCGGTGGTTCCACCCGTATTCCCCGTATCCAGAAGCTCCTGAGCGACTTCTTCGACGGCAAGCAGCTCGAGAAGGTAAATTCCCCAAACACCTCTGTAATGATAATGATCGCTGACCAATCATCTTTTAGAGCATCAACCCCGATGAGGCCGTTGCCTACGGTGCTGCCGTCCAGGCCGGTATCCTCTCCGGAAAGGCCACCTCCGCCGAGACCCAGGACCTTCTCCTCCTCGACGTTGTTCCCCTTTCCCTCGGTGTTGCCATGGAGGGTAACATCTTCGCCCCGGTCGTCAACCGTGGTCAGACTGTCCCTACCATCAAGAAGCGTACCTTCACTACCGTCGTTGACAACCAGAGCACCGTTCAGTTCCCTGTCTACCAGGGTGAGCGTACCAACTGCGCTGACAACACCTCCCTGGGCGAGTTCACCCTTGCTCCTCTCCCTCCCATGCGTGCCGGTGAGGCCGCTCTTGAGTGTGTGTTCGAGGTCGATGTCAACGGTATCCTGAAGGTCACCGCTACTGAGAAGACCTCCGGCCGCTCTGCCAACATCACCATCTCCAACGCTGTCGGCAAGTTGTCCAGCACCGAGATCGACCAGATGGTTGAGGATGCTGCCAAGTTCAAGTCCAGCGACGAGGCTTTCACCAAGAAGTTCGAGTCCCGCCAGCAGCTTGAGTCTTACATCTCCCGCGTTGAGGAGATCGTCTCCGACCCCGGCATGTCCATGAAGCTGAAGCGTGGCAACAAGGAGAAGATCGAGTCTGCTCTCAGCGACGCCATGGCCCAGCTCGAGATTGAGGACTCCACTCCCGAGGACCTGAAGAAGAAGGAGCTGGCCCTCAAGCGCCTGATCACCAAGGCCATGGCCACCCGCTAAATTGGTCAATGAACATAGGATGGTCAACGTCTGTCTAATCCCCCGCTTTTCTCCGAATAGCGTCTGGAGGACAATCTGCGCCATATAGATCATGGGATGGGGCACACATGTTGGTCCATGTTTTGGTGTTTAAAGCCGGGCAACTTTGGGCGCAGTGATTTTTCTTTTATTATTTGTCTTTTTTTTTCACTTTGAAAAAGTATGCGTTTTATGTAGACGAAGATCGACGTTGCAAATTTAATGTGTGACGAATCAGAATTACATTGTGATTGAGTGTATTGATGGGCCTTTGAAAGTGGGGAGAGTTTTGATTTTTCCCTCTAATACCAAGTCCATACGTTGGATCAAATTCTACTTTTCTACCTCTTCCCTTCCACATCTACCATGTATCGTATCCTTCGATTATCTCTCCCCTACCCACAACGGTTGCTTGGAAACTCGCGGTTTGCATGTCCTTCGTTAAAGTCTCCTCTGTCCCTCCAGGGTCGGAGCTTTGCCTCCTCGCCCGCCTTGTATAAGAAAAAGGACAAGGCAAAGAAAGCCTCAACAGACAGGGAGCCCAGTGCCGTTGCTTCTGACGACCCCTCCGATCTATCTCAACTTCAGACTGGCATCTCGGCTGCTGTTGCTCGTCTGAAAGATGACCTGTCGAAGCTTCGCGCAGGTGGGCGATTCAATACCGCGTCGCTCGAAGGGTTAAAGGTCCAATTGAGCAAAGACAGTCAGGAATCGGTCAAACTGCGTGATTTAGCTCAGGTGGTCCCCAAAGGAGGACGCTTGGTGACGATTTTGGTCGCCGAAGAAGAAGTGAATTGTGCCCCACGATGACAACGCTACGGAGTCTCGCTAACGTACTTCCTGTACAGCATGTCAAACCGGTGACATCGGCGATTGTCTCTTCGAACTTGTCCTTGACTCCTCAGCAAGACGCTCATAACGCCCTTCAGCTCAACCTGCCAATCCCACCACCGACCAAGGAATCCCGGGACCAAAGCGTCCAGGCGGCCAAGCAAGCCTTTGACAAGGCCGCAAGCACCGTTCGGGACTCCAGAGGGGCTATGCACAAACGACTACAAGATTTGCAGAAGAAGAAATTGGCCCGACCGGATGACGTTCGCAAGGCTCATGACCAGATGGAAAAGGCGACAGATAAAGGCCATAAAGAAGTCAAGGATCTCTTTGACGCAGCTAAGAAAACTTTGGAGCAGGCATAAATATGCCCCTTTGTAATATAGCCACAATTGTAATTCTAGATACAGGGGGACAAAAGGGCCACCAAAACCCTCGGGGAAAGCAGAAAAGGAACAGAAAGGCGCCCAGATAATCCAGCCAATAATAGTACAGACCACTTGCAATTCTCAACGCTTGACCCGACCGGAGGCCAGGAGGGATTCAACCTTGGCCAAAAACTGCGGCCTCTTGCCCGTGGTTTGGTAAGTTCCGTTGTTGCGGAGATTCTTCATCACCTCCCCAAGCACCGCCGGTTTACCCTGAACGACCTCCACAGTTGGGTATTTCCCTTGGGCATACGTTTCAAGCAGAATCTTGGATTCTTCCGTCTTAATGGCATTGAACTCGATATCACGAGGCTCGACAAGATCACCCTTTTGCTGAGACATCTTGTCCGCACGAGCCTTAGCCAATCGCTTGACCTCTTCCATTGCCTCCATCCTTTCCGCCTCGCTGTGGAACAAGACGTTCTGGCCCTTCCAGATCCGTCTACCCAGCTCGTAGGGAGGGACATATCCATTGGGGAAGCGACCACTGAGGCTGGAGAGTTTTTCCAGAACTGCCGCAGATCGAGCGTTTGTGTCGGTTGGGAGAGAAGGCCAAGTCTGTTGGAGCGAGGTGAAATCGATCTCCTGGGGCTCATAGCGAACCGGAGTCGGCCGAGCCTTGATCACTTTTTCTTGCTCAATTTGTTCAATTGCGGCGGCAATGACATCCTCGCCCTCATCCGATTCTGTCTTCCTTGACACCCTAGTTCTAGGTTTCCGTTGGTTCTTCTTGGCCGCAGGCTTGGGCTTGCCCTGGGGTTGGTTTCCGCCTCGAGCGGTACGACTCCGGGGGCTGCGAATGACTTTGGCTTGTTCACCACCAGCTCTTGGTGCAGCAAATGCTCTCGCATCTAGAGCTTTCGCGGTCCGAGGTCTGTTTGGTGGTCCGGATCCTGGAGGTTTACTTGAAGGGCGAGGCTTGAACGAAGAAGCCGCGGCAGACTTTGGAGGCTTTGATTTCGATGCGGCAGACTTTAGATTCGATGAGGGGGTCCCTGTCTCTTGAAAACAGAATTAATAGAAGCTCAAACACGTAAAATGTCCTTTGGGCAATTCTGTTCGTTTTCTATGCAATTGCAAGTTTCCCAAGGTTGGTTAAGAACGTACGTGGTTTACCGTCGCCCTCCGCGGCGACAGAGCGAGAAACGGAAAATTGACGAATTGGGACAATCGACCCCAGTCGCACCCGGTCGCTCTGGCGAGCGATCTGCCGAAGTGGAATCATGGCGGCTGACGTGGTGGGAAAAGCCAGAAACCGACGGGGAAAAGCACAAGTTTGGGATTCCGGGACTTTCAATGGTCACGTGTTGTACTTTCCACCCCAATCCTTCCTCCACCTCAAGAGTTCGCAAAGTTCATGATCGCTGCAATCAACCATGTTGCGCCGAAAGCCCACTGCCATCACAGTTACATCAGAAGATATAGCTGCCTTTGAACAGGCGAGACTTCGCCATCAGGAGAACAGCAAACACCCCGAGCAAGGGCAAGGGAATAATAGCTCCAACACCAAATATGACCCGAGTGACGAGTTGAAACCACTTCCGGGGGATAAGGCCCGGATTGTTCGATCTCGTGAAGAGAGAATCGGCATTGGCCGTCGAGGTTGACAAATTAGCCTTTGTGGACCACTTAAGCTTCACACCCTGGCTGATCTTAGACCCTTCGACTCTTACCTCCTGCATTCTCATGATTGAGAACACCGAGCATACAACGACACGTCACTTGACCCTACTTTGAAAAGACTTTTTCTTTCTATGTTTATTGATGTTCGCACCTCTCTGTCGACCACGCAGAATTCAGACTCAGAATCGTCAAGGACACTGGACTGCTGGATCCTTCTTTGATGTTCTTCATTCCATCCAACGGAGACTTGAATGATGCAGGTCAATCGATCATCATTTCGGAGAAGGGAAAAGGTCCACGTATGGAGCCTGAGAAAACGTCGGAACTGCAATTCCAAAGTTGAACTCTATAGAGACTATTCATTCAAAGATGCTTTTGAAGCCAGAACTTGATATGATGTACAATGGGTTTCATGTATTCAGTCGTCATTTAAAACCGCGATATCTTCGTTGAGATCATCCTTACGCGAGGGTTCATTCCAAATTCAAGAGCCGTAAGCGTGATATCACTGAATGCTCTGTAGCACCAGACATGGAGGAGGTAATATGTATAGACAAACTTCGAATGAGCAGGACTTGAGGGGGAATCAAGAAGTAAAAGAAGAGATTGAGAAGATTGAAGACAGAAATGCTTCAATGGTGGCAGAACGGAGTACCGATGAATATTTATGTAAAGTGGCAGAGAAAGGTGGACTACCCACGTTGACGTTTGGTCATGTTGTCAGAGCCCATGTCAACTGAATAATTCCATCGTCGTTTCAAACCCTGCGGATCATATACGCTGGCTACACTTTGTTGCCAGTCGCGAGCGCTAAAAACAACCGGGGGTGCTTGAAACTGTGGTGGGGAGACTGACTGCGCTGGGGGCAGGGTCACCTTGGACGGCGAGTCGTACTGGATAGGGTACTGGTGATTTACCATGTTTGACATTGGTTGCGCTGGGTTGCTCATCGGCATCGGAGGCGAGTTGGTGCTGACGGTAGAAGGATTCACGGAGAAGGCCATATCCCATTGACTGTGGAGCGGGCCAGGTTAGTAAATTTACCGGCCCAGGACAGACTCTCAGTGCACTTACTTGATGATTCGGCTTGGATCCCAGTTATTTTCATCAACCAAGGGCTGGTCGAGAGGGTGGGTGGTCGGCGGTTGATGGGGGACCATTCCAAGGGACTGCAACTGGGAGGATGTGTCGGACTTCGAGTCTTCAGCACCAGCGGAAATCGGAGGAGTAATTGGATGTGTGTTAAAACCCACTCTGGATTGGACATGGCTGGACACTTGGCTCAGATGCGGATGATAATGCGCATCCATAGGCGGACTAGGTTGGTAGCCCTCCGAGGGACTACCATACGGGAAACTTGGCTTAAGCTCAAAGGACCGGTTGGTATCAGCGGAGAAGGCCAGCCTTAAAGAATCGATCTGTGCTTGGATTTCCGGCATAGGCCAGGCAGTAGAGCATCGTTCAAGGATACGCATGTGGCGAGTGAAGAATTCCCGAGCATCGGAGTTGAATTCAGGATCGGGGGAGGTGATTGCGACCTGCAAGCATCAGAAACAGCTCCATGCACTCTGTGTCTTCAAAGTCTTACCAGGTGAAGCATGGTACATGTGAGAATACAGTAGATGGCGAAGTTGATCCCCCGCTGCATGTATAATAAACCGGATAATCCAAACCGTTCCAAAATGGCCTCTTGTAAGCGACAGAGGCTTTTGGCGGATGAATAGCACAAGGAGAAATGAATTTTCCACTCGCCCCCAGCGGTAAAGGACTGGGATGCCTGAAGCTGTGGTCGGTGAAGTAGGATAATCGCCAGGTGACAGTGAGAATGCATATTTCCAACAAAATGGGAAGGGAGCCATGGGGGAGAGCCATCAGGTGGGTAATTGACCTGCAAATCTGGTGGTAGATTGCGAAGCCAATCGGCGAAAAGGGGGTTTCTCTGGGTAAACCGAGGATCGGCCCCCCAGTCCTTTTGTTTTTTTACCTTATGATAAATATCTGTGATGATGCGGATATGGTGCGCATTGCGAACAAAGTAAGCGTATTGCCGCGAGCGATCAGTCTCATAGGCATCCAGACCCCTGATGTCCAACGACGGACGCATATCCACGGTTTGGGGGTCCACGCCATAATCCGAGCGACCTGGGCCAATCCGATTAGTGAGGGGACCAAGGCACAAATGGACTAGTTAATGCTTACCCTGAGGCGCTCCAATCATCACCTCCACCACCAGAAGGGCTTGCCATATCCGAGTTTGAATCAGACATTCAATCGGACTCAGGTCACAAGGCCTTCCTTCGGCGTGATTACTATAATGTTCGTGGATATCCAGATCTTTAGCCATCGAAACAATTGTTTTAACAGTTTGCCAGGACCGGTAATAATATCCTTTCTTAGGTAATGACTCCCGTGCTTTAAGGAGGAGAAGCATGGCCTGGATTGTGCTCACACGTGGAACGTCCATGAAGCTCGATTCATGTCCTGCAAAGGGTGGTGAGGTCAGCACAAAAAAGCACATTCCTAGAGGATTTTCTGACCGACTCACTGTTTGCCAATGCAAGCCACTGAGCACCCTCTGCGGGCTCCTCCGATAATCGACCCGCACAGGCAAATAGTGCCTCAAGGAGAAGGGGAGAGATGGAGTGGCGGTCATTTTGCCATTGGTAGTAGAAATGGGCTCGGGGTATGACAGGCACATAGGGATGAATCTCATCGAAGTAGATTTTGAAATATTCCATCACATCCTCATCTGCAGGCATGAGCTCCGGTGGAATTCGAATCGTTGCACCTGCGCCAGTGCTGAGTGGCGGCAGCCGTTCTTCAACGTCATCTTGAACGGGGGCATCAGGCTCGATGCGATCCGTTCGCTGCCGTCGGATATAGGGAGCTGGAGTAGGACATTAGCATTTTCCATATCGCTTGGCTTTGCGTTACGAAAGCAACACCATACCGATACCCGTCTCATCAATTTTCAGCTCTCCTAAAACCTCACTGAGGTTCTCTGCGGTAGACGGCTCAGATTCCACGAAGACGCCCCGATCCGTTGTCCTAATGGAAGATGTCTGAGTCCCGGGATATATTGGGGTTTGTTGATAAGGTTGAGGTGGGATAACCATGGGAGGTGATCGCATATCATTGTACATTCCAGATTGACCTGAAGGGGCATGAACAAACTGGGAATACATGCCCATTCCATCGTACGAAGGCACCCCCAGGGAGGCTTGATTACCATCTCTGTAGGCAGGGGACACCGAGAATGAATGGTGAGAAGTTTCTTGACCGGAGCTACTTCCTGTCTCGGCGGGGTCCACGTCGTGGCCTTCTGGGCCAAATTCGCCTTCCTGTCCAATTGTTGGAGGAACACAGACCAATTTCAAACGAGTGCATGCCGAGCACGGCCAGGTATTTGTTGTTGCCGCATCGCACTTGATCTTCCTTTTTCGGCAGCCATTGCACGCTCGCATTACTGCTTCCAGTTAACTCCAGGAAAGGCCCACTAGACAATGATACGCTTTACCTTTTAGCCTCTTGTGACGATTATGCTCATCAACAAACACGTAATCTAAATCAGGACCAGATCAACATCCATTCAGTATTGGCCCTATCTGATGCCGGGATTCGGGAAGAATATACTTTTCTGGCCCTCTCGGGGAGGCCCCGTCGGAGGTGCAAATGAGTAGCCCTGCATTTTGGATTTTGAATTTTTCTTGTTTTAAGACTCGCTGTTTCTCTCTCTCTCGTTTCGTGCTCCACTTGATATTTCTTTTTCGAGGTAATGGAATGAGGTAGGAAATTGGACGTGTAGTTATTCGCAAGGACCGGCCGCGGAATTCGGAGTTGAGGGGAAAAAAAGAAAAATAGAAAGGCGGATTACAAAATGAAGGAGCACTCTCAGGATGACCGTGCTGTGTAGTTGACTCCGGTATAGGTTCAAGGATGGTATATTAGACGACACGATTGGTAGCGTTGAAGCGCAACCCTGTTGCGCCGGCACGTCGATCAACGCACAACCTCCGAAGGCGTGCGACAGCTTCCACACAACCAAGACGGCCCACCCGGAGCGAAATTGCGGTATTCGTTAGAATCTGAAGGCGTCGCAATGGTTCAAGAAAATTGGTTCAGTTGGTACAGGGATGCGAGTGCTTCAGGCAATTGTTCAGGTTAGATGCCGAATCATGCGATCGCATCATGAATAGCCGGGGGGTCAGGGGAAGTCAAGCTTACAGCAGACTCGCTCAGGGCATCACGAAGCATCAAGGTGGAGACATCAGGGGCGCATTTGAAGGAGGGGGGAAGAACAGATTGGAAAAGGGCGGAGAGGAAAGCTGAGAGGGGTGCCAAGGTGGTGATGAACATCCAATAGCGCCCGCGCGGTGGATTTAGTGGGGACGATCCAGATTATTGCCTCCTGAAGTTACGACGTAATGGACGGTATCAATGACTAATCCACGTGTTCAGGTTATGGTGTTCCAGCTACCGACGTCCTAATCTAGAACTACCTGCAATTGAATCACCAGTAAGCTCACGCTGTCGAGAACTCATCTGAGATCCTACTGTGAGAAAACCATATGAACAAAGAAAAAGACTTTAGGAAAAGGACAAGAAGAACAGAGAAAGAAGAAAAACTTCGGGAAAACAACGGAAGGATAAAGAGTCCCCACTTTAGCATCTAGTAATCTCCAACTGCCTGTCTACATCACATTCTCACTTCACCGGAAGATACCAAAATAAAATACCATGCAGGATCGGAGAAAAACCGAAAAAAAAAAGAAGAAAAGCAATGACTTCATTTCTTCACGGCTAAGTTCCGGGTAACCCTAGCTTACTGTATAGGATTTCTGTCTTCCTGATCCACATTTTTTAAAGATGAAACCGCCGTGTTTTATCTTTCTTACCCCCCTTGAGCTCTCAGAGAATATGTGTACACTCACGTATGTGTGTGTGGCTCCGATGCCCCCTCCTATGGCGCTAAGAGGGCAAAATAGGCCAAACTAAGAAGTGGATCCCCCTTGTAGGGTTCTGGAAGAGAAGTAAGCTGGAACCGCCATGGTTACAGAGGTTCCCAAGTGGAGTCATGTCTGCAGTCCAGGCAAATCCACCACTTCCTTTTCTTTCGGGTGATTGACTCGAGAACGTCCAAGAGGGGGGGTCCAAACCCATGTTAATTCAAATTCATTTCGGTCGATCCCACCCACTTCCCTGGTTCCCATGAGCCAAGCCTATGAACGGTGGTCCGGGAGTCTGGCAAGGCTCATCTCTCCCAATCTTAATCAGACCATAAACGTAAGAATAGACACGAGTCCCGTTTGGCCCCGAAAAAGACTAAAAGGCTAATAAATTACCCAGCAAAGATTGCCATGATTGCCATGTTACCCATAAATTACCCTCAAACGGTCATTCGCGCCTTCCCCAATCAGGACATGGACCGAGGATCTACCGGCAGACACGTGAGACGTCGATAAGCTTCTTTATCGAACGCTTCCTAATCTTTCGCCCCTCACAATCATGGCGGAGGTGCAGAATTCCAACCCCACGATCCTGAACGTGGCGGATCTCCCCACCAGGACTCGCTCCACTATTAAGGCCGGCGATTATCACTCTGGCATCTTTGCTGCTGTCCCGAATCCCGCCGACTTTCTCTCGTCGGACTCCGAAGATGATGACCTATTGGAGGAGCCAATCGATGAGCAAGAGATCTACGGTAAGACCATTCTTGCCTCAATTTTGTGGAAAAAGATCTAACGAAACATTCATTCTCCAGACTTGATCAAGTCAATCTCAGATCCTGAACATCCCCTGTCACTGGGCGAACTGGCCGTCGTCTCCCTTCCAGATATCTTCATCAAGCCAACCCTTCCCAACGTTCCTGATTCACCTCTGCAGACCGTCGTTGTCTTGATTACCCCAACCATCACCCACTGCAGTCTAGCAACGGTCATTGGCCTCGGAGTTCGTGTGCGGTTAGAACAATCCCTGCCGCCTCGCTTCCGAGTTGATGTGCGCATCAAGGAAGGAACCCATAGTACAGGCGACGAGGTCAATAAGCAGCTGGGGGATAAAGAAAGAGTTGCTGCAGCCTTGGAAAATGGTGCCCTGATGCAGGTAATTACCAAAATGATGGAGACCTGTCAATAAGAAGCTCTTCCCCAAGAACTTCCTTGTGATGGTTGTAACCTTATTATAAGCATTCAGCCCAGGGACCGTGGGAGGGGGGGGGGGGGGGGGGGGCCTAGTTCCTCCTGTCCCGGTTGATACGAGCCCCATTTTACGAAATAAACTGCCGGATTTGTTTTTTTTTTCTTGTCCTTTCATCTTCTGATAATGACACTTGCATATTTTTGATGAGCGCATTAGAATTACAGAGAGAGCAACGTGCTCAATAATCGATGACTCCGTAACCCCAGAAATCCCTCCCAGAGTAAAATTGGTTGTTAGTTCTCTTGGTGAGAATCACGAGTCCAAAACGCCACTCTCCTTCAATCCTTTCCACAATTCCGGCTCCAGGAACTTGCTGACTGTAACATCTTCCGCCAGTCCCTTGCGCCGCCTCGTTTTCAGGACAAAGTCCCGGGCAGTGGCCATGGCCCCGGCCATCTCCAGTGGCTTCAATTTGACATCACGGTCCAGCGGGTCTCCGGGTACCACACTCCACTTATCAAATGCAAGACTGACCATGGCCTGACCTTGGGTATGGATGCGAAGATCTGTCTCGAAACCAAATGAGTCAATCACCGGGATGAGCCCCCGCACGGAATAGAGAGGAGTTCCGGCAATGGGGCCGTCGGACAGGACGTGACCTCGCCGGCGTGACAAAACAGTATACACTGAAGCGACAGCATCGGCGGGGCCCGTCATGGTGCAGGAATAGATCGGCTCCATGAGCCGGGGGGAAGCCATCAAAAATGACGAGTACACGGCCCGGCGAGCCGTGGGAATAATCTGGCCTCCACCACGATAGATAGCTTGATCAGCAAGAGATACATCTGTGAGTTTGAACTTGGTGTTTCGAATGGCTAAGTTTGGTCAGTATCGGTATCCTAAGTAGGAAAAGTGCGAGACCCAACTTACGTTCTTCACACAAGGGACCTTCTCTTGCGCCCCAGCTGAAACCCTGAGTAATGGAGTCTCGGACGCTCCCCAGAAGCTTCTTGTCTACCTGTGAAGGCAATGTGTCGTCCTGGAGGATATTTGGTCCCATCTCATCAGGGCCAAACGCCCAAATACTGCGAGCGGCGAGCTTATCCCAGTCGTAATGGTCCTCAAAGTAGCGCGCAACCTTGCGAATGGGGTCTTTGATGTTGACTTTGCCGCTTTCAATGTCCTCTGCGATGCCCTCGTCCAATGGCTCGGCGATCATTGTGATCTTGTTCTTTTTATTCGGGGTAATGGAGTAACACATCATGGCAGAGGTTTCAACCACCGTCTCACAGAAACGGGTGACAGGGTCGGAGACCTTGATCTCCATCTCGGAGTAAAGTCGTCGAAGATCATGAAGAACACAGTCCATGTATAGCTCGCCTGTACCTAGAACGACGTGTTCACCAGACTCCTCCACCTTGGTCGAGATCAAGGGGTAGCTCTTGTTGATCTTGCGTAAGCCGTCCAGCATCTTGGGTAACTCAGAAGGGTTGACCGGCTCCACCGCAACCTTGAATACAGACTCGGTCATGTGTCGAATGGGCCGGAAGATGTAGGGTTCTTCATCATCTTCCAGTTTGAGAGGCACCAAAGTTGCCGTTTTCACAATGGAATTGTCCACACCCCCAAGTAGAACCCAGTTGCCGGCAGGTACACCGTCCGTGGAGATGTTGTAAGCCGTTTCCCCGATCCAAGTGTCTGAGATGGTTGCAATGACCATATCTTCCTCGTCTTCGGGTGTGTAACCTTCACCGAGAACGCGAACCTGCTGGCCCGGTCGAGCAGTGCCACTCATGATTCTTCCAAATGAGGAGAAACCCGTAGCATCAGTGGTGCTGAACAGCTTAGTGACATGAACGATCAAGGGTCCGTCCTGATCACAGGCAGCCATGGATGACGCAACCTTTGAGTCCAATGGACCAGTGTAATACCGATCCAATACTCTCTGGGCTCCATCAACCGGAGAAGGGACATGCTGGACAACCATGTCCACAAAGCCAGTAGGGGGACCGAAGAATTGCTCGCAAACAAGGTTCAGCAGCTCCTTCGCATCGGTCTTTAATTGAGAGGGCTTTAGACTGACACCCACGCTAGCAAGGGTTTCTTTGAGGTCTTCGGGACTCTCACTGAGCGTATGAGAATAAAGCTTGTAGATTGGCTCTAAGACAAACTTGACGAACGAACGTTTCGAGTTCTCTTCCACACCCTTGCGAGTGAATTTCCGACTGCGTGGGTTATAAAAGATATCCCCCCATAGTCGAGCAGCAAATTCGGTCGAGTCGAGCCGTGGGTAAGTATCTGCATACATCCGTGCGAATGATTGTAGAGTGAAGCACCAGTTCATTGAACTGGATGCAAAGGCAACGTTGCCCTTTTCCGGGCTCACTCGGCGCCGCTCACCTTGGCCTGGCAGGACATTTTCGATTATCGTATTGACCTCCTCGATCACATGCTTCAACTTGAAGTAGGCGTCATTCGGTGGCAGTTTAAGCTCCAGGATAAGGCGGTCCATTTTATTGACGACTAGGGTCAGTGGAAGATCCTCCAAGACAGCATGCTTGATGATCTGCTCAGTGTTCGCCTGAACGCCTTCCACAATATCGACGATCAGGACGACACCATCAGCAAGGCGGATCGAAGCGGCCACCTCATCCACAAAGTTCACGTGTCCGGGGGTATCAATGATGTTGAGGAGATGGGACTTGCCCTTGGTTCCAGGAAGAACCAAGCTCATTGGCGCCGCCTTGATTGACAGGCCGCGTTCCCTCTCCAGGAAATGCACATCGGTGTATCGGAGTTGTTCCTCCTTGCGCTTGCCTATCCGCTTCTGTAGCCGCTCCGTCAAGTCGTGGGTCTGTTTTACCAGCATGTCCATGAACGCGGTCTTGCCATGGTGCAAATGGCCCACGATGGCGACATTTCTGATTTGCTCGGGGAAGTTGAGAAGATCTGACATAAACTCCCGGGAGAAATACACCGATGGAAGCTCGGTCTCTGCGAGCGCAAATTTCTTCTGCTGGACGGGGGCGATGATCGGCTCGGACAGAGGTTGCGCATCTTCTTCCTGGACCAGAGTCTCAACATCGGCACCGTATACTTGTTGAGCGCTTGGGTAATATTGCTTGTCTTCGTGCAGGATCACGGCATTCGAAGGTCCTTCTGCAGTAAGACTTGATAAGCATCAATGATCAGAAAGGGTGAGAGGTTTTTTTTTTCTCCCCTCGATCTTTCTTGAAAGCGTCCTGACATACCATCGACCTCCATCAATTGCTGATCATTGATAATCTCATCTTCTTCCTCGTCCTCAAAAGCCTCGTCGAACTTGAAGGCTTGCGGGACCTGGTCATGTTGCTCTTCGTCCGACTCGGCCTCTCCGATATAATTACCGAACCTGCCCTGGGAGTTAATCGATGTCAAAAAGAACAGCAAGGACAAAAACGTACTCGTCGTAGAGGTCATCCATTGTGGTGGGGAGTGAAGAGGGTGACGCGCAAAGCTAGGTCCGCGCCGGATTTAGTGCTGGCGTGACGCCGGAGGAGTTGAACGATCTCAACTTTCCACTTGGTCCGAGCGTTCCAAGTACTCGCGCCTACACCGTACAGCTCCTCACTCCCCACTATAATCCTAATCGCCCCTCCAGTCTTTTCCCTTTTATACTGCCCTTCTCTCCTTTTCCTCTTCCCGTTTTTTCTTCTCTAAAGATTCTTATCCAAAAATTCAACATGTCTTCCCTTCCTCCCGTTTACATTGTTTCCACCGCCCGTACCCCGGTGGGCTCCTTCCTTGGGTATGTTTCGTCTTCCAACTCTACTTGTGTTGCACCGGTTTTTAATATCACTGGTCCTGTACAGTTCTCTTTCCAGTCTCACTGCTCCTCAGCTTGGTTCTCATGCCATCAAGGGTATGGTGACTCCCCAATTGCAAAACCTACAAGCGATTTACAGATGAGAGAGGGGGAAAATACGTATATGCACATATACTAACTCGTGGCATATATAGCTGCTGTGGAGCGTGCTGAAGGTATCAATGCCTCTGATGTCGAGGAGGTTTTTTTTGGCAATGTTCTTTCCGCTGGGTATGTCTATTTTCAACACAATCAGACTTTTAGTGGTTGTCTTTGATACTGACTCCCTTTTCAGCGTTGGACAGAACCCTGCCCGTCAATGTGCCGTTGGTGCTGGTCTCCCCGACTCCACTGTCTGCACCACCATCAACAAGGTCTGCGCTTCTGCTCTGAAGGCGGTCATCCTTGGAGCCCAGACCATCATGACCGGCAACGCTGAGATTGTCGTCGCTGGCGGTACCGAGTCCATGTCGAATACCCCCCACTACATCCCCAACTCCCGTACTGGTGCCAAGTTCGGCCACCAGACCCTGGTTGACGGAATCATGAAGGATGGTTTGCAGGATGCCTATGGCAAGCAAGAGCTCATGGGTCTGCAGGCCGAGGAGTGTGCACAGGACCACGAGTTCACCCGCCAACAACAAGACGACTATGCCATCCGCACCTACGAAAAGGCCCAGGCTGCCCAGGCTGCGGGTGCCTTTGACTTTGAAATTGCTCCCATTGAGCTCCCCGGCTTCCGTGGCAAGCCCGGTGTCACCGTGTCCCAGGATGACGAGCCCAAGAACGTAAGTGAAAATTGGTAGACCGAAATATTGCCCAGATCACTCGCTAAAAGGTTACTGTGAGAATAGCTCAACCCCGACAAGCTTCGCAACATGAAGCCTGCCTTCATTCCCGGAAGTGGCACCGTGACTGCCCCCAACTCTTCTCCCCTTAACGATGGTGCTGCGGCTGTCGTCCTGGCTTCCGAGGCCAAGGTGAAGGAGCTCGGTCTGAAGCCCATTGCCAAGATCTGTGGCTGGGGTGATGCTGAGCAGCAGCCCAGCAAGTTCACTACTGCTCCCGCACTGGCGATCCCCAAGGCCCTTAAGCACGCCGGCGTGACCCAGGACTCCATTGATGCCTTTGAGATCAACGAAGCTTTCAGTGTGGTGGCCCTTGCCAACATGAAGCTGCTTGGCCTCTCTGAGGACAAAGTCAACATCCATGGCGGTGCAGTTGCCATTGGCCACCCATTGGGTGCCAGCGGCGCTCGTATTCTGGCCACTCTGATTGGTGTCCTGAAGGCGAAGCAGGGCAAGCTCGGCTGCGTTGGAATTTGCAACGGCGGTGGCGGTGCCAGTGCTCTCGTGATTGAGTCTCTGCTCTAAAGAGATATATTTAATGATGTACGGATATGACATGACTATCGATTCTCTGCGAAATACCAACGAACGCACATATTTGAGATAGATATTGGAAGTAGAGAATTCAATATTCTTCCAAAAGGCTAATGAAGTCGAAACCAAGATTGATTTTTGAAGCATATATTTGGGGCGGCTAAAACAAAAAATCCTGATTCTAGGAGGCGTTCACCCGTGGACAAAAGCCACATATGATAATCCGAAAATTTGAAGACGAAGCATATGAAGAATAATATTTGAAGTCTCTAGCTTCCTAGGGAAGGATACATATAACCCAGAGACAGTACAGTACATACCTGGCAGCTGTCAAGCCATTCAGGCAAATGCCCCGACAAATGCCATCAAGAGAGCCCCACATGCAACCGATATGCATGCCTCTACACGCCGTCTTCCTTTGAGAGTCTCATAGCTTGGCTCGCTCAGAAAGTCTTCCGCCAGGAGCTCCACAAGACCTGCAAAGAGGAGAAGGCCAGAGCTGATGGCGTTGGTAATGCCAACCATGAGCAGGCCCGTGGTACTTGCCGGGTCATAGAGATTGTGCAAGACCAAGCCGATAGCCTGACCAAGGGGAGTCGTTGTTCCGTAAGCCAGACACATCAGCCAGGGTTTTGCCGAAGAGGGAGAGAAAAGATCTGGGATGAGTGATGCAATGCGCGAGCCCAGCGCAAACCCTTCGAATGTCTGATGAAAACTGATGGCAATGAGTAGTACAACAAATGAGGTTCCGGTTGCGACGCTGAGTGCCATGCCAATGAAGATACTGTGGAAAAGAATACCAGCTTCTAGGAGTAGACACTGGAGAAGCTGGCGCTGCGGGTTCTGCATTGGCAACTCCGAGCCGGACTGCTGTCGAAAGTGACCACTCATCTGCGGGTGGTGGTGACGAAGTGAATGTGACCGGGATCGTACATGAGGCAGGGAATCATCAGCGTAGGCATCGAGCTCATCAAGATCAGTATCATCGTCCTCTTGCTTGTCCAATTGGGAACTAGCCGAGTGCGGCCGCTCAGAAGAAGCAGAAGCAGGTTCATCAACCTCAGCCTGACCACTCTGTCGTAGGCTGTCTAAACGAATATTTCCTTGCGATCTTTGCGCTTCCAAGCGCGAATAATCTGCCGCGTCATGCTCAAAGTCGCTCATAGACTCACGACCAAGGTCGCCTATCAGAGTATCGTAATCATTGCCATGCACATGCCCTGCACCTTTCATGGCAAAAAACATTTCTACCACAACCACAGCGAAGACCGATATCATGGCCACAAAGCCAGCCATTGCACGATACGTATGGCTCCAAAACCGAGGGAGACAGGGGTCTGTCAAGGAAACAAATGCAGTCGGGAGCAAGTGCACGAACGCTGTGGCGATCAAGACCCCAGTGCCAAAGTGTCTGGAGATAAACAGGAAGCGACGTGGAATCGGAAGACCAGGGAAGCGGCGAGCAAGAACCGGAAATGAACATGCTGGTGTAGGATGAATCTGTTAATCATCTAGTACCGCATATCAGGGAGAAATGACTGGCGCATACCGAATGTACTCAACCCTAAGATGAGGAACAATGCCATGACATGCAATGGTGTGTTATAGGCGCCCTGCGCCGTGGAGCCACATGAGGGAGTCTCCACTGAATTTGTGGCATCTCGTCGTTGGAGCTCGGCTCTTAAGAGAGATTCAGGGATGTCCGAGATCGCGGAGAGCGTGCGCTTGAGATCTACCAGATATATAAAGGTCAGAATCAATTGAGAAGAATAAATCATGAGATACTGACCTAGAGACCCCTCGCCGGGATTTTGCCATGCTTGAGCATTCTGCATGTTTAGGGACTTTTAAATGCGGGCGTGTTCCGGCCACATCGCCAGTAATGAATAGAGGTTCGATTCCGATATTCTGGAGTCCACCAGAGATGCCAACGGTTGCTAAGGCCTCTTCATGCAATTGACCTTTGTTTCAAGAGTTTTCCAGAAATGCAGAAGATCCCGAAGTCGGGAAGCATCGCAAGTTGGCTCCGGCCACGCGGTACAATCTTATCTCGGCATGTCAGTAACTCCGCAATCCGGGTACTGTATACACGAAACAAAATATACATCACTTCGCCTGAGATACACTATAGATTTACATATACTGATTTGTTGTGACTTGTTGTTATCAAGTTGTTCTTAGGAACAACATCACGCATAGTGGGGGTTTGGTCATTACGCTTTAAGCCTGGCTGTACACGGAAGATTGAGCATGTATGTACTCTGTATTCATTTATGCTATATTATCTACTGTTGAGCTTCGTCCAACCACTTGTGCCCTTTGGCCTTGATGGCTGATGAGGGGTCTCGTTCGTTTCGGGCAGATGGGTGAGTTTGCTCTTTGGCGTTGATGGTTGTTCGATTTCCGGATTCCCGTCCTCCCATTCCTGTTCGTCCAAGAACTCCCATTCCGCGCTAGCCATCTCGCCCACGAGATTGAACTTTAATTTATCAAAAATCTTTGTTGGAGTTGGTAGCTTCCACGTCCGCATGAAGTCCGATCCTTCAGATGCTCCGAGAAATGAATGAACGGTCCCGTGGGAATAGTGCCCGAGCATAGGGAATGATTTCATGCGCTGAATTGTCGTTCGAGGAGAATCTTTACTAGGTTTCACTTTGGTCTGCGTATCTCGACCGGCAAAGGCCCGCATCAAAGTAGATGCCTGAGCTGGTGGGGCAACCAATAACTGCCACAACCCACTTCCAATGTTGCAGACCTCTTCACATGAATCAGAATTCAGGTTAATTCCTTGGGTCCGGCACAGCCATGCAACGTCCCAGGCGAGAAGAGTGGCACCCTCGAGAAAGAAGGTATAAGTGGTAGGATCGTCCTTGGCGAGACGTGGGAGAGGCTTATCGATGAACAGTGGTCTTGGACGCGGCTGCGAGCGAGTATCTGCAGACCGGGGCACTGCTGGATTTGACGAGAGCTGAGAATCATAAGTTCCATCAGTGAGATTATGGAAGTCGTAGGATGCGGCAGGGGTATAGATAGTTGGATTGGGGTGGTTTCGGTGGGGTAGAATGATCTCGGCGGGGAGTCTCAGTGAAAGATAATGCGAAACGAGGACCAGGAGGAGCGCAATATTGGAGAGTGACGTAGATATCTGAGCTGGTGTGGAGCCTGTATAAATGTTAGTCTTGAAGAAGACACTGGCCGCCAGAATATGGGAATCTTTCCATTCATGTCCCGTAAGTCTACAATTGCTAGGCCTCCAAGGATGTAAGTCGGGGGAGCGTCGCCTTTCCTTGCTGCCTTTTGCCGTAAGCCATACAGATGGGCGGCCTCCCGACAGAGAAAAATCCGAGCTTCAGCCGTTTTACTATGTAATGTGTGCCATAGATGCTCGGTCCTCTTAGTGGTGTTCTGCAGGCCTGTCAAGATAGCAGCCTCTCGCTCCCCAAGTTCGTATTGGGCCGATTCAGCATCAGAACGCCTACGAGCCAACCGCGCCTTGCGCTCCAGAATATCAGCCCTTTTTGCCCTAATCTCCTCTTTCAATGTGTTTATCTGCTGCACCACATCATTCTTCCTGGAGACTGAACCAGCTTGTTGGCTCAAGATGGTTTGGAGGACCCAGCGACAAGAGCTGTCGTGATCAGTCTCTGAGCGTCTTAGCTCAGTCTTGCTATGCTGATTTGGGGAATGATCATGGGTGATGGCGATTTCGATTTGGTTGCCTAGGGACTCTTTTTCGAGAAGGATCTGGGTGTGTTCGAGACGGAGTTGATACAGACAATTGCGGGCACATGTCGGGCAGAGAACTGGCAAGCGGGAGTGGGCAGATGTGCATATGTGACAACTCATCGCAGACGACTGAAGGTTTCTAGCTGGAAGGCTGAGAGTCGTGCATCCATGATGTGTTGTGGAAGCTGCGAGAGCTACCAACGGAAACCACGCAGTCTTGCAAACAAGATCCCGGGAGTTGGTTCTGGTGATGTCGTCACCTGACGCGGTGTGTGGCAGCTGTTTGTCCGGATCAAGTCACGTTTGATTGTGGATAACGACCCAATCACCTCCTTTGATACTACTACTGAATAATCTAAATGTTGCGACATCTTCTTCATTTTTACTAAGTTACTCTATCAGAAAGAGCTTGTCTAGAATGGCATCAACAGACGATAGCCACGACATTGCCTCGCGACCATCTACAACGGAAGAGCCCCAGCAAACTTGCAGTCCAGAGCCAATTGAGCCCGTTCTGGAAATGGAAGAAATGCTAGTGGCTCGTTTAACCCAAGGGCTGGAGAATTGCGATTGGGACCAGCTGCAAGAGAAATACACTGATGCTATGGGTGAACATAGTCGCGTTGAGGATGACCTTCGTGCGCAGACTACAAAGCTGCTCGATGTAAGGACATTATATACCTACAGTTCTGTCCCAATACTAATCATCTAGCAGGTCTTTACAACGTGGTCTCAGACAGCCAAGTTACAAGATGAACAGCGGGCACTGAAGAGGTAAGAGTTGCACCTCATGGTCTTAATAGAATGTAGTTCTAACATACATCAAGATTCAAGACACAGATGCAGTACGTGCAGAACTCCGAGGCCAGCGTGGAGAATAAGAAAAAGCATTGTAAGTTCGGGAGACCCATCTTCCTCCCTGTTCAAGTGCTGATCACTCGGTCCCCCATTCAAGACACTGAGGTGGTGAAAGCATTCCAAAGTGCCCTGGCCTTGCTTAATGAGCAGTTGAAAGCTTGATTACGTTACGAATTTATGAAACAGCGATCCCCCATTACTTGCGATTATCAGATTCAAATGAGGTGCACGAGAAGATCATGTGCCGAAAAATTCCATGTATTATACCTAGATTAACTCAAGATCATGTTCGTGCGAAGTCGTCGGGTAATAGCACAAATTCCACCAGGGCATTGCTTCGAAAAAACAGTTAGTATCTCCGGGCTCCATTGCTTTGCGTCCTGTCAATCAAGTTCCATTAATTCCGGCGGTCAGCCCGGCCGGTGATATCTTGCCAGGTTGCATTGAAGCGTCTTCCTGTGTTGGCAAGGAGACCCTCTTCTTCAGCTTCCTCGGCATCTTCGTCAAGTTGTCTCTCATCCAATCTTGGAGATCGGAATAGAGATGTCACAAATACAACAAGGTAGAGACCTATGGACAAATGATCAGTCAGTAATCAAGATCACTATACATAAATATTCACTGGAGCTTACACCCCGGTACATAGATACCAGGGTGCCTACTTACCAAGGAAGAGGAACTGGGCCCAAAAGAACACAACACCGAAAAAGGGATAGTTGAGAGTGACGCGGTTGAGAAAAGTGCTTACAACACTGGGGGTACACACTTGCTGTGCAGCAGGGTTGTCTGCTAGCTCAGAGCATGGCTTGATGAGATCTTTGTAATTAGTGCAATCCGGCTGTTCCAGCAGCGTTCCCGGAGCACGATCGCAGAAAGTCTGTGGGCCAAACGTGGCGTATTGTGGAGCGACGATCATGGAAATAGAATAGTTCAATGCCAGGATAATCACCATCAACATTGCAGTTGCCAAGAGGAGAGCTTGAGGCGACGTGTGGCCTTTTCGAATCTGGAAAATTCGAATCCAAAGGAAGCGAATTCCCACCACAGAGATGCCGGCAACTGAGCTGCAGAACAGCAGCAGCACAAGAAGAAGAAATATGGCATAATCAACTGGAAATACTTTGGCAGATTGAACAAGGGCCCAATTGACCGGGTTGAAGACATTGATATGCCCCAGAATATATCCACAACGGTGCTTGCAAACTGAATTCTTTGCCTTGTCGATAGCTGTCAGCAGCATAGACACCCATGTGACAAAGGCAATCAACAGGAGTAGCAGGCCTCCCAGCAGTTTGAAGGGGCGAAATATTGCCTCAATCTTAAACCATGCTCGTATCAACCAACTCCGACCTTCCCCCTGAGCCTCATCAACAAGACGTTGGCGCCTAATCAATGTTCTCTCCTCTCGTGTGAGCGTATCTAATTCTCTGCGATCCTTGGACGATAGAAGCTCAGGGTTTCCCCCACAACGACCTTCTAGCTGCCTCTGTCGCTCTTGATTGGCTTCCAGTTGGCGAGCAGTGGAAGCTCGCAGCGTGGGGCTAGAGATTGATGGTGCAGTCTTGATCAAGCTAATGGGGAATAGAGCAAGCCCCACAGAAGTATACAAGACGTAAAGGCAGATACCAAGGGTCATCAGAAGGCCAAGAGCAAATGTCAGAGCACGCTCACCATCTGTGCTGCTATTAGTCTCATAGCTCGGAGGAGTCAATAGGCCGCACGACTTACGATTCTCTGTCAGCAGGCGTTTGAAGTAATCCAAGTCCATACCGACCTTGTCCTTGGAAACGGGGACAAAAAAGCCAACCAGGAATAGAATTACAACAATCGCAATAAATGACAGGGTATACTTGAAGGACCCCCAGAGCCGCTGTCCCACGGTTTGCTCTCCTGTTTCACTGGCTACCTCATCGTATTCCTCGTACCAGAAGTAGGTGAAAGGGATCACCAAGAGGCAGAGCAGGGCATCCAGTGAGTACAATATGTAGTAGATGATTGTCAGTGAGAAAGTGATGTTATCAACAGTATCTTGGGTGGCCCAGTCCTTGCGCCGGCCCAGGCGGGATGACGTGGTTGATGATACGAGTGCGACATCCACGGGGAGCAGAAGCACAGTTGCCAGGAGACTGGTAATGGCAATAGTGCAAGTCAGAGTTACTGATGAAGAGCGATCACGAGGTGTTTGGTAGACATAGATAAACACCGAGGCTATCGCCAGTAGGATTGCAATTACAACTGCATATACAATCCATATCAGTGAAGTCTGGAGGAGTGCCATAGTGGAGAGAAGTGCTCTCCCATATGGAACAGGTTAGAAAGAGAGAATGTATTGCGTCTTTTGCTCTTGAACCTGACCCTGCAGATTTTGTTCCAGAGGTATGCAATCAGTATCAAGAGAGGGAGATAGGGAGAGAGCAAGTTTGAAGTGAGAAGAGTAAGAAAGTTGGCTTTACATTGTCGTCATAGCTAGACCCGATCAGGTAAACATCACGTGACATCGAGCTTTGTTTCTTGAGTCCCCTGGATGCACATCACTTGACTACATTCTCCAAGCCATTGGACGACTTGGAAGAACTGTTTTTTCTCGTTACTCTCCTGTTTGTGCTTTTCGTGCCCCGGTGCTGGTGGATTTGGGCTTGGATCTGCCATGTGCACCGTGATTTCTGCTCTGTAAATTGCTGATTGGAGATCTGAAGCGCACTGGATTTTTGCAATGCAGTGCTATACAGAGCTTTTGCCCCCAACGGGGATTACTCATGCACTTTCCCTTCCTTTTTTATCATCAACAGCTAGCAATTTGATTGTTGTGCGATCATCCCTGTTGCAGGTGTTTTCCTTGCTCAAGCCTTCATCAGAGAGCACTGAGACCCACTCGGCACCTTTCCATCCACCTGAGCCGAAATTGGTTCTGGAAAAAGAGTACAATTTGCCAGGAACGGTGACAGACCTGAGTCGAGTGAAAATCTTGAATTCCAAGAGTGGCGGAGAGGCCATTCTGCTGGCTGTTCGAAATGCCAAGCTCAGCCTGATTGAGTGGGACCCAAAGCGCTACAATATTTCCACCGTCTCTATCCACTATTATGAACGAGATGACCTGACTCGCAGCCCCTGGGTACCAGACTTGAGCCAATGTGGCAGTATTCTGAGTGTGGACCCCAGCAGCCGGTGTGCGGTCTTCAATTTCGGTATTCGTAACCTGGCCATCTTGCCTTTCCACCAGGCAGGAGATGACCTTGTGATGGACGACTACGATTCTGGGCTGGACGGTGAACGGCCTACTCAAGCACCGGATGGGGCAGCGGACCTGGAGAAGAGCAAGGGTGGCTCTGCTCATCCCACGCCTTACGCTGCTTCGTTCGTTCTACCACTGACAGCCCTGGACCCTTCATTGTTGCATCCCGTCAGCTTGGCATTTCTCTACGAATACAGAGAGCCGACATTTGGAATTTTGTATTCTCAAGTTGCAACCTCCAATGCCCTTGTCCATGAGAGAAAAGATGTAATGTTTTACACTGTCTTCACGCTAGACCTAGAGCAACGCGCGTCGACCACCCTCCTCTCAGTCTCCCGGCTCCCCAGTGACTTGTTCAAGGTTGTAGCACTGCCGCCTCCTGTGGGAGGTGCTTTGCTTATCGGTTCCAACGAAATTGTGCATGTGGACCAAGCGGGTAAAACAAATGCAGTTGGAGTGAACGAATTCTCTCGCCAAGTATCCGCATTTTCCATGAGTGACCAATCCGACTTGGCCTTTCGCCTGGAGGGTTGTGTTGTGGAGCGACTGGGTGGCGACAGTGGTGATCTTCTTCTTGCGCTTGCATCGGGTGATTTAGCGCTGATAAAATTCAAGCTGGATGGTCGATCTGTATCGGGCATGTCAGTCCATTTGTTGCCAGCTCAAGCAGGCGGTGATCTCCTCAAATCGGCGGCCTCTTGCTCTACCTGCTTCAATGATGGAAACATCTTCATTGGTAGCGAAGACGCGGACTCGGTGCTTCTCGGGTGGTCTCATTCGACTTCTAGCAAAAAGGCACGCTTAGAAACGAAGCGAATCACCGATGGCCTGGATGATTTATCAGACGAGGATCAAATGGAAGATGATGGGTACGAAGATGACCTCTACTCTTCAGTGCCTGAGCGAACCCAAACCGACACACGCCCAACCCCGGAGAACTCTATGCCAGAATTTTACCATCTTCAACTTAATGATCGACTTCCCAGCATCGGTCCTCTACGAGACATCACTCTCGGCCAAGCTAGCCCAGCCTCGAGTGACTCGGAGGCGTCCGCCAATGAAGGGGCTTCGGCCGAACTAGAGCTGGTCGCATCCCAAGGCTCAGGCAAGAGTGGTGGGCTTGTTGTAATCAAGAGGGAGATTGATCCTGTGACGACAATGTCCATGAGTCTCGATGCTGCCGATGGAGTGTGGTCGGCTACCATGACTCAAGGCAAACAAGCCTCTTCGCACGTGGGCGATTCAGACGGGAAAAACTCCAGTCAATATGTAATTGTCTCACGGCTTACTGACACAGACAAAGAGATATCAGAGGTCCTCATGGTGGAGGGAGCAGCATTAAAACCCCTCAAGGCTCCCGACTTCAACCCGAGTGAGGATATTACTATCGATATTGGGTTATTAGCCGAAGAATCCCGTCTTGTACAGGTTTTGCGAAATGAAGTCAGGATCTATGACCGAGGTATGTTTAAAGTCGTTCCGTAGAGGGGATTCCTAGATTTAACATACTCTTCAGATTTGGGGCTAGCACAAATTTATCCCATATGGGACGAAGACACGGATGAAGAGCGTATTGCCGTGAGCGCAAGCTTTGCCGATCCTTACCTAGCCATATTGCGTGACGATTCTTCACTCTTACTGCTCCAGACAGATGCTAGCGGCGACCTTGAAGAGGTGTCTCTCCCAGACAAAATGTCCACGTTAAAATGGCGTTCGGGCTGTCTCTATCACGACAAACATCGATCATTCGGCGCTCTCCACACAAAATCAAGTGCCGCTGAACCAAACATTCAGTTATTCTTGTTGAACGCCGAAAATAAGCTCTCGGTTGGTTATTTCGACACAGAATAGATGACCATAGTATTTCTAACCGTTCTTCTGCAGATATTCAGCATCTCGGACATGAAATTGCTATCGGTCATTGAAGGTCTCGACTGCTTGCAGCCGCTGCTATCGGCGGATCCACCTCGAAGATCTAGTGCACGAGAATCGTTGAAAGAAATTCTGGTAGCTGATCTCGGTGATTCCTCGTTTGTCCAACCATACCTAATTGTACGATGCACGTAATCCTTGGCTGCGTGGATCTAGTTGCTAACCTAGGAAATCCAGCTTCGAACTGATAATGACGACTTGGTTGTGTACAAGCCAGTCTTCATCCCATCTGAGACCGAGAGTGGACAACCGAATCTTCAATTTTTCCGGGAAGCCCACCATACTCTTTCTAAGCTCACCTCAAAGGAGTCACTCACAGAAACGGAGATTCCCACACGTAGAAGACCATTACGGGCTCTACAGAATGTGTCAGGGCTCAGTACTGTGTTTATGCCAGGTGACTCCGGTAGGTTCATCGTTAAAACTGCTAAAAGCACACCACACGTGGTTCGCCTCCGCGGCGAATTCACACGATGGCTCAGTGGGTTTAATTCACCGCTAACGGGCTGTGAAAATGGCTTCATCTACGTGGATGCCGAGGTGAGAGCTGCTTTCTAGCATGAAATATACTCAAGCTTACAATTTTGGCCAGCATACACTTCGGGCATGTCTAATTCCTCCAGAAACTCAGCTTGACTATTCCTGGATCTTGCGCAAATTCTCGCTGGAGGAGCAAGTGGGCTTCTTGACTTATTCAACAGCATCTGAGACCTATGTTCTGAGTTCCAGCTCCAGCGTGGGATTCAAGTTGCCTGAAAACGATGAGCTACACCCTGAATGGCGCGATGAAGGTTTGCTTCCCGCCCAATATGGCAAAGTTTCCTTTCCTAATTCGATTCCTAGCGAAAACATTCCTACCTGAAGTTCCTCAAAGCTTCGTCAAAATCATCAGTCCGAAAACCTGGGAAGTTATCGATAGGTAAGGCCTCGAACCTGTGAAACTGGAGTTCTTTTTGAAGCTCACGATGCATAGCTACCCGCTGGAGCCTGCTGAGCATGTGACAGCGGTGAAGAATGTGAATCTAGAAGTGTCGGAAAATACACATGAGCGCAAAGATCTGATCGTTGTGGGAACGGCTATTACCAAGGGCGAGGATATTCCAGCCCGTGGCTGCATCTATGTGTTTGACGTGATTGAGGTGGTTCCGGAGCCAGGTAAACCGGAGACCGGCCGCAAACTCAAGCTCATTGGCAAGGAGGTTGTCAAAGGCGCAGTGACCGCGCTGTCCGGTATTGGCGGCCAGGGCTTTGTGATCGTAGCGCAAGGGCAAAAATGCATGGTCAGGGGGCTCAAGGAGGACGGAAGCCTCCTTCCCGTGGCGTTCATGGATATGCAGTGCTATGTCAATGTTGCAAAAGAGCTCAAGGGTACCGGGATGGTCATCTTGGGCGATGCAGTCAAGGGCCTTTGGTTTGCAGGCTATTCGGTATGGAAGCCCTCTGCACTGACACGGACAAAAACCTGCTACTTACCACGCACTAATACCTTGCATAGGAAGAACCTTACAAGATGACTCTCTTCGGCAAAGATCCGGAGTATCTGGAAGTCGCGGCTGCAGATTTCCTACCGGATGGTAACAAGCTCTACATTTTGGTTGCAGACAGTGATTGCAACCTGCACGTGCTGCAGTACGACCCTGAAGGTGTGTAATGGATTGAGGCTCGAATCGTGAAACCATACTTACTTTCCATGCTAGACCCCAAGTCATCCAATGGTGATCGACTACTCAGCAGGAGCAAGTTCTATACAGGCAACTTTGCCTCAACGATGATCCTATTGCCGCGCACGGCGGTGTCATCTGAACTTGTCGAGTCCACGGCAGATGAGATGGACGTGGACCACGCCATTGCGACTCAAAATGTTCTAATTGCATCACAAAATGGATCATTGGCCCTGGTGACGACTGTCGCAGAGGAATCATACCGTCGCCTGTCTGCTTTGCAGTCTCAATTGACCAACACGATTGAACACCCTGGTGGATTGAATCCTCGCGCCTTCCGTGCAGTTGAAAGTGATGGTGCCTCTGGTCGAGGAATGGTTGATGGAACTTTGCTTCGGCAGTGGCTGAGTCTGGGGAAACAGCGCCAGGCGGATTTCGCGGGTCGGGTCGGCGCGACGGAGTGGGAGATCCGGGCCGATCTAGAAGCTATCGGTGGAGACGGACTGGGGTACCTATGAGCCTCATAAATGATCAGCTAGATAAGAAAGGGACATTGAGGCAGATATCTTCCACGGTTCATCTACTTGTCTGTAGAGACATGAATATCAAAGTAATCGCTATCAACCTGGCCTTTTCGAAAATATATCAACAACCATGGAACCAGACACTTCCCATACGCATCTTTATCGTAAACAGCCCGGCAGTCCAGTGCAGATGATGTTCATGGATAATATATATATATATATTTTTTAAAATAAAGAAATTGAGCCTGGGCCATCAATACACCTCTCCTAGTAGGCCATGGCAAATTTCGCGCAAATCCAGGCAATCAGTAGCAGCGTAACATCATAACACGATGGGATATAACCAGAATCACAAACCAAACCAGATAGATCCATAAAAACCGAGAACCAAGTGCCAATGAAACCCAAACAAACCCCAGATCTCGACATGTTTTTGTTTCATTTCTTTTTTCAAGTCGAGAACAATGGTTCAATACTCCAAACAGTCATTGAGCATCGCCATTAACCGGAAACCAGAAATTCCCTTCAAACACCCAAAAGCAAAGAACTCCTCACACGCCACAATTGCCAAGATTGCACCAGGGGACTCAAAAATCCAAGAAAAAAAAAAAAAAAAGAGAGACGGAGACCACACCGCGAGGACCCAAGAATGCCGAGCGCCGAAACTTACCCCAACTCCAAATTCCGGCATATCGGCATAGAATGAGCTCCTGAAGTTCACTTCTCCGCTTGCAGGGAGAAAAAAACGATAGGACGAATAGATAAAACAAACAAGGCGGGAAACATACAAATAACTCTAAAACAGATGATAGGAAGCAGGGTTTGGAAATCGCATGGCCCCCTCCGGCAAATGCAAATGCGACCCAATTGGATACCCCGAGGGGGAGGGCGGGATAAACACACAAATGCCCCTCTAGCGCCAGTGAATTAAGACTTAAAAGACATCCTCAGCGGCGAAATAGCGCTTGCTGCGGCCTCTAGATGCCACAAACTTCATCTCGGGCATATTGGTATGATGTACCACGTGTGGCCGGTAGACGGCGTCCACGGGCGCCTGCCAATCGTCCAATCCCAAAGGGAAATATTCGTAGAGAAAATCGGTACCTTCGTTGGGAAAAGGCAACGAGGAAACAAATTGTTGGGGTAGATTGGCAGTCTCCAGCAGAGGGATGGATGAGGTGGCACTTCGGGACGGGGTCTGAGAGATGTTATGGGAGATCTTTCGCATCTTGGCCGGTGGTGCATGATCCATCGCCCCAGGCTGTTGTTGGTGAGGTATTTCATTGGGGTAAGGAGTCATGACCTTCTGGTCCAGCTGAAGACCTGCATCGCCCCCATCGTCTTCATCTAACAGAGACAGGTTGATAGGCGCTGCCGCAGCGGCCGTTGTACTGCTGACCCGGCGCTGTTGACCAATCTGAGAAAGTTGTTCCGGACTGGAATGGGGGAAGAGAGGCTGGTGGTGGGATATTACGGAGTTGGATGCGCCATGGGGCATCGGAGTCCAATCAGGAGTCGCTTGGGGTTGTTGCATGATGGTGGGGGGTGGAACGGACGTGGTCTCAGGGGAGCTGCTCTGGACCGTGGTAGATGGGGCCTTGGCCTTGGCTGGAGTGACACTAGCACGGCGGGGAACCGACTCGCTGGTTGGGGTGCGGTTGAGAGCTGCCGAGTTGGCCTGGTTCTTTCGTGATGCTGCAGCACTTCCACTGAGGGGTAGGTCCTTGCGGGATTGGAAATTGCGTGGACTGCGACCTCGAACAATAACAGGTCCTGACTGCACCTCTGAGATGGAGATCTTGGCCCCGGTGGACAATGTCGCAACTACTTTGAGCCGAACGACGAAATGTTGCTGCAACTCCTTCCGGCGCCCATTGTTGGCCGTCGCTACCCGGAATTGCAGACGCTTCCAGGCAATAGGGAAGGTGGCGTAGTCCGTATCCAGATCCTGGCCCGCCATGATGTCCAGTGGGATTGCCTGGGGCTCCTTCTCGACCTTGGCAGCACCATTATTGTGATCCTCGATGGCAGTCCCGGCGTTCGCCGCGGCGGCGGAGGGAGTCTTCCAGGGCACGGAGATGATCTTGACAGGGTTCCCTTCGACCGATTCCGTGGCCGAGACAGTCAGTTCCTGGGCCAAAATCGGGATCCGATCGCCATTATCGGTCATGATATAGCGCATGCCTCGGGGCAGGGTGACGGAGCCGGTGATCTGGAATAAATTGCGACGATAGCAGGTCAGCTCGGCCCCTTGCTGTGGCGGGGCATTCTCGGACGGTGATGTGGTATATGGCGACTCGGCCAAAAAAAACATTCCATGTAGTTGGGCGGAGACAGACAAGGATGTCCGTCGCATGGAATAGTCGAGTAAGGTAAAGTGGTAGACTGGGAGCGAGAAGCTCAGTAATTTATTGTTGTGATCGATCGAAGAATCCTGCGGTTGCTCCGGAGGGACAGGATCAAAGGGGGCGGCGACCATATCGGTAAAAGGGTCGTCGTATCCCGAGGGGAAGCGCTCCAAGGAGGGCGGAACGTTGGAGCGTGGAAGCCCACCTTGGGTAAAGGCGAGATCATCCCCACTGCATCATTTACACGGGTTAGTCTTGGTTGCACGCTTTTGCCTTCCCTGGCCTCCATCTTCTTCTCCCCCACTTTATGCAGATCGGGAGGGTCTTCTTTACCTAACAAAGGTCTCGGAGTCAAAAGTAGAACGGTGGTCGGGGAGATCGAGGCCAGACATGGCATTCAGATAGTCGGAGCCTTGGAGATTGCCGAGGGAGAGCGGGCTCGCCAGGTAAGGCGGCATAGCCATGGTATCGAAGCCCTCCATGGCGGGCAGAAAGATAGAACTCAAGAAGAGAGAAGAGAAGGGGAATGGAATGTCTTGAGAAGAGGAAAGAGGAGCAGATGCGAACGGTTTCGGGGAAAAGTGGAGCCGCGGTTTTTGCGGAGAACGAAGACGGGTTTCCGTATTGGTATGGCTTCAGCACCGGTTTAGGGGCATTCGGCTGTCGGCAACCAATCTCCAGGGAAAAACAAGAATCTTGAAGATGCGCATCTCTGGTCGACGGGGGTGCCTAGGGGTCTGGAGGTGGTATTGTCGACGGTATCTCTGGTATCGGTATTTTAGGCCCTGAAGATCATGTTGTGAAGAACTCTGAATCCACCGGTCATCATTAGACGCCACAATTCATGGCACTATGTATATTGATTTTCGACCCTTAATTCTTCAGTCATTTACTTCAATAGAACTGATGGTATACTGTATCCGCCCCGTACGGTTTCGTTTGCAGGCATCATGTCCTCTCTCCTCTTCCCCATCTCTCCCATCTCTCTCGTCCCCCTCCCCCCTCCACCCTCGCTTTCCCCCACTTTTCCCTTTTTCCCTGCTGGACTCGAACTCAGATGCCAGAGTCATGGAAGATTCCCAACTCCATTCTAAAGGATCGATGATCAACATGGGTTCCGTCTGACATGCAGCGCCATCGTGGATTGAAGGGGGCGGCCCACCCAATGGACGCCACCATATGCATCGATCCAGCAGGACACGAGCGAGAAAAGGAAAAGTGACCTGCGATCGTCTTCTCACAATCCTGATTGGTGGTCGTGCCCGGGTCCCACCGCGAACGGGCAAATCCACTTTGACAACTGGAGTCCGCATCCAGTCGGAGTCAGGAACCGAGTCTTTGCTTCAGCTCCAAACTCTGATCGCAGCTCTGCCCGTGGGGGCCGAGGGAATAACAGTGGGACCGGCGATGTCCGTTCATGATTTGACGGTTCTTTTTCTTTTCTTTTCTTTGCATTTCATTGATCTTCTGCAAGTTCGGTCGGGTGATGCATCCAGGTCATACTTGTGTAATCTCACGCGGCATCACAAGCATGTGGAACGGACCTAGACCGTTAGGTCCATGTGAAGAGAGGATCGAAGGCCCTCTCATCTCCCGTGCATTTACCCGATTTGATTATCTCCGACTTGGGGACTGAGGTGCGTATCCCAGCCAATGACGATCCTCGAATTATGTGGAGATCCACCCTCCCAATCCATCCTTTCCCGCTTTGGTTGAATGGGGTCGAGGCCATTCTCAAAAGCTACGATTCAACTCCGAATGCCGTTCTACGGGGAAAGGGGGGAGAGATCAAGTTGGATCTGTCTGGTGCGACGGTGGCTCCATGCCCGTCTCTCTCCCTGTCTTCTAGAACATGAAGAATTCAGAATGCCCAGGAATGGCCTAAACCAGTTAATTCCAGGGTCCTGGTGGGGACGGGATCCAAGCGTATAGAGAAGATCCCTATCCTAGATTGTACGACGAGAAGGGTGATTTCGATTTCCGGATAGGACTCTCGTCCCGACGCCCGAGACACTTGAACGGTTGTACTTCGAGAATGGGATCGAAAAACCTTCAAAAGTACCACCCATATCCGACCTATCCGAATCCCTCTTCTCGAGCCTCGCACGGAGGACGGGATTGACTTTTTTGATTTTTGTTCGCCTCCGGCGCCAAGAGTCTCCAAGCAGGATAAATTATATTGACCTGGATTTGCCAGAAGTTAATTTGCCCAAGCTCCTGCGGACGTCCGGTCCAGTGAGCGGTTCCTGTGCCTCTGCTCCACTTGATGCATTCGGTTCACCGTTTCAGCAATTTACGGACTGAGGCTTCCGAGGCTTTTAATTTGCTTCACATTCGCGGATCTCCCGCGATCGGCAGACTAATCAATTCGAGTCTGAAAAGAAAGTTGATATTGGTCCGAATGACGCCGTACAAACTTCCTGTCCCACCCACCGTGCCCGACTATGCACAGAGGAAACATGGGGGGCGAAAACCAAAAACAATAAAAAACAAGGCAACAATAAATTCCCATTGAACCAACACCAGCCACCCCCCACTCTTCCCAGACCCCGGAATAGTATAATCAATGCCCAGTTGGATATCATAGATGCGAAATCAAAAAAGAGAAGAAACGAAAAAGAGCTGAGCTACCCATCTCAGATAGATATAGATAGCCAGGCCGTTAGGACGGATGCATCATTGTCCAAGTGCTCGCGTCGCAGTTGACTTCCTCAAAACTATGGAGCATACTAAAGCCCAAGGAGGAAATGCAATCAAAGTTACCATCACCATCCACCTGTTGATCACCGTTAGTCAAGATTGCAGAGAGAAAGAACCAGAACTTACACAGTCCATCACCACGCCCTGCGCACTCAGTTTCTGGATCTGTTTAATAGCCAACAGGATCAGCCCCTGCATGACAATCGAATAATCGTCCGCACAGGGGGAAATCACGGGCGACGAGATTCCCCCGACCGGGCCTCGAGTGGTGCGTAGGGCGGGCATATGCTCCGCCAACGCCGAGCGTTCATTGTAGATCACGATGCTGCCTAGAATCATCTCGTCCGACGGTCGCTTGGCTCGGATAATGCCACAGTTCGGGGCGCCCCCGAGCGCGATGCGGTAGATGTCGGTGACCCCTTGCCGCGCATTGGCTTTTATGTGATCGAGAATCTCACGGGCATAGTCCCATCCGTAGACCAGGTCATAGTTCACCGCAGCGTTCTTCAACGCCACGGTGAGTCCATCTGGTGGGGTCCAGGTGCCCAGATTGCGCAGGACCACACTACAGACTGGGCGAGAGAGCGCCGTGTTCCATCCAAGGTTTGCAAACCATTGTCGCAGCCGCTTGCGCTCAACAGAGTTTACGGTAGGAATACCCAGATAGATCCCCGGGAGTCTCGACCCAAGCTGGAAGCGTTTCATTCCCTTTCGCTGAAGCAGAGTACGGATCGCACGGCTATGCAGAGAATGCCCGATGGACAATTGTCGTCGCGACGGATCAACGATTAAGCATCCTATGACTCCAGTACCGGTCGACCGGAAGAAATAGGTTGCACAAAATCCATATAATGCCTGTGTGCTGCTGTTGCGAACCACAAAATGAGCTTCGTCAATGTCCTCTTTCCGAAGAAGGAAGCTGTTGGACGTTACACCGAGGAGCTCTGACTGCTGGCCCTTTGGACAGTCTTCGCGGACGATGTCTAACAGTGCATCTAGAGCATGGGTATCTCGATCCTCGTTCCAATTTTCTACCAGCCAATGCTGACGGGACTGGTGAATTTTCTGGCTCCGGCTGATGGAGCCTGGCAGACACCCGGTTGGTGTCAAGTCGCCGTACAAAACTTTGACCAAAGTCTGCAATGCAGTCTCGGTGAAATCGTAGGTGCATATGTAAGTGCCTATGGAAGAATCCGTGACAAAATCGTATGGTGAACTGACAGCGACCACGACTAGGGGCTTCTCATAACGTTCACCAGATAGAGAGTACTGGGATTTGCAGAGCAAGGAGATGTGTTTGGAGAAGGCTTGTTGATATATATTGCGGTTGGCATCTGCCGTGATCACAATCACGGCACTAGCTCGTTTGATGAGGTCTTCGTGGATGGGGCGCACTCCATGGGCTGTATAGGAGGTATGTAGCACCCGCCCATTCCGTTGTCGAGAAAGGGATCTCCCCAGCTCTTTGAAGACACTTTCGCCACTTACGACCGAGGCAGTTCGATTCAATGAAGCTGCCGGGTCAAGAGAGTCGTGCATAGATTCATTTGTGGACAGAGTCACCGCAGATGCCGCCAGTGGCTTCACTAGAGGTGTCAGAAGCAAAAGCTCTTCGTCAGCATCGACAACGTTAGAAAGCGGTAGCAGACTATTTTCGTCTCGCATGACAGTGATTGAGTTGTTATAGGCCCGCGTTGAGAGGTTGGTGTGCGAGGGTTGCATCTGCGTGAGGGACAAGAGACCGGGAGGATTCAACGCCTGTTCCCAGGAGGTGCAGCGTGTTTTCAGGTTCAGCACACGAAGTAATGACTGCCTGATCCGCGAACGGCCAATGATGCCATTTTCCACGCCTAGCTTCAGTCCATTGATTGCCTCTTGCTGCACGGGGAACGACCGGCAAAGCAGGATAACATCGCAACCAGCGTTTTTGGCCATTACCGTGCCGCCCCCAACGCCGATGTTGTGAGTCAGGGCTTCCATCTCTAGACATTCTGAAACAACAACCCCTTTGAATTTGAGATCCTTTCGCAAGAGATCATCTACCACTTGATCACTTAGGCAAGCGTGCATGACATTCATCCCTGCCGATGATATGGACACGCCGCCCACCATCATAGCATCGAGGCCATGCATAATGGCATTGCGAAAGGGAACCAATGCACTCAGGCTTAGTTGCTCCAGGGATTCTGTGATAATTGGAACATCTGCGTGGGAGCCCAGGAATTCCAGGTTACCATAAGAAGGGAAATGCTTGCCGCAGGTGACCAGCCCTGCTTCTTGATACCCCTTCATAAATTGGACCCCATACTGGGAAGCCTCCTGGGGATCATCTCCGCTGGTGCGCACGCCAAGTGGTTGATTCCGCACGTTGGTTAAGACATCCAAAACCGGGCCTAAGATCCAATTGACCCCAACGGCTTTGAGCTCTTGGGCGGTGGCCACTGCGACCTCGTGGGCCAATGCCTTTGATCCCGTCGCAGCCATGCCCATGGCGCTTGGGAACTGACGCACGTATATTTCATCATATAGGCTGTTCACCCCGCCATTTTCTTGATCTAAAGCGATCAGTAATGGCACAGGGTGACCGGCATTACGGGCAATGGTTTGCAGCTCAAGGACCAGCCGAGTTGCCTCTTCGGCAGCTATTGATGGAAATCAGTATACTATCAAGAAAGGGAAAGCATCTAGAGATTACATTTAAGATTTTTAGCGGATAGCAGGATGGAACCCAGATGGTAATCTTCGATGAGCGAACGGATCTCTGGACTGACTGAGGTACCATCGAAGCCCATCATAAAGAGCTGGCCCATTTGCCTGCCATGTATGTCAGCATGGTGTACTTCATCTTCCATTAACTAAGCCGTTCTTTGCCTTCCCCATGACCAGATGTACCGAAAAGGAAATAGTTTAAATGGTCGGAAAGGGGGGGAGGGGATGGGGAAACGTTGGGGTTCCACAACGCGTGGAGATTGGGATGGTGGGGAGCAGGATTGGAAAGCACCCGGAACAGGAGATCAACATACCTGTCTAGATCCTCCCAGCCCGGGGGCAGCATGTCCTCTTTCGGGGCCATGGCCCTGGGAATGAGGAATGCCAGGGGGGCTAAGGAAGACCCGAAGAGAAGGAGCTGCAAGCAGGAACAGGATCCACGCTCTAAGGTTTGTTTCTTTTTTTGGATGGAAAGAGGTTTGGAATGGGTTTGAGGAACGCCGAGGTCGCAGTCAGGTGATGGCACAGAGGAAGGAGTGTCAGACCTGTGCCGGGAATAAGCAGCACGGCCCCAGAGCCGCAATCGGGGGATTCGGCACAAAGCGCGGATGGAAGATAAGATAGCGTGTGTGCGTCATGGATGGGGGGGGGGGAATACGCACGGTCCTGCATGGACAATTAGACAGGTACGTTGTGCCTTGTACAGCAACTAACTATGGGATCCTGTTTATTACCTAAGGTAGATCGTCCTGAGTCATCTAAGCGAATATCTACAAGTACAAGTACACCTCAGGTGTACTAGTTGATCGAAGTCCGATTGGATCCTCCTCAGTGGATGGTGATGGCAGAATATGGTGAAACATAATTACGGCCGGCAGAAAAATGGCTAACAATCTCTAGCTTAAGTATGGTGTTTCTGCCAGTAATCTTCAGTATAGCTTGGGATGGTATCGTATTATATCTCCCGGTATTTTTACTTCCCCAGGGTCTGGTATTGAGATGACAATACTTGACTGGTGGTCCACCTTCAATGTTACTCTGCATTCAAGTGCTCTGATTAGTCCAAGGGTTACATCTATACCCGTTTTCAACCACCTTTCATGTCACCTGCAGAATACAATAGCCAGACTCACAACGGTTACATCATTGGTACAGTCCCTTTCTCATACAAACTACTTCTCTGACTATTTCCCTCGCTGTTTTGATTTTTGTCCTTTGTTTGTTTCTTCCTCCGACAAACAAAGTATCAAATCCACCCAGCATGCCGGGCAAGACAACCACCTCGTCTCGCATCACTAAGTTCACCAACTGTCGCCTCGTGCGCGGTTCATCTCTGGTGGAACAGGATCTTTGGATTGACTCGCTGTCCGGAAAAATTCTCAAGGACCAAGAGGCTTTTTATGAACTGCACCTCTCCCCAGATGAAATCATCGACCTCGGCGGTCGCATTTTGGCTCCCGGCCTGATTGACGTCCAGTTGAATGGTGCACATGGCTTTGATTTTTCTGTCCCCTGTGAGACCAAAGAGGAGTATGATGAAGGCCTGCGCATGGTGAACCACGGTCTCGCTCGCACTGGTGTCACCTCCTACCTCCCGACGGTAGTCAGCTCGCTCCCCGAAGTCTACTGGAAGGTGCGCGAATTGCCCCGATAAAGACAATACTTACGGAACTAATGGTTTGAGAGCAGGTCCTTCCCTCCCTTGGTCCTTCTGGAGCTACCCACTATGCGCAAGATGGCGCTGAATCCCTCGGAGCTCACGTCGAGGGCCCTTTCATTAGCCCGGGCCGTAACGGCATCCACAAAACAGAGGTTCTGCGTGAAGCCCAGAACTTTGAGGATCTGATCCACTGTTATGGTGCCGAAAATATGGGTACCGAATGCCCTATCAAAATGATTACAGCCGCCCCGGAGGTGGGAAACATGATGGCTCAGATCCCCGAAATCGCCAAGCGCAACATCATCTACTCCATCGGTCACTCAGATGCCACGTATGAGCAGGCTGTTTCGGCCACGCAACAGGGTGCCAGCATGATTACGCATTTGTTCAACGCTATGCGTCCCTTCTACCACCGCAACCCGGGTGTCTTCGGCCTGCTTGGCCGAAGCGAACGTCGTCGCCCTTACTACGGTGTGATTGCGGATGGCATCCATCTGCATCCGACTTCTATTAAGATCGCGTACAATGCTCATCCGGATGGTTTGGTTCTTGTTACCGATGCTATGCGCCTGTGCGGGCTACCCGATGGCGTTTATGAATGGACCAACGGCGAGCGCATTGTCAAAACCGGTGCTCGCTTGACCCTGGAGGGATCTGATAAGATCGCTGGTAGCTCAGCAACCCTTATTGAGTGTGTGAACAACTTCCGTCGCTGGTCAGGCGCCTCCACTGTCGACGCCATCAACGCCGTGACGGCCACTCCTGCACGCTTGCTAGGTGTCGAGGGGGTGAAGGGATCCTTGGAAAGCGGTGCGGATGCCGACTTGGTCGTTCTGGGTGAAAAGGAAGACCCTTACTCAGGCTCCATTCTGACAGTCGATCAAGTGTGGAAATTTGGTGTGAAGATTCATGACACTGACAAGGCAACGGTTTAAACCAACCGCCAATGTATTCACATAGTTTTTGTTTTTGTTTTTTCGGTACGATTTTGTGTTGGAATCCCTGGCAGGTTTTTCGGTTTCTTGTGGGCCTTTTTATTTTCTTAGTATCGGTGCTACTGGAGTCCAGGCATTTATTGCATTCGTCATAGAGAAGCACCTTGCAGCGCACCGCGATAGATTGCATTTTCGAGAGCTACACCCGTCAAAGCTACGGTTAAAGTATAAAATAAAAAAGACTCAAGCCTTCAGTTTCGTTATTCACAATTATAAATTCCAATATGTATAATCTTTTTCTTGTATTGGTGGACATGTACAATATGACATAGCCGATGCATATAAACATATGCAGGTATCATCCAGGGTGCGGATAGAGCTCTGCGCCGCTCGCTTATATGCTCAAATAAATATCAAAAAACCCAAAACCCAAAAGACGAAGAACTTTTCTCATCGACATGTCGAGTCTAGCTCAAGAACATATCATCCGTTCTAACATCATTTACAGGCGGGGCTGGGAGTGGGACCAGCCAGCCTCCTCAGCAATCATTTCAGCTGCACGCTCGCCGATGGCCAGCACGGTCAACATAGGGTTGATGCTAGGCATGTCCGGGAAGACACCGGCATCGGCAATACGAACATTCTTCAGGCCGCGAACCTTCAGCTTGGGGTCGACGACAGCCATGGGGTCGCGAACGAGGTCACCCATCTTGGTGGTACCAGCGGGGTGGTACACGGTGTGTGCAACGCGACGGCCGTACTCGGACAGAGCCTCATCGGACTGAACGTTGGGGCCAGGAGCCACCTCACGTTTGATCCACTCCTTGAAGGGGGACTCCTCAGCGATCTTTCGGGCAGCCTTGAAGCCGGCAACGATGGTAGCGGCGTCGTAGCCCTCCGGGTCGGTGAAATAGCGGAAGTCCAAAGCAGGCTTCACAGAGGGATCAGCGGAGGTGAGGTACAGACGACCGCGGGAACGGGGACGAGGAATGTTGGGGGTCATGCAGAAGGCGTTGATGGGCTCGTCGTAGCCAAGACGAGTAGTGTTCAGAGTGAAAGGAATCTGGTAGCAGTGCATCATGATATCGGCAGCACGGCCATCGAAACCGGCAGCATCAGTGGGCTCCCGGCGGAGGAAGATACCGGCATCGGAGTCCATGGTGGTCATGTTGTGATCGACGGGCTGGTTCAACTCCCACATAATGATACTCTCAGGGTGATCGACAAGGTTCTCGCCGACACCGGGAATGTCCTTGACGACGGGAATGCCCAGAGCGGACAGCTGCTCCTGGGGGCCCAGACCAGAGAGCATCATAAGACGAGGAGTGTCAACGGCACCAGCGCAGAGGACGGTCTCCTTGCGAGCACGCAGGGTGTGCTTCACACCGGACTGCAGGGTCACGTTCACACCGGTCACGGAGTCATCCTCAACATTGATCTTCGACACCCAAGCGTTGGTAAGGATGGTCAGGTTAGGGCGCTTCTCATCACCCCGCAGGATAGGGTGAATGTAGGCCACACTGGCACTGCTCCGGCGTCCATCATCGGGGTTGTAAGAGACGTTGAAAAAGCCGGCACCCTCGGTGAGTTCGCCGTTCTTGCGAATGTCTGCGTTGAAGTTGTGAATGATGGGGATGTTCATGGCAGTAGAGCAGGCCTGGATCCAGTCCTTGCACAGCTGATTACGGTGGCGGCCGTGCACGGGCTGGAAGGTGTTGCGCAAGCCATCAATGAGGCGAGTGAAGGTCTCAAAGTCCCAACCCTTGCAGCCCTTGGCCACCCAGTTGCGGCAATCATACTCAAAGGGACGGAATGAGATCAAGGTGTTGTGGCTTGAGCAGCCACCAAGTACCTTAGCGCGAGAGTGACGGATAAAGCTGTTGCCTTTGAAAACAGTTAGTATTTTCAGTAGATATAGATTGATCGACCAGCAGCTAGAAGGCTACAGGACAAGAGTGGCGCAAGAGAAAGGTACGGCTTAAGATGGACATACCATTGGGTTGTTCAGTAGTAGGGTAGTCGTAGTCGAGCTCGCCACCCAGGAGGTTAAGCCACTCCTTGAGGTTCAGGACTCGGTCATCGGTGAAGTCGCTTGGACCACCTTCAATAACTAGGACACGCTTGTTGGGCAAGTACTCGGCCAGGCGAGCGGCGATCACACAGCCAGCGGTACCACCGCCCACGACGATGTAGTCGTAGCTGTTGACATCCTGGGCAGGGAACTCGTTGACAGTGGCCATCTTGAAAGGAGGCGAGAGATATGAAAAGAAGAGAAACGCTGGGAGAGAGGACCTTAGTACTGCTACTTGACCTCTTATATAATGGCAAGAAAAGATAGTACCATTGAAACCTGGGAAAGAGTTAAGGAAGGGGAAGTTCACCGATTTTCCAAATCTCAATCTACTTGCCTAATTGGGGCATGGGGCTGACGATTTTTTTTCTTTTTCTTTTTTGCGCGACCGTGATTGGCCGATAGGAGGGAGAGTGGAGAATGGCGATAAGCACGGGATCCACCTTGCCGCTAACGGGCTTGGGAAAAAAAAAAAATAAGAATGAGAATGTAACAGATTTACTGCTGACCCGACACGGAGTAGAACGAGCAATCTATACAGCACGCAGATAAGAGCGATCAGAGTCGACCTCAGGCCATACCCAGACTTGATAAGACGATGTACTGTAGTTTCGTGACTCGGTTCGAACTGCCTGGAAGATATCGACGTCACAGGCTGAACCGGCCCGCTATGGAAAACCACACTTAGTCCGAGTTTCCCGCAGCCACACAAAAAGCCTTATGAAACCGGTTGAGTCCGGGCGAGCGAATCCGCGTGTTCAAAGCCATTGAAATCCCCGCAGACTTTTACGTGATTAGCGTGGACCCACAGGGCGTTAGCTTTTGGGTCTGGGCGGTGAGAGTATGAATCCATAATCTGGGAAAAAAGAATACCGGCCTGATTCTCCTCTTCTCTCTGACTATTCCCTAATATACACAAAATGGCTCTCTCATTCCCTACCCGCCAACTCTACTACAACGGCCAGGCGCAGGCCGCCTCGTCCGGAAAGACCTTCCAGACCATCAATCCCGCCACAGCAACCCCACTGGCCGACATTCAGGTGGCCTCTCCCTCCGATATTGACTCCGCCATTACTTCGGCAGACCGTGCTTTCCCCGCGTGGTCGCAAACTCCTCCTATTGCTCGCGCTCGCATCCTTCAAAAGGCCGCCACCCTCCTCCGGGAGCGCAATGACGAGATCGCCCGCGTCGAAACTCTGGACTCCGGCAAGGCATTCACTGAGACCAGCACGGTCGATGTGGTCACTGGTGCGGATGTCCTTGAATACTACGCCAATTTTATCGGTGGCGGGGGCCTGAATGGCGAGACCACGCAGTTGCGAGAGGATGCATGGGTGTACACTAAGAAGGCTCCGTTGGGTGTTTGTGCTGGCATCGGGGCTTGGAACTATCCAATTCAGATGTTAGTGGTCACAATCCAGGAGAAACCGGGGGAAACAAATATAAAGATACTAACGATCGTCTTGTTCTAGTGCCCTGTGGAAATCAGCTGCTTGTCTTGCAGCCGGCAACACCATGGTGTACAAGCCGAGTGAATACACCCCTCTCCACGGTCAAACCTTAGCCGAGATCTATACTGAGGCGGGCTTGCCTGCTGGTGTTTTTAACGTGATCAACGGCGCTGGCGACGTTGGTGCCTACCTGACCAACCACCCTCAAATTGCTAAGGTGTCGTTCACCGGTCAGGTGGCGACCGGTATGAAGGTGGCAGGCTCCGCATCGGGCAACATGAAGTATGTGACTATGGAATTGGGTGGCAAGAGCCCCCTGATTGTCTGTCCCGATGCGGACCTTGAGAATGCCGTCGACGGAGCTATGATGGCCAACTTCTACAGCACAGGTCAGGTCTGCACCAACGGTACCCGTGTGTTCGTCCCCCGGTCCATGAAGACAGCCTTTGAGAAGCGTCTGCTGGAGAAAATTTCCTTTGTGCGGGCTGGCCCACTCTTTGACGAGCAGACAAATTACGGACCCCTGAGCTCTGCTGTGCACCATGAGAAAGTGGTCGCGTACATTCGCCACGGTATCGAGACGGACCGAGCCACCCTGCTCTGCGGAGGTCCTGATAAGCCCGCCGTACCCCAGGACCTGCAGGCTGGCTACTGGGTCAAGCCCACCATCTTCACCGACTGTACCGACTCCATGCGCATTGTCAAGGAAGAGATCTTCGGACCTGTCATGACTCTGCTATTCTATGATACCGTCGAGGAAGCGGTGGAGCGCGCCAACGCCACTGAGCTTGGTCTCGCAGCCGGTGTCTTCACTAAGGATCTGAATCAGGCCCACCGCGTCATTGATCAGCTCCAGGCGGGTATCACCTGGATCAACACCTGGGGTGAGAGCCCGGCCGAGATGGCCGTGGGTGGCTGGAAGAAGAGTGGCCTGGGTGTGGAGAATGGCCGTCGGGGTATCGAGGCCTGGTTGCAGAACAAGAGCACCCTCGTTGATATGAGCGGTGCCGTTGCGACTGTTTTTGCCAAACTGTAATGTTCTATACGCCATGGCTCGGATATAAAGTGTAATTAGAAAAAGGACCATTTTTCACAGCATTGTCATCTCTAATGAAAGCACCACTTATGAATTTTGTGTCAGCAGAAAGACCTGATCAATATTGGGTGCCTGGATAGATATTCCAAATGCGTATGTTGTGCAACCACTTAAAGTTTGAGTATAGGTGCTTTTACAATACCACGCAAGAAAAGAAACTCTGGTCTTATTACACACGAGGCTATACAACAGCAAATCCTTTGGCAATTCTTGATACAATGTTTATTCGCTAGCGCTTGAATGATTTATCGCATGACATGTTCAAGAGGATATCATAGATATCCTATCTATCAGTTTCAGGATCAAAATACAAAAGAAACACAAAAGACAACTCCTTGACCGGAAACGAAGACCATGCAGCAATTAGCCTACGTAAGAAAGACCCAGACACCCCATTCTCCTGAACGACAAAACAAAAACAGAAAAGAAAGACACCGAAAGAAGCATGGCACAATACCCAGGTGGTGTTCAGATCGCAGTCATTCTGCCCCCCATACGATCGAAGATCAGGTCGTTCTTCAGGGTTCCATCCAGGCCGGCGATGGCCGAGTCAACCATGCGTGAAGACATGCTGTCCGGGGTCAGCTCATCGTCCTCTAAAGACCGGCCAAGCTCAGTATTGATGCGCAAATCCTTGGGCACCTTTGGAGGGGTGGATTCAGGACTTGACTCCTGCGCACGAGTTTTCTTGATGGGCACCGGGGCCGGGACGTAGGTGCGAGGACGATAGACCAACGAGGGACCCTGTGTACGGGCATCGGTTCCAGCCTGTTCAATGGACTCGAAGTAGCGTACAGTCTTGACCTTGAGCTCCAGAGTGGCGTCACGGTCACAGACAATCAGCGGGTGAGGGTGCAGCTGCAGCGCGGAGAGAGTCCACATGTGATTCACACCATCTTCCAAACCCTTCTGTACTGCGAATGCCTTGTGAGCACCCGTGGCGACGATGACGACCTCCCGCGCATCCATGATGGTCTGGATACCGACGGTCATGGCCATTCGCGGCACCTTGCTCACGTCGTTGTCGAAGAAGCGCGAGTTGGCCAGCATGGTGTCGTAGGCCAAGGTCTTGACACGGGTTCGGCTGCTCAGCGAAGAGCCAGGCTCATTGAAGGCGATGTGGCCGTCGGGTCCAACGCCACCGAGGAAGAGCTCGATACCGCCGTAGCGCGCAATGCGCGCATCGAACGAGGCGCACTCCGCAACGGGGTCTGCTGCATTGCCGTCGAGGATGTTGATATTTTGGGGGAGAATATCCACATGCGAGAAGAAATGCTTGTACATAAAGCTGTGGTAGGACTCGGGGTGGTCCCGAGGCAGGCCCACATATTCATCCTGCGCAATAATAGATTAATACATTGTGCCGGGAACTGCATTGTATGATCAACCTACCATGTTGAAAGTCACGACATTTTTGAAAGAAATCTCTCCGGCACGGTGACGCTGGACCAAAATCTTGTAGATGATTTCGGGGCTGCTGCCCGTTGGCAGACCCAGGACGAAGGGCTGGCTCTCAGTGGGGTTGAATGCTTTGATACGGCCTGGGAGCTGTCAGTCCGGCTGTTGGGTCCACCACGGAGCTTTTCACTTACTGACGATGTATTCAGCGATGTACACTGACACCGTCTGGGGGTCTTCTCTGATAATTACACGCCTGTCAAGATAAGGTCTTTGGTTAGCGATAAGGAAGGGAAGCAGATCAGATTCGAGACTTGCATGGTGGTTACGTCAGAGCAGGCTTTGAGGGTTGAAGGAAGTTGTAGGGGTGGGTAGAAGGTTAAGAAGAGATGGAAAGGGAAGTGGAAGAAGGCGCGAAGAAAAGAAGAAATGAAGATTGCAAAAAATCTTGGTTACGTCGGGGAGAGGTGTACGACGCCAACCGAATCGTAACCTCTCCTACATGGGATCTTCATTAGAGAATGTATCGTCGCATGCGCCATGTGGGCGAGACCGGATTTTGACAACCACCCCACGAGATCCTCTGGATGTATCTAATTCGTTCTGATTGTTCTCTGGACTTCTACCGTGGATCAGGGTACACGGCATGAACAAGTCGCAGGTACCTCTCATTTCTGGTATCCTCTGGTACCATTGGGTGCCCAGTCCTAACGTCTTCTGGATTTCCATGTGGCCAACAATGGTATCAAGATGGTTGGGTCAATAGTGGAGCCTGATGTCAAGCTGGCATGACGGTGCCATCGACTAGAAGTTGCATCCGGTATAGATAAACAGCAAAATCCGGGGCAAAAAAGAACTGTAACCTCACAGCGTCGCAGTCTAGATCGTGGGGCCGCAAGCAGGCTTATGTAAAAGAAAGACCGACCGCCTTCTGTTCTGAGTATCAATACACACACCGCCTGCTTCTTTCAGACAGATGCAAACAGGCTCCTGCACCCGTACAGAACGATACCGTACACAGAAATGTGCACCCTTCTTGTCATGTGTTGCTTCACATCAACACATGTCTTCCCATGGGCACTGGCGAGGAATTCTGGATAAGCTCAAATAAGGAATTCTGCATAGTAGTGCAAAGCCTCTTTCCACCATATGTACCTTCTATGCTGCCTAGCTGTTTTTTCATGACGTTCCCAACCGGAGCAGTCCTACCACTATCTGCAAGCTTTGGAGCTTCGTCAAAGACAAGACTTCTATTACAATCAATTAAGCATCGCATTATGACTTCGTATACGTCGAGGTCAGATGAATCCAAGGAATGCCTCTTTTTTCTCTCGTTGTTCCTTCTGTCTCGGCTTCGTATTCCCAACCATGGCAACCATGGGAGATTGCCTTTCTCCAGGTAATCCGAATTCTCTCTTGACCTCTGCAAGACCGTCCTGGCTCGTGACCCCCGATGAGCACTTATCATCCGAATGGAGTTCCAATGTTCTCGGAAGGTAGATATGTCCTTGATCCGGGGATAGCCGTGAGCTATCTGATGACTTCACTTGGCATGATGATGACTTGAAGAAGATAAGGGACCCGAGGGGTTCAAGTAATTCCAGGAAAGAGGGCTTATCAAGTGGACCACCGTAGTAGACGAGCGCCGCCCCAGGCCGTCGAGTGGGCCACTTATGCTTTAGTGTTGCATGCCAAGCCGAGATGCGACCGCATGCAGAGTCGCATCTGGCGCCTCTTATTTCATCCTCAGGTGCAGGGACTCCATTTCTCCAGAGTCTCCATCTTTCCTGCTCTCCACCCCGCAATGCCCGGTGGACCAGCAATTGGTCATGAATGGCAATCCACTTTAATTACCCCAACGTATCATTGCTCGTTATCTGTGAAACATCGATAATGCTTTTCTGGAGAAAATCCCCTCGACTTTCTTATAATCGGCTTCTCTCTCCTCAACATTCCTGCCTTGGAAATCGGTTTTCACTCACGTGGGCGTAGCATTCCTTCCCAGATTTCCTTCGTCAATTGTGTTGATTCCTTCGCCCCCGAATTCTTCCACCTCTAACGGTGTTTCTTTCTCCAATGGCCTCTCCCGAGCCTGAGCGGCAGCACGCTCCGGAATCTCCGCCTTCTCCGGAGAAACATATTGAACAAATGAATATGCAGGACCCAGAGACCGCAATGGATCACGCCGTGGTGGGGAAGCCGTGGATGTATAAGCCAATGATGAAAATCGGCAATTGGGAGGCTCCCTGGTTCGCATCGCCCGAAACCCAGCTGATTCTCGTCTCATTCGTCTGTTTCCTCTGTCCTGGCATGTTCAATGCAGTGAGTGGCCTGGGAGGAGGTGGCCAGGTCAATGCGACCGACGTGAACAATTCCAACACCGCCCTGTACAGTACCTTTGCCGTGGTCGGCTTTTTTGCGGGCTCCATTGCCAATCGCATCGGGTTACGACTGACCTTGTCCCTGGGTGGCTTCGGGTATTTTCTTTATGTCGCCGCCCTTCTCTCCTATAATATCAATCAGAATGCCGGCTTCCTCATTTTTGCCGGTGCCTTGCTCGGTGTCTGTGCCGGTCTGCTGTGGTGCGCCCAGGGTGCCGTGATGATGAGCTATCCCCATGAGCACGAAAAGGGCAAGTACATTGCCGTCTTTTGGGTCATTTTCAACCTAGGTGGGGTCATTGGCAGTTTGATCCCCCTGGGGCAGAACATGCACAGTACAGCTGGCAAGGTGGACAACGGCACCTATATTGCTTTCCTTGTGCTGATGGCGGTTGGGTTTGCTCTCTGCTGGGTGGTCGCCGACTCCAAGTATATCAAGCGAAAAGACGGTTCGCGCATCATTGTGATCAAGAACCCCACCTGGAAGTCGGAGTTCTTGGGCCTCTGGGAGACCTTGCGCTCGGACTCTTATATCGTTCTCATGTTCCCCATGTTCTTGGCCAGTAACTGGTTCTATGGCTATCACTTCAATTCGGTCAATCTCGCCTACTTCACCGTTCGCACCCGTGCTCTGAACAGTCTCTTATACTGGCTGATGCAGATGGTGGGTGCCTTCATTTTCGGTCAGCTACTCGACATGAAGTTCCTTTCTCGTCCGGCCCGTGCCAAGGTCAATTTCGGAATCCTTCTTGCCATCACCATGGGGATCTGGGGAGGTGGCTATGTCTTCCAAAAACAGTACACTCGGGAGACCGTGAAGGCGGATACGGATTTTATGGACAGCGGTTACATCGGGCCCATGTTCTTGTACATGTTCTACGGCTTCTATGATGCGGCATTCCAGACCTGCACTTACTGGTAAGTACTCGGCACATTTCTACAGGCAGACTGTTAGGTTCTAATCTCGGTCCCAGGTATATGGGCTCTCTTTCCAACAACAGCCGCAAATTAGCCAACTTTGCTGGCTTCTACAAGGGTATCCAGTCGGCTGGTGCGGCTGGCATGTGGCGGTATGTATCATCTTCCATTTTCCATTGAACTAAGTTTCTAACGACAATTCTAGACTGGATGCCCAAAAGACTCCGTTCATGACGGAGTTCGCTTCTTGCTGGGGTCTGCTAGTTGGTAGCATGCTCATTGCTTCGCCAATCATCTTTTTCAAGGTGAAGGACAGCACTGCCATCGAGGATGACTTGCGCTTTTCGGACGAAACCACCGCGGATGTTCTAGGAGACACCACCGTGCAGACCGATGACTATGAAAAGCCCGAGTCCCATGAGGATACGTCCAGCAAGTCTTGAAGCTATATGTGCTAAAGGGCCGATTACGTGTACCACCACTTTCTCTTAACGGTCGCTCTTGTTTGCATTCGCAATGGATGCCACGTTCCATCACTTGCATTTACGAGGCGTGTTTTTGTTCGTTTTCCAATCATTTATCGATATCCCTTCCCGGCTAAAAATCCACGGCCTTGTCCATCGGGAGCAGAATTGCAAGATTTACTCACCTAGGTCCTTCTTTCTCTTCTTGTATTTTTTTTTTTTTTGCCTTTGACTTGAACATGACGTTGTATGGTCTTATGTGAGAGCTCCTTCTACAGAGCTCTAATGACAAACTGGTGATAAAGTTTTGACCAGACTTGAAGCTGGCTAATCGTGTACTTTAGTATGATTGGGCCCTTGAAAACTATCAGGGACAGATTGTGTAAATCTTCGGTATAAACAGAATTCTTAACTATACGCAAGGAGCGCATGATCGTCAACCAGTACACAAGAACTGCACACACGCACAATTCTATATCAGTGCTTCTTCATACCAACGACCCCCGAAGCAGTGGGCAGGGCAACGGACGACTGGGTATGCGTCGCAGACGCAGGTCCACTCGACCCAAAGGCAGGAGTCAACTTCTTCTCACCAGTAGGCAGTTCCCAACCATTCAACGTACGGTTAAAGAGCTGTAATGCCGCAATAGGCTGATAGAAGGGCACCTCATGGCCCGCCTCATACACTCGAGTAAACGAGAAGTTGCCATATTCACGCGTCTCACCATACTCAACGCCATCCACCAAGAACGGCGCATACCCGGCGGCCTGGAACTCCTTACTGTGCTTATACTTGGTAGCAAGGGAGATGGCCTGTCCACCAAACCAGTTACAGATGTAGTCAGCATCGCCGTAGATGAGCGCTACACGCACAGGGCGCGCAAGGATATCTTCCAGGTCCTCAATGAAGTTCGGCCATACGAAATCACCAGTTTGCTGGAAAGCAAAGTAGACTTCATTGTTGGATCCGGTGTAGTTGAGGTCGACGCCGAGAGCGTTCATGACGGAGTCTTTGGCGAGGTATTTCTCGTAGTAGCTGGGAGGAGTAGGATCATTACTTGGGTGGCGGATGTCGTAGGTACCACGGCCGCTGAAAGTGTAGTATGGGCCCTCTGTAGTAGAAATTAGATATATTGCAGGGCAGACAGAGAGAGAGATTATAGTTTACGTACCGACATTGTCTCGACACATGTTTGTTGCCTCTGTGCACAATGAGTAGTCTGATAGGGAGGTGCGATTCGTGGCCTTGCACGTCGCAATCTGGCTCTGGCAACCGTTAGGCATTTCATTGGCGAATTTCATATAGTCGTAGACGGTTTTGTTGACCTGAAACAGTTGTTAGTATGTAGTTACAGATGAAGCGAGACGCCATTAATGCTTACTGCTTCAATACCATAGGTGTTGTGAACGGCAAATTCGGGGTAGTGAGGAGCCTGGATGGCTTCATCGATGATACCATTGATGATTCCGAGGGTGTTGAATTCAAGTTGAACACCCTCGACGGAGCCATTGGCAATCTTCTGGTTCTCTTCGTAGAAGTGGTCGAAGAACTGCTCATATTAGTTCAAGTAGAAGCAACCTTGGTTCTGAACTTACTGCCGGCCCATAGTGTCTGAAAGGCATTAGTGGTAGACTAAAGATAAGGGAGGAAAGAGCACTTACCCGCCATAACTTTCAGTCCAGAGGTTAAATTCCTTGGATTTGATCTTCGAGTCTAGCTTGGGTAGCGCCCCAAGGAATCCTTGCAAAACTTCCCAGGCAGCTTCGGCAGCGAGATTGGTGGTATCTTTGGTCGTTAGTCCGGTTGCCTTAAGTTTCTAGCATTGTCACTGACCGATCATAGAGGCATTGATCACCGGATAGCGGCCTTGAGCCCCGGCCACTTTGACAGGTTCAAACGATCCTGTGATTGGGTTGAGGGAGCCAGCTTCTTCCTCGGAATACGAGAAACCTTTCAAGTGTCAGCAAATTTATGGATATATGCACTATACTCTTTGGAAAGTTCCTACCGGTTCCAAGAGGCTGGGAAATAAACAGCATATTGGAAACCTCATTCCATGAGTGCGGGTTCAGATACGTCTCATAGGTCTCATTGATATGACAGGGTCCCAATTCTGTTATCGTTGTTAGCTACATGTATATCTTTTTCTTTCTTTTTTTTTTATATATATATTATTTTTTGAGAGCTCGTACCTTCAAAGAGTCCAATCAAGGAATCACTTCCGGGACCACCGTTGAGCCACAGTGTAATCGGAGCTGTCTCTGGGTTATGCCGGGCCTCAAAGAACCAGAAGAACGTGTGCACGTTGGGCGCAAGATCTACATAACCCGAGTAGGAGTTGACACCCGGGGTAGTTTCACAAACACCCTCCTTCCCAGGCTCTTTGTACCGAATGGTGACATTGTTCGCAGTCTTGATAGTCTTGACACCAGTAGGCTGCTTGGGCAGCTGGCGACGTGCAAATTCCGTACCCCTTGGCACTGAATGGGCTGCCGCGAGAGGCAGCAACAGTGAAATCCAAGGATAAATGCGCATTTTGTATCAAGCCCACGTTATGTTTAGCAAGCAACCCCACCTATCTTCTCGGGGAACAAAAAGGGTCGTAAACAGCGGCTCCATCGTAGCTTAAATATGTTTCCGGTGAGGAGACGTATCGCCGGGATTTGTCCACCCACCGTGCAGGACGACACCTTATTCCCGAGACTGGCGATACAGAAGCCGTGCTCCAAGCAATCACCATTCTTAATCACCTTCCAGAGAAGGAAAAAGCGGGCCAGCCAAGACCGATTGCCCGGAAGAAAAGCCAGTAAGAAGCATGTACAGGTGGTTTCCAGGGTCGTGGGGACTTCTCCGGCTCATCTCCGCATGGGCTCCGGGGAAAGGTAGCATTGCTAACAAATCTACTGCAGGATATCTTGGCCAGCGGCTCCAATGAGAGATTCAGGGTCTTGGTGAGGGGAAGGATCGGCGCCGCTAGAGAGCGCAGTGGACCAGTCTATTCGTCCGGTGGAGCTTAATGCAGCAGGCAGCCAGATAAGCCCTGATGTTGCGTCCATTCTTTTTGAAAACCCAAGTCTTGTCTTTATGGTTTGGTGCTCTCACCTTTGACAGCAGAGCAGCAGAACGGAGATTTAGTAAGCGAACCGTGGAACCCTGACTAACACACAGTAAAGCCAATCCATTCAACGGTGGCTTTCTATCTCAACCAAGTGATTCAGTTTTCATTTCTGATACGTAGGTACTGATAGTCATTTGTAGTAGCAGGAATTAATTTCAGATCAATTGAAAGCCTCCGCGGGTGCATTTTTATGGAATCGAGCAGTGTGTGAATATTTCTGGCAATATATACATATCTTCATACTCGGGGTAATGACCGGTTTCATGGTGGTTTCATCACATCATTTCATAAAGATGCACAAACATCATTGTGGTTGAGAAGTGAAGCTGTCTTTCAGCCACGGATGGCACCAATGCTCTTCTAGCAGTCGCGACAGGACTTGATTAGGGACTCATAGTCTCTTTACCCCCGAGCAAGCCTACGCTACGGAGCCATCGCTTTATATAGCCAAGCAGGACCTTGGCAGTGGACCGGATGCCCAGGAGCCACTGCCACCTACCATTTCTACGGTGACTCAAGCGAGACATACACAACCCCAATTCTACGCCTTTACCGATTCAGCAGGAGATATCTTGCCTGTGCATCCAAGACCCGTTAGGCAGTGCCATTGACGGTATCGTTATAGCCTCTTACCGTCTTGCCTCGTTCACTACACATTCCACGGCAACTTCAACGACTTCGACTGCTGCTGCCGCTTCAGAGGCCGAAAGCTTGGAGTGTATTGCTGGTGGTTTCTGGGCCTGCAAGGCTGCTTACAAGGGGCGCGGGTGTGCGGGAGCTATATGCTGGAACGATGATCTGGTCGCTGAGCAAGATTGCATTGATACTTGCAGCATCCAAATGAATGATTGGTGAGCACCTTTGTTGGAAGACTTTACATCGAATGGTCAGGCGATGGGCATTTTTGGACATCCAACGTCCCTCTGATGAGAAATGGAGTGAGGTAATCCAACGGCTCACGGATACCATGGTCTGCAGATTCAAAGACGAGAGCTTCCCTGGAACTTCAAAGGTTGTTCCACATATCGGACTCGGTCAATCCCGAATCCCGTTAATGGTATGGAGTCCACTTACTCTATAGCGACTTGTCTAGCCTCGGCTCAGCGACCGTAATACAGCCGCATCTGCATATCCAGCATAACCCCAACATAACAAACGCCCCCTGTCGATCCCAATCCCTGGAACCGTTGCACTAGACTGGCGATGTTGATCACTGCACGATGACGTGAATTCGGGAGATTCAGCATGTGATGCCGATACCATCGGCATGTCGATCGATTTACAGGGAACTACTAGGATCACTATGAAGTTACCGATTTAATGGAATGGTCATCATATTGCTCATAACTCTTTTTTTGGTGGAATCCCTCTCTCTATATCCAAAGTACAAAGGGACGTCGTGATCATCATCATAGAGAAACCAAAACCAAACCAAAACCAAATCAATCCGGATGCGCCAGACATGAGCCCCGATCTTTCCTTTCTCCAATGTGCAAAGCTTGTAATACAGTAATTATATAATTCCGCTAAGAAAAAGTCCACCGAAAGAATCAGAAAAAAAAAAGACACATTGCACGTGTTCATTCATCCAGACCAATGCCAAGGTCTGTGTCCAGGTCGGCCGTCAGACTGGCCCGAGAATGAGCCTCGGCTGAAAGGTCGCTCGAACCATGATCGCCATGTAGCTCTGTCAAATTGGCAAAGTCAATCGACTTTGGATCAGTGTCAAAGCCCATGCCATTCATGTTATCGACGCCGAACTCGTAGCCCTTGTCTTCGGCCGCGGCTCCGCCTTGGCCGGACTCATCCGTGAAGAATTCATTCCCGGCATCGTCGAAGTTGATCAGCGCATCGAAGTCATTCTGGGTCACCTCGGCATCATTGGCCAGGTCCATTAGCTCGGTGAGGCTGAGCTCCGAGTTGAGCTCGGGGATGGCAAAGGCGTCATGGCTGTGGGTCGGGTTGAGATTGTTGGTGCTGCCGTTTTCGCTGCCGTCGGAGTGTGGCGGGGTTGAGGCAAAGAGGCTTCCAGTACGCCCGCCTGCGGGGGCCTGGGGGTAAGTGAGGTCCGGAATCTTCTGGGCCAGGGAGTCCGGGGGAGGAGTGAGGGTGTTGTTCCGAGATAGCGCGTCGAATGGATCATTGCTTGTGGTGGTCTTGCGGGATCGCTTAGATTGCACCTCCTGTGGTGCGACTGTCAGCTGGATACCGGCCTTGCGGATGGCGGCTTCCAGGAATGAGGTCGCAAAATCGGCCGATGCGTAGATCTCCCGCAGGCGCTGTAGGATGCGCATGCACTGGTAGAAGCGCTGGAGACTTGTCATCCGTACGCTTGGGTCGCTCGATTTAATATCGAGCAGGTGAATAATGACGGCGGGTAGGAGCACGGTCACTCCAGTGGTCGGGTAGTATCGAGTCAAGTCTAGGACATGAAGATCCTGGGCAATGGCGGTTATCTCCACGGCGGCGAATCGGACTTTTTGACGAGACAATTCTTGTAGCTCGGAATCCATGGACGGGTAGGGAACGGCGGGAAGGACCTGGGGGCGATGGAGAGCACTGGATGTAGTGAGATAAACCATCTTCAGCAGAGCTCGGTGCGAGTGAAGAACTTCACGGGCTTCCGGAAGCTTCGACACGCCCGAAGGCGTATATTGTGTTTCGACCGGGAGATTGGCCAGCCAGTCTTCCAGCTCCTGATCACAGCGTCGCACTTCAAAGGACTCTGCAGTGGACTTCTTAGGGACCAACATCATTGTGGTCTCCATGGTGCCGCCGAATTTGTGGCTGAGCACCGAGTACTGTGCGGAAAGGACATGGCTCACGCAAAGACAAAGCCTAGCCTTTTCAATGAACATCAAGGCCAGCTCTCGCTGGTGGCTGACATTCTGCAAAATCTCCGAGTCCCCGACCATCTTCACAATTTCGGGTGAGAAGGCCTGGAACTCAAAGTCGTCCATAGTCAACATCGGTACATCACAGTCGTCATCCTTCACGCGCATCGGGCGTCGCATGCCTAACGCAATCAAACGATCACGAGTGTATGTGCTCCACCAGATGCGTTTCCACATTCTCTGGCGGCGCAGGTCCATCCGCGAGTTGCCGGGGTCTCGGTGGAGACCGATAGTGTGGGCCAAAGACAGGCTGACGCCCATCCAGTGCCAAGTGTCCTTTTGGTCATCCGGAGTCTCATACCAATAGGTCATGAGCAGCAGAGACTGGACCAAAGAGATGCGATCTACCTCGTAGTCGAAGTCGTACAAGAGGCGGGCACGCTGGAAGAAAATCTTGCGAGCCGCTTTACGGGTTTGGTAACCGGCAGCTTGCAGATGCTTCATGTCGACAAAGGCCATACCCGCGAACATGACCGCCTGGAATAGCAGTAAACTGATGCGGTGGACTCCATCGTTTTGGACAATGGTCTGGAGGAACTCCTCCAAATCCAGCAGGGGCATATAAGAATGCACATAATGAATGTAGGCCTTGAGAAGCTCGTTTCGCAGAGGCACGTCCGGGATTGTCAACGCTCCCTTCGCGGCCAAGTAGTCAATATCTTCCTTCTGGAACCGGGCGGGTAGACCTCTAATGTAGTCGGGAAGAAAGGCGCTTGCAGTTCGGTTTCCAAATGAGGGATCGAGTAGCTGTTGGATTTGCAGTGTGGCGTTTGCCAGGGGCATTGAGGCGGGCACGGCAGGGTTGGGGGCCATGCGGCGGCGATTCTGATCATCGGAGCCAATGCGGTGTGCTTGTGTTTGATCTGCAGTGGCAAGTTAGCTGCATGATCCCAAATACCAAGATATATACCGTATATTCGATTTCAGTGGATACGCACAGAGCAGATGTGGCATATGTTGTCCGTGATCCAGATCAACGGACGCTTGGGAAGGTGACGTGGGTGCCATTTCAGACAAGCCCTGAATGCTATGCAGCAGGTTCTCCTCCGAGGCCTCGGGGGACTCGGAATGGGCTGCATGTTCAACCTCAACCCGAGACTTCCTGTAGCACCGATACTCCGTTAGCTAAGAATGACTTTGACAGAAACTCTTTGTTTTCTCCTGGCGTTTATAGTGTTGACGAACTTTCTCCGCTTGCTTTCGGTGACGACACATTCGACCTGATCTAGTCGACAATTGGTGCAAGGGGAACCATTCTCTACCACATCGCAGCGGACCTTGCGGGCGCGACAGCAGCAACAGGCCTTTGAGGCCCGGCGCTTGACGGGGCGGTTATGAGCGGAAAGGCCGGCGGTAGAGGCCTTTCGTTTTCCCGACTCGGAATCTGTCATAGTGGAATTCATTATGATCGGGGGCGTATGGGGTACATTCGAGGAATATAATGAAATATCCTCAGTGAGTGGAGATGTAATTTTTTTTTCTTAAATTTTTTTAAGGAGTTAGAACTGGGGACACGAAGTTTCTGGGGGAGGTGGATTTGCTTAAGTATATAGTATAAGTGGACGAACCCAGGTTGGGGCAGATCCCAGTGAAATTACCCCCAAATCGCGCATCAACCATTCGCTAGACCAAGAGTGGCAGGAATTCCCCACACGAGAGGCATTTCCACTTTCTGCCTGGCTCGTGGCACCCAAAACCACTGAAACCACGAAATTCAACTGAAAACCTAGCGACGAATGTGTCGTCACAGTCGCCGCATTGGGCTTAGCGTCCCAGACGCTCGGCCCGGTCACGGGACAACGGGTCCGATGCGGTGCCGGTTTTTCCGTTTACAGTACAGTATTAAGATATAGAATATCGCGTGACTAACGGGAATAGAGAATAGAAGATAGAGAGCTGATGATTATTATCCTGAATGATTGAGTTCTGTATGCGGACAGAAAAATGAAATGAGAAAAAAGGAAGAGGGAAAAAAAAACCCGCGGAATGCCCCCACCAGGTGGAGCCGGGGGTGTGTCATAACAAGTCTTCTCCAGGACTCTAGCGTAACAGGTACAATACACTTGGGATTCTATACATTCAACACTCACATGCCCCTCTGCCAAGTCCTTCAAATTGGACCATTCAGAGGTCAATCCGATATGATCCTATAAATTAAGAATGTAGATTGTGCATCTTGATCAGTGCAACCAATGTCCTCCTGAAACCTAACGGCCAAGAAAGCCTCACTTGTAAAATTCCGAATTACGCCGAGCAGTACCCAAAGACCAACAATTTCCCCCCAACCATGGAATCCACGGGTGACCAGGGGTAGATCACAGCCGCTAGTTTGAGGAGCGGAACCTGGGGGGAAGTCTGGACGGACTTATTTTCAGGAGATGTGTCCTGGTCCAGCCAGAGTGGACACTGAAAAAGACCAAAAATTCCAAAGGAGCCGTCTCCAGTCGCCGATGGCGGAGAATAAGTGGGACCGACTGTTAGTGTGGTGGAGGCTTGTCGCAAGCTTACCGTTTTAGGGGGGTTTTGTTGATCGCATTTTTATGAATCATTGCAGGTTAGCTATGATTTGCAAGTGTATATACAGTGCTTGTGCTTCTAGATAATGCCGCACGTCGAGATATGTTAAGAAATGATGTATAATGAAGGATTATCTGGAGTACCCGGGGTAGTTAAAACCCTCATTACTAAGGCCAGCGGGTCTCGACCGTGGGACGCAAAGTAAGCAACAATGGATGACCAATGGATACTTGTCTCATCCCCAGAACACGAACGCCCATTCGACTCCCCACAAAAGTCAATATCTGCCGATAACCGGATGTCTATATGAAATAAAAAAGAAAAGAAAAGAAAAAATAATTGACCAAAGTTTAAAAGTCAAGATGCCGCAGATGCCCGGTCCAGATACATCCAGAATTTTATCCAGAAACGAAAATTTCCCGCGGTTTCCACGACCGTTGTCCTGCAGGTTATATAGCGCAGGGTCCGGATATATATGCTGCAATCTGATTGCCCAGCGGGTCTGTCCGTGCATGCACAACTACCGACTATCGGAGGAATCCACCTTACAGTCAGTGATTTTGTGTGTATGTGGGATCTACCGCCTACTGTGGGAATCTTTCGTCTACAGGGTACTCTTTAAAGGATGAAGGACCATGTGGAATTTTTCTTTAAAGAAAATATATAAATAAAAAAAAAAAAGTCTCGGTCTCGCCGGACTTGAAACAACACGTGTGGGGGAATAAATCACGGGGACATCACGGATTATGGGGACGCTTTCTCTGGAGAATTCTGGCTCTCACGAGGTCAAAAGCGGATCCAAGTGGGACTCCAATCACAAATCTGGCAAAGGTCAAGTTCCCGAATCCTGTTGCCGTGCGCACGATCCCTGGGTCTACAAATCCTGCCGACATGGGAGTCCGGGGCCGGTGATAATTTCCTGGTTCCGAGATATCCACCTGTGCCTGTCCAGAAAATCAAAGATCGGTGTACATGATGTATATATGCAAGGTATGATCTTGTTCCGCTGAGATAGCTTAGGAACAATGTCGCAAGCTGAACCCGGGAGCTTCAAGATCAATGCAAGGTTGCCGAGACAGCCCCCCGATCCAGCTTTGAGTGCTCGTTCAACACGTCTCTAGTGCAGATTGTGCGTTTCAGCAAAGAAGCAAGAAATGGGTCAGCGGGGTTCGAGTCGCGGCCTTCGGAATGTTGTGCAGCTGCAGCCTTCAGAGAAAGGACCGAAATTGCGGAGAATCTTATCGGTCATCACGCCGGTCGCTTTCAACCCCGGACTTGCTGGGCCTTGGCGTCCAAGGGAAAAAGATAGGTCCAAGCTCAGGGTCTGGCGCGGAACAAATCACAAACGGAATTATAGCGCAGTGGCTTGATATCCGAGAGTTGCCCCACGTTTCAATTCGAAGACAAGCCGACAAAGAGAAAGCTCTTGGGGACGTGTAGTGCTTGCACCCCGCGCTAGGGACCTGGATGGTTTAGATTGGACCACGAGGGGGGCTGATCATTTTGAAATACGGGTATGGAGGGGTGGAAAGGCGGATCAGTGGCGTCATTGCGCATTACCCCTCCAAACTGTCAAACTGCAAGAGTAGTCGAACAAGCACTAACGAGAACCATTGGCTGTAATTGTCTCGCATTATCATGCATTATCGGCACCATTTGGCCCGTGTGACGTTTGCACATATGGACTGGGTACTGTGACGGCCCGGACGAGGGGAATCGGTCCGGATGGGGAAAGCCTGTCGAAGGCAAATCGGCACCCCGCGATGGGGAGTCCCGGGTGTGGAGGCTTGACTTTGGTTCTTTGCCCCCGGACATTGACTCAGAATTAGGAGGTTGCCACTTTCGTGGCTTGTGAATTTCAACTATGGTGATTGGATGGCCAATATGCAGTACGTGCCTGGAATGTCCAAGCTCACATGATCATGAAGTCGATCACAGCGTACTGTAGTCCCGATTGACCTGTATAGCATCACATCGTAGTATTGAAATAGAAAGCGATAAGATGAAGCCCAAATTGATACACTGACTAAAAACGGGCCAGATCAGCTGACCTCGTATAGAGACAAATCTGACTTCACGTTGATCATAGCAGTTTGATGACATCTCATGGCGTAAGCAACAGCCAAGATAACTGCTTGGAATCTTGAATTACTCAATTGATTCATCCTGGTACGATTTCCCGCAGCATCTTAAGATGAGAATCATCATCGTGGGAGCCGGAATTAGTGGCTGCTCAGCCTACCTTTCACTCAAGAAGCATCTCCCCCAGCCACCGGGGCACGCAGAAAACCATACTTACACCATATATGAAGCCTACGATACAGCCCGGGACACAACATTTCAGGAAAGACCAGCTTCTGCCACTGGCGAAGGAGCCACCCGATCCGCAACTTTAGTTGTGGGCGGCGGCCTAGGTGTCGGGCCTAACGGCTTGAATGTACTACGCCGACTAGACGAGTCCCTGTTACAGGAAGTCGTCTGTAGTGGATATCCGTACTCAGAGTTCCACCTCAAAAGCGCCTATGGATGGACATTGATGCAGGTGCAGGCAACAGCGGAGGTAGATGGGCACGCAATGAATTCGGTAGCCATGAGTCGTCACTCGATCTGGCAATGTCTGCGGGATCGAATTCCCGATGATGTGGTAGTGAACAAGAAGATTGCAAAAGTCGTTCCAAATGGAAGCTCTACTGGCAAACATCTGGTCACATTCGCTGATGGAAGTGAGCCTGTGGAGGCCGATTTGGTGATAGGTGCCGACGGACTAAAGTCAACGGTGAAACGGGCGCTTTTTGATGCCGAGAACCCAGAAGATGATCCTTATCCTCCGAAATACGAGTAAGCTACTGTACTTTTTTTTTTCTTTCTCTTTTTGAGTTTAATCGAGAAAACTGACAATATATTTAGAGGTCTCGTCGGAGTGGGTGGCTTTGCACCCGTGACAGAGAGTCTGCGTCGTAACATCCCAGATGGGGTAATGACAATCACTTTTGGGGGATCCGGCATGTTCGGCTACGTCTACTCATCCAGCTCCCAAACAGATGAGCACCGGGCATCAGCAAACCACATTTCATCCCCTGGAGACACGATCACCTGGTGGTCCACATACGGAATGAATGAGTGCCCAGATCCTAAAACCGTGGATCGGACTGCGATCACAGAAGATCTACGAAAACGACACGCGAACTGGAGTGATCCTGTCATTCAGGAAATCATCCGATCAGTCAATGTAGAGACAATGTACCCGACGTGGACGACGCCCGAGTTGCCGATCTGGGATCGGGATGGCATCGTGCTACTAGGTGATGCAGCACATGCACTGCCACCAACTTCAGGGCAAGGTTCAGCGCAGGCACTGGAAGATTCAGAATCGTTTCCGATGATGTTGGCCCATTATCTGAAGCGAGTATATGGAAATGCCCCAACTGCGGAGTTCACCGAGAAGGATGCCATTCAACTTGCGGCAAAGAAACATACAGCTCTACGGTATCCTCGGGTCAAGGCCCTTCTTGACGAGGCCCAACAGCGCCAGCAGAAAAAGCAGCAAAAGGGCATCGTGGGGGAGTTTATGATGTATTTGATTCTGTGGTTGGTTGGTAAGTTGTCTTTCATTCATCAGGCTGGGTCTTCGTTTACTTACAAGTCGGACAGGTATATTCTCTCCGGCGAACCCTGCGAAGGATATGCTTGAGTATAACATTGCAGATGAAGTGCAAAAAGTACTCGCGGAGGACGAATAATGTACAGTACAATCTGCGCCATTAAAAAACTCCACTCGTCAAATACAAGAGCAGTCCATAACTTAGAAATAATCAAATTGAGGGTTCATAGCACGTTCAAGCATAGAATGTCATACAAAACGTCAAGGCACATGCGAAAGGGGAATCAAGACTCAAAAACAGAAAAAAAAGAAATTCAAGTGCCCAGAACCATAATCAGAACCGAACCTCGTCTGAACCGAACCAAAATTACAAAATAACACCAAGCCCGTATCTTCTGTCTAAACACCTCCACGTCCCATCCGCTCAATGGAGCTCATGATTCCACCTCGGCCGGGAGTGAACACAGCAATGCCGGATTTGCCTCCGCTATTGCCACGAGAATGACCACCCGGGGCTCCGAAACGTGGACCTTTCTTTTCAGTCGTAGAAGGAGGGCGAATGCCACTGGACCCAGAACGGCTCACACTTCCACGAAGGTTTTCGGTAGGAGGTTCACTAGCTGACCGGTAGTCCTCCTCAGGAACACCAGCAGAAGAGACAGAAGGCTCCCGTTCCCGTTCCTGTTGCTGAGCTGGAGCAGGCTGGGTGGCTTGGATGTTCAACCACTCATCAACAGCGGCGACAAGCTCTCCCTTTTCAGCACGCTCAATCTTGAGCTCAGAGCGCAGTCTCTCACTGTCTTCCCTCAATGCCGCCATTTCATGTTGTAGACCCTGGATCTGTGCCTCAAAGACGCGCTTTTGAGCTTCATGTTCGTCATTTTCACGGGCGACCATGCTGGCATTGGCAGCCGCCATGGAGTCGGAGTCGGCAGCATCACGCTCAGCCTTGAGCCGTTCATTTTCCTCGCGGGCGGCAGTGAGCTTGTTGTCTGACTCACGAAGGCGCTTTTCCCACCGAGATTCATAGCTCTTCTTCAACGCCGCAACCTTGGTCTCATGTTTGCCCTTGTATAGAGTGTGAAGCTCACGGGCAACCTTTTCAACGGCATCCTGCACTTCCCGTGCGGTGTCTTCTGCCGATTGCGAGGGCCGTCGCGACCCTTGGGCTGCAGGTTCCGAAGTGGAAGAACGTGCTGTGGACAACTGTGTCTCGAGCTCTACAATCCTGCTTTCGAGTTGCTCCTTGCTCTTCTCTGCATCTTCAGCTTTCCTAGAAAGCCGATCTCGCTCACGCTCGCCCTCTTCCAACTCACTGCGGACGGACTGCAGGACTCTTTCCATATCCTTGCCTCGGCGGTCCCATTCAGCCTGCTCAATTTCCAATGTCTCTCTCCGGGCAACCTCGTTGCGAATTTCTTCCAAGGCTTCTCCAACTCGTCTCTCTGCGTCTCCAACTGCTGTCTTTAAGCAGGCGACTTCCGCCTCTTTGCCACTGAGAGTAGCCTTCAGCGAAGATATCTCTGACATAAAACCAGATTTGAGCGACTCCAATTCACGAGGTGTGACAGTGGGAATGGAACGGGGGGTTGGCGCAGGTGGAATATCGAAATCCAAGAGAGACAATTTAGATGGCGATCGCATGGATTGCCGCATATTTCTCATTGGAGACCGCCGTGGAGAGTACTGGGAATTCTGTTGCATGGACTGACGGGGGTAGAAGTTCATCTGATCAGAGAAATCCAGCAAGTTAGGAGTTCTTTCCGGGTTACCCACGTCTCGAGAAACTCGTCGTCTGGGAGTAGGTGATCCAACCTGTGAATCGACATCGAGCAGCGTACTAGCTCGATGCGATCTGCGCGCAGTACCTGGAGTCGCTGGTTCCATACTATGACGGTACATGTCGGCGGTAGGACCTTTATTGGGGCCGACACTGCCACGCATTGACTTCAAAGGCGAGTCGGCACGCAGTTTCGCAAAAGAGGTCATGTCTGGCAGGACAGAGAAGTTGCTCAGACCAGTATCATCCATTGGATCGTGATCATCTCCACTCAAAATGGCATCTCCGGCATCATGGTCATCATTTTCTTTGTCCATCATATCATCATTGTCGTGAAGAACTGTACTCATGCCCTCATTGTGCTTGTCTTCAATCATACTGTTTGCGATTGTCGATCGGTCTTGAGTAGCACTCGCAGTTGAAAGCAAACTTTGGTCGTGGATGACGCTGGATTCTTCGTCAAGATCGATGTGAATCTCGGGGCCTTCAGCTCGGCTGAGCATGCCCTTTTTCGCCCGTTCATTAGTCTGCGCGTCCTCCCCATGATCCTGTGGAGTTTGGTCGAACGAGCGTTTCCGAGGCGTGGCAGCAAGGGAGTGATTGCTCTCCATTCCCGGTGATAGACGGGGTGTCGGGCGCAATTTTCGCATATCGAGACTGTCCTCTCTGGCATCGGGCCGGAAAGGTGAACTATGAGCCTCAGGATGAGTGGGCTGAGATTTGCCCGTAGACTCTCGTTTGGCTTTCCATTCTCGCATATCATGAGACTCAATGGAATTTTCTCTGGGATCGAATTCAAGTGGCGAGCTTTCGCGCTCCGGAGGCTGCTGATCAAAAACGGGCGATTCAGCTCGCAGCTCACGCAACCGATCGAAATCCACCGTTTCATCCTTTCCTTCTGGTCGGAAAGGAGAGCTTTCTGGGTTTTCTATGGCCAGACGCCTACTCAAGCCAGGCGACATCGGTTGTACCTCGCGCAGCCTATGAAGATCCACCGTTTCGTCTTTACCCTCGGGTCGGAAGGGAGAACTCATGGGGTCATCTACAGGTCCCACCACAAAGTGGTGTCGCGGTTGGGAGGGTGTGCGCTGTTGATATTCTTGCAATTTTTGGAAATCGACGGTGTCTTCCCGCGCATTCTCACGGAATGGCGAGCTATCGGCATCTTGAAAATCGTCATTATCGTTGGGTGCATCAATCTCGTCGTTGTCGTTAGGGAGGTAGTTCTCATTTGACTCGCAGGCATTAGGGCCTGGTGATTCATATTCTGTCCAGGCTTTCTTCAGTGGACTTGACGGGACGCGAAATTCTGACTCGGCTTGTTCATCAATTGTTTTGGTGAGGAACGGCGACGAGCCGATCTTGGGAGACCGAGATCGCGCATTCTGAAAGGACGACGAGAGGGGAGAAAGAGGATTTGCCATAATGAGAGCTGTTGAGGACGACGTATGGACAGTCGCAAAGGCCCTCGGGTGTTGTATGGAGGTGTGGAGGGTCAGTGTTTTAAGTGTTTTGAGTTGATCGTGGCGGTTGCTGTGTAAACAGAGCTAACCCGTATTGGGACTAGCACTAAGTGCACGTAGGCCGTTCACCGCCCTGAGTCGCTACCATCAACGCAGTCAGAAATGCCTTGTTTGGACTAGCGTATCGCACCCCATCCACCGCTTTGGCTTTCTGCCATCTCTCTGCTGTCTTTCTATACAAACAATGCATGTTTTGATCGGGTTTCAACTCATCGTTATGTGTACAAATTGAATTCTGCAAGAAATGATAATAAATACACGATAAACTTATATATTTACTCAAGCTGCATTGGCAGAAATCAAAACGAAAATAGCTAGACAATCATGATCCAGAAATTTACAAACTCCTTAAGTGCAAGCCGCTGAGGACGCCCTTCGCTAATATTGCTTCGAAATGAAAAGAAAATGAGAAGAACAACCGGCTAAAAACATCGCAAACTGTACATATAGATCGATAGGAAGGGAAGAAATGCCATCATCACTGTAGGGACTTTTTTGAATTTGATGCTTAGGTCCTCACTCCCAGCAATGGCGCGTTGGGCAAAGGTTCCGGAATGACATTACCATCCGTGTCGGTCACGATGATGTTGATAATTTCATTGAGTGGCTGTTCGGAAGCTGGAGGGCGGTAACAGGTAGCAGATTCGACGATCTCCAGCGAATGTCTTTTCTGCTGCATGAACCAGAGCTGTAACACTCCCAAGAGGGCAACAAGACTGCTCCCCCACCAGGCCACGGCAGTGCAACCAATGTCTGTACCAGCCCCGTACAGCAAGCCAGCAATAGGAGATGCAACAGTGCGCGAAGCTGCTCCCGCAGAGGCGGCAAGACCATTGATTTTACCCATCACGGAGTCCGATGGACAGGCTTGCTTGATGAGAATCAACAGCACGGGGAAAGCAACGATAGACAGAATGTTGCGGACAACCATACAGGCATATATACCGAAGAAGATAAGATTCTGGGGCAGGAATGCCAAGAACGGAACCATGAAGTATGAGATAGGGTGTAGTATCGTCACTACAACGAAGAGTCGCCATACTCCAAGCCAATGGGCCAGTGCCGGGAAAATCACCGTTTGAATCACGAGTGCAATGATGCCATCCGTAGACATTATCATACCGACGGTCTGAGTAGAAAGACCAATACCCCCGGAATATCGAAGAGAGAGGATGGTGAGGCAGATCTCTTGTTATCGTCTTGAAGAAAGATGGGCAGCAAATGGTCGTAGGTCATCGAGTGATAAGTGAAGATGGCCAGAGCGATGATAAGCATAGTGACATGCCAAGTGAATACCTTTGGTTTGACTGGTTTTTCCCAGAAAGCTAAAGTTTCATCGCCCTCCCCCGCCCACTTCTCTTCGTATGAGCTGACATGATTGAATGTGCCGTATGAATCAGCTCGAAGATCAACCTCGCCATTGGCGGTTGTTCCTGATGTCGCCAGAAGCGGCTGGTTGGTAGATGTAGGCATGAAGAACTCATCACGATCAGGTTGCATATCTGGATGAGTCTCTTGTAGGAACAGCCAGCTGCCAAGGATACTCAAGAGAAGTAGAAAGGAGCAGACCAAGTTGGGTAGCAAATAGGGAAAACGTCCAAAAAGACCATCCCGAGGGAAAAGAGATGGATACCCGTCCGCAGGTCTTGCAAGTAAACCTCCGATTGCTGTTATAGATTAGCAAAAGTCTTATTACAATCTTCCCTGTCTGATGGTGAATTATAGCTTACCTGGTCCGATAATAGTTCCAATAGACCATACGAAAGGCATGACAGCGTAGGCACGGGCTGTAATATTGGCATTTAGAATTTGCTGTGATCAGGAAAAGGATTGGCAACTTACGTTCATGCTCAGGTCGTTTAACCAACTCCCCCACCATGGTCTGAATGACGCCAATATTCCCATTAAGCGCTCCACCAAGCGCGCGGCCCGCTAAAGCCACCCAAAAGTTTGGAGCCAATCCGACGATGAACAGAGAGAGCATTGTTCCACAGCAACCAGAGAGTAGAATGGGCTTTCGGCCCAGTCGGTCTGCGAGACTCCCCCAGAACATGCCGGTGAGGGCCTCTGCCAGAGAAAAGGCGGAAATCAGAATTCCAGCGTAAAACGAGGAATCATTCTCACTGCCGATGTGGAAGTCCTTGACCATCACCCATGAGTAGGGGAAGATGGATGTCAAGGCAATTGGCTCGGCCACACGGCATATCGCTGGGAATTTTGATCAGTTGATGACTTGTTTGCAAGAGAAAAGAGACATACCTAGCAGAAAAAGCTGTACAGTAGGGAAGCCATCGTCGGGCGAAGCGTGTGATCTTGCCTGGTGTGTTAATACCATTGTCCTTTTAAAGCTTTTAAGACCTTACGGCTATCTGTCCCTGCAAGTCGAATCTTCTTAGTCTCGTAGGGCACAAGACTTTTCAATTCAGCCTCGAAGAAAAGATTGAGGGTCAGAGTCGACTAGAGATCCTCAGCGAAGTTGTTGGTCTGCGATCGCAGAGGTGTGAGTGGAGGGCGAAAGAGAAAAAAAGGTGGGGGTAAAGATAAGAAACTTCTCAGGGCAAAATCTTGGAGCCCCGGGAGCGGCCGCACTCCGAGTCGTCGATATCTGCTTCCGCTCGGAGAATGAAGGGGTGACTGACAATCGATTCGCATCACCACTGAAACTATTACTCCATTTACAGATGATTCCAGAGAATTCGATACATATATTCCGTCCACAGTACAGCAAATATGTCGCATCTACTGTAGAGTATGTAGGATACTTGTGGGGCCAGCTGGTCTTTGGGTCGAGAAAAGTTTTGCGGTGGCAAGCGATCAAGGCACGAGCCACTTAACCTGCGACTTGCAAAGTGCCGAGCACCCGATCTCTACACATTTTCCTTGGCCAGAAATCCAAGAAATCCACAGGTTATAGTTTAGAACTGATTCCTATAGACATCCTCGGTCAGTACAGGGAACACAAAATTCGGGGATTTCCTCCACTCGACAGGGCCCCACTCTTATCATTAGCGGCGGTTGGCTTGTTCCTTAAACCTCTTATGCCCAATCGCGGCTACATCACGGACCCGCCCGTGTACCGTTACACTGCATCCACCGTTATGCATCGTGTCCACACTGGAAATTGGCTTTCGGGATAGAGTGGCCACTTCCACGGTTGTACATTCATCTTAGCTTGCATATTACTGTTAGCTTGCATATTACTGGCGACTGAGTACTACTACACCAACGTGAACATCAAAAAACACAGGGCAATGTTTGACTTGAGATACTCTCTGGATTGAATTTCTATGAAAAGTAGGAACTGATGCAATGAACGGAGATGGCCATGAGTAAAATTGCCAACCGACAGAAAAGAAAAAAAAAAATGAAAGGCGCGAAATGCGCTGGTACGCGATCCGAACAAGGTCCCCTACTACGCCGGCTAATCCCATGCTGTGACAGACCAAAAGAAAAAAAGAAACAAGAAACAAAAGGGAGAGGGGGGGGGAAGAGAAAGAGGACAGACACAAATGAACGTGGGTCAGTTAAGATGTCGCCTCGGGATTCGCAGTAGGAGCTGAGATCTCCACCGAGCGTGTCTCAAGCTCCTTGGGCGAGACACTGCCTTCCGAATCTACCTTTGTGCTCACAATAGGGGTGGGCTCTGGTTTGGCGGGATCGGCTGTGGGCTGATGGACCGATGGAGTAGCACTTGACGAGCCCTCTGCATCTTGAGTGGCATTCTCAACGTGCTCGGATTCATGATCCTTATCTTCATCGCCGATAACAGCAGCCAGACTGCGGAAGTTGAACATGGGCTCAAGAGAGGTATTACTGCCATCTGCAGAGACATGACCAGTTGGCCGTTCATCCGGCGTAGTTTCCATGACTGAAGAGAAAGATGAGGAGGCACTCGACATATTCCGCAGATGCGATGGCCGTGATGGCTCGGCGGCAGCATGCTGCTCAGGGGCCACCGGGGTTTTCTCCGCCTGGCTAGCGTTGTGCAATGACATGGATGGATTTGACGAGGCGGCACGATCAACCGCCTTGCCCTTGTCTGCTGCGGAGGTTTCTTCGCCAATGGAAGAAGAAGACGTGCTGGTAACCTTGGCGAGCGAAGCTTCGCCAGGTACTTCCAAAGCAGTACTGCTGGCATTATTACTGTACAGACCAGTCTTGCGGTTGATCTTTTCGGCCTTCTTCGCCTCCTTCTCTCTCTTCTTGGCGTCCTTTCGGGCGTCCTTCTCTTCTCTTCGCAGACGTTCCTCCTCAGTGGCCAAACTCAAGCGAATCGCCTCCATCATCATCATTTCCTCGAGATCATCGACGCGAGTGCGCCTCGAACTCTCCCGAGGTGGGGCAATATTACCTGAGCCTTCCTCGGCGGAATCAGTATCGGGTGCACGAGGCGGGGTTCGGTCGGGTCGCTCGGTCAGAAAGGCAAGCGCATTGAGCGCAGGAGAACCGGACCGGCCGGCATCCCCGTGGGTAGCTCTCCGCAACCCTCTTCGACCCAGACCTAGGCCGCGAGAATCATTGGAGCCAGAATTCATCAAGTAAGCTGCAGTGTGTAGAGCGGTTGCGGCAGCGGACCGGCGTGCCGCATGAGCTCGGGCGTTGGCCAGCTTCTGGGCCCAGTCCGGTCGGACCTTGTCAGTAGTGACCACTGAAGGGTCGGTGGCTGACAGGGACGTCGCGCGGCGACGGCCGGGGATAGGAGCAAGGTTTGCGGAAGCCAAAGAGGAGGTGGAGGACACGGGGGAAGTAATGTGGGGAGAAGGGCGGGCGCTGGGATCGGCGCCGTAGGTCAGACCTCGGCGGAAGGGGGGCATAGCATAAGTAACTCCGAACTCTGGCTGGACACAGAAAGGACACGCAGATGGCTCGGATACAAGCTGCGACTCTGTTTCTTCAGCTCGGGCTCCCTCTGTCGGAGCCGGGGCATTCGCATCGGGCTCGCCGTGCTCCGGTGGGTGTGGCTCGGGACGCTTGATTTGGACGAAGCATTCAGAGCAGATGGGCTGATCGCAGCATCGAGTACGGTTGAGGTAAGGAGGATAGTACAGGAAGCAGATGGGACATTCGCTCGCATCCTTGTATAAATAGACCTCGATCGGTTGGCCGTTGACAAACGGGTCCTTGGGTAATTGCAACTCCCGCGGGGTTAGATCGGTCTGTGAGCCATGCTTCGAGGATGTCGACAAAGCAGCCATGGTCTTAGCGCGGGCTCGGAAGAGTGGTGAAGTCGATGTGCCAGATGCGATCGGAGATGTTGCCGAGGGTAATGATTGGCCGGGGTTTGAACTTTGAGACACATCCGAGTTGTAGGACTGAGAGCGAGAAGTAATCGGAACGGTGAGGTGTTGGATGTTATTCATGTCCACCGGTACCTTTGGTTGGGTGGCTTTGGGGAGGGTGTACTCTAACTCGGGTGGGATCTCGTCCGGTGGGGGGATCTCCATACCCCGGGCCGCGGCCATAAGCTGATGCTCTGCCCATGAGTCGGAGAAGTCATTCAGCCCTCTCCAAAATGGGGCGAGGCGACGTTCAATCTACAATAGTGTTAGTAAAAGGGGATTTTCCGATATGAACTTGTTCGAGAGCAATCCTACCATCAGTTGCCGAACAACCGCTTTATTGAAGTCCTCCGTCCCCACGTACACACCCTGGGTCACTAGATAACCTCCATCGACATGTTCTTCTTTCATACTGCGCTCACGCTCCTTGACTCGGGCGGCGCGCTCCTTCTCCAACCGACGTGCCTCCCGTTCCTGTTTGGTTTCACGCCGGTGCTCGAGGGCGGCCATATCGCGATCATGATGACTACTACCGATTCCCAGAAGCGAGAGGTCCGGCCGACTGCTTCTGCCCGACCGAGAGCTTTGATATAACGCGCGACCCGAAGCATCCGATGACCATTGTTGGCTTCGGCTGCGTGGCGCGGTGGTCCGTGATTCTTTGGTTTGGGAGTTTCCCATCGTGAAGGGATGAATGAGAGGGGTTGGACGTTAGATCACACACGACGGAATACCTCCGAGGTGGCCCCCAAGGGGGAGGGGTGTAGAGATTAAGGGAAAGTGAAAGGCAGAAAAAAAAAAAAAAAGTCCGGCTAAAGCCAGATAAACATTTGGGGAAGAGGGATGCAGGGGAAGTGGGAAAGATGGAAGCGGGGACAGGGCGGAGGTTGATGACTGGGGAACGGATCGGTACCGATCGAGAACTAATACGTAAGGGCACCCCGAACTACCGGATGTGGCGGATGTTCATACAACTTGGGGAGAAATGGAGGATATAGAAATGCACTCCCGTAGAAAGAGTTGAAAGAGAGAAGTGGACATGAATTCACATGAGACAGGCCAGACCTTCCATGGCACACGACCGTCGTCATCATGGGGATTACATCAGCCCTGGGGACTCCAAGCTTTGAAACGTCGATCATGAATAGACCGAACAACGCAACGCATCCTTCTCCGTTGGATGTGCAAAGACTTCTGATTACTTTGTAGAACCTATTACTATCCAAATTCAACTTCACATCGATAGCGTTCAAACTATAGAGGTTCATCGTCAGTGGTTACCCCGTACACGCCAGATCCATAAAAGTTCGACCATTTCCCCTCTAAGGCTGTTATCATCGATTCTCTGGCTGACAGATAAACGGCATAAACCTTGCCACCTAACCCTGCATCTCCCATATCCAGTCACATCCCATCGATCCCTAATGACGATGCCCAAGTGGGTTCTTTGTGTACAGTGGGTCAGGCCTAGATACGGAAGGCGGTAACTGTTCTGGTCGGGCGAACCAAAAAAAAAAAAAAAGTTGTAGAAAAAAGGTCAAGATCGTCAACTGCTGCTACCTCTTGATATTGATCGCGATGCAATGACGGAACCGACAGATCCAATCAGACTCCATATCAGCCCGTTCACCCCCGAAATCCTCCCCGCGGTACTACCAGCATCCATTCGAGCAACGGCCACCGATATCTCATACCATACCATTTCCACCTTCCCCGAGAACAGTTACGGATTCGTCACTCTGCCCAAAATGGACGCCGAGAAGATCAAGAAGAAGCTCAATGGATCGATCCTGAAGGGAAAGAAGTTCAAGGTGGATACAGCTCGCCCGTCCAAGCGACCACTCGAGAAGGAAGATGCCGAACCCGAAGCTCCCAAAGAAAAGAAGAAGTCGAAGAAGAGCAAGTCAAAAGACGAGACACTAGATGGCTTTGAGCTTCCCTCCGACCGAAAAGTGAAGAGAGGTTGGACTGAACCCAAAACTGCCAAGGACAAGCGGAAATACGAGAAGAAGAAGAGCAAGGACGACAAGAAGGAAAAACTCCAACCTAAGTCCAAGTACACCGAGAAGGCCGAATGCTTATTCCGCACCAAACTTCCGCCCAATCGTGCAGCCGAGGCGGCTGCCGACGACAAGAAGGCCAAGAAGAAGCAGAAAGGTTCGGAATCTGTGGTGCACGAGTTTGCCAAAGCAACCACCTACCCGAGCTTCCTCCGTTCCTCAGGAGACGACACCGCTAAGACAGCTACATTCGACGAAGAGAAGGGTTGGGTGGACACTACGGGCAATGTGAAGGAACCGGTCAACGAGAAAGCTCGAAAGAAGGATTATCGGCCAGGCAAAGTCCCTGGAGCTAAAGAGAAGCGACCGGTCCGCAAGGACCCCGTTGATAGCCCCAACGCCAAAACACAAGATCTCGAATCCTCTGCCGAGTCCGAAGACTGGACATCATCAAGCGGTTCTTCGGATGAAAGTTCGAGTTCGGCGAGTGAGAGCGAGGCTAGCAGCTCCGATGACTCCGATTCAGAGTCCGACTCAGAGTCCGCAGCAGAAGATGCCGTTCCCAACGAAAAAGAGTCTTCACCAGAGAGCACAAGAGAAGACGATATCCCCATGACTACCGATACTCCTGTCAACGCATTCCTTGAATCGACCAGTGAGCCCGCCCAAAACACCGAAAACGTGCCCGAAGAACCCAAAGAGGTTCACCCTTTGGAGGCTCTCTTCAAACGGTCCGCCCCGGCAGAATCCGAACAGGCTCCGCAACCAACTGAGGTCGGGTTCAGCTTCTTCGGTAACAACGACGATATTGAATCCGAGGACGAGTCCAGAGGCCCCGAGCCCCAGACTCCCTTTACGCCTTTCGCCAAGAGAGACCTACAGGATCGCGGTATGCGGAGTGCAGCTCCAACCCCGGATACAGCTGCCGCTAGTCGACACATGCAGTGGAACGAAGATGAGGACATGGAGGATGACGACATTACGATTGATACCCCAGTCTCTAAATCGCGAACGGAAGGATCCGGCGACAAAGACGAGACTGAATTTGCGAAATGGTTCTGGGAAAACCGGGGAGACAACAACCGAGCATGGAAAAAGAGACGGCGTGATGCAGCCAAGGAGCAGAGACAGAGAGAGAACCGGAAGAAGGGAATGAAGGGAAGGTCATGAACAGACCCTGCGGGTAGCAACCCTTGTATTTACTGGAAGATAAACATAATGTGATCTAAGAGTGTTATATATATATATATATATATAAAAACCATTATAACGAGATTAAACATGCGTAATTTCGGGTCCACTCATTATCAATGATCTGCAACTCATGCTGGAACTCCTGTAGCTGGAACAGGACGCAATGTGCAACCAGAATCATCACATCCAGCGAACGAAACCGAATTGCCCCACCAGTTGATATCAACAGCGTGATATTCGACGGCAAAGAAGATGATCACCGCGGAAATAGCCAGAGCAGCTCCAAATGAGGAAGTAAGCACGTAAGCGTACTTTTCCCACCAAGCAAGATAATGACGCTTGATGTAGAAGTTGAAAACGGTACCCACAATCAGGGGAGCGACGGCATATGTCAAGTTGTAAGGGGCAAAGTTCATCATTCCGTACAGTAACAGGGGCGAGTAGATGTAACGGAAACCAGACTTGGGGTAGTACTTGGACAGCAAGTAGAACGGCACAGGCAGGAGTGAGCCACACAGGAATCCGTACAAGGTGGCGTTGTACATCATTCCCTCGGCGAAGAGTCTCTTGGGTCCAATGGCACCCCAGATCACGGAGGAAGTGAAGAAGGTAGTATAACCCTCGCAGTTGAATCCGGATGCTTGACCGGTCTCGCAGACGTTGGGGATGTTAGCCAGCGCCCAAGCGTTCACTCCGATACTAACGAAGGCAGCGACCACGGTGGCAATGCACTGAGCACTAAACATGACGCGAGGGGCAATCTTCATGTAGTGGCCCATCTTCAAATCACAGACGAATTGGATAGCCTGGGCACAGGACACGACCCCGTAAGTCTTGAAAATCATGTTGGCGATGGGCTGATTGGGAAGTGCGTAACCAGCAATCAACTCGGCGAGCACGTTGTTGGTCACTTCGGCGTTGGTAATGGCGTACACCATGCCGTAGGGGACTTGCAAGATGAGACACAACAACAAACTGACAACCATGCCCCAGATGGGGAATCCGGGGGTATAAACATGGGCGACAACACACCCAATGATGAAGCAAAGGGCTAAAATTATCAGATACCACCAGTCTGGGGCATCCTTGTACCTTTTCATCAGACGGTTGTGGACATCTTCGTGGTCATCGCGAGCGTTCCTCCATTGCAACAAGGCCTTGAATCCCTTGCTCAGCTCAGAACGGTTGTAGAGGATGATGTGAACAACACCAGCCATGTAGGCCCCAAAGAAGCAGAAGAACATGACAGCATAAGAGGCAGTCATGTAGGGGGGACTATAGGCTTCATATGCCTCGGCACTGAAAGCACCATTGATCATGATCTTTGAAACATTATAGGTGGCGCCAGTGTTATCGAATAGAGAATTGCTCATGATGGGGAAGTATCCGGTCTGCCAGACGTTGGTCCACCAAATGGGGACGATCACGCAGACACAGAAGAAGATGGTTCCCAAGGTGATGGTGCACATGGCATAGTAGGGGGTAATGATGGGATCGTATAGGACGGAGGCCAAATTCCAATCAAATGTAGGCCACGGGTTGATTCCCAGCCCAGTAATACTTCCCGTGATCGCAGCCAAGGTGGTATTCTCCGGAGCAATCCAGGTCATCCAATTGAAGTAGGAGAGAGCCTGGAAGATATATCCAGGGAACCAATACCAAACAAACATTGCGCTGAAAGTGTATAGGAAGAATCGATAACGAGAAATAGTCCATCCGTGCACGACTTCGCCTCTATCGTCACTGTGCAAAGCCTTGTTCAGGGCGATTGTCGCCAAGGCCTTGGGGAAGATCATAGAGGGAGGCAAGACCAAGAAGCGACGCACCAGACCCGCACATCCGTACCCCAGGAACTGGGTCGAGAGTGTCAACAGGATCTGGAAACCAGCCTTGTTGTATAGAGTGGTGTCATCATACCACTTCTTCACTTTCAGCACGGTGAAGATGTTGGTTGTATATGCGGTTCCCATGTAGCCTCCGTATCCAACATTGGCCATGACGGTGATCAGCATATGCTCCTTCTGATTAAAGGGACCGGGATTGAACGAGAAACGCCAGCCTAACAGAGAGAATTGGCGAGTAGGCAAGACCTTCGCCATGAAAACACCGATAGGGTAAGACACGACCTGCGAGACATAAGAATAGAGGATGATAGTCGGGTATCGAAGAGTAAACAGCTGGTTGACACCGGTGAAGACGACGGTGAGAGCCAGGCCGATGAACCAAGAACGAAAGGTGCTAGCCGAAACCTCGGGATCATCGACGGGGTCAACGACAGCTCGGACTTCAGGATAGGGCGAGTCATTCAGCAAGAGATCACGCTGCTTGCGGATATCATGAAGCAGCGACTGGGCCTCCAACGCAGTAATTTGCTTGGGGTCCTTAGCCAGGAACTCTCGTGCCTCATCCAACATCTCTTGAGGGAAATTTCCGTCCATCTCGTGCTCGGAGATGGTTTCTTTGACCAAGGCCGTCAACTCCTCGAGCTCGACGTCCGTAATCTCCCCCTCAGAGGGATAGACATGTTCCTCAACATCGGACTTCTTCTCATCATAGCGGAAGACAGGGGATTCGGTCTCCATGACGCGAAGAGGACAGTGCTTCTGCAGTTGCAGAGCACAAATATTGAAAGAAGGAGGATCGCTGTGCAAACATCATGGCTCCTTCCCGGGTACGTTCACATATATATGTCCATCCCTTCCTCCAACAGGGGCCTAGGTGCCTCGTGAGGACTTAGTCCCGGTGCCACCACGGAATTCCGACAGCCGACAGCCACTAGATGCCTGAACTCCCCTTGATTATACCCGTTGTGTTGATTGGTCGCCACATCCTCATTCCAGGAATGGCGCTAGAGGAAACTAACGGTAAACCCATTTTAGACTAGTTTTTCACTTGAATATGTCTGCTGTAACCATATCTCATGTACATATTGGGCATGTCCCTCATCCCAGATAATATCATCTTTGGGGCATATGGACAATTGTTAGAGACCCGTAGGGCTGGGGGAGAGCAAGGACGATTCTATCAAATCAGGACTGGATAATAACAAGCGATGCCAGGGAGACTAATCCCAATTGACGAACTGGCCCCACATCAACCCGCCTTAGATTGACGAAGCAGATAAAAAGGCTTGTTATTGTCGAGGAGAATCAAGTACGTACGATAATCTTGACTTATCTCTAAGCGATCCACTTTGATTGGCTACCTCATGTCATTTATCATGAGGGCGAAAAGACTTTGCCTATCGGTGGCAATATATGCCAAGGTCTACTTGCTGGAAGCTGGTCTCCATAGTGCTTTGACAGTTTCCTGCATTAAGCTCATTTGGCCGCGTCAGCAAGGATGTTAGACCAATTGCGCGTTGACCAGGGCTTTGGGGCTTTGAAAAAAGAAAATTTAATTAAAAAATAGAAATACCCTTCCAAGAACAAAACATGATTGCTGGAAAAAGAATGTTCTCTGATTTTGATATGGTCTTTCGGATCCTTTCGAAGCTCACCCGACGGAGACCGGCTTGAGATCGTGAAATACCCGCTTGTGTCTTATGCGTCGTGCCTTATGCCATTTGTCTGAGGATCGCGCCTAAACACCTCAGCCGCTATATTATTGACGATAGGGCTGGTCATGCCGGAGCCCGAGTAGACCCCATGTTATGGACGCATTGAGCTTAGTCCTTTACGATAAAAGGAAATAGGATTTGTCCAGACCAAAGTCACCACACGGACGTGGCCGTGGTATTAATCAGATACCAAAGTATTCACAACTGCCCATGTAATACTATTTGCGCCCTATAACCCTCGAGGTTACATTCAAATCTCTGCAATCGGCGAGTGTTGCACCTACAATCCTTCATATCCCTCCAGCAAAATTGCAGCATCGATGATTTTGTCGGTCACAATGTCTCGCCATTTCTGCTGCAGTCAGTAAAAGGATCTATAGCCGTGTCGGATGAGATCCGAAAGTAGAGCCTACCACTGCATTAGTCCAGAGGCCCGCTTCTAAACTCTGTCGTAGTCCAGGCAAGGGTGGTTTCTCTGTGTGCCACGGGGCTGCTGCATACAGTACATGGTGGAACGAGGGTCGGTCGTCGACTCCGGATTCATGATAAAAAGCCCTTTCCAGTCGAATGTACCGCTGGTTGGCCGCTTTGATCGCCCTCTTCAACTTGTGGTCAATCCAAGGATTCCGCCAAGGACGTGGCTGCTGTGTCAACGACGCCACCTCGTGGTCAAATCTTTTCGCAGCTTGAGCGAGGCGGGCTACTGCATTGTAAAATGGCTCGGGCTCACAGTGCTCGGACCATGGCTGATTCATGAAAAGATCGTTTACCCATTTGTCCAAGGCCACCGCGTAATCAGTAGCCTTCATGTCCAGAATGGGCGATTCGGATAGTTGTGCCGCCATGAGCGACCAGAGTTTAGTGCTAGTTAGATGATATGCCCAACCGGGATCCCCAAACCGGTCCATCCACTGGAAGGTGTCAAATCCGGAGTGATAAGGGAAGACATTATCACCCAAGCCTTGAGAGAATCCAAAGTCGACAGTCGAGGCACATACCAGGCCTTGAAACCGAATGGCATCACCCCCGCCCGGGGTGCCTATGATTCCTGTCCCAGTCTCGCTCCAAATGTCGAACACTGACTGACCGTCCACCGTCTGGTTCGGTGACTGAATATGCTGCATCGCATTCAGCACTGTTTTATATAGCAAGGGACTAGCTTTGACATGGAACTTCCGCCCCGCCCCGGCCACGACGACATTCAAATAAGCAACGGTACTAGCATGCAACCACTCAAGATGCTCCTTGATCCAGGGAAAGGATCCGATTTGCCCTATCTCTTCACCCTCCCAACTGGCGAAAACAATGGTGCGACGAGGTCGCCAGCCATGGCGGAGTGCTAGTCCAAAGCTTCGGACAACCTCGTTCAATGCTGCTGATCCACTGTTAGGATCGCCTGCACCGGGCCCCCACGCATCCCGATGATTACCGAGGATAATCGTTTCATGGGAGTCGCCAGGTATCTTGCCGATCACATTGTGCACTTGACCAGGGTGGAGGAATGCCTCGGTGCGAAGATGGAGAGAGATTGAGGGAGGCGATGGCCCCACATTGTAGTTGACACCATGGATTGCGAGTCCTCCGCCCTGCCATCGGCTATTCAGTCCAGAAGCTGACGGACCACGATCATTTAATGCGGTGAGAATGGGGATGGCATCGGCATAAGATATTGGCATACAGGGAATAGTGGGCACCAGGCCGGCTTGGTACGAATCTGGAAATATTTAGTCAATGTTTATTAGCTATAATGGAGTTGCCAACATACCCCATGGACCTATACCCCCTCTCTCAATCATCTGTGGCGGTCGTGCCGGACCACCAGGATACGGTCGGTAGCCATTGCCTTCGTTGATGGGCTCGTCATTCTGAGGATCAGGATACATGACCACGCCGAGAAGGCCTCTGTTCTGGGCATTTTTGATCTGCACCTCCCGGGACATCTCCAGATGGAGTGATTGCAGATAGGACGATGCGTCGGCTGACTTCAACACAGCAATTTTGCCCTCGAGACTGACATTATTCTTCACGAGGTCCTCGTAATCGTCGTCTGCACCAAAATTGGCGAAAATGTAGGGTGCAGAAATGGTCGCATTGGTGACAAAGCTGTAGAACGCAGGGTAAAATCCATACTCACTGTCATTCAATGGCGCCTCATAGAGCACTTCCGAGCCTCGAATCAGGGCCAGGCGTTGGTGCTCAGTTGGAGCTGGTAGTTGCACATCGTAGGAGATAATTTGAGAGTCAGAAATGCCATAGTCTTTCCACTTGTTCTGCGTCCATCGTGCCTGTTCGAGGCCTTGTCCGGGGAAATGTGGCGTTGAGGTGTAATAGACGCTCGATTCGCGGATATACTGCACAGTGGGAACGGACAATAGTAACAGGATCAGATCCAGCATTGAGAGCCTGTGAGTGTTCCAATGCATCAATGAATACAAAAGACGAGTCGAAACACAAAAGAGGATCCCCGAAGCAAGGAACAGACTTAGTATAACAACAAAAAGAAGAAGAAATATGGATTGATCTCTGATGTGAGATCCTCTGCGAGGCAGGGGAAGCTTGAATAGTGGCGGTTTCCTCGCCATACTGATTTTGAAGGATGTTGACAATGTTTCTCTGGAGCTGAAAGGAAGCGTCGACTGCTCAGTGGGGAGTAAAAGAGAGGGGACTGAGAAACATCGAGAGGAAGGAGCGATTGTGCAAGCTACCAGGAAGAGAAGTTTCATTTACCATTATCTGATTCCTTAGCTTTGGAATACGCCACATTAGATGTTATCTCTTGGTGAGTTTCCTCGGTAGACTACTTGGAAACTGGCAGCACGAGTTTTGATATTACTTTGGTAAACGCCATATTCTTTGGTGGAGACAGCACCATAGTTACAGGTTATTGAAAGGACGTGCATCCCATCGAACTCGACGAAGGTATCGGTTAGGGTCAAGAACCTCATCCCGACCATGCAACCAGCGATGATTGTCCATCGCGATGATCGATCCACGTGGAAGCAGGCTAGATGTTAGGCGCACTACCTGCGACTGAATAACATCACTTGCCAGAGCTAGCTGTAGTTCCTCAAACGCAGCTTGCGCCGGTTCCGTCAATGGTGTGATGATGTCCTCTCGAAATCGGAGCTGGGTTGTCCTCAGCTTCTCATCCACCTGAAGCAGATTCCCGATGATGTGTGTCTTCTTTTCCTCCTTGATAAACTCGGGCGGGACGTTGATACGGAATTCAGGCTGGCCGAGCGTCTCGAGGACCGAAGGCGACATGAGAGACAGCAGGCGGGAAGTGTCCAGAACAGAGAGAGTACCACCCCCACACTTGTCAGGCTGCACCACTTGTAGAGCAAAGTAGCGGGCGGGCGAATTCTCATAGCTGCAGTCTGTGTGCCAGGGAAACTCGTACATCGTCTCTGAGCGTGCGATATAAGCGTCGGTCGGAGGGTCAGGTTGCGGGCGCACATCCCAAAGCCAACCTCGAGATGCGCTGTGGGTTGTTGGAAGCCCGTGGTCATGGTCTTTATGAAGCTGAAGAAGCAACTGTTTGAGATAGCTGCAATGATCGTCTTCAAATTGAAGGTTGATCTTCACAATCCCGCTATCCTTAAGGTGACGATTGACTTGTCGAACATGTTCGGTATTCTTTGAAACTCCAAAATCGCCGGCAAAGAGCTGAGGAACGCTTGCAAATGTGCGTTGGCTGGCCTTTCCTGTCCTTTTGTTAACAACTGTGTTTGCAGATAATCCTCGTCGAGCTGTCAAGTCTTACTGGGGACAGTCCAAGAGAGCCGACGATGTAACAGTCGGAGAGCGAGCATGTCTGATAAAGAAGACACAGAAGCAATGTGCAATAAGGCAAGTCACGGAGTCGCTGTCTTGTGTAAAGATGAAGTTACATGAGGAAATGAAAGTGAAGCCAGGATTATATGGAAGAGAGATGGCGAAATGGCAGGAGACCAACAAGCGTTCCTGCCCGTCGAGGTTATAGAACAATGCGACTTCAGATGTAATTGTTTTTTCACTAGCTGCTGCTGGTCTCATAAGCTATGAATACCTATTCTTCTTCTTCTTCTTCTTCTTCTTCTTCTTCTTCTTCTTCTTTTTCTTCTTCCACTTGCTATTACGACGTGTCCTCCTTTCGCCACAATTGATCAATCACCCTCACCAACAACGTGGCGATACATGTATATCGAAAATCAACTTTAGCGATCACTCACCAGTGACGGAACAATAATAATTTTGACCAGAGTGCGGTTACTGATAAATTTCTCTGAGAGCGAAATACCCTTGCACATATTGCGTTATTTTGAAATTTTGCATGACTGTAGTGTATCATGTTTATCATATGGAATATAAGTTTTGGCCGATGTTGACGATACTTTTCACACTGTACCGCCTCAGTACTAAGGGAAACAGCAGGTCCCGGGCTCGATTCCGGCCTCGACTGAAATGCTTCTCTTGTCCTATGGTGTCCTTGCTATTCAAATCCCGAGTCGATCAATTTATCGTAGAGGTCATTGAAAAGTGAATCGTTCCATTAAAGTTACGTTTTCGTCGGCGTGTCAGATGTAAATACCGCCACATCGGATATTAATACACGAGGTATCACATTTTTGGCAAACATTTCTTTGTACTTGGGTCCAGGGATCCTAGCACAATAACTGGCTTTTTAGCTAAAGCAGCTTTTTAGCTAAAGCAAAATGGAACTGATTTCGATTTCTGTCAAGTTCAGTAAACAAACGTATAGTTCCAGTGGACCCTCACGTGATGATAACGGATAACCGCGTCATCTCCATGAAACGGAATCTCGAACTGGCCTTTAAACGATAGACCTGTTCTCACAATGTATCGTGGCAAGGCGCAGTTCTTGCTGCTGCTGCTGACATTATTTTCTCTGGCCACCTTCACTATAGCCTCCAGTAAGAGCCCACCTCCAGACCAAGCCAGCTGATGCTAACCGTTTGCCTCCAGCACCGACCTCCTTCTGCAAATGCACATGTTTCTCCAATAGCACCATCATCCCTCTTGACCCAACCAAGTCCAGCTCTGGTTCGGCCTCGATCGACAATGTCCTGAATCTCTACGAGCGTGCTTTCGATAGCGTGGCAGCGGATCCCGCGGAAGGCGAGCACGACATCATCCCACGAGCCCAGAAATACCGCGCACTAAGCTGCAATGATTGCAATCGCAAATTCTGCCTCAACTACGAGCTTCCGACGTGCAAAGGGGCCAAGGAGGAGGATGTCTTTACTACCTGTTTCCGTAAGTGCGGCCATGCGGGACCAACAGTGGCTTGGGTCGAATGCGATCGAGACATTGGTGGCCCAAATACAAGAAAAGAAATGAAAAATGAAAACAACACATGGACGAGGCTGACTAGTGGTCTAGAACGAGATTCTCGCAAAGACGAAGCGGTGGTGTTCCTTTTTATCTTCGCTACGGGCGGATTGTTAGCATGGGCGCTCGCCAAGCCCTGGATCGAGCGATACCTCGAGGTAAGCAAAGCATCGGAATTGATAACTCAAGGCAGCGACTAACGGTGCGCAGGCAGCACGAGAACGCCGATCGTATATGCCGGTTTCGGAAAACGATAGCTAATGTACATATGCGGAGTGTAATGATTATTCCAGATGCGAATCTTGTACGAAGTATAGCGTAGGCAGGAAAAAGTAAATATGACGACAACGGAAATGCCAGCGATGGCGGACTTGGCCGAGGAAGTCACCAATGACAGCACAGCCCTGGGGCATGGAATGCCGGATAAACGACGCGGAAGCGAGTTCAGGGGGCTTGAGGTGCATAAACCGACCAAGTTTGGCACTTCTTGGACACCGGTTCGGATCTATTGGTTCTTAGCGCAGGATCTTTTCGATAGACTGACCGATTGAACTTTGTGATGGCTCCAATCGACTCCACCAGGGGTCCTGGGATTCGTTCAAGATGAAACAAATTCAAGGCTTTTTCAACGGTGAAATTAGAGACCCCACAACCCGGTATCAGCTCCTCATCCCTCTCCAATCGCTGGGTCCGGCGATCGTGCACGAGTCCTACATTCCGCTGGATGCGATCGACTGACAATGATTCATTGGGCATGAAGATGACGGGGGGTATAATATAGTCGATAAAGGACGAGATGCATTTCCATGGAAAGAGGTTCCAAGGAAAAGAAGAAAAGTGGATATAAGCTTCTAACGAGGAAAACCTGCTGCTCTTTTCCCCCTCTAATTAAGATTACGGGGGCTGTTTCGATCTCGCGATTTGTTTGAATTTTCTCTCTCTCTTTTTTTTTCTCGCTTCTCTCCTTCATCTTATTTCCCTTATATCTCTCCTCTCCTTTCTGGACCCTGAGAAGCCGAGCGCACGGAGACCCGGGATCGTCAACCCTTGTGGCGCTGATAATCATATATACACCCACCGGATGCGAGCGGCTCCTATATTGCCAATTTAACGCCATTGGAATTTTGGCAAAGTCTATTTAGCATGGCTATCTTCGATTCCGACAAGCGCCCTCGCGGCCTACGCGTCCCGTCCCTAACGGCGATGAAAAACGGCAGCGTGGCCGCCAAATCGCAATTCTCCTTCTCCTCCAAGAAGTCAAACGAGGTGAAAACTCCCGAGGAAGAGCCCTCGGTGGTTCCTGTGGCCGTACCTGCCCTGCCACCGCAAAAAGCCCCGCCAACAAAGGAGCTACCGCCCCCGCCGAAAGACCAGGTCCCTCCTCCCCCGCGGATGTTGACGAAAGTCCCACCACGGCGCAAAGTTGCCAATGCGACGGATGGAATTACTTCCCCAGTTGCACAGACACCGGTGACTGCACCTGCACCCGTACCAGCACCTGTCCAGGCGCAGGCACAACTACCATCTCCGCCATTGCAAGCAACGCCGCAAGCGGCTTCCCCCCAAACACAAGTCTACGCTCCGGCACCACAGCCAGCTGCCCCGCAACCGGTCAGACCAGCAGAACAATCAGTGGTGGTGAACAAGGCACAAAACTACGTTTCGGACCCAACAGTACCTCCAGTCACCCTATCTCCTCCACCGAGCGACGAGAACGAGGCGTTAACCCCACTCGAAGACTTCATCCCCACCCCCGAGGGCCCCGGGACTCCTCTAGACAATCTATCCACCGAAGAACTGTCAATGCCCCCCATGCCGGATATCGAGCCCGTCGCGGCACCCTTGAACAAGATTCACTTCGCCTGCTTCCAAGAGCATCGGAATATGCCCGTGGCGCAGAACGTGTGGTGTCCACTTCCCTGCCAGACATGCCACAAGTTCAACCGGGAGATCCGGCATCGTTGTGTGTTCTGCTGCTTGCGCGTCTGCGAGGGATGCTACCAGGCGTTGCAGAAATGCAGGAATCGTTCGTTGAGCGAGTTGATGCAGAAGCTCTGATGTCTGCCGTTTAAAGCACCAATTTTTTGTTCGACCCGTATTTGCTTTTTGTTTTATTTCTGCATGATCGGCGCAGTGCGCCGGAGTTAGGGCCGCTGAGAGGATAGACCTGAAGTATATGGAGCAGCGGTCAGTTATATCTGTTGGTTATATTTTTCTTTGTTATGATACCAAGGGCTGTGTATACTAGGATTACCCGGGATGGTTGAATCTATATTGATAATGAGTTCTGTTTTAAGCACATCAATGCACATGATTTGTGAGCTGTTTTACAGCCGTCGCTAAAAGGAAAGAGAAGAAAAGATCCGTAACTCGTCGCTTAATCGTGATCCTCCTCCGTTAGCCCAGGGCAACCCTCGAGCTCCAAATCGGTTTCGTACTGATATTTGCACCAAAAGCAATATCGGTATGTGTCGCGTAGATGCCGCACCAGCTTCTCGAGGCGTTCAGAGGGCTCAAGAGCATTGAAGGCATCCAATTCTGGATCCTCTTCTTCAAGCTCCTGTTCCAGCGCAGCGGTATATGGTCCCGGCTGGTTCCCAATGGCCTGTTTGTCCTCGCGCTCCAGGTCCTCGTCATCGTAGCCCGGCAATTTAGGATTTCGGAAGAAGGACGATGGAAGCGAAGTTTGAAGGAGATGCCGAGCCTGTTTCTCCCGCTCACGCTCCTCGTACTCCCGGACAAGTCCACGATAGAGGACATTAACTTGTGAAGTCGGTTTCACCCGTTTGGGCCTGGGTTTGTGACCCTCATCATCATCCGCGCCCTTGTCTGTATGTGACTCTCCGTCCTTGGTATCGGTAGTCTCGTCCGTCTCCGCATCCAGGTCCAACCGCTCAGCAACCTTCTGCGCAGCGCGAACCTGCGCCTCCGTACGTCGCAATTCGCGCTCTTCCCGGACACGATCGCGATAATCTCCTTCATCACGCTTAATTTTCTTAGTCGCCTCCTCGGCCTCCTCGCGAATCTTCCGCTTCTTCTCAGTATCCAACCCGATACCACCCCGACCATCCTTCAAAGTGAGATTCAGTGGCTCCGCGCGCGTCTGTGTCGGGTCAGGCTTTCCATCCGATGGAGTATCCGAGTCGCGTTTGCCCAGAGAATCGCCCGCCTTGAAGCCTAGCTTCGCCATCATCTTGAACCCCTTGTTCGAGGGGTCCAATGTGCTCTTTGCTAGAGCTTCATCGCGACGCGCAGCTTCCTGAGCTGCTCGTTCTGCCTTGGAGGGGACTCTGCCTCGAGCTTCGGCCTAGTTTCACAGAACTGAGTTAGTGATCCGATCGCCAAGGGCGCCATGCAGGAACGTGATGTGGCTTGGTACCTCGCGCTGCTCCCTGCGTTTTCGTTGAGTGAAGGACTCTTTTTGTGTAGGCTCAGCAATGACCATGGACATGTAATCGTCCTCTTCATCTTCACTGGGTGCCATGGTTTTAATGAGAGCGAAGGTGTGAGCGGACAAGTTTTCTGCAGATTAAGTTGCGGGGAAAAGCCGTAGTGGAGCTTGCGCCAGCCACTCAGAAGCACCTGTTTTGGAGAAATGATATTATGCTAGTGGTGAGGGAAGAAGGTTAAGCAGAGAGAAACAATTTTGACATGCTGTTGCAGAGGCCGTAATTTAGATCACCGTTGATCTATCCACGGCTGTCTGACTTTCACTGAGTTATCTTCACAAGCAGTGCCGATTCTGGACTGCCTTATGCCTTACACTCTGCACCCAGCCCAGCTTCGCAACCCATCGCATCATATTCCTGGTTATCCTTTCAAGCCAAAGGCGCAATTGGAGATCGGGTTTGAAACTCGTTAGAATTGCTCGAGGTTGTGTAATAGAAGGATAGATGTTCGACTGTTTACATGGCTTAGTCACGCGTAGTCAGGAGTCACTACCAGTCACACGACTTGACCTGTTTGGACTATACAACTCTACTATAGACCATAGTACCTTTTCCTACTTCGAAAGTGAGCCAGGGATCCATGGTGTATATGCATGATCACTCTGACAAGTGGGCTCAGGCGTCAACGGCGCAAATTAACTTTCCTTGCATAGGCACGTTTGGAGGATGCATGCAAGGGAGACTCGGCTCTATTTTCTTGGTATCCAGGGACCCATGACTTGCTCAAATGAGCTGGATCTCCCTTTGTATTCCCCCTTTGAGGGGGCTATCAGTCCCTTGACTCGACTTCGGTTCTTCTTTTGAACTCCGGCTTTGTTTATTTCATCCTTTTATACAGGTCGCACTTCCCCTCCTTTCGTGCACCTGAGCCACGTCGCGATGTTGATTTTACTCTTATCTTTGTTTTCACTGGCACTGGGCTCTTCTCCAGTCGTGCATCTAAACTATGCCAGTTATCGTGGAAGCTCATCGCATGGAATCTCCCAATGGCTGGGGATGCGCTATGCTGCGGCGCCGGTGGGAGATTTGCGATTCGAAGGACCTCAAGACCCTCCCCTCGTCACGGGAATACAAAGGGCCACCCAGGTATGTTAGGCAAAAAGCAAAATGAATGTCTTGTCCCTTCCACTGACCGGGGTATCTTTCCCAGCATGGTCCACTTTGTATTCCAGTAGCTGGAAAGCTAAATGCAGCTGTACCATCTAATCATGCCGAAGACTGTCTCTATATAGATGTCTATGCCCCCACGGAAGCTGTTCATTCGAACGCTTCTCTGCCCGTTTACTTTTTCATCCAAGGGGGTGGCTTTGCTGCTTTGACGAATCCCAACTATAACGGCTCTGGCTTAATTGAAGCATCAGGAAATAACATTGTTGTGGTCACCTTCAACTACCGCGTCGGACCATATGGATTTTTGGCTTCCGAAGAAGTAGCGAAGGGCGCGAGTCTGAACAATGGATTGAAGGATCAACTCAAGGCACTCAAATGGGTGAAGAAGCATATCAGCAAGGTACAAGCCCATAATTAACGTCTCAGCCAATGAAGCTCACCGCGTTTATTTGATTTTAGTTTGGGGGAAATCCAAACCACGTGGTGATCGGTGGTGACAGTGCCGGCGGAGCATCAGTCACCTTCCTACTCTCTGCCTATGGTGGACGAGATGAGGGCCTGTTCATCGGAGCAGCTGCTGAATCACAGAGCTTTGGAACAGTGCTCAATGTTGCCGAAAGCCAATTCTCATACAACAGGCTCGCAGCTCGTACGGGTTGTAACACCAGCGAAAATACTTTAAGTTGTCTCCGTGGCCTAGATGTTAGCGCACTACAAGGCGAGAACATTGTCACGCCTTTACCAGGGGCTCCAGGAGACCCCTTATACCTGTACAGCCCGACAATTGATGGAGATCTAGTGCAAGATCACACATACACACTCTTCCAACAAGGTAAATTTGTCAAAGTCCCTGTGATATTCGGCGATGACACGAACGAAGGCACCATCTTCGTCCCCGTCAGCACGTCCAGTGTTGGCGAAGCAGAAGAATTCATCAAAAACCAATTCCCAAGCATGTCAAAAGACCAAATGGCCAAGATTCACAAAATATATCTTAACAAAAACCAGACCCGAAAGTTCCCCAATGCCGGAGTCTACTGGCGACCAGCCAGCAACGCATATGGTGAATTACGATATATTTGCCCGGGTATCCACATGTCCTCCATCTACGCAGCAGCAGGCGTTCCAAGTTGGAACTACCACTACGCCGTAGTGGACCCCGATGATGCTGCCAAGGGTTTCGGGACAACCCACACCGTTGAAGTGAACGCCATATGGGGCCCGGACTATGTTAGCACGGATCCTCCTGACTCGTATTATACCAGTAATGCAGCCATTGTTCCCGTGGTTCAGGGCTACTGGACAAGTTTTATTCGGTCTTTAAATCCGAATACCCACCGGGTCGCGTCTAGTCCTAGATGGCGCACCTGGGGCGACGGCGATGATGCTTACAATCGTATATTTTTGCGAACTAACAGAACGCGGATGGAGAAGGTGTCAGACGAGCAGCAGGAGCGTTGTAATTATCTGATTAGCATTGGGGTTGATTTGAGACAGTAGTATTTCGTCTTAAGATGTATATATCATAGCCCGTGCATACTCTAATTTAGGGGCCGTTGGTATGATGACACAATGTCATGCATGTTCTGAATGGATACACTACGACTATGCATTGAGTAGGTACTTTGATGAAAAATATGTGATAATGGATCGACTTTTGATTCCCCACCCATGCACCAGCCCTGTGAAAAAAAGGGCGAAAGTAGAGACTATATGCAAGGAAAAAAACAAACAAACAAGAACAGATGCCAAATGGTATCGAAAAGATCTCGAGCATATAAGACAAAATCTATTAACGCTTGCCTTGACGTCCCCGCTTCTCGCGTTCGTAATCGTTGGCAGCACGACCCTCCTCGTTCTGAATCTCGGCAACGAGACGCTTGTACTTCTTCTCGTACTCGGAATCGCGCTCCTTCTTCTCGCGCAGCTTCTCGCGAGCAATGAAGCTGGCATCCTTGCGGAGTTCGCGCATGGCACCCTTCTTCTCGCGCTTGATGTCGGCCCTGAGGCGGTTGGCCTCGGCACGCTCGCGATCCGGGTCGTAGTGCTTGTCTGGATTGAAGTTCTCCTCGAACTTGGGGATGGCAGATTTGATAGCCAGGGGACGGTGGTCGTGAAGGAGAAGGGGGCGGCGGGTGAGACGGGCTTTATCCAAGTGGGAGGCGACCTTGTCTAGTGTGGACTGGATCGGGTCGCGGGCTGCGGAGAGGCTCTTGCTCTTGAATGATTGCTTGAGGTGGTTCAAGACGGCCTGGACGGGGGTGAAGATCTCAGTGAACGCGGACTTTTCAGCCCACAGATCCGAGGCGGTATCGAGGAGGGAAACGAAAGTAGTCACAAGAGAGATCTTCAACTCGTCCTCAGCCTGGGAAGAAGTAGTGATATCACGGAATTGAAGTTTGCGCGGGGTGACCTTCTTGGATGGCGAGAGTCGAACAGAGTCCTGGCATTTCCGGGATGGGAAGAAGCCAAGCTTAGCTGTGGGCTCAGTGGGGGCAAGGTTGCAAAGAGCATTGAGGATGTAGTTGATGAACTCAGGCATATATCTCTTGGCGACTGCCTGGTACTGGAGGAAAAGACTCGCGGCAAAAGCACCGGTTGCAAGATCAGACAGAGTGTTGGCTGAGCACTGACCCAAGAACCGAGCAATGCAGAGATGAGCAGGTGTTGAGACGGCATGGAAGTGATCTGATGTAGGGAAAACAGTCGAGATGCCAGTCAGGATGGCAAGATCGCCGGGAAGCAAGTTCAATGGACGGTCATTGGAGATCTCACGAAGGCGAGCACGGAAGGCCATAACGACGTTCATGGGGTGAGTCTTGGCCAACGAGTGAACATGACGCAGAATGTTCTCCATGAGAGCAAAGGACAGCTCTTCATCCCGATTCGCCATGTAAGAAACATGCTCAATGAGAATCTCAGCGAAACGACCCAGCTTAGCCTTGTTATCGGGGTGAAGACGGGGGTGATGCAAGGCACGAATGCGCTGAACCACAGTTGCGACATCCTGGCTAGGCACACCCTTGATCAGATCAAGGAAAGCCTCATGGTCGTCTGGGCAGGGGTAGGTGAAGGCCAACTTGCCATCCGAAGTTTGGTTGGCTGCCACGGCTGCTGATGCTGCACTAGCAGCCGGTAGGGACATTCCATTGATGAGCTCATCTTCCTGTTCTGACTGCTCCGATTCGTCGTCTTCTGAGAGATCCTCCTCCTCTATATCACTTCCATCCATGTCGAGGCTGGCGTTAGACCGCGTCTCGACCAGATCATCGTCAATGACGAAATCATCCTCATCTTCAACAGCCAGCTCTTTCCGTGGCTCATATGTGGGAAGGCCAAAGGCTGTCGCATCATCAATCTCTGATTCGTCATCATCCTGCATGAATGAATCTTTGTCGTCCTCGTTATCCTCCTCGTCACTCAACTGTTCACCACGCATTCGCTTGAGTCGGTTTTCTTCCAATTTCTTTAGTCTTTCAGCTTCCTCCTCAACCTTCTCTTCCTCTGTCTTTGTGCGGTCCGTAGGTGCGGATCGCTTATCGAAAGTCAATTGTTTGATCCGTTGGTCGTACTGCTTCTCGGCATCTGTCTTCTCCGGCCCTTGGAGCATAGCCGCACGCTCTGGGTTCATGGTATCCAGGTCCTGCTGGACAGGCTCTGGCTTGGGCGGGGCCTTCATGCCTCGCAAGGCTTCAAAAAGATCCGGAAGCTCCTGGTCTAGTTCGTCCCGTAAATCATCATCATCCTCCTTGGCCTTCTGACGTTCTTGCTTGTAGAACTTGGACTTGGCAATGACCTCCTTCATAACCTCGGCCTTGGACTTCTTTCGATCGGGCTGATCTTCAGCATCCGGGTCGTGGATATAATCTTCCTCGTCTGCTTCCTCATCGATAAAGCGTTTGCGCTTTCGTGTTGCCTCATCATCGGATTCTTCGCCCTTCATGTCGTCGTCCATCTCACCCATCTCAAAATCGTCACGATTGGCCTCATCAAATGACAGGTTTTGACCCATGTGAGTAAGCTGGAACTCGTCTTCCTCATCCTCAAGGTTGAACATCGATTCCTTGCGCATCTTCTTTTGACTTTCTCTTGCGAATCGTTCGGCAGCCCGCTCTTCGGGGGTCATGGTCGGGTCGTTCTCACCGAATCGACGATCAACAAGTCCACCGACTCTGTTCCGGCTGTTCATTTCTTGTAAAAGCGTTGCTCGGCGCTAAAAATCAAGGATTTGTAAGCTTATTATCGTGAAAAGTATTCGACATTTACATACCCTTTCCTCGCCCAGTGACTTGGTGACGCCCGGGCGATTATTGCGTGTAGCATTAGCTGAGTTACCATCTCGAGTGGTCGCTTCAAACTTGCTTCTAGCAGCGGGGACCTTGATCTCAAAGGGGTTGAATCGATCTCGAATAGCCTGTAAAGCGGCATTGCGCTGGTTCCGGTTTTGCGCCGCAGCGCCAGTTTTTGCGTTCTGGCGTTTTTGCTTCTTGGACTGCTGGGGACCAACGACTCCACTATCCCGAAGCGACGCTTTCAGCTGCTTGAGCTGAGAGGGCGGCATTGTGGTGTGCGAATGCGTGGGGATGTATAGTTTTCTTCTGTTGCTGTAAAGCAGCGGTTGAAGAAAAAAAAGACACCGCCCTCGGCCGCCGATATTCTGCCGCGCATCTCTCCGCAATGGAGCTAACCATACATCCACCCACGATGGCACCTTTTTCCGGGGATGGCGTGCTATGGCTATGTCTAGGTTGGTAATGGTGATTTGATGATGGCATAAAAAGCTAAACATTTCAGGCATATCGCTTTTCTTCGCCGTACGCGGAATTGCCACAGATCTGCGTCAAGTGGTTGATCTGACGGAAGTTAAACATGTTGATCGGGAAGAGAAGATCATCAGTGAGGGGACCGAGGAGGGTGAGCGCATTCAGGTCTATTTGATTCAAGACGCTACTAACACTACTCCAGCTCTCAAACTAGATACCCTACTGAAGCTCTCGTCGAGTACAAGCCATGACCTACGAGCTGCGTATGAAGGCCCCACATCCGATGCTGCATCAACTATTAACACACCAAGCAGAGCCCTCCGCATTATTGCCGAACGATCGACAAAAGGCGAGACTCGTGATATTCTGCTAGATGATCTATCGAGCAAGGACAAAGTCCGACAAGGTCGCGCTCTTACTGCGCTTAACTTTCTTGTCTCAAACCGAGCTCGTATGCATCCTATGAAACCAAATCTACGGATCCAAAGCTTATCATTTACAGTATCCCGAACGTCAGTCTGCACTCGGCTTCGCGATCTTCCTGCATATACCGCCATCATCAACTGTCTCTGCAATTTCCTAGAAGAGCATACCGAAGTAACTTATCCGACAACTTCACCCGTTCTTGCCAGGACTCGGCCACTTGGAGAGAAGAAGGCACTGCAAATTCTCAATATCCTGCTTCCCGAAAACATCCCGGCAGCATTAGAGGCCGGAATAGTGACCCGGTGGCTCACCAAATACCCATTTCCGTGTGCATTGGACGAGCCATCACGGCGACAGGATGTGGTGATTCTCTTGAAAACATGGTGGTCTGACGACACCGTCATGAGCTCCATATTTAGCAATTTGACCTCACACGCAGAGGGAATCAAGCAATTACGCAAGCATGGGTTAATGGGCAGCATGCTTGAAGAAGAGAACGAGCAAGATGATGACGAAGATGATGATGACGACGACGACGACGACGATGACGAGGACAGTGATGTATGGATGGTTGATGGAGAAGATACAGCTGGATCTTACCAAGGATCTTCTTCGCGTAGGCCCCTAGACGGCAACGCGGAGGAACAGGCTCTTCGTCGAAGACGAAGAGAAGCTATGGTTTTGAGTGAAGGAGGACGGCCGCTCGGGAGAAGTGATATCATCCAGCGACCGCTCCAGGATCATTGATTGGGATTTAGTTGTTCCATTGAAAGTGCATCTGGGACCTAGGGAAAACTTGTGATAACTCGACAACATGTATGATACCCCGCCAGGATTGGCAAAGCACGGATGACATTGAATGCGATATTTATAAATTTTATTATGAGTACAAAGCAAGAATGTGTAAGGCACGTTCAAACTAAATGATTAGTCCTTGGGTATACAGACCAGAAGAGTGCTGCTCAAGACAGTGATCGAAACGTCATCGTGTCATGGACATGGATTTGTGGTCATCAATTGAAGCTTAGCCCGTAGACATGCAGACATCATAGATCGTAGTGGAAACATTTCCAAATTACTCGACAATTACGACTGTTTGGACTTGGAACAGAGATAGTTGTCTCGAGTGCAGTAAAGCCCAAGTCACAACGCTGCAATCCAGCTAAAGTTGCCACCAATTTATGTTTCATTGATATCAACGTAAAATTCTCACGAATTACAACCCCATCCATGCCGACTTGGCCAAGTGATCGGTCTTCTTCCGACTAGTCTTGATCATGCCAAACATCTTCATATCAGACAAAGCACTATAGAACAACGACATGACCACTCGGTCATCAACCTTTTTGCCTTGGTCACTTTCAAAAACTCCGTAGAAAGCCTGCCATAGATCATGGACATTGACCAAAGCGCCAGACTCGAGGTAAAGCTGATACAAGATGGCAGCAGCTGGCTGTTTCGCAGAGATTTTGGCCCCGGCAGCAGCAGCATTAGTGGAAATCAAATAATCAAACGGACTAGCCAGGGCCCGTTCAATGGCAAAACGTGGTCGAGGCGTGAATGTCTCTTTCAAGGGATTGCGCAGGTCAAAAACAAAAGCCTCGTTCATGAAAAGATCCTGTGGCCGAACCAATGTTTCAGTAAAGTACTCATGCAACGCGCCCACAAGGCGATCGACGATCTCAGTATACTGAATATCTTGCTCGGGTAGGTTGGCCGTGCCCTTGGTGAGCAGAACCCGTTGCTGAATAACAGTCGTTTTCATTACAGAGCTGTTGATGTTGTATTCACTGCGCAGTGGTAAGGAATCGGGATATGCCTCAAGTAAAGCCTTTAAGTCGGTTTGAATTCCAGGAAGAGGCGAATCGTCAGATAGTGTCTTGGGGAGGGTGTCCATCACTTCGACCAGCTTCTCGGAATCTAGAGTCCTAACTGTGGCTAGCATGTCCTCCACAAGTGGAGACTCAATGAGCTCCCCAGAAAGGGCTCGGACAGACAGATCAGATATGTTTGTCTTTTTTGTAGCCTGGGTGTGCTGAAGACATGTGTGAATAAGAAGCACTGCACGGAAAATATGACGCATTGCTTGCTGGCCTGCGTCGACATGGTCCGAAGCGGCGCGTAGTAGATACTCATCATCCTCTATCATACTCCGCGCTTCACTAGTGGAGCCTGTTTCAACTAGATCTTCACAGAACCTGCAAGCCAATTAGTCAAGAGCTCAACACGTACCGAGGGGTCATATACGTACATTCTGAAAGACGGTAAATTCCGGATAGCTTCACAGAATTGAGCTTGTGACAGGATGGATTTATCTGGATTTCCCAGAAGTACAGCCAGAGGATTGGCAAAGAAATGTGACATGCAGGCGTACTGGGACAAGATTAGTCAAGCGTTTGGCATACTAGAGAGTGTCCATTACCTTAACCATACGACTGAAGGCTTCAGGGGTCTGAAAATAGTCGGTAGCTTTTTCAAACAGCGTACTTGTTATGTTGCGGCCAACCCAAATCCTTCCATCTGAGCTGGTCTGAAGGGCCTCGTAGATACGATCCACGCAGTTACCCGCCTCTTGTACTTCGAAGTGCTTTCCCTGGAGCAATGAGACACATGACCGGGGTAGTCGACCTTCAAAGAGCTCAACAGACGTGGAAATACCAAGCAATACTGTGAACGGTATCCGATCAAGCCAGGATCTAAGCATGTGTTAGTAGCAAACTTAACGATAACTGTTTGACGGGTTCTCACGTGAATAGTGAAAAAAGGTCGGTCAACAGACCGGGGTCAAAGGCTTCACTGTCTCGTAAAGCAAGGACTAGCTTCTTAGTGCCTCTTCTTTGGACGTAGTCATGGAGTAGATCCAAATCGTAACCGAGCACTCGGGGTCCCTGGCTTCCGTTAGTACAGACTAGTGGCCCATACGGCAGCGGACACGTACAGAACGATCTGTGAGAAATCTCTGGTAGCCATCATTACCCTCAGTGTTGGTCACTGCCGCTCGAATGATGTTTTTCAAGGATGTTTTCAAATTGGGTGCATCGCCAGACTCGAGAACGATCACACCCCCTTCATTGGTCGACTTGAGTTGGTCATTAAGGCGAGAGAGCAATCTGCTGAGCGAAGAGACATTGGATCCCACGGTGACGAGAGCTGTCGGAATACATCCGTTGAACCTGACTTTTGATCAGCATCACCAAGTATATCTCCGCGGGAAAGGTCGTCTTACGTCTGCGGCGATGTCTCCCTCACGAAAGAAAGCACATCCGTCAATACACCGGCATCAACATCTTCAAGAATTGACTTTAACGGGTCCCACATCAGCAAGAAATCTTGGCCTGGATTGATCCATGCCTTACCTGAATCTTGTGTTCTTGCTCGGACCATAGTTGTTTGTAGGTGTCGTATCGCAACTGCACACATTCGGCGCTTTCGTCTCCGTTCAACAAGGGCATAAAGCCTGGTACATCATGCTTCTCATTGGAACCCTTGGTCATCGAGACCTTGCGGCGTTTTGAGGGTCGTTCACCGGAAGCTTTGCCAGCTTTTGCGGGTTGGTAAATGTACACGCCCTTGGTAATTACATTAGTGGTTCACTCTTGTGCCTCAACCAAGATTTAGAAAAAAACAAAGACATACCTGGTTCTGGGACCTGTCCTTGGCCAGGTCCAGCGCATCCTCTAATCCATCGGGGTCCATTGCTGGTCGCAATCGAGTGTCGCGTCGGAGAAGGAGAGATAATGACTTCCGGGGCGCGCTAAACCGGATAAGGTAGGATTAATGGTGTTCCGAGCAGAACTTCTTGTCTCCCACCTTTTTCAACTCCCCCAAATGATCGAATCACTCCCCATATGCTCCGCCAGGCTATTCGAGGAGCTCGATGGTATGCGGCGCGCAAACCGTCGGTTTCCCTGCGCCCCTTCAGCGCTGTAACCGCGTGTCGGCTCGACTTCGGTGGGCCAAACGATAAGGTCAACTTCTTTGAACAAGACGCCCCCGGCCAGAGGCGACGGCCGGTCAATCCCGAGGCCGAAGAACTCGAGGAGCGAGAGGACATACAGAATGAACTCATAAAGGTGGAGGAAGAGCTCAAAGTTCTAGAGAAAGGCCCATTCCACCCCGACAGTCCGTTCATCCAGAGCTTACCGGAAGAGGACCGAAAGATTGCGCTCGAGGCCCTTCGAAAGTATGAAGAGGAAAAGGGAACAACAGATCCGCTGCCGTCCTTGGATGATGTTTTTGACGAGGAGCTGGATGACATGCTGAAAGAGGAGTTTGAGGGCATGGCAACAGAGCAAGAGAACTGGCAGGACAGCGCCAGAGAGCAGCGCAAGGTAGCCGCGCGAAAAGCCTCAGAGGCCAGGAAACTAGCGGGCTCCGACTCTCATCCATACGCCGACCGATTTAGAAAAGCTCTTCGCCACTATACCCTGAACACGTTGGATGAACGTGCTTGTCAGGAGCTATGGAAAGCATATCGCCGGTGCAAACAAGCCATCCCAGGATTTCTAGACGCACTGCCTCCGAAAGCCATGCAAGCAGTCTGGGAGTCACAAACTACATCCAAATTATCTAATACTGTCCGTTCAACACATCTGCAAACCCTTGTCCAAGATTCTACGTCCGCCGGGAGATCACTCGCCAAGCCACAAATCCTGTCATATATCCAAGCCCTGCATACTGGCGGCGCGACCAGCCAAGCATTGGAACAGTGGGAGGCATACCAATCAGAGCTTTCACAGGAAAAGGATGATCTCGAGGAATACTGGATGCTCGGTGTCCGACTCTTTGCGGCCGCCAAAGACCCACAACGAGCCCAGGATATTGCTTTGGCATTCCTCTCTAACGACCAATCTCGACAACCGAGAGTTCTCATTCCAGTGATTACAGCATGGGGTTTAGTTCCAGGGAAGGAAGCGGAGGTGAAAGCATGGGCGTTATATCTGCAGTTGAAAACATTCTTGGGTCCAGATATGACCATGGACGACTATGACCAAATCAGTATCGGACTTCTTACGGCTGGTCGATTGGATACCGCTGTTGCTATTTTTAAGGATATGATGGTGACAGGACAGGACCCTGCCAAGGATTCCACGGCCGTGTATCAAGCAGCCCTTGGCCTCGCTGGCAACCTCCATGCGTCGAGCATCAATGAGAAGGCCGTGAACAAGGTCTCGTTGTCGGCGCTTACGATGCTACCTCGTCAATTTCAAAATCGCTTCTTCTATGCCAGCTGGATGAAGAAGCTCATCGGAATGGGCCAGGTTGACTCAGCGGCACTGGTAATTGAACTGATGTATGAACGAAACGTGCGACCGGATACCAAGCACCTCAATGGCTTAGTTGCAGGGTGGCTTCACGAGGGCAACCCGCAGGCACGAGACAAAGCCGAACGACTAGCATGGTCGATGATCCAACACCGCATCGATGCCGTATGGAAGCGATTCCAGCCGCTTGAAACGACGCCTCGTCTTCAAGTCAAGCACCAAGAGGTGGAGCCAAGCCGAATCCCTCATTTTATGAAGCGCGAGGTGCCACCTGCCAGCATCGAGACATTTTCTATCCTTCTTCTCCACTACACGCGCCGAGGTGACGACGACATGGTCAAATACCTGGTCAAGTGCCTTGGCGACGCACACATCCAACCAAACTCATACTTCATGAACCATCTTCTCTACGCTGAACTACGCAAACAAGATATCCGCTCCCTCTGGACCAAGTTCCAAAAGATGTCCGCCTCCGTCCGACCCGACCTGGAGACCTACGCCTGTCTGTGGGACTGCGCAAAATTGCAATTTGACCGTGGTCGCACCTCATACGATGCAGGATTCCCATCAGCTCGCCAATTATTCGCCGGTATGATGCGGTGGTACTCACAACTCACCCCACGAGCCCGCAAAATCACGGACACCGAATTCTCCAAGGACCTTTACGATCAAATTGTGCGTTGCTTCTGTCTGTCTAAGGATATTCCCGGCACACTCGTGGCTATCCACTCGATGCGAACAACATTCGGATTTGCACCGGACGATGTGACTGCTCGTTTGATTGTTCTTCAGGTAGCACGTCTAGCCGGTGTACCTGCCAACACACCGAAGCATCGTCTCCGTCGGTTGTCATCTACCCCGCGCAGCAAAGAAAATATTGGGCAGGTCAACCGGCTCTTGAAATTGCTCGGTGAGCGCAAGTCCATGGCTCTCCAGGCTCAGGGCTTGAGCATTGAACTGCTTGATCCGCAGGAGACGCAGCAGTATCAGCTCGAAATTATGGCCCAGCTTTTGCGTATTGTTCTGAGCCGGACGAACGGTTTGGATCCTGTGCAGATTGAGAGGAAATTGGCACAAGCTGCTGGCGAAATGGATCTGCCGGACATCGATCTTGGTTCGCCCTTAGGGGTTGATGATAGCCAGTTGCTATAACCTGGGGATGTATTTGCATCGCATGGATCGGCGCATATGTACTTCTATTGTCTTTTGGCTATAGTAAGCCGTGTATATTACATATATTTTTTCTAGATCTTGATTGGGAATGTATACTATTCTTCTCTTCAGAATCCGACATCTACTGAGGTCTTCACTTCAAGGTTGTACTGATGGTACACACAACCCCAACTCTCTACGTTTTCGACAGACCAAGATTGTCATGAGAAAAAAAAAAGCTCAATGGTTTTAAATAATAGCAATCCAAAAAGAAAACAGAACTAATTTTACATGCCCATAATCTATTTCTTACCCTTTCCCTTCTTCTTCTTTCCACCAGTCGGGGTACCAGGATTAGAAGGCTCTGCCTCAACCAAAACGGCCTCATCATCACTTGGCTGCACTGCAGCTGCAGGGGCCGCAGAAGCAGACTCCGAGGCAGGCTCCGGAGACTTAGGAGCGGGCGACTGCACAGAGGCCGAAGCCGATCCAGAACCCTCATTCAACTCCTTCATAAATTGCTCCTGGGTAGTAGCCTTCTTCTTACTCCACCATTCCTTCTCCTCAGCAAGCTTCTCCTGCAGGCCGCTCACCCGCTGACGGAAAATATCATTATTCATCATCTCGTTAGCAGACTGGAAGATAAGTTGGCCCCAATTCGGCACGTAAGCATTTGCCTGTATACAAAATGTAAGCGAAGTTCAATCCACAAAGAAGACCTCCACAAAGCTATTCTCAAAGGGATTCTGGCTTGGGGAATACTGACTTCAGCACAAACATCCTTCACCTCAGCCTCCATCTCCTTCTCGGCGCGGAGGAATCGCTGCCAAAGGTCATCCCCGACACTACCGCGTTGAAGCAGCACAGACAGAGCCTGCTTCTGGCTACGGAGAGCAAGAAGACGACGAAGATCTTCTTTCGCGCGACGGAGGAGAGCAGCCTTGAGGACCGACTCGGGCACGGCGGGGGTCTTTTCTTTTTGTGCGGAGGGGTCAAGGTGGAGAAGAGAGAAGTAAATATCGCGTTGCAGGTGCGCAGGGAACCATGGCTCAAGTGAAGCTGCTTTTTCTGTATTGCAAGGTGTTGTTAGTCCTGAAGATTCCATGTGCGGCGCGCAAGGCGGAGCTTGGGTGGGAGAGGGATGGCGGATTTATTCAACAGTCCAGTGGAATTGGCGGTGACACGTACGAGACTTGCGCTTGCGATAGAGAGAGGAGAATGTAGCTAAAGAGCCGATTAAGATGCCTAGGTAGGCGAGGGGAACGGCGAGACTAAGCCAGTCCACCATAATTGCGGGAATGGGTGCGGCGTTGTGGACGCGCGATCGATGGCGACGAAAAGAGAAGGGGGCGAAGGTGGATATTAAGTTGTAAAAAGAAGGCTGATTAAGCTGCAATCATGGCTTAGCAGCGATTTCCAAGGTGCCAAAGGAAGGTGCAAGGGTGAGGAAAGTTGGAGGTATCAAAGACATGTAAAGGCAAAGGCCAGGTGTTTAGTGGGTCGAGATCACATGGTCCGTATACAGGGCCAACTACATATGCATAAAACACTGATTCTTGGTAATTCTGATGACTGAGAGGGTCACTGATATATGTATCGAGTCTCTAGCAATCCATTATGTTCTTTTTACAGTAACAAGTCATATCCCCTCAATACCATCTGGCCAAATGTCTACTATGACGAAGGATCTACGGGGTCAATTGCGTGCAAGATTATTGTATCACATTTCCATTCCATTTTGCTAGATGTATTTAATACATTCTCGTAATAACACCATAATTCTTGGAAATGCTATCATCCTCCCATTCGAAACAAAGAGACACTTGGCTAATGATAATGAACACCCTTCCCATCGAAAAGTGGAAAACAGAAAGAAGAGAACAGGACCGTCTTAGCAAGTCATATGACCTCAGTAAAAATAAATGTATGGACAGGAAAGTAAGAATGAAAGAAGAGAAATAGCCATTAGATCAACATCAACGCTTAGAAGCTTGAATTCAAAGCCTCGCGGCTCTGGCTGGTCGGCCCGATGTCCTGCATGGCCAGCAAATCTTCCAGGACTTCCTCAAAAGTCTCCTGAATGCCCTGAGATACTTTGTTGCGGTCCCACTCACCGCGCATGTGCCACACAAAGTCCATGAGGAATGTGTTGATTTGCTCCAGCTGCTCAACAGATAATCCACTGGTCCGCTTGGCCAACTGGGCGTGAAGGCGGCTAACATGGTCATGGTCAATGACGAGCTCGGGCGCAGGCTCGTCGACGAGGAGTGACTGTAGGTTGAGAGCGTGGTTTGTAGGCTTAGAAGCATCTTCACCGAACAGTGGAGGCTGAGGCTTGGATTGCGATTGCGATTGCGATTGACTTCCATTTAGTAGGCTATTGTCAACCTCTGTTTGGTTGGAAGCCAGCGAATCCCTAGGGCGAGGGGAAAGTTGGCTGCTGCCACCTTGCTGGGTATCAGGCAAATGGTCGTCTTGCGAGACACGGTCGGGGTATTGAGTGAGATCGGGATATTCAAGTCGAGAAACATGGGGGCTTTGTGTGTGGTCTTGTTGATTCGAAGAGTGCTCAGATGACTTCTTGTATGATGTAGTCTGGGTTGTAGACGCTTCGTTGGTGTAGTCTCCGGGTTGAGATCCAGGAGCCATGGGCGTCATGGGACCCTTTTGAGATAAGCTGGACATGCCAGACTCACGGCGAATTTGCTGGGACGGGGCAGTGTGCGAGTATGCAGGCTTAGGTTGCGCAGAAGGCCCAAACGAGCTAGTCGTCGTATCTTTGCTTCCCGAGTGATCATCGGAATTGGACATGAACACGTCGCCGTCGCCATCCCCATGGGACCCGTTGCTCAGGCCGTGAGGGCCAGGCTCATTCAGGTCTGAGCCACCGCCGTTGTGGTATCCATTCGCGAAGCTCACGTGTGACTGGTTCAAAGGTGTAACTGGGCGTACGTCTGTCTTTCTGATTTCTGGAACCCACTCGCCCAAATGGTTCGGACCATTGGATAGATTGGACTCGGTATAACCTTGAGCAGCAGTGGCAGCAGCATTGGCGGCAGCATCCTCAGCCGCTTCAGCCGCGTCTTCAGCTTCTTCTATCTCTCGTAGCCGTTGCTCCTCTGCTTCTTGAGCGAGCTGGGCACGCTCGGCGGCTTCTTTCTCACGGGCGGTCTCTCGCAGGTAAACAGCCTCACATTCTGCCACGAGAGCCGGATCAGCTTGCTCAATGGTGGTAATGTCGACTTCAACGTTGGACAGTAGTTCGTTCGCTCGCAACAGTCGATCCTGATCTCCCAGCTGGCGAGCATCCTTTGCAATCCGTTTGATGTCCGCCAGGAAATCACTAGATCGCTTGTAGTATCCGTTCGAGAGACGCTTCTCTATGGTCACAATCTCCATGTTGTAGAAGAACTTCCCCGTAGCAACCTCAAGAAGACCTGGGACACCATTTTTATCAACGGCCTTCTCATATGGACGATAAATGTTTTGCTGGTCGGGAGGCAGGTCGCTGGTAATGATGTTCGGGTCTGCTTCATCCCACAAATATTTGATGTGGTTTTCGTCAACTACACCACTGCGAAAGCGCTTGTACTTCTTGATTTGATCCATGATAGGCTGGATTCGAATCTTGAGAAGGTTCAGGGTTTGGCGATCTTTCTTCTTCTGGGCCTTGCGCTGTTCCTTGCTGAGAGGTTGCTCGCTTTGGGGGGGGGGTGGAGGCGCAACCTCGAGCTCTTCCAACTGACGTTTCTTGCGGTTCTCGGGATCAGGGAAATCGGAGGGGGCGGTTTTGATGTAGTCAATGAGTTGATCGAAGAACTGAGAACGTGCACCTGCGTCAGGGAACGGAAGATCAAACGAATTTCTCTTCGAGAATCCGAATAATTGCTTAACCAAGGCTTCATCCACATCTTGTCCACTGGACTCAAGAACACCGAGTAACAAGACTGGATCAGATGGAGGCAATGATCGCAACAGACCCAAGAAGGTGGAAATAACAGTGGGTCCGACTGTCTCGAACCATGTCTGGATGTTAGGAATGTAAATCACACTCGGTCTGTGTCGCTTGACTTCCGCGAAAAGCTGAATAACCGTAGCCTCGGGAGATCGGGTCGAATCGCTAAGCAAGGTGGGAAGATCGAAAGCCTGGACATGTAGACCTTCGAAATGGTGCAAGAGGGCGCCTGCAAGATATTGCTGGCCCATTCCTGGGGGACCACGGACAAGCATGCGCGGGCGGAATACCCGCGACCGATCGAATTCCTGCATGATCTGCTCACGGCGGAACCCGTTGTTGTCCGCTGGCTCTTCGTATTGGGCTTCTTCCAAGGCAGTCAACCGCTTCCGCTGCGGGAGAATCTCTGACAGAGCCTTCTGGATATCAGCCAAAGACTGACGGAGTAGAGGCTCAACATTGTGGGGTAATGCCGATGCTCCTGATGAAGTAGATCTTTCTGAAGAGGGAACCATCTTCTTGGCTGCAATCATAAAGTCCTTGGGAAGAACGTCGATGTTCTTCGGCTCGATGATAAGCTTCTGATCCGACTTGTAGATCTGAGGGTACCTTCGCTGCACAGCATTGAGAGCGGCTTCGGTGCAAAGGGCTCGTAAGTCGGCACCTCCATAGCCTTTGGTAATCTTCGCGAGCTCATCCTTCACGTCGCCTGGAAGCGCTGGGTCCCAGCCCTTGGTGTGGATGTCGAGGATGGCGCGCCGGCCTTCAATGTTGGGAAGAGGAAAGTAAAACTCCCGATCGAACCGACCGGGCCGGCGGAGGGCAGGATCAACTGAGTCAGGCCGATTTGTGGCACCGATCACAATGACTTGGCCTCGACCGTCCATGCCATCCATCAACGCCAGCAGGGTCGATACGATTGAGGCATGAATCTGTTCCTGTTTGCTCGATCGCACGGGAGCCAATCCATCAATCTCATCGAAGAAAATGATACTCGGTTGGTTCTTACGAGCTTCTTCAAAGAGAAGCCGCAATTGTCGCTCGGCCTCACCGACCCATTTGCTCAACGTATCGGCGCCCTTTCTCATGTAGAAGCTGACCTTGCGGCCTTCGGAACTGACGCTGTTGGCCAGAGCTCGGGCCAAAAGCGTCTTACCGGTTCCTGGAGGTCCATGGAACAACACACCTCGAGGAGGAACAATATGGAAGCGCTGGAAGATTTCTGGGTACAGCAGCGGAAGAGAAACCATCTCCTTCAATTGATCGATATGTCCTTGAAGGCCTCCCACGCTATCGAAATTGACATTCAGGTCCACACCCAGTGGATCTGCGTCCGCCAAGGTTTGCTTGTCTTGGAGCTTGCCAAAGTTTGCTGGCGTGCCTGCGAGGTGTTGGCCCTCAGCATTGTGGGTTTGGGGCACAAGACCACCAGGGAGGCCGGCGCCCTTGGGTTGTTGAACAAACTCATCGTCACTGCTGTCGCTATCGACACCTCCAGCTGCGCCGGCAGCACCAGGGGGACCGAGTACAGACGGGTGGGCACCGCCGCCAAAGGGACCTGATGTTGGGAAGAGGGTTCGCTGCCAGCCACCACCACCACCCCCAGCACCGCGTCCACGACGAGAAGGAGACTCGGTGATTTCATTCTCAACATCATCCGTAGCGATCATCAGATCAGGGCGAATGATGCGGTAGTCAACATCCTTGCGATTGCGTCGCGGCTTATTTTCATAGATTATCTCCGGCACACGTCCGCGTCGTCGACGGTTTGGCCGCAGGTCTTGAACTTCCTCGGCAAGTTCATCTGCAAGTTCCGACTCAGCTCGAGAACGAGATGCTCTACTGCGCAGGCGACGTCCACCTGTGCTGTCCTCCTCTTCATCGCGACCCTGACTCTTCTGCGGAGACGCAGCAGACTTCCCAGATTCTGAGGCATCATCGTCAGGAGAATCTTCTTCCTCCGGTTCAAAATCACTCTCGTCATCTCCATTTTTACGCTGTGAGCTTCGAGATGGCTGCTTGCGACCAGATCGGTCAGATCGGCGGAGTTTAGGCTCATCCTCAGCATCCGGAGCCACGATTGCGTCCTCAGCCTCATCTTCATCCGGTAGTTCCAGCAAATTTGGTCTGGTTCGTCGACGGGTGATGGGGCCTGCATCTTCGTCGTCTTCGTCTTCGTCCTCGTCGTTCTTCTCGTTCTTCGCTTCTCCGTTCTCAGACTCGGGAACGACGCCGTCCATTGACATCTCAGTGTCGACCTGGTCTTGCCCTCCATCCAAGCCAAAGACAGTATCGCCTTCAGCTGGGGCATCGCTTTCCAAGACCTCAAGTGAAGCCTGGATCTCTGCAGAAGCCTCCGTTGATTCCTCAGGGATGGCCGACTCGCGAGGGGCTCGAGAACCTTGTCGTCTCACTTCGGGATCAGGGCTTGCTGTACCTCGCTCGACTGTTTCCATGTGTCGGCCTGAATTAGTCAGAGCGTAGATGTCTTCTGAGGCACCCCGGGTGCGGCGAGTGGTGCGTCGGTTGACTAAGAGATCAGGCTGTGACAGAATCTCCGGTCGAAGCTTCAGTTTCACAACAGTTCTTTTCGTCTTTGGTGGTGATTTAATGGCTTCATCGTCTTCATCGTCCGCTGGGGATGCATCATCTGAATCTGGCTCTTCGTAGAAGGGGCGGTTCTGGGTTGTTCGACGGCGTGCCGTTCCACGTGCATTGCGGGGAACGGTAGGGTCGTCGGAATCTTCTGATTCTTGAATGGACAAGTCTTCATCGTCGGTGGTCAAGACCTCATCGTCCGAAACAATATCGCCTGAGTTGCGGCGCCGTTTTTTGGCAGGTCTGGATCGCTTCTTGGGGCTCGACTTGGTCTTTCGAGAAACCCGTCGCGAATTGCCATGCTGGGAAGCTTCGCTCCAGTCTTCGTCGTTCGAGTCGGACTTGTTGGCAAGCTCCTCGAGGGAGCGCTTAGAACCACGGCGCATGGTGTCGAGATGGCGGGGGAGATTACGAAATCACTATTAGACAAATCTGTCAGCAAAATGCAATTAAGATACATACTCATGACAGTAGTGACCGTGGTAGATCGAGTCGAAGCGGGTCGGACGAAAGCAAAGAGCCTCTGATTCAGATCGCGAGAAACAAGGAACGCCGGGTGGGAGCTTACCAATGGCAAACAGGTCTTCGTCCAGCGACGACAAGAAGTATTGTGACGCGCAGCCCTTTGAATAGGGCAATCAGCAGGGGAACACCCACAGTGTCTGATGACAATTGGTGATCAAGGCGGTTGGGCTGGTTCCGAGCGAGTCGATGGTGGAGCGCAAGTCGGGGCCAGGGCAGGGCCTCACGGACTCGGCACCAACGCGTGCAAATAAAACAAAGAAAAGATGATCAAGACAACCACAAAGTATAAGGGAAGGCAAGGGTGGAATGGTCTAGAAATCGTGGCCCTTTCTCTTTCTTCGAATATCGCGACTTATAATGAGTGAATGCCCCAGGGCGGAAGGGACTCGCGCTGAACACATTCACTACAGCCACAAACTGTGGCGCGTGATTAGTCACCCGTGCACGTACCACCCCCAAGTGAATAGTCGCCCTGCCATTGCGCACCACCCCAATGCCATGATTCCCTCATTGAGTAGGGGAGATCCGGTCATTTAGAGAGTGTTGATCATCTGTTCGAGATATTCTTAGTTTGTCTTCGCCCTCTTTTGGGCCGATTCGGGCCCCCACGAGGGAGGGAAACCGGACTGGACATGGTGGCAGAAGGAGATGTCAGAGAGCAGTCAGGGACGTGGAGTAGCGCAAGCCGGAACCGTTTTATTATTTTGGGTTGTGGCTCCCTTCCATTGCTGCCCGCCAGAATTCAAGACCTGATATCATGTGACCGCTGACTAACTAGTGCTCAATCAGCTATAAAACATACAACTGAATAGAATCACGTATATGAATTACTACAACTACAAAACAGGCATGTAGTAGACTTCATTCCCAGATATTGAGCTTTTGAACTTATCCATGACGCAAAAGATGTGTCAGTGTGTTGAGATGAGTCTGCGCAACCAAGCACCACCGCCACACTGCTATAGCTACACTAAACACAATCCTTAGATCTGGGAAACCGGTACATGAGGAAGCAAACAATAGCACTTCATGACATTCCATTCTAAGCTGAATCGAAGTTGTCTCATTGGAAAAGAAGACCCCCATCAGCTTCCAAACTACAAATGACAACACTTCACGCCAAGCCCGCTATCCCCAAACAGGCAACCACACTAAACCTCATCCACCAACTCCAGACCGCGGCAAAACTCCCGAGCAGCGACGCAATCCGCAATTCCATACATTCACCTCATACTCACCATGTTGCTGCGACAATCCACTCGCCTCTCTACGCGGCTGGCAGGTCCAATCCGGGATGCATCCAGCATTCGGTCATGGAGCTCCACCGCCTCAAAACTCAGTGAAAAGAAGAGCGCGTACCGGGAAGGGGTATGTTGTACCTCTAGTTTTCTCTTTGCATGTTCAATGACATGTATTGAGTACATTGGTGTGGTGCTGATATAGTCTAGCTTTCGGCATATGGTGCCTTTGCGCGCCCCTTTGGCAAGGTCTTCTTGGGCGCTGTCCTCACCTACCAAATTATCTATTGGTCATGGATGAAGCTGGAGACCGATGATATTAAACTTCAGAAGAATGGTAAGTTTTCCTGCATTGCAACGCTTAATATTCCTTCAAATCCCTTCTAACAACCTACAGAACAACTATCAGGCCTAGAGAAAAAGGCCCGGGAGCTGGCGGCGGCCCAGAAATGAAAGCCGTGCAGAATCATGAATGACGTGTACTATACTGTTTCATATTACCAAGCTTAGCACGAATAACATTCTGTGTTTTATATTCAGTTCTTATCTTCAAAAACTAACACCTAACCTCCAGGGCTGGGGCCTTGCTGATTCATAAACAATCATGAGAATCACATCATGCAACGATTCATTATAAACAAAGCGCAGGATCAATCGACTCTGTCCGATCGCAAATGTCCGCCAGTGTGCTTGCGCTTGCGATTATTTAGCTCCGACCCTACGGGTTGCCCAGCAGCCTTCACGCATGTACCATTAGCCTCCGCGCCAGGCAGGATAGCCGACTCTCTAAACTCCGGGGAAACCCAATCATGGCCTCGCTCGCCTTTCTTGAAATGCTCGATGTCAATGTGATTGAACCGCTCATCTAGGGCTGTAGAACCAGTGCTCTGTAGCGGAACGGTGCGGCTGCAAAGACCGCACCAGAAGTGGGATTGGTCGGCGAGATCAAGACGAGTTGCGGAGAGGGAGGCCTTTAATCGGGTCTTGGGGATCCGATGTTGCTGAGTCAGATGCTGGGTATATGTTTCCTGGCGGTAAAATATGCGTCCACATGATTCACCCTTGGAGTGGTCGTGGAAGGCACAGAGCCAGCTCGGGATATGGAGGTGTTGGGAGGTCTCGTGGCGCTTCCAGTCAGCTTTGCTGCCGAACGACTTAGCACAGTGGGGGAATGTGCAGCCATAAGGTCGCTCATGGCGTTTTTGGTGTTTTCTATGGGACTGTTAGAATTAAAAAGGATATAGGTGATGGCTGGTGGACTGACTTCATCTCGCAACGTAGGCGAGTTCGCTTTGAGCAGATATCACATTGGAACCAGCCCTGCTTTTCATCGGTGGATTCCTGTGCTGCTGGGGCTTCATCTGAGAGCCGTTCTAGGGCTACTGAGAGCACCTTCTGTAGCATTTGTCGCTGAGGCTGGGAGAGTGCACTGTCAGTTTCGACTTCAATCCCTTCGTCGGTGTTTTGGTTTCTGCGAACACGGCTGTTCATCATCTTGGTCATGGCGTTGATGAGGTTATCGGCTGCGTCGGTCACAATTGGCTCCGACTTGATGTGTCCAAGTTCCGTAGCAGGATGGGTACCATCTTGTATGGGGGATGCATCGAGGCTCATAGATCCCAATGATTGAAATTGTGATTGGGTATCTGAAAGACCAATTTCAGAAGGTGGGTTGCTGGAAGCTGGTCTGGGGGTGGCCGCTTGGGAAGAGAGATAGTCGACATTATCTTGTGCATGGTGCATGGTCTCATCGGAATCCATATCCATCTCGCCAGAGTGGGTGGACAGATGATCTTGTGTGTCGATCATTGAAACCTCTGAGCTGGTGTCCTCGAGTTTAAAGTCAGACCGACGACCGGTGAGACTCTCATGCCACTCCATTGATCTAGGGCCATATTAGCTGGCTTGAGATTATCTAAAAGCGAACAGAAAGGAGGCTTACCTCCTCAGCAATTTCTCTCCATCTTCTTCGGCATGCATGCGACTAAGATGCTGCTTGAAGTTGTCTAATCGCGGCCATCTCTTGCTGGGACGAGGACAATTCTTCCCATAGCAGAGGTACATCATCTTCGGGCCGCGTTCGGGTTCCTTGTTGTGAACACATTTCTTGTGACGGGCCAAATCATTGATAGTGCCGAAGCCCTCTTTACGAGGACAGTTAGGCTCATCACATTTGAAAAGTTTCCGATGGCGGGCCTCGTGTTTCCTAAAATATATCACATCAGCACACATCCAACTCAAGTACAGGATAGGTGCATACCTCTTATCAGATGGACACTTTCCAACCCAAGAGCAAGCCGGATGATCACATTTGACCGAAGCGTCAAACAAAGACTCGTTAAAGTGCTGTGCAAAAGTGGGACCCGCCATGCGAGAATGGTCAAAGAACGTCATAGGTTCGGCAAAAGCTTGCTCCTTGGTACCAATCTGTGGACTCGACAACGATTCCATAAACGACGATGGACCAACCGAGTGGCCCCCACTGTTACTCCCATAGCCCGAGTCCGCCGAGTGCAAACTACCCATATACTGACTACCAGCCTCAGAGGGGGTTCTATAGTGGGGTTTCGGGAAAGCACAGTCCGCGTCAGACATTTGCATATGGGAGACTGTCGAGGTAGCGGGAACACCAGCAGCTAGCAACGGGTTCCAAGCATCCTGGTCTGCACCGAACCTAGAGGCGGGGTAATTTGGGTAGTAAAAATCCTGAGAGCCAGCAGAGGGCCACTGGTTCAAGAAGGCAGGATGACTGGTTGGATCGAGCGAGGCCAGATCGGCAGTCAACTGTAACTCCAGCAGTGGGTTTGGGGCTGAGTCTCCCAGAACTAAATTTGAACGAAAGTCCGATGGATCTTGTGGGTTGCCGACAGTGTTGACCATGATGTCCTGAAGGACGTCACTAGAATCACTCCAACGTGTATCCTACAAGAGGAAGCATAAATAAACGTTAGTCGGGAGAACTGTCCACCAGATGGAGAGCAATATAGGTAAAACCAAGAAAAAGTCGCAAGCGGGACAGACGTACCTCCATAGTGGACCAGCTGATATACGAGCGGGTGAGTGGGTTCGGGGATCTAGATCGAACACCCGGGTGAAGAATATCGAAACCCCAAATGAATATATAAGCAGACGCTCAGCCAATCCAAGTTATATCCAGGAAAGAAAACGGGCCGGGATGGCAGGGTTAAAAGGAAAACGCAAGCGCACACCCCTCTTTCGAGAGAAATTAGAAATTAGAAAAAATAAAAAACGAGGTGCATGCACATTCATGCACGCGAAAAAGAATCAGCAAAAACACGCACCCACGAGAGATCCACTCGCCCCGAGCCGGTGTAAACCATCAACCACGCGGACTCGAAGGGATAAGAATGAGGGCAGACCTAAGTAAGACAAACCGTGGAATGCACATCCCTTGATTTGCACAGCCCCGGGGTGAGTGTGGGGGGTTCACCCGGGCAGATCATGTCTGACAAGGCTATAGAGTACTTTGCCGATCCAATGCACACGTTCCCGACGTTGTGGTTCCATTGTTTCTTTTCTTTTTGTATCTCATTACCTGTTAGATTCCTCTGAGTTCCCTGGCTAAGCGAACTGCTTTAGACCGACTACAGTAATAGATGAAGTGGGTAGGAAAGCAAGGGCTCCGGATCGAGTTGTGACAGGGCCGATCAGATCCACGCCATGAGTGCCACGCCATCAAGGGATACGGAAATGAGCGCATGGCAAATGGGAGCGAAGGTTTCGACTTGAAACACCTTTACATGACCACGCGTTGCTAGGGAGTTCCTCCCCCTTGATGAGGTGAACCCCCTTTTTCGGGGGTGGTGTATCGGGCAAAACGCCGGTAAATCCGAATATGATCTCTCATATGCTATGCACATGGCTCAACACGTCTGAGACAGAATGCCCCTCAAAATATGTACATAAAATCCGATGATCGGGTCATTCCACGCAGGAAATAGTTCAACACTCGTTGGGCCATCATTGTTCTAAGTTGGGGGGGGGGGGCTGAAAGGCAGAGGGAGATAAGAACGGGACCGAGAAGATAATAAAAAAAAAAACAAGCAAAAGGAAACTATAGAGAAGACTATAGAGAAAAAACAAAGCACAGAAAAGAAAAGAAAATAACAATTCCCATCCCTTTCATGCACATCCATTGGCGTGACGTACATACGGCAATTAACCAACAGTAAAAATCGACAGAAGGGGTATACACGTATACTGACGGAAATGCAAGACGTCAAAAAAAAGAAATGAAAATGGGGAAAAAAAAAACATGACAAGAAACATGACAAGGAAAAGGACGAGAATAGGAAAAAGAAATAAGAAATTGGCTATCGTCACATTTGCGAGGAATAGCTGTGCGTATAGGAACCATATGGTGAGGTAGGAGCCATATGATAAGGCGGGTAGCTTGCTTGTGCGGGGTATAGCGAGCTTTGAGGAAGCTGATAAGATGGCATTACAGAAGCGTTCGCGTCGGGTGTTCTTGGCCGGTGGATCGCATTGTATGGCGGTGGGTACGTCACAGAGTTTTGATGATGCGGGAGGTGGGTCTCGGCTGACGGGTGGAGCGTGGCTTGGTCAAATTGGTTAATGTAAGAATACTGATCACCCGGGAAGGGGTCGGCCATCGGTTCGGGTTCTGTCGAAAGGATGGTGCCCGAGATAGAGGGATAGCCAAGAAGTGACACGTCGCAAGGGATGCTTGCGCTGACAGGAGGGCTAGCCTTGCCAGTGGGATATTGCGGAGTGGGAATCGTCGCCCCTGCAGTATTCTGATGTCCATAAAACGGTGCAGAAAGAGGAGGGTATGTTTCGGCAGACCCACTAGAAATTCCTGCAGGGGCTGGGCTAGGGGTGGCGGTGCCCTGTTTGGCAAGTTCTAGAACCGGCATTGCCAACTGCTCCATGTGTTTCCCCAGGTGCACCGTTAGCTTTTTCCAATTGCCAAGGATATTCCCGCAGAATTGGCAGGGCTCCGACGCCGACGTTTCTTTGGTCTCATGCCTGCACTCGTCGAGCAGCTTCATTAACCGATCACGGCTGGCCTGTCCCTCGGCCCCTGCTTTGCCCTTCTTCACCTTGGGATCGGGCATCTTATGTTCCCGGACCAAGTGTTGGACAAAGTTGTCTTTCCGATAACAGATATGATTACATGTAGAGCAGGCCCACCATTCCAAATGTCGGTGCTTCTCGTTTTCATGTCGGACCCAGTCTGCTTTACGCTTGAATGACTTGGGTTCAGTGCAATCGGGAAAGCTGCATGTGAATGGCTGCAGATCCTCTTGAACATGCTTGGACCAATCTGATGGTTTATGAACCTTTTTAACCTCATAGCAGATGGAGCACTCAAATTCGGCAGGCAAGCGGCCAACGGGTGGAATGGGCACACCGGCGGGAAATTGAGCCGGGGTAGGGGATCCTTCCGTTACCACGCATGGTGGGTCACGACCATTAACCAATTCCGCAACAAGGAATTGGGTTTGCCCAGCTTCCACAGAGGTTGACGTTTTTCGTTGTTCCAGCAATTCTGCTTTGCCTCCCAAAGCAAAACAGAATTTACCCGACTTGCATTTACGATTGGCAATAGCAGCTGCGTGATTCTGCTGCAGCGCCACCAGTCTCTCATATCGATTGACCTGCTCGCGCGCGAATCGTTCGATCAGAGCCGGCGCGAGTCGTGGGTTCAGATCCATGATCTGCTGCTTAAACCCTTCGAGCGTTGGCACTGGCAAACGTGACATCAGAGGAAAATCCATGACAAGCCCCTTATCATCCGCTGCATCCATGTGGTCCTCATCGTCATCTTCATCCTTAGCCACGGTGCCAACGTCGGGGGTATCACTGGCTCGCACGTGCTCAGTCTCGGTCGAAGTCCTTGGCGAAGAGAGGAAATTGGCAACAGGCGGCCCACCGTGGTTGGTCATCAGAGCCATCAGCCCAGTAACAGGTCGTGGAACTTCACTTCGACTTCGACCTCGAGCCGTAATAGCAGTACCCTTCGGGGCTACGTCAGTATTTGGCGAGACGGCATGGACTGCATTGTTTCCTCCAATCGCTGCCATCTGTCCCGTCATAGAAAACAGAGCATTAGTCAAGCTTGGGGAGCGACTATGTTGTCTTGATGATAAACTCAACCGATGACGGTGTGAGTGACTCTCTTTCCGCTGTGGAACTTCAGAGCTAGTATGCTGGGCACTGGTATTGGCGTTGGCAATCGAGAAATCCGATGCTTGACGCTTCAGTTTCGAGGTTGCGTGCAAAAAGGAACGCTGGAAGAGAGTGCCAACGCTCTCTTTAGGCTTCGGCTCAGCCGTGATGCTCAGCTCCGTAAAAGCCGACCTGACATGAAATAGACTGTTGTTATCCACAGTCGCCGCCAGCGACGCGGTTTCGATATCCTTCGCCCGCTTTTCAAACGCAACCATCGCCGCACTAGAGCTCCCGGGCTGCATGGCTTCTTTTCTCTGCGTTGAATCGCGTGAGGGATCCTGCCAAGGATGAAGACAGATGCCCTCAGCGGGGCCGGTCGATCCGAGTAAAGCATAGCATTCAGGTGTGGAACGGTCATATCGACCGGGCTCGTTGACATCAGCTGGGGGAGAACCAGGCGTTGAGCCATTAGTTTTGACGCTAGAATCACCATCACCATCATCATCGCTGCCCTCGCTTTCATGCACTAAGACCCCGGGTCCGGGGGTCATGTTGCCACCATGGAACTTTAGACTAAAATAGTCTTCTTGCTGAAGAGGGCGGTCTCCGGTGCTCCTTGCTCGCAGTCTGTTACTGATGTGCTTCCTTTGGGGAGGAGGGGTCGGAGGCTGATTGCCGTCTATTCCTGTGCTGGCGGCGCTCAACCAGAGGGTAATATGCTGGTTCTTCTGATCGCGTTCGCGCTGTCCCTTGAGATCGTTGGGGCTTTGTACGTATTCGTTCCCTCGAGAGGAAGGTTCAAGGCCGCCATGACCAGTCGTTGGACTCCGAATCCATTTTCCGTTATTGGTTCGTGCGACAGAAAGGGACGAGACCGATCGGTGGTCATCATCGACATTACCATCATCTTCTGAGTCACTGGACATTCCCCCTGGCGAGAGATGCATCGAGGATCGGCTCGGGCGTCTACTGTGCCAGAGGTTTCCCGCAACCGGGGAATCTCCACGCGACACACTCTCCACGGTAATTCCAATGGGGCTTCTTAGCGGACTTCTCCCCCTGACGGTCGAAGCCGACACCACATCATTTCCTGGGGCATGCTCGGTCGTGACAGTTAGTTGAGCTGGCCCATATCGTTGGTCAGCGCTAGCAAGCAAGCCCTGGCTGGGTGCATGGCTTTGTGCCGTCGCGAGATCTTGAATGGAAGAAGGGCTCGGGATAGTTTGCTCTGGGTTGAGCCACTGCTGGGAAGGCGCAACGGCCACAACTGATGGCCATTGATCCTGTGTAACCGGCGCAGTTGTCTCCCCGTTGAGCGACCTTTCATTCTGCCAGTTGGATCCATTCAACTCAATATTGGATGGGTCCAGAAAATTACCTGAATCAGGGGACGCGCTAGAACTGGGGTTCTCATTTCCCGCGGCCCAGAAGTTCGTTTGAAGAGTGGGACTCGCGCTCAGGGCATCATTTGCCCCGATCGGAGAGGAACTGGCATGATTTGGACTGCCCCCCACAGGTGTCAAGCGGAGAGCAAATGCTTGAAAATCAAGTTCTTCTTGGTCGGACGAGACCGACAGATATGGATCCTGAGTATTCGGTTCCAGCAAGATGGGTGCGGATCTGTCGTGCGGGGTGCGCTCCATTTTCAAGGACTGGTGGGCGGACCTTTTGGCCCACGCAGAGAAGGGCGAGTTAACGGAGGCGCCTTCAGATGGAGGCGAAATTGGACGAGAAGAGGGGAACGCATTGAATGGGTGCAAGGTATTGGACGCAAGTTGAGAAGGGCTGTGATATATATTGGCGGGCATCGATGATCAAGATACGAGAATCTCTGTCGTCTTTCACACCTGCACAGAGCTGAGACCAAGAATAGAATAGTATGCAAGCTGAGCTGACAGGCCCGAGTGTCACTGGGGAGGGTCAAGAAAAGAGGGAATTGGGGGCGAAAAGACGGGAATGTGTGAAGAGTGTAAAAAGTTAAAGACTAAAGAGAGGAAGATCAGAGGGAGATTACAAAACCTCGGAAAGCTGGAAGAAGAGGATAAGCGCCCATGCGAGGGGAAAAGCGATAGGATTGAGGGGAGGTCAGCCTTGTAACTTGCTCCACTGCGAGCCTCATTTAGCGCTACCAGTGGTGCTTGGCGCCTTGAACATCGGACTCAACCCTTGGATGAATTCCAAAATGAGTCGACTTGTATTGGAATCAGAGAGTTCATTTAGCTTGTCTAGATAGTCTCCTTCTATATATGTAAATGTTCATGGTTCATACAAGGCACTCTTGGGATTCCTAACGCGGGTGAGGCTGTACACAGGTTTGGTATGGCGCCCGAGCCACATGCGCTATTCTTATCCTTTTGGCCCCCCCTCCCCCTTCCACCTTGTTCTTTGTTCCTGAAGACTTCCCATAATTTAAAATTGCAGAATGCTGTTCACTTGCTTAGGAACGTTTAAAAGTAAATTTCAAAGTTTGTTCCTGTCCATGGTTCATGGAAATGAAACATGTGGGCTGTGGGGAAAGAGTTCGGGTCCCAAGACGTCATAGGCGATGTTTCACATTCTAATTGAGCCACTGTACACACATGTGTGAGTCCCAAATCCCTGTGATCAAGACTTTTAGGGTACATCTAGATGGAGAAAACTGGCTATTTGGGTATCTTCAAAAGTTGTTCGCTCTGGGATGGATGTTACAGGCATGCTGCCATTGGCTGGCCATATCACCAGTATATTTTAAAGTACAACGAAGGAGAGATGAACACACCAGCCACTACTGGCGTTGCCAATGGCCCGATTCTGTAGGATGAAGATGGTGGTGCCGGGCCCGTGGCGCGGCACGCGCCGCAGGTTGATGAAAAGGGGCCCCCACCGTCACCCGCCTAAACGAACCTTAGTCAGCTTTCAATTGTAACTTAATCAATTCATACTGATAGGTGTGCCTCGAAGTTGAACATGCCTCGCGCTTCCAGCTCTTAAATTCGAGCCTCCAGCTTGGTAATTCTCTTTTATAGTAAATGCATAAATGCAACCTCCCGAGGCCATGGACCTGATTAAAGTCTAGCATCTCAGGTTTAAGCAAGGCTTCCTTAAAAGAACATTCCAAGACTAGTTTTCACTCTTTCCCAGCCATCCAAAGATCTTTAAACCATCCTTTTTCCTCCTTGATCAACTGAATTGGCGAACCCTCTTCCACAAGCCTGCCACCATCCATGACCAAGACCTTATCAAACTCCATAACAATATCAAGTCGATGACTAACCATGATCACAGTGTATCTTTCAAACTCACTCCATATGATATCCCGCATGGTCTTCTGTGTCTCAGCATCCACACTGCTATTCACCTCATCGAGGATAAGGACACCGCTATCGCCGGCCGCCGGAAGCTCAGAGGTGGATGTACTCATATAGACATCGCCTACCTCGGCATTTATCTGGCGAGCACGGACTCGCCGGCGCAGGACTGCCCTTGCCAGATTGAATAGCTGCTTCTGACCATGGCTCAGCATGTCGGCACTGAGTCCGGCCTCTAGTCCCCCGTGGTCAGATACCAAGGGCCATAGTCCTACGGTCTTCAGAACTGAGTGGCACTCGTCGTGTGTTGCAGCGTCGAAGGGATCGAGGTTTTTTCTGAATGTAGTGCGGTCCGGAAAGAATGTCGGATCCTGAGGCACCGCAATAATGCATTGGCGTAAGGTGGAGCGGTCAATCTTTAAGAGTGAGGTATTGTCGATAGAAAGTTCCCCTGTGCATGAAGAAAGTGGGTCTAAGAGACGCAAGAGCAAGAGAACTGTGGAGGATTTCCCACTATATAAAGTAGTTGTGTAAGCATTCAACAGCATTATCTAGAATTCGCGGGCGGGCCTTGTGAGACTCATTTAAAATTGACCGTAGACTCACCTTCCTGTTCTGCCACAAATTGCTACTTTCTGCCCTGCTGGAATCGTGAACGTGAGGTCTCGGAGTGCAAGGTTGCCTGCTTCCGAGGTCTCGGCTGACTCGGCACCGCTGTATAGCCAGATCAGCAGATATTCAACAGTCTACACAGTAAGTATAGAGAGTACTGACCTATAGGATGCAGAAATATTCTTGACTGTAATCATTCCCCTCTCCGGCCACGTGGTGGGGGGTCGAGTATCCTCGCCTGGTAAATCCTCAGGAGCAGTTTTATCACTTAAAGCCTTTATGCGGGAGACAGCTCCGATCGAGGTCTCCAACTGCGTATACATCTGTATCAGACTCGCCAGATCCGAACCGAAGCTCATAATTGATACCAAACTGGCACCGGTCAAGCCAGTACGGGGGCGAAGCTGAGTAGCGAGAGTAACCACGAGGAGCGCGATAACTGCCACGACCATATCGAGCACGAATGACAAGCATCGCTGGATCATGCCTAGCTGGTATGCGGGGCGCTGTGATGTGTCTAAAAGAACATTGTTGAAGACGATAGAATTCTCTGTCCACCCGAACGCACGCAGGGTAGTTGTGCCTTTGATTGTATCTAGAAAATGCGTGCTAAAGGATAATAATTAGCAATGATTGAGAAATGCAGCAGTAAGTGTCATACTAGAGTGGGCTCTTTGCCTCCAGATCCAAGAGCCGAAGCTGGCGAGATGTCCGAAGATAGAATCTCTGAACCCCGTAGAGAATCGACAGAACGAAAGGATACGCGATAATGATATAGGGAGATGAAGATGCAACTACTGCTGCGCTCCCTACCGTCAACCAGATCTGCAGCGAAGTATTGATCAAAGCTTGTGCAAGCTCCCCATCGATAAGTGTCATGTCCTGAGAGAACAAGTTGGTTATGATGCCTGTATCTGTCTGAGAGAAGAAGCGTAGCGGAGCGGAAATCACTGTTCGCAAAGCTGCTTCGTGTAGACTCGACCCGGAATCGCGAATGATTATCAGCAGGCCAATGGATGCCTCGCTAAGTATTGAAGCCAAGGCGAGACACTGGAAAAGGCCATAAATCCCGACGTAGAAAGATTTAGACTGGTTGAAAGAATCTGCGCTCCAATAACCTAACCAGATCGTGGGGAAGCTCCCAAGAAATCCAGTGAGAATACCGAATAGCAAGAAAGTGATAATCCAAAAAGTGCGAATGCTTCGGCAGTAGTATGCAAAGACAGTCCAGTCGCCCGTGGCTCTGTTTAGTTCACTGCTGTCGGTTTCGTCAGTGCATTCGTTGCTGCTAACAGCTGGCGCCTCGGGCAATTCCTCCTGAATCTTGACCTCCGATTGGGATATCATTGCTGCTGGGCCGCAAGAGATCTTGGCGTCGGTCTGGAATCCGAGACTATGGACATATTTTCTGTTTGCGACAAGGTCGCAGAATCGACCTTTTTCCACAATAGTGCCATCACTTGCCAGTGCAACGATATAGTCAGCTGATGGTAGGTATCGAGTGGCATTTGTGCAGAGTATCACAATTGCCTCTCTTACCCTAAGGATTCCTGCCGGGCCAAAGAGATTATGAAAAATGCGCTCTGCTGTATTGGTGTCCAGACCACCGAGAGGATCATCCAGGATAAGCAAGTCGCATTGGAGATACAATGCTCTTGCAAGTGCAACACGCTGTTTCTGGCCACCACTGAGAGAGGTTCCACCGCTACCAATCTTTGTTTGATCCCCTCTGGAAAGCAGAGATAGGTCTTTAGAAAGCATTGTTGCTTCAATGACAGCAGCATATCTTTTCTCATCAAAGTCCGAGAACCCTATGATAGTGTCCTTAATCCGTTCGTTGGGTAGAAAGGGAACCTGGTCACAGAATCCGATATTGGGAAACCTGGTCCGGATGAAGGTGTCCCCAGACGCATTCGGCGTTTCTCCTAGCAATGCTTTGCACAATGTTGACTTTCCGCAGGCAACAGGGCCAATAATCATGGTCAGCCCCTGGGACAAGGAAAAGTTGATATCCTTCAGAGTCAGTGCACTCTTATCCCAGCCAAAACCTGCATTTTTGACCTCAACAACCGACGGTAATTTGTCACCTAAACCGCTCTTCTCGGACGATCCATATGACCCAGCAAGTCGGCGAAAGTCTTGCCTAGGCTCTTCCTCGAGAAAAAGCTCTATTCTCGATAGACACGAGAATGCCGCAATCAACTGGGGAGCGTTTTGAAACAGCGTGGACAATGGGTTTGTGAGAAGCTGGAGCCAAGAGACCGAGGTGTAGATCGTCGTGACATTTAGTTCGCGAGAGGTGAGAGCGAAAGCAAAAATCGGGCCTAGCAGAAATGGCGAGAATCCAATGGCTGCAGACCCCACCATGAAGGATCGAAACCTGCTCCCGGCCTGCAACTCGTCAACCCGCAGCATCTGAATGGTATCTTCCAGAGGCTTCGTAAACCCAGAAATCTTCAAGTGTTTCATGTTAGCGATGACATTTGCCGTATGACCGACCCGCTTCTGAATGCTTTTCATCCAAGCTGTTTGGCTAGGACCGACAAACCGTATGACTATGCTGGATGAAATGACACAAATGAAGATGACAACCAGCGGGGCCACAAATGCTGTCCCGAGCTGCCGCTGAAGTAGCCAGCAGGCGATAGCTACCTGTATTGGGTTTGCCCAAAACTCGTGAAGCTGCATCAACCCCATTCTAACCCTTTCAACATCTGTGCTCATTAGCGTGACAGCTGCTGCATCGTCTGCATTGGAAGCATGTGCCCGAACTGTCTGACGGTATATCGCGGAAGCCAAGCATGCTCTGGTCTTGAATAATGCCCGCTCGTGCAAATACCAATAGAGGGCAGTGGAAAATGGTATTCCTGTATAAACCAGAATCGTAGCACCAATCAAGCCGTAACCCTTATTGGCAGTCAAGCTATTGCTGGATTCTTCGAGGAAGTTCAAAATGGTTTCAATGAGAAAGGGCTGACAAATTGTAAACCCTAGTAGGGCGATGCGAGGAATAGCTGGTAGTAGAATGGGCACTGCCAAAGTACGAGCAAGCGCTTTCGCTAAGCCATTCTTGCCTACTTGAGAATCATTGTGCTTGATATTGTGGGCGAAGGATGTTTTCAGAGCCTCCACCGAGACACTTTTGTCTAGAGGGAAAAGATCTGATAGATTCAGAACCTTTTTGTACCCCGACATGAAAAGTGGTGTGAGCCAGAGAAAAGTTCCGAGCCCATAGAGCCCATTGACCTCTTCAGGGCTATGTATGTTCCAGTCCCATCCTAGCCAGCTTTGGCAGTGCACGGATTCGAGACAGACCAGAGCAGCCTTCCAGACCACGGCTACGGTGAACAGTTTCACATAGTTGAGCTCGTCGGCGCTATGAGCCAGCAGCCACAGCGAGCGCACCTGCACAATATCACAGAGTACAGTCAGCGAAAGAAATATGCTGAGCAATATAGAGGGCCGAGGCGAGCGAGAATGCTCCAGAAAGCTCAAGATTGGTATCACTATTGCCGTCACAAAACTTAAGACCTCAGCTGTGGTGGATAAATCAATTAAGTCCAATGAATGGACGCTGCCAATGATGAGCAGAGATAGCTGGAAGACTGTGTAGATCGCTGCTGCTACCTTTGGGGGTAAGCGTATTAGTCTAGGCTCTTCACTTCTCAGTAGACAAAAAACTCACAAGCTTTACAAACTGGAAGGTTGTGCCATTCACTGTTCGTCGTTTTCGAGCAAGGTGGATGGCTCTAGGGACTGATAGAGCAATGAAGACGACGGACGGTAGTATGGAGAGAATGATTTTCTCGAACTTCAGCGTAAAGTCAAAATCCCCCCGGCATCCTTTCACAATAGGGCCGAAGGAAGCATCGTTCACGCATGATATTTCCATGTCAAGAGGATCACAAATCAGACGATTTCAACTTGCATAGTACCTCCAATGTAATTCAGAGCTCAAGCGAGCTTTTGATCTCCAAATATTCTCGTTGCCTTGAATATTCGGGGTTCGGTGTTCGGTGTTTGCGGATGAGGGGGAGGCTCTCCGTCTTCGCTGGATCATAATTCGTGGGAGATAGCGCTAAGATCAGCCACAATGACACCCTATGATTAATATAATAATTCTATCAATTCCATAGGCAGCAGTTAGGAGCCTCATCTGCCACTCAGCACATGCTTTGATAACGAGCTGAAAGACTTTGTGTTGAGGTAGAGGTTCGCTAGGAAAGCGGCGTATGCTCTCAATTTGATGCGCGATCTGGATCTTGTAAACTAAACCGCCACTGTTGGCAGGATGCTTATGGGATGAAGCATTGTAAGCTTTACCGGAATCAGCTAGAGAATCTTGTAAAACAGGGCCGTGCTTTTACAATCACATGAAGATTTCGCTGGTACAATCAGCACAGACGTTTCAGCGAACGATGTAGCTCGTCCGTTGGATTACAATATACATTCCATAGCTATTCAAAAACTAGTACATACGACCATAGGGTATGGAACACAGAGCTTTTCGTCCGCTGAGCCGTATTTAAGCCACATATCCAACATGTTCATTTCTCAAAGAGCCCTCGCAATCCTTGTCCTTCTAAAAAATCAATGCAAGGTACCCAAAGGTGAGTGTGGGTGATATGGACGAGAAGTGAGAGGGGCCAATCCGCTAAGCACTTTAGACAGAAAGATTCTCACCCCAGGGCACTTTTTTCGCTGTGCCAAAATTCTAAATGCGAATATGATTTTCACTGCCGGGCGTCACGTTGGCTTTTCGGGCTAAATAGATCGTAGTCGGAGCCGACTCTGAGAAATGGACACCGCGGCGATTACCTCTGTCTGGTCAGGCTTTTGCTACCTTTTTCCCAAGAGTGCAGCGGAAGTATTGACGGAAGAGGAGCTGCTTCGCCAAACGGCTCGTCCTTATGCAACAACAAGAAAACTTGCAATCAGCCCTTCCGTAGCCGAGAACACGAATGCCTTGGATTGACATTTTGCTTTGGTATTCCTTACTGGTTGAACAACTTGCTCGTGGACGGCCTGACCCTCAAACATATATCTGTCGGTGCGCTCTGCTCTGGAAATGAAGTGTATAGATTCTCGCCATTATCCATTTGCTGGTTGATTCGCTGCACGTACTTGGTGGCAGAGTTGCAGAGGGATAGTTAGAAGCAAAACATTTTAGTCAATTGGTACCTTTTTTGAGGGCATTTACCCTGACTCCTTTCAGAAAGAGCGACATTGGGGTTCCTACCACTGCATATCTCCGTGTACATACACGTAGAAATTTTGGCCCCTTGAAAACAAGCTTTTAGAGCCTTATAAAAGTCTACCGTGGCCTAGTTGCTGTTTTCAATGTTGGCTCCTCTCCTGTCGCGCGACTATAAAGCCATTGTAACGACCCCGAGGTCGGCGAAGTCTAGGTAGCAAACAAAGACTTGACAAAGATCCGTTCCGCAATGATGGTTCATTTCACTGCGGGATACACACAGCCGCATAGCATTTTTCCAGATCTCATCATCCATACAGTGGATGATTATAGCATAGAGTATTATATGGGAGGGATCGGTTATCTAGATTCCTTTCCCAATAATCTTTAGTCTTATATGTTGAGTATAGCGCCTTGAGAATTTAATTCTGCAACATGGTGGGAAGTCAGGTGAATGTACCTTGGGTCTCCAATAATCAACTTTTGCTGCCTGTTTGACGTGTTTTCTTCGCATCCAAAATCTCCTCTTCTAGGCAACAGTTGCCTAATTATGATTATGCTGAGCCTATAGTAGCACCATTCTCAAGCAGCACTTTCGCCACTGCCTTATGGCCATTCTCAATAGCCCAAGAGAGTGGTGTCTGACCCCATCCCCCATCCCCAGCTTTAAGATCAGCACCATTCTCAAGCAGCACTTTCACCACTGCCTCATGCCCTTTCTCTGCAGCCCATGACAGTGGTGTTCGGCCCCATCGCTCACAGTTAGCTTCGAGATTAGCACCACTCTCAAGCAGCACTTTCACCACTGCCTCATAGCCATTCTTGGCAGCCCATAAGAGTGGTGTCTGACCCCACTGGTTATCCTTAGCTTCAAGATTAGCACCACTCCCAAGCAGCACTTTCAACACAGCTTCATGGCCATTCTCGGCAGCCCATGAGAGTGGTGTTCGACCCCAATGCTTGCTCTTAGCTTCATAATCAGCACCGTTCTTAAGCAGCACATTTACCACTACCTCATAGCCATTCCCGGCAGCCCATGATAGTGGTGTTCGACCCCATACCTCATCCTCAGCTTCAAGATCAGCACCATTCTCAATCAGCACTTTCACCACTGCTTCATGGCCATCCCGGGCAGCCCATAAGAGTGGTGTCTGGCCACAATGCTTATCCTTAGCTTCAATATCAGCACCACTATTAAGCAATACTTTCATCACTGCTTCTTGGCCGTTTCTGGCAGCCCATGACAGTGGTGTTTGACCCCATTCCTTATCCTTAGCTTCAAGATCAGCACCATTCTCAACCAGCACTTTCACCACTCCTTCACGACCGTTTTTGGCAGCCCACAAGAGTGGTGTCTGGCCCCATTCCTCATCCTTAGCTTCAAGATCAGCACCATTCTCAACCAGCACTTTCACCACTGCTCCATGGCCATATTCGGCAGCCAGTGGGAGTAATTCTCGGCCGGCCTCATTGATAACGCTGAGACCCGTAGTGTTTCTGCAAAGTAATCTGACGACCACCTCATACCCTTTCTTTGCCGCCCATAGTAGTAAACCTCTATGATTGAGGTCTTGAGTGATCACGTTGGCGCCGCTCTCAAGTAGCAATTCAATTGTAGTTTCATGGCACCCTTCTACGGCACACGACAGAGGTGTTCGACCCCTCGCGTCTTGTGACTCTAGCTCAGCTCCTTTCTCAAGTAGAAGCTCCACTACTGCATTGTGCCCACTGAGAGCAGCCCGTGAGAGAGGTGTCTGGTGGAGAGAGGCATCCTTGGTCTCAAGATCTGCTTGCTTCTCCATAAGGAGAGAAACGACCTCCTCATGTCCATGACTCGCAGCCAACCAGAGTGGTGTGCATTTGGATTTTGATAGGCCGTTCAATTTTATATTCTTTGCGTTCGAAAGTAGTTGGCAAATTTCACTATGACCCCTGCTCGCTGCATGATGCAATGCAGTATATTCCTCTAGGTCTGGCGAATTTACTTCGCAGAACCCCAGAAGAATCTCAATGATCGCTTTATATCCGAATTTTGCCGCGACATGAAGCGCAGGGAGGCTTTCACCGAGAAGCGGAAGATTACAAACAAGTTGTAAGTCGCGTCCTGCAGCTTGCACAATCGACAGAAGAGGTTCATGTTGCTCTGTCACCGCCCATCCCAGGAGACCGTGGACATGGGAGGATGCCGAGCGGCCCCCAGGAACCCAAGGATGAAAATTCCAGGTTTTATTGGAACACATTGCGAGCCGTTCGAAATTATCCCACACCAATGATGTACGAGGTATTTGCGTTGTTTGCAAGGCCCAGTTTGCGACAGCGTAATCGAGAAATTTGTATTGTGTTCGATCTGGCGTTGATGCTGTGTGTATGTCACGGAATAGCACGGATGCGGAACACTTTTGTTTTTGTGACCTTTGCAAGAAGTTTCTGGTAAGAAATCCAGGAAGAGGTGCGATTAAAATGGGGGACGGAACAGCAACCGCGGTTTTTTGATTCCTTCGCGTGCTGACCTGAAGACTAAAATCCGAGAAAGAAAGATAAGCAACACAGAACTCTCCGCACTCTAGAACACCATTCGCTGTGGTTGGATAACCTTGGATAATGTCCTTTTTACGACATTCCTCTAGATATTGTTTTACCGAGGGATGTGCAAAACGCACACGGCTGTCAGTGGAATCCACGACAACCAAATTTGCACAGCAGCCGATAGCAAATTCCTTCATAGGGATTTTTCCAGCATTCCACACGGTGTCTCCTAGGTCAAAGGCGATGGCCTCTCGTAATTCTTCGATATGGAGCGGACTGCTCGCAAAGCTAACCCATTTGAGTACTTTAAGTACACGATTGTCCTTGCGATTGAGTCTCTCAATGCAACGGCTATATGTGCCATTCAGTCCCTTTGGTAGCTTATCCAATGCGGCCCGTATTTCTTCAGGCGCGAAGCATGTGTCCCAGAGCATCTCTAGCTGGAGGAATACCCATAAAAACCTACACCAGTCAGCCTTTTATCCACGGAGTGAGAATCTCAGATAGGACTTGGGGGTAAGCATACATTCCCGACGACTCTGCCAGAAGTCTCCGCGGAATCTCTTCAATCAGCAGAGGATCATCTGTAAGCTGTCGGTACCTATTCTTATCGGTGATGCTTGATTGGATGTAAGTTGCGATATCCTGCATGACATTGGCTGATGTCGATATCTGACGAATTCCGGGTATAAATGTCTTGATGTTTATGTATCCTTGAACTTGGTCCCTGCTTAGCAGCAAAATCCGCGGTCTTTGCTGTGGCCCGGAGTCAATGAATAGCGGTCTGAAGAACTCCAAAAGAGATTTGGCATGTTTCCGATCCAGAGCATCAACACCATCAAGGACATAAACCGTATCCGAGTCGTGGTGTAAAAGGCGGGTAAAGATATGCTTTAGGTCTTCAAGGTCTGCCTTGACCCTTTTGTGTCCAAAAAACTTTTTAATATGTCTTTCGACATCCTCTGGGTAAGTTCTGGACGTCCGATGCAAGTTCTGGCAAAGTTGTTTGATGAAACTAGATATAATATTCGACGCTTCGGGAGCTGTTTGGCGATCATCCTCGCAATAAAAAAAGACGGTGGGAGCACCAAGCTCGTACTTTGCTGCCTCTATCGCTGCAGTGCTATTGTTTGTTAGACTATAAGATTGAAAGGAAGAGCAAGGAGACGAACGCTATCATCGTTTTACCCGAGCCAACTACAAGAAAGTCACAAATCAGTATTGCGCTCAAGGTATGTATATGGAAAGCAGACCTACTCTTTCCCGAGCACCACAAACTGGAAATTGTCTTCTCAGTCAGCCACGCCTTAAAGTCTGGGTGATCAAGAAACCATTGAGTGGTGCCGATGAGTCTTTTTTTACTCAGTCTTCGATGGACTTCCTCGTGATCGTAACTTGAAATCCGCTCGAATAAGTTCGTAATGTCCTGATCATCTATAATCAATTTAGATGACAATTCCTTAAATCACCAACGCACTCACCAATTTGAATTATTTCACTGTTGGGAAATTTCCTCTCAAATGGTGGCTTTCTTCTGTAGTAGGACACTAAAGTTGCATTAGATAAAGATGAATCATTGTATCACTTGGACGGACAACATACCATCGACATTTGATCCTGCTGGCAGAGTGTCCACCACATGGCTTGCATGTACCATGGAGAGAAGCTCTTTGCCACATGCAGCAGCCGTTGCTGCTGCATAGTCTTGCCACTGCTTGTTTTTATGCGAGTCGGAATAGTCGCAGATCCCTCGAATCACGAGGCATGGGAAGTTGTCCATCAAGCCAGCCGCCTCCATTTCAAAGCAAAGGATGTCAAGAGGCTGGGCCAGGCTATCCCTGCTGCGGCCATGCTTTATTACTTGGTTGCCAGAGGCAATCAGACCGTAATGGATAACCGGATCATGGCTAGCTCGAGCAGGTCGTGTTACGAGCCTCCGTATATCGCAGTCTTCACAAGTACTCCCTGATTCAGGATGGTCGTATTCGGAGTCAAACAACAAATCCTGATCTTCACCGCGATATGCGAACTTCTCTCGCATTCTGAGGTTCCTAGCTACCGCGTCGGAAAGAAGAGCAGGGATTCTGCTTCCCTCCAGTCCATGCTCTGCTTGTAGTTTCGCAATCGCTGTTAAAAGAACTGGTGGTGGCTTATTCAACATGCCAGTGCGTTCAAAGCGGCCACCAGCTACTGTTTTCCCATAATCGTACTGTATGACCCCTCCCGAGTCTCTTGTCGGCTTGCTAACCACCACATCACCTAGCCGGATATCAACCTTTCCGCTTGGAACCCCTCCTCCAATACCTACCATCATGAAGAAGCGTATCGATTCGAAAGTGGATTGCATTTGTGTAGCCACTGCCGTGGCAGAGGTTGTGCCGTAAATCCCCGATGGAAGGCATGCGATAGCCACGTTATGTCCATAAATCTGGCCAAGGATGTATGTATTATTATCTTGGGGCCTCGCCGGTAGATCACGATGTCTCTGGTCCAGCATGGCCGCAGCTGCGGCCATCTCCAGGGGAAGGGCACAGATCCATGCGACCGTGTAATCTTGGTGACGAAAATGTCCCGTTGCGGTCGCCATATGGATCTGTCCCGATGACTATTCGCGTTTTCAACTGTGTAATGAATTTGAGAACGGAAAAGAAGGCTTGGCGAGCCTGGGGGAATTCGATTTCATGATGGTGAAAAGAATCAACAATTCAGCTCACAAGGATCGGAGCTACAGGCAATGCGGGTCAGCCTCGCCTTTTAGATCTGCGATGGTACCCCGCTCCGTATGATCTATAAGTGGTTAGGCGCCACCCCTCGAACGTCTAACACGTCGACAAATACGCCCTGAGAGCAAACATTCTTTTGACGAGCAAACACCAGACTTGTATGGACTTTGGCCCCTGACTCATCTTCAGTTTTGTGCTTGGTCTCCAGTAATGCAAATCGCTATTTCTCAATGCCAACCTATCCTGCCCTGTGTTGCGGCATTTCGAAAAAAACACATCACGACAACCTGGGATTGGCTTAGTCAACTGCGAGGCTGACTTCAGTGTTGCCTTAGCCAAAAGATCCTCTTGTTATTACTCACCCGAGCCTTACCTGGCTTCTCACCCTATCTATTTCGCCCTCACCCCAACGTCCCGACACGGATGAACTCCTCTGCCATTCAGATGAATACTCCGAGTATGAAGCTTTACACGGTGATGAAATGAATAATGATGTTAATGAGAGCAGGTACACATCCGGGCTTGTAGCCCCAGACCTACTGCATTAAACGAGATTGTATCTACCGAACTGCTCTTCCTCGACCCCTTCCGCGGGCGACTTGCTGCGCCGCCAGTCGACGAGCGCGTTCTTCTATGACTCTTTTCTGTACTTGCCTTGGTGTTTCTCCATTTCCATTGAGAATATCTTCAGATGCCCCAGCAGTCAATAGTATTTGAATGATCTCATCCCGTGCATTCTTGAGGCGCATGGGAAGTGGCTCAAGGCCTACAGGGTCATCCTGTTTCCGAAGCATTGAACCCTTCATCACTTCGTGAAGGGGAGTGTTTCCTTCCTGGTCAATTGCATTCACATCTGCACCTTGACTTAGAAGGTATCGGACAGCATCGGCTTGATCGAAGTTTTTTATGAGATAGTGGAGAGCTGTACAGCCACAGTCATCCTTCTCGTTGACATCAACTTGCTGGAGTAATTGGTCTATCAAGCTCGAGCTGATTGGCTCCAACCAGACAAGGCTGCACAATCTTTGCAGAATATTTCCTCCAGCTTCGTCACATCTCCGCGCATCAGCTCCGTGTTTCAGTAGAAGCCCTGTAATCTCTTCCACGTGTTTCAGACCCCCGGGAATGAGTTGGTGAGATTCAATTAGGTCTCCAAGAGCAGTGGCCCCAGAAGCAGTTCGGAAGTTAAGTATATCCGAACAATCCCCGGCAGCGCCCAGAAGTATGGTTAGGGCCTCAATATTTGCCCCATTACCTGTGTTGTTTTTGACTGCGTAATGAAAGACCGTAGCGTTAACCTTGTCTCGGGCGTGTAGGGTATCTAGGTTGGAATCAAGAAGTAGTTTGACAGTAGCTGCCACCCGCGACGTGATCTTATCGGAGTCAACCATTTCCGCATAGACTCCTGCAACGCCAGCCAGGGCCCAATGTAGCGGAATTCGTCCCTCGTCATCGAGGATAGACATCATATTTGTGTTCTTTTCAGAGAATTGATGCTCAAGCAGAGCTTTTATGGCTTCCACATTGCCGTACAATGCAGCAATATGCAATGGTGTTGTTTTTTCGGCATACTCTATAGCAAAGCGATTGCCGCCATACCATCTCTGGTATTCATAAGGGTCTGCTCCTTTGGAAATCAGACGTGAGACTAGATTGTAGCTTGCGTGGGTGACAGCTTCACCGAGTACAGTTTCAGGTAGGACACTAGGGTACTCGCATTCGTCCTTTGGCAGCTGTTTGCCATTGAGGTCATTCTTTTCCTTTTCCTCGTTCTTGTCATCTTCCACCTCCATAGGACAGTTCAAGTTCAGAAGCCAACCAATAAATGGCTCCATGCGCTCCCAACGTTGATCGAGCTTTTGCCTTGGAAGCGCTTCATTTCTTTCATATTGTGCTTGCATCATCAGAGTCCCCACTTTTTTCAAACCCTCGACTGCTCTGAAAATGGCGGTTCGACCTTCCGAGTCACGATCTTCCAACGTCCCTAACGAGGGATCATGATTCATCAACCAGAGCACCATCTCTTGGTTGCCCGTTGCACAAGCTTTGACAACAGGAGAGACGTTATGGCGTTTGATGTAGTCTTGCAAGGGCTCTGTCAAGCTTGTATTCGAGGAATAGATTCGTACGAGCTCACGCAGAATATCGAAATTGTCGCTGTGGATGGCAATGTGAAACGGATTGCTTTCATCGAACTCGTACGTTTTCCAGAACACATTGGTATGAGCGCAATCATTGTACGACTTCAGAGCCACTAAATCGTTTCGTGAGATGATTCGGGAAAGTAAACCTTGGTGGGGCCCTTCATAGACCGGTGATCCATCTGAGTCCAGAAAAACAGGGGATGGGTACGAATCATGATGCGGTCGATGAAAGTCAGTGTAAGCCATTTTTCATGTTCAGAGTCAACAGGTAAAGTAGAGCTGAGAGTTGGAGGAACAAAAAATTGGAAAATGAAATAAAGGGCGGTTGAGGGGCTTTATAGAGAGAGAGCGGCGTTTGCAAATAGAGTCGGCAGAGACTATTGATAGCTTACTAAGGGAACTCAATCCGCGGTTTCTCATTCTGTCTACCCACCGTTTTCCGTCATGGGCATAAGCATTCTGATTTGATTATTCTTATTGGCTGCCATGGTACGTCTCGGAGCGTTTTTGATTTCCACAGTAACCATGGCTGTTACCGATTTCCTAAACAATGGTAGATGGACTAACAACAGCCATCATCTTGAATTTGGATTTATGAAATTATACGCCCCGCCTTAAATTCAATCGCAGTCGTATTGCTACAGAAGTTCCGTTCCGAGGCTTTTCACTCGAGCCTATTCCTTCAGATCGTTCTGTCAACAATGGCATTGCTATTCAGTTGAGATCTTGTCTTTTCGGCGAGAGAGGTTCCAATCTCAAACCCAATGCTCGTCTGAAAGACTAGGTATCTCCATCAATCTCCAAGCTATTGAGTGGTCCAAACGTCGGTAGCGCCCATGATATCTACTTGCTCACCGGCGAAATTCCAATTCGTCGTGAAGGCCCCAGCTGCGGGGCTATAAGCACTTGCACCATTGACGGTATTGGATGCGGGAACCCAATCGGAGCCGTAATCGCCAATGACAGGCCAAATGAATGCTAAGTTCTCGTAGGAGAAGAGACCTTGTTGTTGAAGCCAAACGCCCTGGTTTTCAATGTCAGTCAATCCGAACACGGTCTTTAGTTTTACATCACAGAGGCCGAGAGTCAACTTACAAATGAGTTGAGTGCACTGACATACTGCACGGGGAGGTTGGCATTTGACCTCTGTGCATTTGTAATGGCCGTCGTAGAATCGCGCCCGATATACCAACGAGAGTTGTCGCGGCATCGTAAAGTTTGTGCGCGATTGTTGTAATTTTCCATATCGCCGCCGTTGTAGGCTCCTTCGGCATAGTTGTTGGAGAATTCATACTCCGCCCGCGGATCTGCGTTATTCCCCATGTAGTGAAGTGTCTGGCTGTGATACACTCCCATTGCTCGAACTCCCGGATAGAAGTTTCTTTGGCTTCTAGTCAAGTCACGGAACGTGTTGTCGTCACGCGGGATGTGGAGATGGAAAACCACCCAAAGGTCAGGGTTAACGGTGTCGTCAGAGTCGCCATAGATTGCGAGGTTTGCCGCGGTAGGGGCTGTTCCCGGTGTCGGACCAATCCAAAATGCAAGTTCAAGGATAATTTCTTGCGCACCATTTCTTTCGGTAGAGCCTTGAATCCATCGCGCGTAGTGGAAGGTCAGATCCCCCTATCAGGAAATTCATTGTCAGACTAGAATCGTACAAATACTCGCCGAACAATATCTCACTTACATTCACAACTCCTCTCAATGCGCTGTAGATTGTGGGTTGTTTGTCGTTTGAAGAGCGAGGAGAGGTGCCGATACCATCAAATGCACGCTTGCTCGCAGAGCTGGATGAGCCGGGCAGTTCACACAAGATTTCGCTCGCAGCGCCCAAGCCTTCCACGCCATTTGATGACTGGGCGATGTTACAAAGGGTCTCTGCAACAAGGGGCTCGGCGGAATAGACCGGAGAGCCTGTCCAGGGGTCGCCATACCCATATAGGGTGTTGGTAAAAACGGTGATATTTGCAGCCTCATCCGCGAATCCATATTCGGACATCAAATTATTGAAAATCTTAGTCAAATCATCGCGAGGGACAGACGCGGTAAGCCAAAGGACCACGTAGCTAACGGCATTATAGTAATTCAGCTCTTGCTTGCTCATGGAGCGCTCTGTCAAATCACGTTTGTCGAAGCTTGCCACGTATTCAGCACCACAAGTGGGGTTCTCAAGCCAAGCGTTGAGATAGAAGTGAAACTCGTAAGCTGTTTCATCTTGGAAAGTGTCGGGAGAAGAGCGCGGCACAACCGAAGTTGTTGTCGTTGTACCGTTACAACAGTAGGCCTCCATGCCATAATAGCAGTTTGACGTATGTGCCGTCTTGTCATTGCCAAATATGGTAATGATTGATTCCTCTGCAATTCGAATTGAGCCGGATGGACAAGCATCAGAGCAATACTCTGTATTGGTGAAAGTAACCTCGTGCCCGGTCCAGGCGCAATTTGTAAAGGGATCTGGGATTGAGTCCTTACAACAGTAATTATAGTTCTTCGATCCGCTGCATGACTTTCGTCCACCCCAACCCTGACGCGATCCAACGACGAATTTATCATAGCCAGAGGGGCATGTGTCGTCGGACTCACAGCTATCTCCCCATGCACATTCTGACCAGGGTTTTGTGGAATCTTCGATGGTGCAACAGGCAGATTGATACCCAGAGCGGCAGCCCGCAGTAAGAGTGCCTACTTCGGCCTCGCCACTCTCGCAGCCTCCCTTGCACTTGCCACCATTGAATCCACGCCAGCGACAAGTCGGTAAAGTACTGGATGTTGGACAGCAGAGGGTCTGCGTGCCTTCATATCCTGGAGGACATTCTGTCGAATCGAGCATGAGTTGCTTCTTGTTGTCATCCCGTACAATTGTTGAGAACCCATTTGGGCAGGTGTCGCCACAGTTGATGAAGCGACAGTAGTTGCCTTGTGTAGATTCACTGCTCGTCGAGGACGTCTTGTCGACAATAGATAGGGGAAGACCAGTGGTAGTGTTCAGATTGATTTCATTACCGAGCGCGGCAGCGAGTCCTTTCGCATATGTATGGACATCATCATCTTCGTCGACTGACCAGACCATCACACCACCAATACAGACGGACTTCGCATAGTCTGCTTTGAGCTTCCAAGTATCTTCATCGTCATACGCGATCCACTGATCAGTGTCCCACTGAATGGTTTTGATAGCAGCGTCTTTATAGAGCGTCGGAGTAAGATCTTGGTCTTCGATGAGAGCTGCGATTTCGCTGTTGAACAAAATTCCAGCAGACTGACTGCAATTTCCCTCGGTACCAGCTGAGAGATACAGACAGCCTGGCTCGGCGCAAGAAGAGCTTTCAATCGTGAAACTGCGACCATAGAAGGCCAAGCCAAGGGTTACTTTGGAGGGCTTAACATCGACTCCCCACAGCAGATCGAGAGCAGTCTTGATCTCAGTCAGGTTTGTGTGAGCATCCAAGTAAGGCCCAGTCCAAGTATCAGTAATGTCCCACGTGCCATGCAAGTCGTAAGCCATGACATTGAACCAGTCGACTGAAGACTCCATGGCCTTCAGGTCGAAGTGTTGGAGGTACCAATAGCTGGTTGGTAGTGTTATAGACAAGCCATACTTGTAATCAGATAACGCCTTTTTCAAGCTCGCCAGGAATGCAGGGAAGTTCTTGTAGTCCTCATCACGGCCATTGCGATCACCTGCAGCTGGGTACTCCCAGTCGATATCGATTCCCGTAAAGCCGTATGTGCCCATGAAACTAATCAAGGACTTGAAGAATGCGTTTTGTGTCTTGCTATCCGCAGCGCAAAGATCAGAGAAAGTAGTAGCTGTCGGCTGGTCACTGTCTGAGAAATCCCAACCACCAATCGATAGCCAAAGCTCTTGATCAGGGTCACGCGTCTTCAGCGCAGCTAATTGGGTATAGAGGCCCTCGTCGCTTGTCTTATCCGGGATCACTTCGAAGCTGTCCGGGTCGATACTGCCAAACGCAAAGTATATATGAGAATAAACGCCCTGAGGAATGGAGTATGGAGCCATGCCATCACAACCACGGCGCGCAGCAGCGGAGTTGTAATATCCGATAACGCGGTTGATCTTTTGACTGCTAGCGTCACAGGACGGTACAGTGACTGTTTTGTTCCCGCAGAACTCCTTGGTAGTACCGCAGAAGCCATATGGACTGCAGCACACATCCAGAGGGCAGGTTGTAGAATTCACGTATTCAGATGGCCAATTGTCCGGGTTACACTCTGCTTTGGCATCGCAACTGTTGATGCACACATCAGAGCCACAGTAATTGGGACCCATGCCACACACGCCATACTCGCCGCAGCATCCGATTTCGCACGGAACTGTCGCACTGCAAACGGTGTCCGCAACCACTGTTGGTAGAATTCCCAGGCCGGCGACAACGGCCAAGACCACAGCTGGAAGCATGGAGATTAGGGGAAGCTCTCCGGCTCCAAGGGGAGTGTTAGGTAAATAATGACAAGAAGAATGTGAGGCAGAAGAGGGAGAAAAAGAAATGAAGGACAAAAAGGAGATTTTTTAAGAGTCTCGAGACATCAGATAAATGAAAGGAGAACACAGACAATAGGAATGAAAAGAATGTGTGAGAATATGCAGATGAAGTGCAAGAATGATATGCAATGTATGAAGAACGTTCCTTTCGAAAGGGACTCATGATTACTATATATGGGTACCTACTGTATACTCCGTATGGGTACCTACTGTATGCTCCGTACGAGTACAATATACGGGTACCTATAATAGACAACGGATATCGTATCATATCGTTTCGCCAGAAAGCGACGCTATAGATTTCCACATGCTCTAGCCGAGATGAAAAATTTTCTCTCCGAGCTTCGGTGATTGGAAGTGCTTCAATCCCGACACCTAGATTTGAGGCAGGATGAGGTTGAGGACATTGTGTCGGCTCCACCATTGGTAAGAAATGGAGTGTTGACCAATAATCTCGCTTTACGCACGGATCATTGAAATTGCTTCCCGGCACGGTCCGGCACAGGGTTTAACAATCTCCACATGGATGGCAGCCGTGAACCTGGTTGGGGGGGAGGACCCTCAAATCTAGCGGCCTCATTGTCTCGGACAAGGGTCAGGGACAGGTCTAGCGTTTCATTAGTTGCTAAATCTCTGTTTATCGAAGAGTCGCTAGAGCTGCCCGTGAGGCACTGCTAAGCCTTTTCGGATTTAGCCTTATCACCAAAAGGGTTTAGCGCCCAGGTAGCAGCGCCATAGACCCTTGGTCCCTGGAAGTAAGCGTAGTGGCTTGAATAGCTTGGTTTCATCCTTGCCACTCTGCATTGCAGCATAGTGGAGATATCGGAAAATACGACGGTATATGGCTGACCGTTCGGATAGTATGCCTTATTTGGTCTATCTTCGTCTTCTAGGACTACCGTTACCGCTACCGGAGGTCGGCCCCGGATACACCAGATGGGGGCCGAATGTTCAGCCGGCATAGAAACGTGCTCAATATTGGATATTTCATGCTCCATAACTCGAATGGCCTCTCGCTTAGATGCCTGCAGTGGGCCATCAGGAAATTAGCCACGGAGTTTGCCCGAAAACGTGGGAGCATAGTGGCGATATGGCTGCACGGCTTGATTTTGTAGCGTAGCCCGGAGATTACACATTCAGAGTTGGGTCGCTCGGAGTGTCGAACAGAGAAAAGTGTATACTTTGCTGTCTAGCCCTTTCTGAAGATTGAGATCCTCAGAGGCCTTTCATTGAGAGTAAGGCACTAGAGACTCCCAAGTTTTACCATCCTGAGCTCTACCTCGCATCTGACTTTCGAATATGGGGAAACATCTCTCGCTAGTGCTCACGGCGCTGTCCAGCGTCGCTGTAGGCTATGCTCATTCACTTTCGCATGGCAAATTTCATGGCTCCAATCATCACACTGGTAGCCATGTTGGGACACGCTCAGCCGAGTCCAGCAGCGTGGACTTTGCAGGTGTGACAATGTTCCCCAATGGCACCTTATCCGGGATGGGACTATCTGATGCCTGTGAGAACGCACTCTACGGAACCGTGAATTGTGATGATAGCATTTCGTCTCTTATTACCGACGATTATATCGGAAGCCTTGAAGACACAGCAACGACAGCTCTGCTTTGCGCAGCAAGCTGTGAGTCATCCATTGCGGAGCTGTATGATTCGGTCTCAACCAGCTGCGGGGACTCAGCTGAGCTGACACCTGGTATCTCTTACTTGTCTCTGATCAATGAACTCTGGAGCAACTGGAACCAGTCTTGCTTTGTTGACCCAACATCAGGTCAGAATTGCAATGGTAAGAGATCAATTTCCTCCTCTTTTTCGGCTTATTCTAAGGATGAAAAACGTGTAATAACCATGTTGTAGATGAGATCGCGTCTTTTGACAACGTCACCTCCGTTACGAACATTTCTACGACGGACTTGTGTTCCTATTGCTATGTCAAGAAACTTGAGATGATGCAAGAAAACGCCTATTCAAGTGCCTATGATGAAAATTGGCAAACTACGTATGAATATGTTGCAGCTACCTGCAATCTTACTGTGACCGACTTCAATGCCACCACCAGTGCGTTCAATGTATCGGTGCCAACAACCGCTGCCACATGTCTGTCCGGTAACATGTACACCACTCAGAACGGTGATACTTGTGACTCAATTGCACTTGCCCAGGGTGTTTCAGCCGCAACCATGTACTATATCAATCCTAATATCCTGAATTGCTCCGATATTATCACCGGCACCAGCCTCTGTCTACCATTGACATGCACTGACATCTATTCAGTGGAGGCTAACGACACATGCACCACCATTGCCGTGGAGAACTATATCGCGTCTGCGGATGTCATGAATTGGAACTCTCAATTGAACGGCAACTGCTCCAACTTAGTCTTGCCGGACCCCTACTGGGGCTCTGTTCTATGTGTATCTCCTCCAGGGGGGACCTACACTGGCCAGGCGCTGAACACGAGCTCGTCCTCGAGCACTCCTAGTCCAGTGAGTCCACCCGCCGGTGTGACCGTAGCCAATGGCACAACACTTGACTGTGGCGCGTGGTTCGTGAATGAGGCGAGCTTAGGCTACAATTGCTCATCCATCTGTCTTGCTAATGAGATCGCCATTCATCTCTTTGTCGATGCCAACCCCTCACTTAATTACACTACATGTAACTCCGACCTTGTCACGGGGGATGCTTACTGTGTTGACCCCTTAAGCGGTTGGGAGTACTACAATTCTACAGCTACGAATCCCACCACTGCCACAGCTGCTACATCACCCGCCTGGCCTGTACAGACTGGCATTTCGTCCAACTGCGATGCTTACTATGAAGCTCAATGTGAGTTCAAAGCTTAGAAGTCCGAATGAATGGCAGAATCAATCAAAACTAATCTTTCCACAGCTGGTGACACGTGTGAATCCATCGCCAGTGAGTTTGGCATCACATCTGCGCAGTTCCTCGCTTGGAACCCGGCCATCTCCTCAGATTGTACAAGCGGCCTCTGGCTGGAAGAAGATTACTGCGTGGGTGTAAAGACAAACGCCAGTTCTACTACCACTACCTCTTCCAGTACGAGTAGCAACGTGGCCACCAGTAGCATCACTGTTTCCACCACTACTTCCTCATCCGCATCTGCATCTGCATCTGTGACACCACCGGCTCCCACTCAATCAGGTATTCCGAGCGACTGTTCCGAGTATTACGTAGCTCAATGTAAGTGTCTGGATTTTCCCTTACTTTGCTATATGGTATGGATCCTCAAACTGACTCTATTAATTCTTACCACAGCGGGCGATACATGCGCCACTATCGAAACGAAGTACGGTATTTCCGCTACGCAATTTCTCACGTGGAACCCGTCTGTTTCATCAGATTGTGAGACAGGCTTTTGGGCAGATGAGGCCTACTGTGTTTCCATATCTTAGGTCGGGAAACCGAGTGCAATGACGTGGATTTCTGAACGAAGAGGCATGATACACCAGTGAAGGTTGTGTTGGCTCATTCTGCATGTTGTTTCTCCTGCCTTGTTGCGCTTGTGAACCGGCTAGGGAGCACCTAGATAACTAAATGTGAATTGAGTGAGGATATGCGACACATCAGTGCTCTGAATTCGAATCTCAAAGCCACGTTATTTCTGAACGCTAAAGTGACCCGTTCCCTGGGCACACTTGCCTAGATGAGCTACATGCCCCGAAACAAGAATCGAGGTTTGCAGGTTCTTTCAATTCCCAGAATCAATGGCTTTCGTAATCTGGTAATACCGAATGGGAAGAATAGCAAGAAAGTCACATTGGCTCTTGAAGAGAGCTTCACAGCTGGATTTGTATATATTCTTTCAAATCTCGGGTCCCAAAAAGTATTGATTTATGATTTATGTCAAATCGGCGCACGACCAAGTCATATGGCTTGGCCTAAATGCTTAAAATCCGAGATGTGAAACATCTTTATCAAGCTCAGAATGCCTAGCACCTCGGACTATCGCATACATTCTATATGATACCGTATTTACAAGGTCAGAGATGATGCGCATGATAGCCACAATGACGTCTTTAAAACCTGGGTTTCCGGATCTCTACATATAGATAGAAACAAACAGCCCCCAGCTACTCTTCTGACTCCAAGGTAGTCCCTCATATAAATTATGTATCTATCCTTCATAGATTGCCGCAGTGCCTCCGCCAGCAAAAGCCAGTAAGAGTAGAGCAAACATGATTTTTCCTGTGTTGACCAATGTCCGGTTGCGATGCGAAGGATGATTGCAAACTAACCATTGATCAACACCGCGTACACCACGGTTGAAAGCAGAGCATACAGAAAGTAGAGACATTCCTTCTTCAGAGATGATTGAAACGACGTAGAATATGGCGGTAAGAATGGAAGTACTTGAGATAGAATGAAAGGTCCGCGAGGAGAAGACGCTGGAATTTATGTACGATGGATCAAAAGTAGTCAATGTTGAAAATTTGTGGTGGAATATTGGTGCGGAGGACCTGGCTACTGACACTTTACGGGTTCCATTGGGTCGGAATAGATGAATCTACGAGTCCCACATGGATCTCGGGAGCTGACGGTATCTAGAACTTGGGTTGAGGCTTCTGCCAACGCAAATAGATCCAGGATAAATAGAGATATGAGTTGAATATCCACCTTTCATTTATGTGCACAGAAGTGGTCTCCTTCTATCACATAGACTTGTTTAGAATAACTTTGGCACTTCTGACAAGATCTAACGAAGCTGGAGACGCTTTGTGCAAAATCAAATATATATTTAGTCTAATTCCCTAGCCCTACCGTACGCACATAACAAGTGACCCCCAACGGTTGCGCTAGGTACGTTTTCAAGCTTCTAACGGGTGTTTCAAAGCGACAAGTCAATTTCAAGTTTGATCATATCTCATGTCTTATACAACTTCGGTAGAAACAAAATCCTAAATCTCATCAAACGCTATATGTATCCTTGCACCAGTACATGCTATCGAGCCAACATCGCTAGAATAAACACTTCAGATAATACATCACATGGCTAAAACAGATCAAAAAGACACATAAGAAAGGATGAAAGAGTGTAGCACCCTCGAAAAGGTGAAGAAACGAAGAAGAGAAAAATTAAAACCCAGGAACTACGTCTTCAAAAACTGTCCCTTGAGAGTCGGGCTAGTCGGCGCTGACTGAACTGTCAGAGTAGCCAACTTTGCCGCCAAGTTCTCCCGAGAACCCTTCGGGGTCTGAGGAAGCGGCGTTTGCTCATCAGCAACCAAGGTATCAGTCGACTTTTTCGCCAATTCCTGCAGACGTGCCAAGACAACCGGAGAGTCCGAATAAAGCAAGACACCGTGGGAGTAGATATAGGGACTAGCTCGCTCACCACTAGCAAAGTCCTCATGAGCAGCCTCCCGCATGACACTCGGGAACGTGCGGAGAACGACATGACGAGCAGGATCACCCTTAGGACCCGGGCTAGCTGCGTTTGGGACGCCGTACTCTTCCCATCCATCGTTGGAGACGCTCTGAGCATCAGGGGCGGGGAAAGAGGCGAGGACAAGCTCTCGCTCGACGCGAGCATGGCGCCAAGTCTCAGCAGCCAGCTTCACGATCTTGCGAACGCCTGTCAGAAGGGTATCCAAGTGCTTGGGGTCAGCAAAGTGCTTGATGTGATCGATAATCTCGTCCACGATCACCGCGGCGGCCACGTTGATTGATTGCTTGGCGTCGGAGGTGGTGTAGGCTGCTTTGAGAGTTTGCTGACGCCAGAAGGCTTCGCGACGGACGGACTTTCGACGGATGTCCATGGACAACATTTGGAAGAAAGTATCTGCCTTATCGTATCGACGACCCAGGGTGAAGAGGAACGGCTGGAAGACGCGATAGGTAATGGTCTTGGACACGACATGCTCGACATAGGCACAGCGGAGCTCGCGGGAAGCTGGAGTGTTGTCGAGGAAGGATGGTAGTTCAGACGGGATCTTGGAGAGGATATCCTTGGGCGGATCGATAGGGAGGTAAGAGAAGTGTTCTTTGGACAGCTCGTGGATCAGCTGCGATAGCTGAGTAAAACAGTCTTGACTAGAAGATCAAAAAAGCTTATTAGAATCCAGTACATTTCTGACGTTATCAACATGAGATTCTATAGAATGAGAAATGAAAGCAATGAGAGGATAAGGTCGGTCTCGGCGTATAAACAGAAGAGAGGAAATGAGAGACATGGACATGAACATAACATAAACATGATCGTAATCATCATAAAAGAGAGGAGAAATCAGAGAGACTAGGCTCACTTACAAGAACTCATCGCCCTTGGTGGTCTTGAGATCAGTCGCTTCACCCAGGCTGTGCAGTGTCTTTCTCAGCCGGTCGCAGTCGTCCCCTAGGTGATCAATGGTGGTTCGCATCATATCAACGGCACGCTGAAGTTGCTGTTCCTTGACCAGACCATTTTCCTCTAGCTTCTCCTTCTCTCGCTCCGAGCTTGCCAGCTCGCTGTCTTTCTCCGAGAGCAGCTTCTCCAACTCAACTCGCTGTGCAGACCAGGTCTGCTCCTTGTCGTTGAAGACCGCTTCGATGGCAGCAATCTTATCAGCTAATTCCTTTGCAGCGGCAGCCAGTTGTTCTTCGTGAGTGCTTCGCAACGAGGCCAGTTCATCAGCATGTCCTTTCTGGAGTGCTTCTAATTCTTGGGCACTCTTTGTCCGGACTTCCACCAATTCTTTCTCCTTTGCCTCCAACTCAGCTAACTTGGATGTCACCTCATCGCGCACCGATGTGAGTTCACCCAGGCAGGCTTGTAATTCATTTTCCTTAGACTCGAGCTCAGTCTTCTTAGACTCAAGCTCAGTGACCTTGGAAGCCAAGTCGCCATTGGTGGCCTCAAGTTCAGTGCGGTGAGCCTCAAGCGACTCATGTAACTGAGCCTTTTCGGCCGCCCACTCTCCCTTGTGAGTCTCATGTTGAGCAAGGAGTTCCTTCTCGCGCGCCTCCAGGGCTTCATTGGCCGCTTTCTCATCCTCGCTCTTAATTTCTTCAAAGAGCTCGGTCAACTCCTGTTTCTGAGTAACAAGAGCATTCGCATGTCCCTCCTTGTGCTCCTCGATCTCTTTCGCGTGCGCATCGTGAGTCTCTTGGATTGTGGTGTTGAGTTTCGCAATCTCCGCTTCGAGTTCAACCTTGGACTGCGACAGCTCCTCGTTCGACTTCTGGTGAATAGTCAGACCGTCTTCAAGGTCCTTCTTCTTTTCTTGCAGATTTCCCAGTTCCATGCGCAGTTCGTTGATGGTGTTCTTTAGCTTGGCAGCATCTTCGGCGCTTTCAGTGGCCGTCTTCTTCATTTGAGACTGTAAAGCCTCAATATAGAAATCTTTGTGCAGTAAAGCTTGCTCGTGTTGATCCCCAATTTGCTTCATCTCCGCCTCCCGGCTTGAGAGTCTGCTATGGGTATTTTTAAACCCATGAAGAAGGCGGTTGATGTCAGGAAGCGCAGATTGAATTCGGTGAAGAAGCTCTGCATGCTCGGCTTCACTCTCTGGGGGCGATGGGGCACCATTCTCAGTTGGTTTGACACCGCCCAAGCCGAGATCGCGGATGGCTTGAAATGATGCAGCGTAAGGTGACGGGTCATTCATGCTGTAACTTCGCTGCATGGAGTGGCCATCCGGAGGGTAGTGAGGATAGGCTGGATGAGTGTACGGAGAAACGACACTCGCCGAGCTCATGACTGGGGAGTGAACAGCCCCTGGGTAGTTTTGAGCAGCTGTTCCGTAGCTTTGAGTAGTTGAGGGTGCTCTCGAGGCCATTGGAGATGCTGCTGGAGCTACTGGAGCTGCTGGGGCGAGAGGTGGAGGTGGAGGAGTTGCAGTAGGCGACATGACGGGAGGCATATATGGGTAATGAGAGCGAGCAAGAGGGCTGCTGACCTTGGGCACTGGTGAGGCGTAAGGTGAGGCGTAAGGCGAACCGTAGGGAGATGCGTATGGTGAGGCGTAAGGGGATGCAGCTGCGTATTGCGAAGCGTAAGGAACCAGCGCCGGTGATGCAGAGTATCCAGAGTAATAGTAGCTGTTATCTGGTGAAGCACTTGACATATACCGTGCTTCGGTCAGAGAAGGAGATGGCAAGGGTACCTGGGTTGGTACGGGAGAGAATGGAACAAATGAAGCAGCAGATGGAGAAGGAGTCGATATGATTGGTGTTCTCTCCGACTCCTCGGGCTCGACAGGAATGCTCTCTTGTTTGGGTAGAGACTCTTCTTCGGCTTTGATAACGGGGGCCTCGATAACAGGAGCCTCGATAACAGGAGCCTCGATAACAGGAGCCTCGATAACAGGAGCCTCGATAACAGGAGCCTCGATAACAGGAGCCTCGATAACAGGCGCCTCGATAACAGGAGCCTCGATAATAGGGTCCTCAATGGCAGGGGTCTCAGTGACAGAGGCCTCAATCACGGCTTCGTGGGATTCTTCGTTGTTGGGCGCAGTTGTTTCAATTTCAGGCGTATTGTCTTTCACAGCAGCTAGTTCATCGGTGTCAGGTTCAAGTGGCTGTGTGGCAATATGTTGAAGTTCCGCATGGCCAACTGCTTCCTCCTGTAGCTGTGGTGATGGGGGTAGTGGTGTTTCTGCTGGAGATGGCTCGTCTAAATAATCCAATACCGATGGTCTTTGAAGGTGCTCGGGTTGCTGGGGTTGTTCAAGTTGCTCGGGCTGCTCAGGCTGTAAAGTTGGTTCAAGTACTGGTTCCGATATTTGATCGACAAGTTCTTGATGTTGCACCGCTAAGACTGGGCTGCCAGGCATAGGGGTTTCAGTTGTCGTGTGATCATCTGTACCTTCTGGGCTCTTGGTCTTCTTATTCTTCTGTTTTGAAGCAGCCTTGCTGCTCTTGTCTTTGACCTTAGTCTTCTTGCCACCGGCTCCCATTGTGATGGAGTGATGGGGGCCCAAAATTCTTTTTTAATAACGGGCAGCTTAGACGTGTCTCCAATAAGAAGTCTGCTTCAAAGACGTAATATTTGCAGGTGATAAGTAGAGATCCAAGTCGGGCGATTCACGGGACTGTCTGGACTGTACATTTGCAGGCGCTATGTGCTTCAAGATATAGCGCAAAAAAGACCGCACACAGAAGGGGAGTAAACTGGGTCCCGGAATGCGGTGTGTGATGGGTCAAGGCGTGGATGAGAATCGGGCAGAGAATCAATAGCACACGATACGATAAGTGGGCACAAATGAGTGCGATCCACGAAGTCAAGGCTGCCCGTTCCAGCACGTAGACGATTCGGGTAAGTCCAGATCAGAATTTGGCGATGAGAGAGTACAATAACCTGCTAGGATGGACCTGGGCAGTTTCCCACAAATAGACAAATTGAATTAATGAGCAAGTAATATAGCACAAGAAAGATAAAACAGGAAGAGAAAAGGAATTCAGCCAGAAATACGAAGCGCTCAATGGTCAGGCCGCATCACGGACCGAACCTTAGTGGGTATATTGGTACCCATCCCAAGGCCAATTAGGTTGACAAGGTAGCGTAACGATGATCGGCACACCCACAATGCGAAACGCACAGCGTGGATTCGATTTTGAACCGAAGCGAGACCCAATTGTAGTGCGCCATGGCAATTGGGCATCAATCAGTTCGGGCGTGGATGGAACAGGGCATAGTGGAGACCCTCCGGGCCCCCCCCAAAGCTGACATGTTCAATCGATAACCAGACACTGCTTTTTCGTTAGGTATAGTCAGGTAGTGCTAAACTGTATCAGTATGAACTATGGGAAAATTAGCATCCAGTGATCCACTTCATGTATGTTAGAGGGGCATTGGAAAAGAAAATAAATGAGGCATCCAGTCGGACAACAGCCACACAACCCCGGCAGGATGTAGACGCTCCCCGGTTCTCATATTCTTGCATCAGCTGCACGGCCTCCACAATTTTCAGTGGTATGATGGAAATAGAACTGGGAGAAAACAATAGGGAGTCCAATTGCAGCCTTGGAAGGAAGTTGGTTGGGTTGAGTGTGGTGATCTCACTGCTCAAGTGAGGCCAGCGCACTAAACCAAATATAGTAACTGTCACATGACCTTGTCTTCTGCTCGCAACTTCATCCTATCACGGTTGCCGAAAGGGTCATCACCAACCGACTCTTGCCAATTAATCTCCAGCCATGTTCGCCGCCAGACGCTGTGCTGCCTCGTCGCGGCAGCTGCTGCGCTCGCAGCCACCCCGCCGCTTCGGCTCATCCCACGCCCACGCTGAGCCCGTGAACGAAAGCTTCGGCGTAAGCTCCTCCAACCCCCGCCAGTCAATCCTGGGATCCGATGAAATATTGGCACCCCAATTGCACGGGAAACCTTGCTAACGTGCATGATCCATTGAACAGCCTAGCTTCTACGTGACCATTGGCAGCTTCGCGTCCGCCTTCATCATCTACCGCATCAGCAAGTCGACCCAGGAATCCGGCTCCGAGTCCTGGGTTTCCGGCCTGATCAAGAAGTTCACTCCTTCGCAAGAGTCTTTTGAGCAGCGCAATGCCATTCACACTGCTATGCTCGAAAAGGCCGCTGAGGACCGCCACCTGCTCCAGAGTCAAGGACCTCGCGAGGCCTACGAGTTGATGCAGCCTGAGTATGTGACGGATATCCTTGTTGAGTGGGATCGACACTAATTTTGACTTTTCCTTAGCCTGATGAACTCCGGTTCGCCTTACAACGTTTCCCCTGGCTCGCAGGCGGATCTGAGCAAGGTTGTGGCCCATTACGAGCAGCGCAACAAGGACATTGATGCGTCTCGGATTGCACGGATGCAGGGTCGCGAGATCTCCATCCACGAGGAGGCTATCTAAGCGACAATATCCGATTTTCTTATTCTTGTTGGTTAGCGGTCTGTAATGGATCTGCGCAATTGGGGAGGCAAAACATGTACATATACGTTGGGACTGGGAAGTTTCATCCGGCACCAGATCATTTGAATTCCATTTGTTCGAAACCCCAAATTCTGTAGGAAGCTAACTATACATTGCATTGGTATATTTTGTCTGGTATCTTATGCCTTGTTTATGGACGTTAATTGGCAGGTGTGACCTCTAACACCACCCTGCCGACACCCTCCGACTGCACATCTAGTCTCTGTTCAACTGCTAGTTCGCTTGCAGAGACGTCCTTGAGTACCGCAAGAAACTCATCTACACCACCTCCAACTCCGAAATAAACTTTCTTGGCTGCAATCATAGCGCGGCTCTTCGCAGAAGATGTGCTCGAGCGGCGCAATAATTCGACAAGTGTCTCGGAGAAAGCCTTCAACGACGCTGGAGAGTAAATAGTCTCGCTAGCAAGCAACACCGTCTTGAAGTCCTGCGACTCACATGCCTCGAAAACCATACCAACAAACTCGGGAGACCAAGCACCCGAGATAAAGTTGAGAACAACTCCGCGCCGAGTGAGATCATTCTTGAATTCTTCGATCAGCTCAGGCGTGATGTCAAGCTCCTCTTCCGGTTGCACCGGGGCGAGCTCTTGATCTGCAGTCACTGCATTAGACTGTTGGCGGATGTGGTGCCACGTCAACAGTAGATTTGGCAGCGTGACAAGGCGCAGGACAGCATCATTGTAGTCCGCACAGGTGAACAGGATCTTTCGTTGCGGAGCTCCCTCCGAAGACTCTGTTTTGTTCAGAATATGAGCGAACAGAGTCAATGAGGGTACGGCTGTGCCTGAGCCAAGCTATTTCGTGTGTTAGTGCTTGTATGCATCGAACCTAGGAGTTTCTTTGTACGAACCTCGATAATATGAACGTTTGTCTGTGAATCATCCAGCGACTCTATGATGCTATTTTCATTGGCAACAAGCTTCGCAAGATCCAAGGAACACTCCCAGGTCTTAAAGCCACCCTCGTAGAAATTAGGCTTGAGATCACCCTTCTCCAGGCCGGCGATTAGTTCTTCATTCTCATGATCTGCGGTATCCTCCGCCATCAGCTGCGTGCGGATGTCGATGATTTCTCGACGCGCAATGACAATAGATGTGCCATTGATTGCAAGCTGGTTGTAAAATATTTGCGAAGGAAGAATCGACAGCTGTCAATAATTAGACTGGAGTTTGGTTGGAGAAGATGTGCATATTGAAAACTCACCCATTCATCTAGATTATGTTTACAGGGCTTCACCAGCTCAGGAAGCGAGTTGCTAATACCCGTCGAAACAAAAGCATCTTGGGTATCATTGACATCAGTATCATCAATATCAATGTCATCGCCCGCGAAGCCAAAGCTGAATGCCATGATGAAATGTTGATGAAATGTTGATGACGAGGTACTTAAATGTGCGAGTCAACCAGATCTTTTTGTGCGAACCTGTTCCCAACTGTCACTAATATGAGGCAGATGAATTTTGACCTTGCCCTATCTTGAATAGATGTAATGCAGCACAGGGAAATCCTGAAGTTCTCATGCATTTCATCTCCAAAAATTGCTCTACGTGGGTTGATGACTAATGCCCCACCCGAACCAAACCAAGTACAGTATCAGAGAATACTTTGAAGCACTGAAACAGCAATTCAATCGTTTCAATCTGAAGCTAGCTCGAATCATCGGAATGATAGAGATACCCGAGGAAGAGGCACTGGGGAGGAGACAATTGAGGAGGTGGAGACTCTTGCGGAAGCACGCGGCCAATTGCAATCCGAACTGGATGCCCCCATCCAAACGCAATGAGCTGCTTGAGAGCAAGATAAATTCACTCCAAGATTAAGTGGCGGCCTTCGAGATCAAAGCAAACAACAACGTACAGCACAATGAGTTCATTGAGAGCAAGATGGAATTACTCGAAGAGCGAGTGGCAGCTCTGGAGATGGATGCAAACACAACTTCGGATGACACATACTCGCAAATGGCCTCAGATGGCTCCCGAGAAGGCCGCGATAATGACTCTTCCATGTGGGACTCTTGATATCGAAGAAGACGAATGGTGAAAGAACGGTGGAACAAGGTTTCGGCTCGAAAATTGAGGTAGCACACTGCGCCAACGGCTTGGTAGAATTGATGGGATTGGCCAGTGTATAGTTGAACGTGTCACTTTGGGGTTCACTTGCTTAAGTTCTTATGGAATCTGAAAGACTTGTTTGCTAGATGGGAACTGATTTATTTTGTATGAGATCGGTAGCTGAAAGCAAAAAAAAAAAATGCGAAAAGATGTGGGAAAATTGCTCAAAGCTCCAAATTGGAGCAGAGGACCAAAAGGGAATCGTCTATTATCTAATTTCGTTATAGAAAATGCAAATCAAGGGCTCACTCTAAAAAGTCTCATGCATGCCAAAGTCACTTAGGCCTTGGAACCAACAACGGTCAACTCAAGTGCCTTAAGCACATCAGCCTGGAGGTCCTCGGCGTCCTCAACACCGCAGCTAATACGGACAAGGTCATCGTAAACACCGGCGGCCTCACGCTGCTCGCGAGGAATACCGGCGTGGGTCATACTGGCGGGGACCTCGCAGAGACTCTCGACACCACCTAGACTCTCAGCCAGAGTGAAGATCTTAGTGTGCTGGCAGAAGCTGTGGGCAGCAGCCTGGCCGCCCTTGATGCGGAAGCTGAGCATACCACCGCCCATGCCATCGCGGTGCTGCTTGAGGGCAATAGCACGCTGAGCGTGAGAGTCAAGACCGGGGTAGTTGACAGAGATGACGTGGGGAGAAGACTCAAGGGCCTGCGCCACAACGGTGGCGTTCTTCGTAGCCTCGCGAGCACGCAGGTGGAGGGTCTTCAGACCACGGTGGGCAAGCCAGCAGTCGAAGGGAGAAGGAACGGCACCGATAGCGTTCTGGAGGAAAGTGAGGCGCTCCTTCAAGGCGTCGGAGTTGAAAGCGGCAACACCCATCAACACATCGGAGTGACCATTGATGTACTTGGTGACAGAGTGCACGACGATATCGGCGCCGTGGGTGAGCGGGTTCTGGACATAGGGACTCAGGAAAGTGTTATCGACAACAACCAGGATGCCATGGCGGTGAGCAATCTCGGAGACAGCCCGGATGTTCACCAGGCTCAGAGTGGGGTTGGAAGGAGTCTCAATCCAGATAAGTTTGGTCTCGTTGGGGCGGATCAATTTCTCCACCTCTTCCTCAATGGCGGGCGAAAAGGTGACATCAACACCGTGAGCCGAGGCGACCTTTGTGAAGTAGCGGTGGGTACCACCGTACACGTCGGAGACCGAGACGATGTGGGACCCGGCAGCCAAGGACTGCAGGATGACCGCGGTGGTTGCGGAGCCAGAAGAGAAAGCAAGGGCATATTTGCCGTGCTCAACAGCGGCAATGGCAGCCTCAAAGTTATCCCTGCGCTGGATGTTAGTGGCGTATGACAAATGCGGGTACGACTTGCGACTGACCGGTTGGGGTTAGAGCTGCGGGTGTACTCATACAGACCGACGGGGCTACCGACACTGGTCTGAGCGAAGGTAGTGGACAGAGAGATCTGAGATCTATTAGCTGCTGAATTGTTTCAATTGGAGAGGGTTTGACGGTACCGGAGCAATGACAGCGCCAGTCGAGGGGTCGTGAGGAGCACCGGCGTGGACCGCCAGGGTCCCAAAGCGGCGCTCAGTAGCCTGTCCGTTCTCGAATGATCCCATTGTGAAGAAAGGATATGGTATTGATATGAGAGTAAAGAGAAGGAGAAGGAGCAATCTTATGTTTTATCAATAAGATTACCGGGAAATTCCAAAGCAAAACCTTGATTAGCAAGCAGAACGTTCCAGGAACAACCTTGCAGAATTGGGGGGCGATTTCAAAGAAATACTTTGTTAGATCTATGGAACGGGCAGAAAAAAATCGAACTTAGTTTCGTTTACGTTGAAGCAGATGATCGATCGTCGTGTTGCGACTGGTCCAGAGACGCTGACAGATCCACTATTGGATCACTTGCCGGATGTAGCCGCGCTTTCGCACTCGGCGAAAACTCTGAACACTCCGATCCTTCGGAGAGATCGGAGTAATGGCGCAACAATATTGCGAGATTCCGCCATCTACTACACCGATCACATAGTTAATAAGCCATCCGGACAAAGCACGGAACCCCGGACTGGGATTTATAAACTTATAATTCAAGGATTTATCAACCCCGTAGCGTGAAACCATAAAAGACTGACAAATTCAACTAAGCCGATTGCGGGGTATCATCTATGGTCGTATAGAATTTATGAGTGAGTGCCAACATAAAATGTCGACTTGCAGAGGTATACGACAATAGGAGTCTAATCGTCTAAAAATTGATTTCAATTTGAACGGTCTATGTTCCGGTATGGGTATATGATCTGACTTGAATAAAAGATAAAGACCGCGCTCTGGACATCACACATCAACAATATTGGACTACCACCAAGTAACCGGTCCAAGGCCTCCCATTTGCATTGAGCCCTAGATATTCGGTTAGCTGGGTACATCCACAAGCAGGGAGTGAAGCTTACAATGATCGAGTACGGAGCTTTTCGTTCTGTGACGGTTTGATCACTATCCGGCCCAGTAGGGATCTGGTCGTGCCATTCTTCTGTCTCAATGCGGAAACGGACAACTTCTCCCACATCGAAATACAGCGTAGTGCCATCATCATTGTCCCAGGTCCATACTTGATCAGCATAGTCACTGTTTCTCGTTAGCGTGCGTTTTCCGAAATATTCAAAACGAAAACTTACAACTTCGCTCCGGGAAGAAGAAGCTCGGGTGGGATTAAGATATCGTTGAAGAACTCAACACCAACTGCTTGAGGTCAGAACATGATGCAGGAATAATCTCCAGAGGAATGGGTACTTTTAATTCCGAGTTCGGTACCGCTGGCAATCTTGCCCAGCATGATCTCACCCTTGAAAGGGCGAAAGACGATCATCCGAAATTTGACTAGAATTGTGTCAGTGAGAAGCTTTGGATAGAGATATCACATGGGCTTAGACTGACCATTAACATTGACAAGGCCTGTTCCGTGACCAATAAGGCCATCTGAGGACTCGAGTAGATCATAAAACCCGATGCACAGGCCGATTTTTTGGATGACCTGAGGGGTATTAGCTAAGGGCACAAAGCGACGTACAACCACAAACCTTGTTCGCATATTTCTCATTAATGTTATCTTCAATGGCCACAGCACTGAACTTGGAGAAGTCTTGGGGTGCAATCTGGATCAGATCGGAGATGGTGGTCTGCCCGCAGTCAGTGAAAGGCTCTTTCTGGCAATCACACAGAGGGACTCACAAGAATGAACATTCTGGCTGATATGGACGGGAGGAAGACGATGCTGAAGCTAAACTACTGTGTTGTACAGTTTTCCATAGAGTCTCTATGCTCCTCTGGTCACGAGATGTAATTCGCAAGAGAAAAAAAAAAGCCGCTGGGATTTGCACCAATCAGCGTCGTGCATCTGCTATTCCGAACACGTGATCTGCGCTGTCAGTTATCGAGCTTGAAAACTTCATGCAGAAGATGGTGTTTTCGGTTTTTTTTCTGGTTTGTTTTATGACTACCGTTATGGTTCTGAAGCGCTGCCTGGGACCTCTATCAGGGTGGCAACCATGAGCTCCCAGGGCTTTTCTTTCCCACCACCTCCACCTCCTCCTCCGACTGTCTCCCAGCAACATCCAGCATACCCCTCTGCACAGTATGGGAATGGGCACTGGGCCGGGCGTGGAGCAGGTGGACGGGGTCGCGGGCGAGGCCATATGAACCGAGGCCGTGCCGGCCACTACTCTTCCGACGCTGGTCGGCCCTCGTACAATCCTCCGAGTCACAACTCTACGCCGGGAAATTATGGATACCCACCTCATCCCATGTCTGCAACGTCGTACATGCCTCCCGCACCATACTCTCATGCGCAAAGCAACTACCAACACCCTCCGAACCCTCCCTCCTACCAACCTCAACATTTCCCACAGCCCGCTGGATCGGCACCCTACCAACCATTACCTGGCTATAATAACGCCAACCATGCACACCCTGGTCCCTACTCTGCACCACCTGCGCCAGCGTACCCCCCGGTACCAACTCCCCAGCATGCCTCACCACAAAATACTCCGGTAATCATGGGCTCCATCCACTGGAGTACTGAAGCGCCGTCATCATACGTTGGTCCACCTGGACATGGACATGGAAATGGACATGGCCGTGGTGGACACCGAGGATCCCACCATGGCAATCATGGGCCCAAGCAGCGACATCCGGGCAAACGAGACCACGGATCTGCATTTAATAAACCACAATCCACAGTGCCTAAAGTCCCAGCTCCGCCGCCAGTTCCAAGTTTTGGGAACCCTTTGCCGTGCAAACCTCCCCCCGCGGTAGATGCCACTCGCCAGCCAAAGAAAAGGAAAAGAAAGCACAATCTACTAGGGTTAACGCCTAAAACGGACGAACATGAGTCCAGCGAGGAAGAGGAGCATGTGGATGAGGAAGCCAAAGCCGCATCCGATGCTGGGCCATTGCAGTTTACCTACAAGGGAAAAACGGCCACCCTGCAGACCCCTACCGATATCGCCGCGTGGATTGCTGAACGAAAGAAGAAGTTCCCCACACAGGCTCGGATCGAAGAAAAGAAGAAGGCCGCTGAGGAGGCGAACGCCGCTCGTGAAGCCGCCCGAGAAGCGGCACGCCGGGAGAAGGAGCAAGCAAGGCAAGAAAAGGCCAAAGAAATGGAAAAACAAACCCCGTTGTCAAACACTGGGCGAAAGCTTAGCGACGCCCAAGACCCTCTAGAGGAGGCGAAAAGGGCACAGCGCAAGGCGGATAAAATCCGGCGCACCCTGGACCGAGAGCAGAAACGCTTTGCCAAAGCCGAAGCCGAAGCAGCGGCGCGCCGCCTCAAGGTTGAGGCGCTACAAAAGAAGGTGTTAGGCTTGAGCCAAGATCAGCCGAATGGCGCACCTGCCGACTCTCAAAGTCTTTCAGCCTCATCGAATGGAGTGGACCCCGCGACGGCTAGTACCACGGACACCCCGAAAGACCAAGCGTCTCTATCGGTCACTAATTCCCAAGAGATTACAGTGGCGCCAGATGGTGTGGATGCCATGGATCTTATGTCCGATGGCTCGGACCCCAGCGACTGGACTTCCTCTAGCGGGTCCGAGTCTGACAGTGACTCGGACTCCGGCAGTGATGATTCTGCGCCAGCGGCTATTAGTTCACGGCGCGAAGGACCCGAAAAGGTGGCCCCACCCCCTCGTGAAGGCAAGAAGCAAAGCTGTCGCCACTTTGCTCGCACTGGGCAGTGCAATCGTGGTGACAAATGTAAATTTTCCCACGATGCGCTCAAACAAGGACCCAAAAGCAAGCCCGTTGAGAAGAAGGGACGCAAGGGACTTTTCCAAGCTGTCAGTATTTCCCCGCCTATGTACAAGTCCTACAGTCACTTTGTACTAACGACCCACAAAGCTGGTTGACCAGCAAAAGACCGAGGAAGACAAGCGAGCAATGGAGATGATTCTCTGGCTCGGGCAGAATGGTTTACTGGAAGCGACCGCGAACGCCCCGCAAATGGGTGCTTAGCGGGAACTCCACCAACGCACACCGGCATTTTTTCTGTATGAGTGAAAGTCCTGGAGCTACTCCGACCTGACCTGTTCGGTCGCAAGCGGAGCCTCAGTCTCTGCGATCCGGCCTATTTTTATCTCTACGGCGCTTTGCCCAGAGAAGGTGGGTTCTGAAAAAATGGATGATACATTACCAAAATATCACGCTAGTATTTCATACCCTTTACACTAGCCAGAATTGATCTATCGCGAATATAATAAAACTTTGTTTCTCTCCAACGCGAAATTCCACGGGTGAAGCAGCCAATGGAGATGATTTAAAAATAACTTAAGTTGATGAACCTTGGAAATAGGCTATGGGCCCCGAGCGTACCAGCGCTCACCACGAACATGCTGTTCTTGTCAAATCGGAGTAAATGTCTCAGCCGGCACGACCCGAGCCATTGACCAATCTATACTTCCGATGATCATCCGTTCGTTCATCCTCCCTCACCTATCGCCTAGATACCACTATACCCTAGATACCATTCTACGGGCAGGATTGCGTACGCAGTATCCGCCAGAATAAGCCACAAGACCCTTCAGGGTCTCAATATAGAGAACCCTGATGGATTTGGTAGAGCAGTGATTCATCGCCCCAGCCCCGGGCACTTGCTGTGAACGCGTAATGCAATTAAAGCATGTAATCAGCCTCAGGGGTCATGGCGAGTTGCGGGGTGTGCATGACTTTATACGTAGCATGCTGCATCTGACAAAAGGGTCATAGCTTAAGACCTGCATGTCCTCGTATACATCGAGGGTTAATCAATCGATCTAATGATGAAGCTTGGTACCCATTAATTTGAATTAATAAAGCCACAACCACCTTACCTCACGGGAGGGAGAGAGGATCGAGACCAAAGTCCGGTGGCTGTATACGAGTGGCAGGTGACAAAGATTTACGGAAGAGGCGGGCTAAGGGATGACACGAATGCAAATTCAAAATCCAAAGACTAAAAAGCTAATATTCTAGTGCTTTTGCTTTCGACGCGAGGCTGTGCACGAACCTTGGAAGGGAGCCTCTTAGGCGTTATTTTCGGGCGTAATTTATCGAAGTTGAGCACTAACGATGCTTAGCGGTGGAATGGTCCACTGGGAGAGACCGACTATTTTGGGAGAACCTTGGAAGCCGCCATTTACGAGGATTGCAGTTTTTATCTTAGCGAATGATCAGAACTGCTGGTCGGGTTTGGAAGCCGAGGTAGAGTCGCGTGGCGGAATTGTGATAAACATCACCGCGCTTCACGACGTGTTTTGTTTTGATCAATAGTATTGACCTGCCAAATATAGGAAATTGGACCGACTGAGAACTCAATCCGAATTATGAACTGTAATACTGCTCACAGGAAAAAAAAAATAAATAAACGAGGGGATCCACTGGACGAAAAAAGGGGAAAAACCATCCAAGAAAATCAGAAAGTCAAAGGGCACTTGGGGCCACGATTATCCCCGAAGTAGAGCCTAGGCTGTTATCCTTAGCCGAGAGAGGCCAGAGGAGTGGAGATGTCATTTAAGGTACTGGAAGCGAGGGCGTTCAGTGGTGCGAAAGAACGGCGTTCACTCGTGGATCACCGCCACGAGCGTGGACCGATTCCACCAAATTGCTCCCGCCCCAGCCAATCCGATCCTTTGACTCCGCTCAGGGCAGGCACTTTGCGTTAGTTCCAATGTTAGCGCAACCGGTGCCTTCCTGGGCTGGGAAAAAAGGCCTTTATTGCGGCTGCTCTTTTTTATAAAACCCGGGGATAATTCCCGTGGCTCATTAGGCTTCTCTTTCCCTTTCGCCATCCGCTCGTTCCTCTGCGCTTACACTCTTTTGATATCCCGCAGTATAAATCATCCAAATTCCCACTTTTGATATTCAACCACGGTTCAATTAATCACGTCAACATGCGTTACGCTATCATCGCTGCTGCTCTTTCGGCTCTGGCTTCCGCCTCAAGCACTGCCAATCCCTTCAGCAACCCCAGCGGTGGCTATGTCTTCACCTCCGGTGATTCCACCACCCTGACCTGGGATCCCACCACCAGTGGTACTGTCTCTCTGCGTCTCCAGTGGGGTTCCGTCACCACCGCTGAGTCTGGTGATGCCATTGCCTGTATGTACCCTATCAATGCTATCAGATAGATCCGACGCTGACAAATCCCAGCCGACCTTGAGAACAGCGGTACCTACACCTGGGATGTGCCCACTGACCTGGTCAAGGGCCGGGAGTACACCATCGAGATTCTGGACGACAGCAACTCGGATGACTACAACTTCCTGCCTTACTTCACCGTTGCTGGCGCTACCGCGACTGCCTCTGCCACCGCTACCCCGACCTCGAGCTCGGCTTCCACTTCCAGCGAGGCTACTTCGACTTCCTCTGCTTCGTCTTCCAGCAGCAGCTCGTCGTCTACCTCCACCTCCTCGACTAGCACCAAGAGCACTGCCACCACCATGTCCACCATGACCAGCACCTCGGCCCCCAGCTCTTCCACTGCCAGCCCCACCTCCGCCTCCACCAGCTCGAGCTCTGCCAGCGCCTCTGCTTCCCAGACTGCCGTTCCCACTAACGCCGCTGGTATGACCCGTGTCTCCGCTGGTATGCTGGCCGTCGTTGCCGGTGCTGCCGCTCTTCTGTAAATCCGTGGAGAGTTCTCTTCTCGGGTTTTGTATAGTCATGTGTGATTTCTTTTCTTGAAGACTGGGAACAACTTTGGTCTCCCGTCTTGTCCGATTTGGCATTGATCTACGTCCCCTGTACCAACATCATCGCTTCCTACTTGGAGGATGTCATTTTGGTTATTTTATACCATCTTTTTCTCAACTACATCACATCTTGGGTGCTTGGATGCAACTGAGCGTTTTATGTTACAAATGTATTTGCATGTATTAATTACCCTTACGGAAACTAATGTACAAAAAGTTCCATCCTGGTTTGGACTTTTGCTCCTTGAATCCTGATATTGAGTCTGTAGAATCTAGCGGTGCCACATACGCAGTGGGCAAGAAGTGCGCTTGCTCCGCCTCGATCGACATGGTGGGTCATTCTTAGTGGCAGTTGATAACTGTTGCCGATAGCGATGATGAGATAAAGAGATAAACGAGTACGAAGTTCGAGCAATGATTTGTACTACCTGACAGTCAACCCCTTGAAATAAAAATAAATAAAAGCTACCGGCCTTCAGCATCTAAGTAAGGGGAATGGATATACACGGGAATAAACGGTCAAGGGTAAACCCATTAGCCGAGATAGAATGGCATTCTTGGAGGGGAAAATGAGGATCAACTTTAGTCGGTGTCTGTTGTTGGCGCAGTGGAGACTGGCACCATTTAGCGTCGATAGTTTCAGGGGATGTTGCTCCATTGAGCGAACGGCGGTTCCACTTGCTGTTTTGATTGAATTCTATTTGATTTTCCGGCATTTCTTTTAATTTGTTTTCTTATCTAGTGATGACGTTAGGCTCTTTGCATAAGTCTTGAAGTATTGTAACGCCTACAGAAGACGCACTCTATACGCACTCTAAAGGCAGCCATCGGGGCTTGACAGTTCACGTGAGGCTCTGTCAATTTGTCATGAACAAACATGTAAACGCAGATGCAAACACGGATCGGATCTAATCTTTCATCCGAACTGCATATACGTACACTTGGGCATAACAAGAGCGGTCAATTAACTATCCTGCCTAATCCGCCCCGATCAAATGCTAATCGGACCCTGTTTCCATGTGTTTCAGGGCATATCCTTTTAGTTTGGACTGAGTTTGGCGACACATTCATCTGACTCCATTCCTCAGTTGGAATTCAATGTCGTCGGTGAATATAGCCTGTTGCCAAGTAGAATCCATTAACCTTCGTCTCCCTCTCAATAGGAGCAAGGAAGATACGCAGCCTCAAAAAAGGGAGAATCAGGACCAGCCTGTGCCCAACCAACTTAATATCCTCAGTAATTGATCGCTTGACAAGAGAAGATGACCAGCTTACGAGGGATCGACATATGCACATGCAAGGATCACAATATTTATTATAAAGAGGGCGCTGCCTCGTGTTGACAGCAAGGGATTTAGCATCTCGCTGCCTAGGACCAGGGACCCGAGTCACGGGAACAATTAAACCCTTCCTGTCTTCTGACGAGTCAACCATTCAGCTGCAATGAAGAAGAATCATGACTGCCTACATGTGAGATGTGCATAATGCAGCATTCAGATCTAGGGACATGGATCTCAGTGACGGTCCTGAATGGCTGACTGCGTCTTCATCTTTTTCCCTCTATTTGTGCGACGGTGTCCAAAAAGAGATGAGCAATGGCAAGTCGGGCCAGTCTGCAATGGCAGTCCCGCTCGAAAGAGTGTAGTGGACGCTGCAACATGCAATACATAAGCCGATATTCGAGGAACTTTTCCCTCCCTTTCTGCTCTATTTTTATGCCATTCTCTTACGTATTAGCTGGGTTGATAGATCTATATAACCTGCTGTACGCTCCCTCAGTTTTCTTTTTCAGATCGAACAATGCAAATCGAGTTCTTCAATTGCATTCCGAAACCTCAGCAATCTGAAGCTTGGTACACAAGAAGAAGCAAAATCAGGCTCACAACAGTGCCTCGCCTATCACTCCCGCACAAAAAGAAAAGAAAAAAAATCCACTATGCTGTCGATCACCCCCATCGTTGTCGCTGCAATCCTCGGCTTCGTGCAGTTAGCGCAAGCCCAGACCAATATCACAGCCAGCGCCTGCGCAGCCTCATCCGTCTACTCGACTTGTAACCGCGATGTCGCAGACAAGTGGAGCTCCTGCCTAAACGGATGTAATGGCAATGCCGATTGCAGCGTAGATTGTGGCTGTGTCGCGCATCAAGAGTATATTAACTGCATGGCACACTCATGCTGGAATCAGGTATGAGGACTATCATTGCTCGATCGATTGATCTCAACTATACGTCAGCAACCAACTAACAGCTGATCCCAGGTCTACTCATGCGAATACCAACTTTTCGTCCAGCAGTACTTCGCCATCTGCCCCAGTGCCATCGAGCCAATCCCCTTCTGGCCAGCTCCAGATGATGCTCCGCACCGCTGCTCCTGCGATCTGGGCAAGGTACTCAAAAGCACATTGACCGCACGCAAGGAACAAGTCTCCTGTATTCTGAACGTCACCGACCAAACCGTGAATACCGCCACAAGCGCCATAACAAACCTAGGCGATCTAGCCAACATCGGCAACATCGCTAATACAGCAACCGAGTGTGCCTGCTGCGGAAGCAGCGCAAGTCTTTCAGCGTACGTCATCCAGCCCAAGTGAGAAGAATCCCAACTAACAAGCCATACCCAGTGCCTGGGAAGTATGCCCAAACACAGTTCCCCGCCTTGCAGGCGCAGACCTCTGGGGTATATTCTTCCCATCCGACTACCCAAACCTGTACAACTCGGTCCCAAATTTCGTCTGGGATAGCTGCGACAGCACGCTCAGCTCAACGGACTGCCAGAATATCGGGTTCACGGATCCATCGGATAAATTCTATAGGCCGGGTGATTTCCCCTCGAATGGTACCTCGACGCTTAATAATGTTGGGGGTACGGTTTCGGCGCCACCTAGTGGGACGGTCATCATCTGGTCGCAGTCGACTACGACGTGGACTGTTACTGCTACTGGGTATGATGCTAAGGCTGTTGCTAGCCAGAGTGAATATCGGGCCACGGCTACGGGGACTGGGGCGTTTGCCACGCGGACGTCGACTTCGAGTTCGACCTCGACTGCTACTTCTGATAGTACTAGTGCGGGAAATGTGGTTAGGCCTGGAATTCTTTTGGTTGTTGGAGTTTTGGGGGTTTTAATGCTGTGATGAGGCCGGGGCTAAAGATTTTTCTCTTGTGGGTGATTTTGGTATTGATGTTTTGTGGACGAGGGTGGAAGAGGATATTGACACTTTCTCTTTATGATTTAATGATAAAAATGTCGGAGATAGGGGAGTTCAGATGATTGATGATTGATGCATGAGATCGAACGGTCGAGGATGCTTTCATGGACATATCATGATATGGGACTACGGGTACACAAATTGAGGATTGTTTGATGTTGAATTCGTTTAGTTAATATGGCGCAGCCATCAAATTGGTAAAGTAGAAGCTCAATAAAGCTGAGCTGATAATCCAAACGCCAGTACGATAAACTCCACGCCAAACCATGATAAAAAGCCAAAACAAAAGCAAGGACCCAGCCCCTCACGAGTGATTAACGCTCGATCCATCTAAGCTGATCCCCACGAAGGAACGACCTTCTTCAAGAACTTCATAAACTTGAAGAAACCAACCGCATACTCCACATTTCCGTAGGGATCTACAACCCGCTGTGGGAAAGCAATGCCAGCACCAAACAGCCCAGGGATAACAGCACCATTCCCACGCTCATGGAAATGACCTGTTTCATGATCAAACTCCATAGCAAGGAGACTCCCATCCTTAGCAAGCTGCGGCAATGGATCTCGAGTGAAACCGACAGCATGAACAATATACTCGCAGTCAGGTAGATGAGCACGGTACTGCGCAGACTCCCGGGCCTCGCCGCCGGCACAATCGATCTTAGTAATGACCTCACCAGCCGACGAGGTAGGAAGCTTATCATCTTCAAGCTGGGCGCGGGCAAAGTCCGCAGCTAAGCCCTTCAATCCAGTGTTGTCGCGCAAGATCCAGCCATCCTTGTACTCTGCATAGCGGAGCGGGTGACGGGTGAACCACTTAACACGTAGATGCGGGTGTGAAGAGCTAGCTAGCTGGACGAGGTTGAGGAGGGCGAGAATAGCGCTGTGAGAAGCGCCCACGACAGCGACGGAAGCAGGTGTTGATGTGGGTAGGATCCGGGTGAGTTCGGAGGGTTTGAGGACAGTGTCCAGATCTAGGGACTCGATGTCCAGACCCGGGATTGGGACCGGGATGTTGGTTGGGTGGGAGCCTGTGCAGAGGATCAACCGGGAAGTCTCGATCTCGAGCTCCTCCGCGGAGTCATCGCGTTTGACACGGACGATCCACTTTGATGTATTTAAAGTCTGATTTTCATTGTTAGTATGGATAATTTTCATGCATGTAGGTGGGACGAACTCTGTCGCCTAGGTTGGCTGCTGTGACGAAGCCGCGGCAGGCGTAAACGTCCTCCATCTTCATGAGACCGTCTGTAAGGCCGCGGACCATGTCGGCTGCATAGTGGAGGTGGCAGGTTTTCTCCTGATCCAGCTTTGCCATGGTGGTGAAAGCATTGGGTTGGCGTGTGTTCTCGATCACGGTTCTGAATGGTTGCGTGGCTGTAGCGTAGGCCTGGAAGAGGGACACCTTGGTGTTGCTGGTGACTCGAGGTCAGTGGTGCTGCTAATGCTCCTTGAAGCCGCAGGGAGACAAACCTAGGAACCTCGCGATACTTGCGGTTGACGCGGCCGGACTCAAAGCTGGGGTCAATCCAAGCGATTGTGCCCAGCTTGCGCTCCAGCAAATTGCCCATGACAGCCACACCAGCCGGGCCAGCGCCCACAACAACAGCAGCGCATTTTCTGGTAGCCATATTAAAGGTGCAAATATGAAGCCTGCGAGAAAATAGCAAGACAGAGTGGTAAGAATGAGTCAAAGGCAGAGAAAGAGGGGGAAACGGGATTTAAGTTGGAAGCGAAAGTGTAACGTAAAAGTGGGATTCATTCGGGTATCTAAATAAAAGGAACCCGCAGACCGCCAGAACGGCAGGAAATCCAAAGGGGGGGTTCTGTTGTAAGCCAAGACCGAGGAACGTATATAGGAATGCGTAAGTCACAGATCACCATTGGCGGTGCAGATAACGCAACCAATGTCCAGTCGGGACGTCGCCAACCGGTATCGGGACCGCACCTTGGGGGTGAACCGCAGTCCAGGTCCCCAAATCCTCCCTATTATCCTCCAGTAACCGTGACACATTGTGGAAAAGCAGGGGCTTTTCGGTCGAGAAGACCTGTCGATCGTGGCTATATCCGAGCCAGACTGGAATAGATTGGCCCCTCGGCTGAGATCTGCGACATGGAATTGGTCGCTTCGCTTGGTGGGCACAAGCCGGCCGAGAAGAGGGCGGAAAAGGCGACTGACGCAGGTGCCCCACTGCCTGCAACGCTTTCCATCGGCTTATCGGCTGGGTCGGGTGAGTCAGGCGGATTGTGAAAACGGTGTTAAGAAGCCCTCCAAAGGGAAGAGTAACGGCGGGGTCAAGGGGGGAACTTGGAGGGGTTAGTGAGCATGGTTAGCAGTTTCAATGAAGTCGGCAGGGCAGATTTGGGGGAAAGAAGAAGAGAAAGCTGGTCGTGGCAGTCGTTTGGTCTTATACTCTGCTGTTCTGGTCGATCCAGAAGTCTTGGCGAAATTGCGTGCTCGACTTCAGCCTGGATTCTCGGGCTGCAATTTATGGCCTGAATCACAAGGCCACAATAACCATAGTTGACTAGTTAAGAAAGAAGTATACTTGAATAGCGGTGGCAGCTTATTCTTGATCTCAATATCTTTGCCTAATATTTATTTGATCTGCATAAGGTGAAGAAACCCCTTGACTGAATGAACTAAATGAAGAAATAATAGTTTATGCGCATTGAAGTAATCAGAACAAAACAGACGGGATTGTACGCCTTTCAAATTCAAATCACACAGCCCAGAATACTCGAACTGTGGCCTTGTAGACATAGTTCGTCCAGCCTGGGAACCTCGCTCGCGCCCAGAGTGCAATCGAGTCCCCAACCTCCAACTCACGCACATATCGACCATCTAATGTGGACCGCCCTCGGCCCTTGGTCCCCTCAATCTCATAGGCCTCAGGGGAATCGAAAGGAATATTATCCAGATAGTGCCACACAATGACATGGTTCTGTACATCGCCCATATGTTTGCCGTTCACCTGCACCTTGTTATCCCGTGGAAGGAGAAGTTCATCCTTGGGTCCGTAATGTTGCCGGACTTGTCCCCGCTCATTATGCAATAGTTCTTGCTCCACTCCATCGATATACATCTGGCGAGTATGTGCACCACGAATCATTTCAGTGTCGAACCAAGTCCAGGTAGCTGTATACATGTCCGGTCGCAACCCGTAACCTTTGGCGCCCTGGTCGTGCGAAGAGATTTCGAAAACGATCTTACGGCATGGATGCATACCCCGATGAGGTAATGGTTTTGGTGTTGATTGCTCTAGACTCTAAGAATGGCGAGCATTTCAGATTAGCAGGGGGGTCATTGAAGTCAGCTTAAGGGTAATATATCAACCTTTCGCGAATAGCAAAGTGGCACAGTCTTCAACAAAACTTGATCCTGGTCATTTCGAATAATCCGGCATTCGTTCTCCTTCGCCATGTGGTGCTCGGTGGAAGGCCAATATTCGGCTGCATCGATAATCTCGTCTACCAACTCTGCTGGGAATCCTTCGCTGAGTTTCCATTGCAACAGGTATCGCACCTTGAACACGTCCCATATACTGGGGAAATACCCAGCCTCCGGGTCGATCTCAGAAGTGGACATGGTGGGTGAGCAAATGAGCGAATGCTTGTCAATTTGGGTCTATTGTAGAATCGATGGAGTCAAGTCATTGATTGAAAGGAGTAAAAGATGAGATGAGTGGAGCCTAGATCGGACCCCACCAAAGCTGGAGCTCTGCACCAAGATCTATTTCCCACTCACTTCACGGGAATGAGTTGCGACAGGGATTATTGCAAGAATTTGCATATTAATCTGGCAGTTACAGTTTAGTTCTTACAGTAATGTTGGCCAGCTATGACATAGGTGCTCCAGTTGAACTTGTTTATCTTATCACCCCGCAATTCGACGCCACATTTGCCAGGATACTCGGACCCTGTCAAATCATACATACAGCACTCTACATCATAGACAATCCCACAAGAATGACCGGAGATAAAAGTCAATAAGAGATCTGGAAGCGTAGAAATCATAGTTGATTCTGCATAATACTTTAAATGCCCTTTCCAACGCCAGTAATAGATACAAAGTAATGCTGCTTTTCACATTCAAGGCTTCTGTCCGCCCGCGGCCTTGTAGGCTGCCGCCCGCTTGCTGCTACGGGCGTTCTTTTTAGCCTTAGAGCCGCGACTCTTACCTCGGACCTTCATTTGGGACGAAGCACCCTTCTCGGAGGCACGATGACCCTCAAAGATGAACGAGTTACCGGCGATGGTGTTCTTTCCCTCGGCCTTGACCTTGGCGGCACCGGCCCGACCAAGCAATCTGCCTGCACGACCCTGAAGGGTCTTTTGAGCCTCTGCCATCTTCGAATCTTTTCCGCCGCTGTCTTCACGCTTCTTGGCGACCTTTCGGGCACGGGTGACACGCAGTTTTCGGGGAAGCATAGGAGGGAACTTCTTCTCATTGAGAAGCAAAGCCTCCTCAACGCCGTTACCATCGTAGAACTGAACGTAGGCAAAGCCCTTTCCAACACGAGTTGAGCGATCCCGGATCACACGAACAAATTCGACACTCTTCTTGGCTGCCTTCTTGTCCTTGCCTCCAGTGTGCTCGTTGAAGGTGCGCCAAAGACCCTCCTCGACATCAGCAGGGGCTCTGGGCTTCTTCTTCTTGCCAGATGCATCTTCCACGGGGCCTTCATTGTCAACAAAGTCAAGGTTACCCACGAAAACACATCGCTTGTGATCAATCTCGGCCGGATGGGCAATGCTGTCGACGCGAAGGTGGCGATCCAGAACAATGGTTCCGTTCAATGCAGCGGATGCCTTGCGAGCGGCTTGGACGGTAGAGTAGACGGCGTAAGCATTGGTGCTGTGAGTGGTATCATCAAGGATTTCCTGGCGGGCGAAAGAAGCACGCTTCGGGAGTCCCCCACCGCTGGCAAATGGGATAGAGCGGAACCGGAGCGATTCAACCTTGTGAGGGCCGGTTGATTCTGGCAGAGTGGAGCAGAAGGAAGCCAGGTGGCGAAGAAGTTCCTTCTTAGCGGTCTTGGATTTGATAGCCTGAGTCGAAACATTGCCCAAGAAGACCGTACGGTTGGACTTCTCGACCTCGCTAGCCTTTTGAGTACCTGATACACTCTCGTGGACCGGGACTGGAGCCTTGTCATCCTCGTCACTGTCCTCGTCCTCAGAGTCCTCGGCTTCGGATGCATCGCTGCCATCTTCCTTGCTAGACTTCTGACGCTTCGCATACTCGGCTTTTCTCTTTTCCTCTTCCTTCTCTTCCTCCTTGGCAATGCGACGCATGTATGTCTCCTCCACATCCTCTCCGGCGGCCGCTCGCTTACGCTTGCGATTCTGGGTTTCCGGTGCCGACTCCCCAGTGGACTCAGAATCACTGGCATCGGCAGCATCTTCCATCACTTCATCTTCCGAGCCTTTATCCGATTCGATGTCCTCTTTGTCGGCCTTTTCTTGTCTTGTTGACCTGGGAGGCACATTGACGTATTGAACCGCAGGGGCTTTCACAGGTCCCGCCTATGAGTCAAATCATCAGTCTTAAGTTCTCGTCACAATTGAGATATGGAACATACACTTGTATCGAAAAGGGAGGCCAAAGTCGGGTCCAGAGTGCTGCCGCCAAGCAAAGAAGGACCAGCAGAGGCAGGCGCCTGGCTCTTGTCGGCAGACTGGGATTTAGATTTCTTGCCCATTGTAAAAGGAAGTTGGAATATTGAGTATTCCGTTTCCTTTCTATAAGTTGTATAATGGGTGGAGTCGAGACGAGACTGCGCATACAGCTCCGAACTTTTTTTTTCTTGGGGCTTATCAGTCTTGGCGCGGCCAGACTGCAAATCACATGATTTGGGGTATGTACTCTATGAACATCAACCGATTAATATGTGAATGATTCACTAATTATTTATGAAATAACATGAATGATATTTCTGGGAAGAAGTGAATGTTCAGAATATTCAAAAATCCTTGCCCATCTAGGGAAGCCTAACTTCGCATCCTTGCTAACTTCGGACCATTCTTCATAAGCTTATGTTTTCCGGTTTTAAATGGAAGCTTACCGCCAGTGACCTTGATCAGATCATATCTCTCCATCTTAAAGTCCCCTGCATCCCATAAACATGTTATCCACCACATATTGGGGAAAATGGCCCTTCGCCAAGTCCTCCCATGGACATTTATACCGTCTTCGGCGACGTCAGTATCACGTGACAAGTGGTTTTTTGCAGGCGGTGACCTCGGATATGGCAGAACCCACTCGCTTCTGTTGCTCTGCACCCCATCATAGCGATCTTGGGCTTCCTCCTTTCCTGTTCCCCGCTGGAGCTGTTTTCCCACGAGCCTGACGATCGTTTTCGCCCTTCCCAGAATTATCTGGCACATCTTCATGCCGACCTCTGATCCGCGTCCTCCCCTTCGACTGTGGTCCTGCTTCCTTTCCTAGCCGCCCTCCCCTCGCCATCCTAGTGCTGGCGCATCAGCGGTTCGACAGCTGCTGGAGGATTTTTACAAGTGCAAGACGCGTGGATTTGGCTCTGCTTTTCCACTGGTATCTCTACAATACGGTGGCTGTGAAAATACTGTTCGATCGCGAGCAGCTTTGCTCCCCAGTGTTGCCTCCGGCGCATTGTTGAGACGGTACGTCGCTGGCACCTTTACCTTCATGTGCATATCTTCCCAGGCTACAAATCGGTCATCTCATGGCTTCTCTTTTCTTGGGGAGCTATTGAATTCTCTCTTTGGTGTTGCGCGTTCACTTGCCCTCCAAGAGACGGGTGTCGACTCTGGGGGGCGTTCGGCGGTGATCAATCTCCGCACCGCCTTCTGGAGGCGCTGACCTTCTTTTTGCAACCCACCCGCCTATTTCTTCTCTACTCAGCCTTTTTAGAGTGTCTCTACCCAGCTAGTATGGCAATTGAGCTAACCTATCCTATGGTTGACACAGAACCCCAAACAAAAACCTGTCTGGCCGATCGGTGATCTTGCCGCCCTCTCTTCCCCCACAGCCTCTCCACTTTGCTGGAAGCAACTTTCGGCACGCCACAGACCTCCCAACCACACCATCTCCTCAATTCGAGCGCTCCCTCGCTTCTTGGAACCTTTTCATAATTGCCCATGGAGGTGGCCGAGAGCAGAGAGCATAGCTCCGTTGGTCCTGCGGGGCCAGAGTCTACCATGACCAACGGAGAGCGAAATCCCTTCTTGGATGACCCACTTATGGACGACGGTCGATCCAGTAGCTTAAGTGAGATTGATGAATTATCCGACAATGAACCCTCCGACTTTGAAGATTCGATCAAACCGGAAAGGCAGCTCGAGAACGACTCTGAGGCGGAAACCGAGCGCATCGAGGACTCTCCCCACAACATTCGGAAGCGCGGTGACATCGTGCTCAGTGCTGGTAGCGCTGGCCCGAGTCCAAGCAAGCTTCATCAGTCGACGACTCTGGCGGACGTCGACGATGAAGAGCAGCTGGTGGACGACTCACCGAGCAAACCCCGACTCTCTCATAACAATGGATTGACTGACAACATTCCGGACCTGGATGACATGGACCTACCCGATAGCACAGGCAAAAAGCGGAAACGCGTTGAAGCCGGCGACGATACTGGAACCGAACTCGGTGACGAAGAGCCCATCAAGAAACGCCGAAACTCAATCAAAAGCGACTTGAGCGATCCAATTGATGATGACATGCCTCTCTCCCCGGAGCCCATTGAAGACCCCATCACCACCAATGACGATGAGTTGCCGGCCGACGACGTCCCCGAATCCGATCTTCCCGCTCCGCCAGTCAAAGGCAAAAGAGGCAAAAGGGGTAAGCGCAGAGGAAGACGAGCTCTAGATGCGGATGAAGAGACCGAAGGTGGCGATGTTGTAACAGAGGACGTCGCTGATGAGAATCTTGGGGAAGAAGAAGAGCCGGCCGAACGCGAGGAAGCCAACGACGCTGAAACGGCGGCGAAACTCGAAGAAGAATGTAAGTCTCAAATCGCAGCATGACATTCGGATCTGGTTGACTAAACACTACCTTCTAGCCGCCAAGAAAATGGCTGCTCTGGAATCTCTGACGGTGGTGGAGAAAGAATTCGCAATTTTGCGTGACAAGTAAGCATTATCCAAATCTAATACCGGTCCGTCGCTTACCTGATATAGAATTTTTGACGACCGAATCACGAGCCTCAACCGCGAGCTTGAAATGCTCAACGGTCCCAATCCTACACACCCTGAGTATCTGCGCCAGATCGAATGTGTGGAACGGTACCGCGATGCCAAGATCAAGTACGAACATACGTTGTTTCGTTATCGCAAGCAGGCCTTGGTCAACAAAAGCTTGGCGGAAAGAGCACAGGCGAACAGTACCTTCTTTCAACGTATAAGGGATGCGCGGGAGAATCATTCAAGTGCTATCAGCAAGCAGTTCTATGCTATTCAGCATGATCGCTTCAAGACGGATGAATTAAGCCCGCATCACATCATCTCATTCCCCACCCGTCGCTCCCAGCAGATCGCGAACCAGACCGCCTACAACCAAGAGGTTTCGGTGATGGCGGGTGTCGCAAAATATGTTGGATTCCCAGCTGCTCCCACATTATTAGGCGCGCGTCCAGCGGAACTGGACGACGATCTTGAAAAGATGGGGGTAAGTTGGCCGATCTCTTTAACCTGTACAGTATATCCGTGGCTAACACGTACATCTAGATAACCGTTGAAACCCGAGCCTCAGCCCCACGACATTCATCAACATTGCCCCCTCGGCCTGCCATGTCGGCGATGTCATCCAACGTCTTCCCGACAGCAGCCGAAGAAGCTTTCTTGGAGCAAACGCCATGGGCCAACCCACAACATCCAATCCATCAGCAACAGGCACAGTATCAGTACTCTCAACAGCATCGGCCTCAAGGGCGCGCCTTCGAGCATCCGCAAGCGTCATCATATGCGACTCCGGCGGCTCAAAAGCGGGTAGTGGATATTAATGCGCCAAACGGATCCGCGTCCACGATTCCGGAAAATGTCTCGGCTGCCAATTCTTCAGCCAACAACACGCCTTATGGCACTGAGCAGGAGTCACGACATCAGCATCATGGGCCCTTCCGCAATCCTGATTATGACCTCGAGCGCAAATCTGGCTTCCGATCTCAAAGTTCATCGCCACTAGATGTGCGAAAATCTCACCCTCACCCAAGTCATGCCCTGGAGCGTCGCTCTCCTGTACCCGATTCTTCCTCCCGCAATCCTATTTTCTCTCCACCCCCTGCTCGCCAAAGCTTGTTTCAGCCCTCTGCCAGGCCAGATATCTCTCCTACTATGACCTCCAAAACAGTCGACGCGTTACATTATCATCCTCAGTCTGAGCTATCAACAGGGCCCGGTCCAAGCCACATACCAACACGATAAGCCACTTCGCCTTTCATCTCATCTCTGCAGACAACTTTCAATAACCGTTTGCACTCACAAACTCAACGTGTTATCCGAATACCTTCCTCCTCTTTCTCTAATGAAGATTCCCCTCCTGTTTTGCCTTTTGCTTTTTTTTGTTTTCATTTATGCTATTCAGACAATAGCATGTGTATTTTGATGAGCGTTCCGAGCTAGAAAGGGCGAGACGGCATGGTCTGTATGTTGTTTACGGAAGCAGTGAGATCCCACTTCGATCTCAATCATCAAGCTTTTTACATATGGGAACGATGACTCGTCACTACAGCTGCATGAAGGGGAAACGGACTGTTTTTATTTATTATCATATGGGGCGGTGTCCGGGTCATGGAAATGTGGTCTTTTTGTGTTTATATCTATGTTTTTCTACTACTATACCTATGTACCGGATTTCCTTTGACAATTCTTGGCTTCCTTTTCCGGATTAGTGTCCACCCCCTCGCCGCTTTTACTCACTGAGCAGATCTGAGCCGTGAGGCCGTGCATCTGCTTCACGGCTCAGATCTGCTCAGTGAGTCTTACGTAAGCCTTGCTCATGCTCACTGAGCCGGGCCTGAGCAGACTGATCGGCTCACTGAGCCTGCGTAGTATTGTGATTCGCTCACTGAGCGCATTTCACAGGAGGCCAATCATATGCGTGGGCTACCCCAATAAAACGAATTTCACTACGCTGCCTTAAGGCCTCACTCGCTTAAAACAAGAATTTCATCATCCCACTTAAAGGCATATGGCCATGCCCACTTGACTACGTACTACGCTTATTTGATAAAGGACTATGTGATTAAAAAGAACGGGTAGCAAGCTTTTGGCATATTAGCTTCTATCTAGCACTTAGCTCCTAGGAACACTTAGCTCTACTAATTTGTTCTTGGCTACCCTTAACTACTTCTTGCTTCTTGACTATCAATTGAAGACCCTACTATATAGGAGAACCAAAGTATTATTTAAGAAGTATTGCCTTCCTTGATATGAAGGCCAAAAAATAGTTCTATTTCTAGGCGTCCAAATCTTCCTTAGATTCTAAAGTGCTATAGATTTAGACCGATATACCTAGTTAACTCTTTCGAAGAAACCTATAACCTTTGATTTATACCCTCTAAATAAAAAAGCTTATTATAGTGGGTTAATTACCTCTTTATATTATTACTCGACTATCGTTGCTTTAATCTAATTCTCTACTAGTAGAACTCAAACCTTCCCAATATACGCGTTTATACCTTAATAGGCCTAATCCTACAGCTTTCTAAGACCATCGCTAATATAACTTTAATTAGTTATTATATATTATCCGCCCCTAGGCCTATAATAGCCACTTCGCCTATAGCTATAGAAGCGGCGACTTCTTAAGAGTCAACGTCGCTAAGTAACTATCACAAGAAATAAAGTCTTCTTAATATTAGCACTAAAGATACCCTAAGAATATCCAACAAGCTATATCGCTACTCTAAGTTTGAATTAGATACCTAGACTCAAGCGGGGCGAAAGAGAAATCGAAAGGACTAAATTATAGTTAATATAGAGGTTATTAACAACGTGATAGTTTTTTTGAAGCAGCTTTCCGATTATTTTGATACGCCTTATAGTGGTTCTAAGAATTTGCGAGTCGCACTACAATTCGGAGCTAAACTTATGCAACGTAGATATAAAGATATTGTTGTAGAAGCCCTCGCAAGTAGTGATCTAGTTCAATGCGATACGCTAGCTTCTACTTAGCGAAAAGGAAAGTGCATAGTAGAGGAAGAACACCTCTATGACTAAGGCCTATAATTATGTGAGAATGATATTTCCTTCTACAATGCCTCGTTTTCTTCGATCAGTTACTCATTAATTTTGATTACATTGACTTGTTTATTTGATCGACGCACCCATCAGTGGGTAGCACCCATGCACGATCCAAAAAGTTATATTATAAGTAAGTCATTTCTAGGAATATACCCTGCTCAGTACGAAAAATGAAGATATTGGGAACTATTGGGTCAAATAGTATAGAAGTTGAAATTTCAAGCCCCTGTAGCATTGATAAAGTTTGAGTTGAACATGAAAAACGTGCCTTAAGTCCTTCAAGTGATTGGACCAGACGGAGATTTTGTGCGGGAATCCATTAAACCTGTGAACTGGACAGCTTTGGAAGCGGCAACCTAAGTTCATTCTCAGATTGTTTACAGAGACATCGACCGTATCGAAGGAGTTCCATAGATTGCAAATCCTATCGATCTTGTGGCTTGATGATCACTGCGACGCCTGCCAGGCCTTCGAATAGATGGGCAGATTCAACAAGAACTCCGTTCGCTTGGGATTCCATCCCAGCGCAGTCTTAGCACGGGAGGCATCCAACTTACTCACTAAGCTCAAGGCTTCCAAGAATGGGTTTCCATGGGTCCCAATGTACTCAATATGACCATCCACCCGCAGTATGGTCTTAATATTCTCCAGATTCTCCAGAATTTCCACCACTGAAAGCGTCTCTGTAACAAGATCAAAGACAGGCCACGAGCCCAACTGACCATCAATACGATCAATAGCCGCATGGAAGCCAGCAGCGACATCGTTAATGTGAACGACTCCACAGCCAGCTATGCGATCTACAGTCACTTGCACAGGAGATGTACTGCCTGACTTGGCTGCTTCTGCCAGGGGATCCCACCATGTTCCCCAAACCCAAGACCTACGCCCGTAGATAGTATGAGGTTGCATAATCGCACCATCCAGCTTGTCGCGCGCTGCAAGAATAGCCTGCTCATGTGCTGGACGCCATGCAACTAGTGTGACAGGTTTACCCTGGGATGACGCGCTACCCACTGAGGCCAGGACGCTAATGCGGAAAATTCTGTCTTCAACATTTCACAAAGAGCCCTCTTCAAAAGATGACCCCGAGCCTGCTGCCGCGGAGGGCGAAGGTGGGAGGATACTGTGATCTAGAAATAATGTACTGAGCGGGGCTTTGAGTCTAAGAAAAGCCGATAAGAATGGCGTTGGGGCGAGCCTCCGGCGGAGTGCGGCCATATCTAGTGATACCAATCTCATCAAATCGTGGTACGTGTCCTGATGCGGCCCGAGCCACTCGTGCCGTGCTCCAGGATCATCGGCGGAAAATTGATCTACTCAGTGGCCTAGTGGCGCGAGCGGTGGGGCTCAGTTCGTGAACCATTAGAAGAGCGTCATTGCGCATCCCCTCCACCAACCCCCTTTCGCAAGATGGATCTTCGCAGAGCTAATATCATTGGTGTATCGTCTTCTTTCCCCTGAGATTGGTTGGCCCTTTTCAGCTTTGTGCATATTGTGTAGGTCTAGGCCTGCACGAGTACTGGTAGTGGTACCTAAATGTATTCCTTTGTCTAACCGGCTCTTACATAAATTACCATTTCTTACAGACCCTCGCTTACTGTAGCTCTCCGCGAGGGTCCGTAATAAATGGTAATGTATGATAGGGCCGCTTAATGCTTCTTCTTCTTCTTCTTCTTCTTCTTTTTCTTTTTCTTCTTCGAGTATTTCAAGCGTATCCACTGGGTTAATTTTGCTCCTGAATGAAAACTCGAAATCTGGCTTGAATTTTATGCGTCCCCAGATCAGCGTCAATTTTGCCTAGCCATGCATGCCGCATAAGTGAGTATCAGGTACAAAACTTGACATCCTTAACAATGCGCATCCCGGCACATGAATTTCAGTTTTTTATCACATCGCTCGCCTATTTCTCCTCTCTTTAAGAAGAAGCAGAAAATAAATAGATTAAAATTACCGGAGGAATGAAACAATCTAGACCGTACAATCTTGATAGACTAGATTCCTAAAAGCCAGGTTAAGTCCCGCATGGCAACAAGCTGACGACTACAATACCCACCCCAGCCACCCACCACCTCTGGATTGGGCAAATACTCCGTATAATCACAAGCACATGTTATTTTCCTTCGTGGATATGTCCTTTGTCTGTCGGAATCACGGGCGGCCGGTAGGGTAGAGAGTCAGCGGAAGAGGCGAGTATCGGGACACAGGCTTGAAGGGTAGCGGATTCTGTCAGGATGAGGAATTGGTGTACTGGCTGGTACTGAATATGTCTTTTAAGATCTGATGATTGATTGATTAAAGGTATGTAAAAGATCAGTTGAGCGAACTCTGGAATCTACTGTCAGTGCTCTAGTGTTTTACGACACTGTAACCTTGGACCCGTTACGGATTTTGTCAAGGTCTATACACTACAACGCTAATAGAGAAATAGGAGGAACAAGACCCAGGAAATCGAGTTCGCCCTAATATCACTCGCTTGTATTGGCTACATGGTGACCTAGATTCACTCATCCTAGCTTGAAAGAGTGTGAAATTGGGGGCTGGATATCATTCAAAAAGTATAAATATCACCTAGATCTCCCACCTCGGTCAGAAGATCCATCATTCATTCTACCACATTGAAAGCAAATACCTCTACCAAGGTTCCTTTTATTCAAGCCTCAACCTACGCACAGCAAGTTCAAATCTAGCCCATTCATTGCGTTGTAAGTTGTTGTCCCCCAAAGCACCTATCCATCTCATTTTACTGATACCAATCGCATTCAGATCTCAAGAACCATGGCTCCCTCTTTCACCCAGATGATTCTCATGGGCATACTCTGCTTCAATGCAGCCCCCATGGCCCTTGCCGAGGAACTGGAGCCCGCTCCACCTCACATGACCGAGGCTCCAGGAGTAAACAACCTCCACACGCGCGTCGAGATGACCGCTTGGCAAAACTGGGTTGTCGCAGGAGGAGCCGGCCTCGCGGGAATTGGCACGTTTGCCTCTGGCATTGCAGCTCTCATCACCGCCAAATCTTCCTCCGCAAGCTGCGCGACCACACTCGACTACCTCTACAATAAGCGCGATGAGGAGCCCATTGGAGTCGATGCTATGGCCCTCAGCCTGCGGGACCAGGGATACGCCCAAAGTGGCGAGTGGGTTTCTCACAAGAACGGGAACAAGACCTTTGACGGGTACTTTACCAATGGCGAGGTCCGTTTGCATGATCTCTATGTTGCGGGCAACTACACTGGTGGTATTGTTTCATATGAGAATGCTACCGATAGCCTTGCTAAGCGGGTGACCTACTCTAGCTCCAAGCTCGCTTTTGAGTATCACTCGCGTAAGGGTGTTTGCAAAACTCGTCTGACTAAGGCTCAGCTCAAAGAGGCTGCGGAATTGCAGCTGCACTACATGTCGTATGCTGCTGATAAGTGCTCGTGCTGGACTTACACTGGTGGACACGGTTGGTACGGTGAGGTCAAGCTGATGGAGGTGTATGATGGAGATGACTACTCTGCCAAATGCTATGACAGGGTCTGCAACGCAGACTAAGGTAGCAGTCATCTATTTTTGTAGGTGGAGCGCGGGGCTTTCAAAGTATTCAAGTTCAAAATGCTCAATGTTTGGATTGTTGTGTACCCTTGTTTATCGGATGGACGGAGTGTTGGCTGGATTGAGGCTGAATGTGAAATCTTGAAGACAGAGTTTTTCTTATTTTGTATGGTAGATTAAATACAATGAATAGCATATCGTGACAAACTCCATAGAAGTCTGAGTTTATTTGGCCAATCAGCTGCATCATTCGTTGCACTCATAATTTAAATTTTCAGGTTCGGTCGATTGCTGTGCGCGAAACAAAGTGCTCACGGTATCTGTCTCACTATTTTCGATTCAGCCCGTGGGCTATAAACTATTTCTGCTTACTGCGGCTCCCAGGAATCCACATGCACTAGGTAACCTTGGAACCAATCGACCCCTCGTAATTTCTTTCGAAAATTACGAGAAATTACGAGGGGTCGGTTAGGTAAAGGCTGGCCCTAAATCGCGAATTCCCTGCCTGTCAGATGACGCGTCATCTAAGTTAGCGCTCCCAGTAGTTATAGTGGAATGAACAAGTTCGCTTTTGATAATATTTACTTCCAACCTTGGACGAGTCTCCAAAATCCTTTGAATTTTCAGAAAACACTTGAATGCTACCATCAAGGTACTCACTTTCCTCCCCAAGATTGAAGACGCTTCATACCTGCCTACAATGATCTCGTAAGTAAGACCCAAAGCTACGCCCAACTGGGCACCTGCACACCAGTAGGCAACAATGGACATCCCTAATATTTTCCTAGGATTGCCTTATTGACCGCACTGGTCATTTCCAACATGAAGTTTTTCATGACATGCGCAGTTGCAGGCCTATCAGCCTGGATGATCCCACAAATCAGACAACCCATCGCATTATTCTTCCGTAGATTGGCTACAGGACCCACGTCAAATCTGATCCTTTACTTCATGGTTCAAATCCTTGTGGTGTATTACATAACAATACTCACCTTTAATGTGGATGTTCTCATTGAGACACCCCCAGTTGCCTACGTGAAGATCGATGCAAAGAACGGGACCCGGACTCGCGTTTCCCCGAAGGAGTACAGTAGTTTTTCTTCTCGACAGAGTCAAGCTAGTGGGTTATCTGGAGATGAGTGGGAGAGAGTCCGGGAGGAGCAAGTTGAGGCATACTATGCGGAGAGAAAGGAGAGTACACTGAATGAAGAGCTGAGGAGAGCTGGTTTTACTGGGACGGACACTGAGAGGGTCATGGCTACTTTTGTGATGTAAAGCTCAATTCACATACATGACTTCGTGGCGATAAGTCATTTTTGTTGATGTTCGTTCGGAGAACTTAAGCGTCATCTTATCTCAACTGTTAGTTTTTGTCCATTGAGTTGATCCAAAGAATGTAGCATTTGGGCATCGTGTACTTCGCAGAATTAGACATACTCGGACATCTGGAGCAGAATCGAGAATACAAGTAGAGATGTAAAGCATATCGCTAGGAATTCTTGGGTTCTCACCAGCGTCGAAACTCATGATATATGCCATCATCATCCGCATCATCTAACACCATCAGCCAGCGCCTATAGCGTGCATCACATAACCACTGATACACGAGCTGGAGGATGTTGATCTTCGGATCCTCCCGTCCTGGAATCTCCGCGGCTGTGGCAATCTGCTGGTAGCCCTGTTCCAACCGCGCCGCATTGCTGGCGTAGACCACAGAAACCCACGTGTCCGGTGTAGATTCTCGCACGTGATAGGAATGATCAATGGTAGTTTGGGTTTTTCTAAGAGGCAGCGAGGTTAGTTTATATTTAAAAGACTTTCCTTAGAGGGAGACTGTAATACATCAGTCAAACCATCCGTATCCGCGTATACAATCCCGCAGGAAAAGAGTATCATACACCGAGTGGAGAAAAAGCGCATCGAGTGCCCCCCATCTGGAGAACCTAGAGAGTCTGGAGAAGACGGTAAGGTGCTGGTCCAGGCACTTGAATACATCGAGTCAGACATGCTTCTGCAGCATTCTATTGGCCTCAAGCTGGGCCCTAGAGTTGAAACAGACCCACTTACACGAGTGGCTGGTATGTGGCTAGTTTGATGGATTTGATGGATTTGATAGATCTGACTGCGCACCCACACAAATTCACTTGCTTTTTAGATGAATATTTTCTAATTTTACCATATTCAAAATGAGATTAATCATTTTATTGGAATATTCAAGTCTTAAAGCAGTCTAGCTGGATATCTTCGGCATCAATGTAATTTGGAGCGTGGTAGTATAGGATATATGCTCAATTAAGCACCTATCAAGCAACGCGTGGCGTGGGACTGCGTCATTTCCTCTGGTTGTCTTCTTACTAAGATCAATACACTTTGGAGACCTGGAATCAATGACATTCCGAGCCCTCCTGACCAACCATAGTGGAATACTGTACTACTATCACTACCAAGCTTTTCAACTTCAATGTGGCGTGAAAGATAGGTGCAAGCCCTTTTATAGTCCCCAAAGATCGGACACATAAAAAAGCTATCTGCAAACGTTCCCTCGGCTTCTCCGTTAAGCAGTTGGCCACATTGTTCTTGCTCAAACAAAGAGTACAAGAATACCTCAAGCTTTTTAAGTATGGCGCCGGTCAATCCCATGAGTATCAGTGCCATTTTGAATAAGCCTTGTAAGCACACGTGCCGAGCATGCAGTCTTATTGAAGGTATTTTCACAATATACCAGCGGAACTCCAGAAACGAAACATGGCACACAACCTCCCGAAGTAAGCCAACCACTGCAATCTGAATGAAGAAATAAAGAGAGGACCGTCAAATCTTTTCGCTGACACTTGAATCGGCAGGAAGTAGAGAAAGCTTCTGCGGAGGAGAAAAGAAAGGTGAAACGGAGGGAAAAGAGAAATGAGAAGACAGCCAGTGTCAAGGTCGCGCACTCGCCTTCTGCTCAATCGTCATACGAGGAACAATTGAACTACTTCTGCTGAGATTGTTTGATTTTTCACCGAGACTCGAACGATCAAATTCGTTTTCATGTTCCGCGACGCACAAATCCGAAGTATCGTTTGTCATCAAATTTTTCATTGGATGATTTGTTCTCGGGTTCGCAAAGGAAAGTAGAATAATGACATTGGAATGGCTTTTTCTTTTTCTTTCAGTGAGCGCTTCCCTTTTGGGGGGTATATGCTGTTTAGCCATATGGCTTTTTTCAGACTATATACGTTATGCAAATGATGTCGAATATCTCTTTTGTCCTGAAGGACTTCGACGCATCCATAAATAGGCTTCGTTATGGGGAACTAAAAGCAAGAAAGATATACGCTTTCGATATGTTGTCTTAAATTGCCGTTTTGTAGCTAGTAGCGCAATCGATTTATTGCGGCGAGCTCTTTGTCCTATAGGCAAAACGGACAATAGCTAGGGCGAGTGATTGTGTGGCGATATATTATTAGTTCGCAATATCGAGTTTTCTATACCTGGAGATGAGCCTAGCAATGGTCTAGCTATTGATCTTCTAGATTCGTCAGGAAATTGGGGTCAACCTAGGGCTACCTCGTGTGATTATTCCTGGAGGAGCCTGTTGTTCCCTTACCTGCGTAGAGAAAGAAGATATTTTGATCTCTGAGCCTGAAGGCCCTCGCGTGGAGAAATCTAGACGAATGTGAGAAAGCTCTAAAGTGATTTTTTATCTTCGTGACTAATATGCTCTCTTTATAGCCCTGGAACCCCTTATATAAGTGTGGTTTTAGACGGTCCATCGACAATCTCTAAATCAGAAGAGATTTATTTCACGGCAAAATTACCTACGAAGGTCTGGCAAACGATGATCACGAGGCTATCCCTGATGAAAAGACAATCATCATACACGATTACCCCTTTTCTGGTGATAACTATCGACTACAACGCCGCTGCCCCGATTATGATCCAACAAAGGACTCGGAGGATTTGCCGCAGTGGAAGACTTACTTTGACGAAGAACGAGATGCAAATCGGGGTTTTATGATAGTAGATGAACCTGACGTTGAGGTCAACGTCACGGATTCTACGTGGTTCCGCAGCCTCCAACCAGGGGAAATCTTTATGAGGAAATGTCCTATTGAGTTTCTGGATTTACACCCCGATACAGTAGTTGGTGACGTATATCGATGGCAATACTGGGGTGGCTGTATTGACTGGTGGACTTGGGGCGATCGCGAGGAACACGCAAATACAGTTGTGAAATTACCATGCTGGATGTATGCGCATGTCGTTGACCCTGCTGATAATGATGGGAGACCGGAGATAATCATCTCTTCATCCAATCTTGTCGAGTTTACTGTTATTGATTGATTTGAAATATATGCTTTTCCCGAGTATTCTTGGATATGAGGGGTCCCTCCAGTCTACTAACTCTTGACTATGGGGTGACGCTTAGTCTGATTTAGCCATGGAGCTTGAAGCCAATTATTCGAGTAGTGAGTGGCCTACGAACTCAGGAGGGGATGTCTCAACATATATCTGGCTCGGGATCGATTAGCGTGACGCCAATCTTGGCCATCTAGTGAACAAGAGCTTTGAGAGAATCGGCTTGATTAAGCATAGCGATTGTCTTCTATTTCTCTCCCCCATTGTCCTGTGAATAGCACCAGTATGTATCCCTTGACTATCAACTCAACTGGTGGATCACCTTACAGAACATTCACTAACGCCTACCTATCGCGTCACTCCACCGCTCTTTATTATCTTCCTGAAACCGAAGGTACTAAGCTTCAGACGCCACATTGGGATGAGCGACATGCTTAGATGCCGTTCCATACAACCAAGCAAGCGCTTGGCTCTCAGCAAGTACTCCACAAGCAGAGTAAACATCAACTATCCAATCAATTTTATAAAGGACTCAACACAGATCTATAGCTATGAATCGGGATCTGGAACTTCTCTATTCAGTTTCAATGGCTGCTAAGCTTGAGACTATCGTAGCCCTAGGCAGGTCCACAATGTATTACATGGATGGAAGATTTATGACTGGCATTGGAGGGATTTTTCATCACGTTTATTTCCCAATGGCTTGTTTATTTCGGTCTTCATAACCGTAATAGCCCGCAAATTTGGTATTCATAAGACGGCAAGATAAGTAGAAACTAAACGCCAAAGCCTACCGGCATGTATCCTTGATCCTTGCTTTCGCATTGGCAATAGAGTATACAAAGAAAGATTTACGGTGCAGCACTGGCCTGCACCCCTGACTGTGCCGCATCTGATGCACCATTGGTGACCTCTTCTGTGGGTTTTGTTTGCTGCGGGCGCCACTTGGCCAAGACCTTGCCTGCCGCTGGACGCGAGTCCTCATCTAAAAGGGGACGTTAGAATCAACAACGAAAGGATATGAGATCAAAGGCGGTCTTACAAGTCTGATAAATATCCTCAAGGGTGTTCAGGCACATCTCTCGTGCTGGAGGCCGGAACATAATCAAGTACCTATTTTGAAGTTAGAAATGAGAAAATATAAGACAACTGGAAGTAGAAAGAGCTCACATTAAAGCCTGTACGCAGAGATTAACACGTTCAGGATCCTTGGCGAGGGTGGCTACTTTTTGCGTAATGTTGACAGTGACCTCGGGAATTTCACTTAGGAAACGAACAATCACTTTGATGTCGCGCGAGTCAAGGTAGAGAAGGATTCCTTCTAGAAGACGCATAACCCAGGTGTCATAATGGGAAACCACCGTTGGTTCGATGTCTTCCTCGTCATAACGCTTAGACGCGGCGACTTTCATCTGGATACGGTCGTTGTACCACTCCTCATTGAGCCAGGTGATGCCGATATTCAACCTGCCCCGGAAATCCTCCAGGATATATTGGAACAGAGTCTCACGGATGGAATCAGAAATGGTGGGTTGTCTTCGGTCAGAGCCCCCTTTACCCAACTTATCACCCCCTTCCAGGCCAGCTGGAGCACGAGTGGCCAGTCGGGTGAGGAGCAAAACCCATGCGTCTCGGTCAAAGTTACTTCCAGCCAACCGAGCAAACCCAAGTTGCTGCTGGTTTTTGTTCTTGGCGGGCGAGTCTGTTTCAGCAACATTGATCATGGAAAAGACGCGCGCAACGGCACTACGGCCGACCTCTCCGGCCTCTTCTTCACTCAGTGGTGGTGGCTGGGGCAGGACAAATGGACCCAGAGAGACTAGTTCGGGTTGATATTCAGGCACTTCAGGCACGGCGGCACTAGCGTCTTCCGCGGTATTGTCCGATACGTCCATGGGCTGATATTCTGGTTCATAGTCATCGTCATCATCGGCGGCTGCCGCAGGCTGCTGCTGTTGACGTGCCAAGTTCTGCTCCTTTGTAACTGCTTGATATCGGTTTCGAATAGCCTGGCAGATATGTTAGCTTGTAATCAGTGGAGTTCGCATGAGGGTATCATACCTCGACGGCTTGCGTCAGCATTAATGGGTTGACTTGGGCAAGAAGGGGCACGGCAATCTTGACAACAAGATCAGGAGGCAACTGCTTCACGTCGAAGGAGGAAAGGCCGTGATCTTGGGTCAACGTAAAAAGCTTATCATAGGCCGCGGGACCTGGGAGCATCGGAGGGATCTGGAGTACTGGCGGGGTGAGAGCATCGAGACGAGCTCGCTTGGCGTTATCAAGGCCATCTGTAGGTTCAACAGGTAATGTGCGTTTCCGAGAAGCGTCATCCACCACCTCTAGTCGAGACTGCATGAGTCGCTCAATATACACTTGGATCCTCCCTAGCAGAGGGTGACTCGGGTTCCTGTAGGGGGTTGTCAGCATTATTTCTAGAATGCAAACGGGCAGGGGACCATACTTCTTCAGAATGTGGATCAGCAATGCGCGAGCTGTGCGCTCCATTGACTTGACTCCAACGCGGACAGCGGGCGTAAATGGTGGGCGGACATGTTTCGCTGGGTAAAAATCTAGAACGGTATTGATGACCTTGTTTGCGATCGACTGACGCGTGCGAATTAGAGGTGCGAGGCAATTCAAAGTGGCGTTGACAAGTAAGGCGTCACTAGAATCGATTAGCATAATAACACCTTACACATCGGAACCTCTCATCCTACCTTGTCTCTTCTTGGAACACGCCCAGAAGTCTATCTAGTAGACCTGATGCCTCGGCCTCTAAGTGTGGAATGGTAAGAACGGCGTGGTTACGGGGAACGATGGCTAACGAGGTTTCGTTTTGATCTGGCCGCTGTGGAATAGTGAGCAAGAGCTGAGTTGGGAGAGTTGAGATTGCAGCACTTACCCTGGGATCAGCAATCAGACCAGGCGTCTGAACCTGCACCACGCGTTGTAGGAACTTGACACAGCAAATCTTCACAGGACACGGGAAAGAGTCCATCCGCCGCAGGATATCTTGCTTGATTGTATTCATCTTTTCCCATGACTGACTATCTTCAGGGTGGTTCACACTATTATCGTAGCGCGTTAGCATCCATGTAATGACCCGATATCTGGACCAGTCTATCCCCCTTGACTACAATCTTGCACTGGAAGTTACCTACATATGGCGAAAAATGATCGGGTACAAGCTCGCTGCAGTCTGCACCAAGCTCTGCAGGACGGCTGCGTCCACCTCTGGCAGCAACATGGTCTCTTGAATGCTCTGCAAGACATTTTGTGCCAGCTGCTCTTTCTGTGCGGTCGCCAGCTGAGGACTAGCAAAAGTTTCTGCTAGGAAGTCCGCGCCCCATCGACGTAATTCCAGTTTCGCATTAGGTCCGACGATAGGAAGGATGCCGTTAATGATCTGCGGGTAGAAGGCGGCGTCACCGAGAACTAGGTTCCGGGCAGCGTTTAGTTGGGCGATTTGGTGGGCGACATCGCCTGTCGGTTGAGCCATCGTGGCTCTCGGTGAATAGAGGGGAATAGTATGCGACAGGGAGATCGGGAGAGGTCGACGTGGAGGGTGTACAATGGGTGGGCGTTGAGGTGTTTCCTACGCGGACCGGAGCGCGAATGGAGCTGCTTTCTTGGCAAAGGCAACGCGCATGAGATTATGGGATGCAGCGATCGGTGCCAAGACGCGCGGCGCTTGGTGACAGGGTATGGTGGGAGAACAGTCGAAGCGCTCGGAGGTGGAAACGAACGGGAGTATGAAGAAACGAAAGTAAACCGCAGGGGCCGAGAAAAGTTGGGAAGTTGTATGCTACGGGTGATCCGCGACACTTATCAATTGACTACAACAATCATGCGAAAAAAGATATGACAATTGCGATTCTACAGGCTCCATCAATTCAATATGCTTTTAACTTCGAAATGACTATCGGTTGATTCTATCGCTGGTGGTCGATTGGTATCAGTCTAATGCACATTGAAGGATATCAGGTATGAAGTAAAAGACATGTATCCATGACTTGATTCTTCTATTGAGATATACAAATCCAAAATCCGAATCCTGTTGCTCAAAGTTCTGTTTGATGTGGTTCTTGTATGCATCTATCCAAAGGGAGGAGAAGAACATATGTCTCCCATAGAAACCGAGATTATCGGCGCCAAGACTCGGCGATCCCGGTCTTTGCGCGCGGGATTCGCCATCTCCAGACCTTCAAAGATCTCACCACCACTCACCATGGCGAATGGAATGTATGTTTCAGTGACTGACCTCTTCCAAGGACTGCGAAGTCTTCCAATTTGACTAACATATCATCATCACAGCTTCAACTCCACGTACTACGGCAAAGACTACCAGGCCGGCGCTGCCCTCCTGCGTGCCCGCCGCCCATACCTGTTCAAGAACGCATTTACCGGCTTTGGTCTGATTGTCTTCTCAATCGGCGTCTGTACGTACCATCGAAACCCTCTCTTCCCTTCCCACAACCACCGCAGTCGCTGCAGGACCAAAACTCGATCGTTGCGCTGAGTAGTCATCGATCATCCCACACGCCACCTTCTGAACTGCAACAACCCAGGCTAATGCATTTTGCTCTATAGATGCCTACACCATCCGCGCCGTTGGACAAGAGGAATTCTCCGATGTGAAAGTCCCTGACGCCCCCTCGAAGAAATAAATCCACTCAATGGGGCGATCCGGACACCATAGATCCCAGTCCAATCCAACTGATACCCACCAGTCTACGGTCTGGGACCTGGGGTAGCTTTGATCCGGTCTTCCGCGTGTATCATATCTTCGCAGTATGTGGGAGGTGAAATGAAGTGGCCATTATGGTCAACCCCCTCCCTCGGCGAAAAACAAGCAATGGAGCAAATTTGGGGTTACGGAGTCTTTCGGGCAGATCATGCTTCCTCTTGGATCTGCAAGCACAGTGCGTTTGTTTTTGTGCCTGTGTACTGTACAGAATGGATTTGCTGGGATATTCTTCTTGTGCATAGCCTAGCTACAATTGTCACTCTTCTCTTTGGGATCAGCCTTTCCACGTATTTTTCTAGGATGGGTATCTAGTATACCTGCTGTAAGTACAAGTAGAAGCATGAACAACCATAACCCCATTTACCATAACTATGTAAAAAGTCGGAAGCGCAAAGCAAACCAATCTTTCTTAAGGCATTCATTGTATACTATCTCAAGTACTATACCTAAGAATATATCCAACCGGGGGAGAATACATGAGACAACCTGCTATGCCAGAAAGAATCGCAGTCGCAGGACAATCGAGGTTTAAAACAAAGCAACAAACAAAACAAGAAAGCAAAGAGAAGTCTACTCGGTTCTCAGAACGCGAGGGCCCTTTCTTTTGGCAGCACGCTTGCGCTTCAGACCCTTGTCGAAGGCAACGGCGTTACTGTGGTCACGACCGAGGTTGTCAAGATCCTTGACCTTGAAGATACGGATAATCCAGTTCTCGCTGGTGAAAGCCTCTTCCATGGTATCGAGTGTAGGGCTTTCGGTTGGCACCTTTGTACCACGGACACGGTCAACGGCTTGACCAGGAGGGAACAGAGACTGGTAGTTGTAGTAAGACATTTTGTACCTATTGACATGTTAGCATTGAGATTCCAAGCGAAGATCGTAAGAAGCAACATACATCAAGCTGTTCTTCATGGTGGGGGTAGCCTCGTCATCGACACGGTACTCGCCACGAGCGGTGAAGAAATCACGCTCCTTGATCTCATCAGGCCAGATACCCTCGGCGATACGGACCATCCACAAGAACTTGTTCAGGTCGTCGCCGGAGTAGCCCAGCAAACCACCGAACACAACCAGAACGTAGTCAACATCGTGTTGACGCAGGATCGGGTAGCTAACCTCCTCACGAGAGCTCATGGCCTTGCCAACGGTGGCAATGTGAGTGTTATTCCAGGTGTTGTTGTCGACCAGGGTGGGGCGGTCAGCCATACCACCAATCTGGTAGCCATAGTCCCACCAGGACATGATCTTGGCGTTATCGGGGGTGTTCTGACGGAGCCAGTAGTATGCCTCACGGTAATCGTCGATGATGTGCTGGCTTCCATCGGGCAAACGACTGGCCAGGACAACGGAGGGAGACGAGTATGCGTTTGAGGTAACCCAGGTGCAGTGTGCAACGAACATAAGCAGGTACAGAGTCATCGAGCCCGAAACGAAGGCCTTGGAGAAGTACGAGTAAATACCGACAATGGGGGAACTCATCTTGCCGTATGCCTTGGCATCCGCTGCATTGGCCTTGGCCTTAGTCTCGGCAGTAGGCTTCGACATCACCAGGAACTGATCAAGAACACCTGACAGGGCAAGGCCCGCGGCGACACAAACAATGGGAGTGAGAGTCAGCATCAAACGGACCATAACGCCAGCAAAGTAGCTCGAAAGCACGGCATAGATGATCACGAATACGTGCTCATCCTTGAGCTTCTGGAAGCACAAGAATACACCGGCGGGGAAGAGCCAAATCAGGAAGTTGAGATCAAAGAAGAAAGCAGGCCAGGCGGTAGGCTGATGTTCAGAGACGGATGCAATGATCGGAATGTGAATCTTGGCGTAGCCAGTATCCCACAGAGAGTAAAAGCGACCACTCCATGGGGCGATAACACCCGAAACACTGAGCAGAATCAGACCACCGAAACCAAGACCGACGATAAGCAGGATCATCGAAGTAAGCAGCTTCTGGAACTGCTTGCCGGGAAGAAATCCGCGAATGAAGTCCGCGAATGCCACAAGCTGAATGAGGCCAAAGACACCGAGCGCGGACATGTGGTCACTGTTACGGATGGGCAAGAATCCTACGAATGGAATCTGCATGCTGCCCAGCGTTCCCAGAGCATACCACGTGGTATAGGCGATGTAGGTGCGAGAGCTGTAGCGACCCATGCAGATAAGAACGAAAACATGGAGGGGGATAAGGTTGGTGATGAAGACATAACCACCCCAGGCAGACACCATGTATCCGTAGAACAGGGCAGTCAATGCTCCCCACATAATCGAGCCATTCTTGACGGCCTTGATCCACAGGTAGAACGTGAACACCAGCAGGAAAATGGCAATTGCCTCGTTATCGTAGCTACCAGCCACGGACCGAGAGATATAGCCGGGGGTGATACCCATGAACGCCGCAGCCAGAAGACCGGCCGATGGCGAGGTCGACATCTCACAAGTCAGAAGGTACATGGCCAGCGCTGTCAGGCCAGAGAATCCGGGGGCGAGCAGAACGCAGACATTTCGAATATCAACGGGGATCGTCAAGAAGCGCAGGATGTGGTAGATCACACCGCTGGTCACCATGAGACCGGGGTACAATGTGCCACCAGTGACACGACCCAGGGGATGCCATGTTCCTAAGAAGCGGGACACATTTCATCAGCACTATTACCCTGTGATACCATTGGGGTCTTGGGAAGGACGCGCAAGCTGCAAGCGTGTGGAAGAACATACGGTCATCAAACCAGTCCCAGAAACTGTAGAAACCATTCTCAACCAAATATTTTGTGGCTCGGAAGTTGAACCAGGGATCGACTGTAATCAGTAGATGTCAATATTTCATTCGGCATGCTGGCCGGTGGCCACGTTGTATATACTGCATGCAGCGCTAAGGGGAAATCGTACATTCGTGAATAATACTTTCGAAACCTAGAATTGAGTCAATTATTAGTATTTTGATGAAATACAGGAAGGAATTGCTTCTAACATACGGATAACACTGAATAGTCGACTGGCAACGGCGGCAGCTGCAATAGTCAATAGGATGACGATCCGTAGGAGACCGCGTGTGCTCTGGCCGGAGCTGCCTTTCAGCAGAACATCAAGAGAAGAAAACTTGGCCATGATGGCCAGGAAGAAGGAGCAAAGTCCAAGAACCGAAAATCAATAATGCAACATGAAAAGAAAGGAATGAGAGGCTGTAATTGCCAATTGGGTTGGTGCTCGGCGGAGTTGGAAGAGGGAGAGAGCTGCGCAAGGTGGTCACTTCTTGAGGGTCTTGGCATCGGAGAAAGGTGCCACCTCCGATCTCCCCGCAACCACTTCTACTTGTGTTGTTGCTTTTTTATAGGGAGTGTTGAGGGCTTTTGGTAAAAATGAATATACTCAATACTCCATTGAACCTCAACAGAGCTCCCTGATTATTTATTTCGGGCAGCTCGAGCTGATATTAACGTCAGAATTGGATGGGGAAGAACTACTTGAGGTCTTATCACGATATGAAACAGATTCTCGTCTGTTTCTTGAAGACAAGAACAATCTCGATAAGTAAGACTTGTTCAATTCTGCATTCCTGCTCGCCCGCCTTCTCACCCACCATGTGTACGTATTCCAGACCTCGCCCTCAAGGAATCTTGAAAGATCCGCTCTCTGACTTTGATAGAAATAGAACCGAAGCCTGTCTTCTTTGCCAGCGAATTTACGTGACGAATGTCCTTGCCTACGGAGTTGTTTGACCCTTCTGAGCCGTCTGACAAAAACGACATGATCAGGTTTATCAGGTTCTTCGGAATCTGGATTGGATAAATAGTGCAGATCCTTTAGTATAAAAGTGCGTCTTCTTTTATGCTGTCTTGTTACTTCCGGAAGCCATTTTGTTGATATCTACAAGATCCGGAGGGTAATGACATTGGCTCGTATTAGCCGGAATCCTTGTCATAGTGATTGGCGCGATAAAATTGCTAGAGAGGATGATCCAAGACATTGGAAGGCGTGTCTACACTGAAATCAATGATTAAGGGTTCGAGGGAATTAGGCGGAATGTCCACCAAACACTAGACTGGCCTCATAGACGAGACCGAGCAGTAACACTGGAATGCATAACGATCTTTTGCTCTTTCTTGTGGTCCAAACTGTAGTGTACAGACGCACGACAGCCCAGGGTATGTACAGGACCAAAATGATAACGTCTAAACCGATGAGAAAAAAAGAAAACGAATCAACAAGAGACCATTCCGTCTTTCGCTCGCAATGTTGCAACTCAAGGGGAATTGGCCCCAAACAATCGTACAAGTAAATGGATCCGAGCAAATCCCTTCTAATACCCTGGGGGGAGGTGCGAGTTCCGCAAGGAGTTGCGAATCATTCCTCCTCTATACCATTTCCATCATATTCAAGATGACTCAGCCTTGGCCTGCAAGAATGCCTCGAGGTCGAATTTGGGGTTCTCGGGGTCGGTGATGACTGGAGAGAAAGACGGGTTAGCACGCGCTTTAGGTGTGTATTCGGCATTCTCGGATATCGCCATCCAAAGCAATGTTTTCAGACAAGAATTATCACTTACGGCCGGTGGCTTGTGTCTGGGTCTCCTGCGGCTGGGTGCGCTTCTTCCACTCGGCCTTAGCCTGCTCGATCAGGCGCTCCTTGCGGGCGTACTCGTGCTCGACCTCAGCGCGCTTGGCAACCGAGTTGAGGGACGACTGGTGGTAGACTCCGTAGACGAGACCGGCCACAAGAGCCGAATAGCGGAGGACCTATAGAATTGCGAATGGGAGTCAACATCCGATGTCGCATTTGAGGGGGAAGAGTCGAGGTTGGCTCATTGCCCGGGGTAGTACTCACGTTGACACCCTGTGAAGCCATTATTTCAAGGTCTCCGAAAGATAAGGAGTGGGCAAAAAATTAAAAGCGGGAAAACCGAAAGACCGTTCAACAGGAGACCGTCAATGGCAGTTGAATCCTCGGGGTTATAAGGCAAGGCGAGGTTCTCTGTCCCTGCGCGAGTTTTTCCGGCGCCGTTCGGAGGGCTTATGTCATCCCCCGTAAATAAAGCGCAACACGAGAACTACAGCTACATCACACATTTGGCTGGTCGATTTTCAAGATGTCGTCCATGCAGCAGCGCAAAAATGAGATCTTGGCAAAAAAGGCTAAGCTGGCTGAGCTGAAAAAGCAGCGCGAGCTTCGCCAGAGGGAGTTCACCAGTAATCGGAACAGTGTCGGGGATGCTTCAGAGGTATCATACCGCGCCCAGTGGAGCTACAAACAACGGAATGTCTAACGGTTTTGGAATAGATTGCGTCCCCAGTGCCCAGTCACTCTGGAAGTAGAGCTGAGCTTGATGAGCTAATTACACGTCTGGTGGACCGCCCCGGGTCTGCTACCATCAGCCATGCATTCGAGGGTCAATCTGGGAAGGGCAGCCGCCCGACTTCGGTCCTGAGTGCCAGTCAATTGAGTGGAGAGAATGCCGAAACCAATACCCCTTCATCGCTGCGACCGCAGTTGAATTCTATTGCCGTACAGACCGTGCAGTCAGTCGGAACAGAGACCTACAGCTCCTACACATCCGAAGCCCCGCACCCCCTGAACCCAGACCAGAGATTGTCACATACAGCAAAGCCGTTCAAACAGATGTATTGGCCACGCAAACAGAGTCACACGATGGCTCTGTTGCTTCGGATAATGAAGACCCAGCTGATACGACGCTGTCAAGCAAGCGGCTGAGCCGACGAGGTAGAGAGCGGGATGATGAAATCAGACAAAAGATTCGCAAGGAAATTGAGGAGGAGCTTCAGGCAGCCGAGCTGGATGCAAATGCGGCTTCGACTACGCAGGCTGCCCAACTACGATATCCGTTACGTTCACTCGATGACGATGAGTTGAAGGCTGTTACTTCTTCGGACGAATTCCTGGACTTTGTGGAACGATCATCAAAGGTTATCGAGAGAGCTCTAGACGAAGACTATGACGTTCTTGCAGATTACGAGTTGGGGGGCGTGGATGGAGGCTTGGAGGAAGACGAGGAGACTGGCAAGAAACGGAGAGGCATCCGGGAAGTGTGTCAGTTCTGGGATGAACGTTGGAGCAAGAAGCGTATGGTCACCGACATAAGCTTTTCCCAAAAGGTAGGAACCACTCAATATCCCCGCACTTCAAAGACCGATGTGTTCTGACCGATGACCAGTTCCCTGAATTGGTTCTTGCATCTTACACCAAGAACCCTTCTGCTCCTCATGAACCGGATGGACTCGTTCAAGTCTGGAACCAACATCTACAATCCCGCCCCGAATATGTCTTCCACTCAACCTCCGACATTCTCACAGCCAAATTTTCTCCCTTCCACCCGAACCTCATCGTTGGTGGCTCATATTCAGGTCAAGTTCTCCTATGGGACACTCGTTCCTCGCGCATGGGTGGAGGAGCGCCTGTGCAGAAGACTCCATTGACTGGATCCGGACATACCCACCCAGTTTACAGCATCTCAATCGTCGGCACTCAGAACGCACATAACATTTTGACAGCCTCCACCGATGGAGTGGTCTGCGGTTGGACCGTAGACATGCTCTCCCAGCCACAAGAATATCTTGAACTGACGACACCTCCCCCGTCCAAGACGGAAGATCTCGCACCAACCACCATGTCCTTCCCACAGTCTGATCCCACATTCTTCATTGTGGGTACCGAGGAAGGTGGTATTTACCCTTGCCATCGATATGACCGAGCCGGGGCCAAGGCTGGTACCGATCACCGTCTCGCGTACCGGGGCCACGCAGCACCTATCATGTCTACCGCATTCCACCCTGCGCGGGGTCCTGTTGACCTGGGTGATCTGATGCTCAGCTCCAGTCTAGACTGGAGCGTCAAGCTCTGGCGCGTGCGGCCGCCAGCCACCACTGCGTCCGCCACCTCTACCGTGGCTTCCGCTCAAGTTGTGTCTCCTATTTTGGACATCACCCGGGAAGATGTGGTCTATGATGCACGCTGGTCCCCACACCGACCGGGTGTATTCTCCCTCGTCGACGGTGCGGGCAACCTCGAAGTTTGGGATCTTTACACGGATACCGAGGTTCCAGTGGTTAAGACCACTCCCTCGCGTGGCCCTGGTGCGGTTATGTCCCGCAGTCTCAACAAGGTTGCGTGGGAGGAGCGAGAAGGCCGACGCCTGGCCACTGGTGGGGTCAACGGAGTGGTGACTGTGTTTGAAGTGGGCAAGGGCCTTGGTGGACCTGCGGAAGAGGTGCCCTCTGACGAGTGGATGGGTATGAAGCGGTTATTGGGGAAACTGGAACAGAAAGATCGGGTGGCTTGAGCCTTATTATCGTCTCTTCTTTATTTCTGCCATGTCCAGTCTTGCTTGCCATATACCCCTTTCTTCAATCACATACCTCCAGGGAATCTGTATCTATTGAGTACTTGAATATTATACCTGTCCCGGGATATTCACCGATTTTTCGCTCATGAGCGCGTTAATGTAGACATGTTTTAATGAATATTCGTATCAAAAGTATAAGACAGTTTACGTATGCAGCAGCGCCACGAGACGAGAACCAGCGAAGCAAACCTTGCCCACATGCCGAGGAAGATTGTGTAGAAGTGGCCTAGACCATCCATGGATTACTTCAAAAATCGAAACTCTAGTCGGTATTGAAAGTCTTGGCGGAATCCATGGCAATACCTCGGGCTAGAGGAAGCTTCTAAATGGGGATTATATTTGCTGCGGGTATCGACGAACTTGGGTAGACATTCTGGAACTTCGGTCAAATTCCACCATCCTCTTTATGACGACGCGATCTATCCGAGGTCTGAAAGCTTGTCTGACATCGCAGACTCCACCTCAAGAACACCGGCGAAACTAGGTATTTATAGACGTCGCTCTAGTTACCTAGAACAGCCACAGATAGAAAAGGTCTCGACCGATGGGGATAAAAAAAGAGCTGCATACGTCGTACAGAGCAATCGAGAGTTTGACCTCTTCATATTGAGTTCATGTGAAATCGGAGCAAGCACATGGGATATTTCCGTTTCTAGGAATATACCCGCCAATGTACTGTTGAGAGTTGTCAAATACCCACCGACATCGGTCACCAATAATCCCGATCGAAATTTCAACCCCAATTCGCGGGGACATGCTATTCTAGGAATCTACATGCCATCACCTAACCTAAGAGGTAACACCTAACCTAAGCGGAAGTACCGCGGAAGTACTGCGGAACCAATGTATCCAAAGAGCAGAATGAGTAGACATTCAACTCAATGGTCTTATCTCATGATTCTCATCAGCAATGTAGTCCCAAACTCCTCTCCAAGACATTGTAGAAACCCGGGAGCTTAAATGTATTCGCTCATCTCTATTCCTCCCCGGGAATACGCAAGAATACGCACATCCGGAACCAGAGCCGACTCATTAATGCGCTCAAACCCTCAACTTCAGGATACTTCCAGAATCCCAGTAAAGTATAATTTGGGGGCGCCGGGAACCTTCCGAGATGGACGAAAGAAAGCAAGGCATGGAAGACGAATCGGCCCAAGAAGCATATGACCCACTTAATCGAGGAGAAGGAAAGGATTTCTAGAACGAAAGATGGTTTCGGCCATGATGTCAATCATCAGACGTTCTGGAACAATTTTACCCTTCACTTTTTGTCATCGAGCCCGGGGCCACGGAAACCCGCTTAACCTTAAAAGCCATAACCAATCATATCCATGCGGACGTCGACTGCCAATGCTTCCCCGTGGGTCATCGGTCCCAGCGCCTTGGATTCCTTTACAGCCCTCAACCTGATGTGAGTGCCGATCTTTTGTGCCACGCTGGACCCGAGGCCATGGATAGAGGATAGGAATTATGCATTTTCAATGGAGTTCCCATTGCTCGCTGAATCTAATTTCCCCTTTCGGCAGGGACAGCCCCCGATAGATCTCAATCGTTGATTTGCGCGCATCAATAAGCTTTTGGGGCAGAGAGCTTGCCAAGGGATTCGGGGCCCTTCCCACAATTTCGGGTCCTCGTCGTAGTTGAAAAAGGACTGCTCTGCTGTTTCGATTTTATCTTTGGAATTTTCCCTTGGGCATCTTTAGTGATGAATAACGGAGGCTGTTGCTTTATTTACGCACATACGCCACCCTAACTCATTATGGGTGGCATTAACTGGCAACAAGGCGAGGCACCATCAAGCGGGGGCTCAGCCTTGATCGGTATAAGCTTGACTTTATCTGTGCTCCAGATTCTTTTTGTCACGGCGCGGTTCTATACTCGCTCTTTGCAACACACACAGCCTAGCGCTGATGACTATGTGATGCTTATTGCTTTGGTGTGTATACTTCGTGTTGATAATTTAAATGTGTCCCCGCTAACTGTCAGGATTTGCAGATTGGAAGCCTCACCAAAGCCGTCATCTATATTGTTTGTAAGTTTCGGAGCAACCCACTATTCCAAGGAGAAAAGGCTTACGCCGAGCAGTGGTTGGGGTAGCAGGACTTGGGCATCGTGTTGAAGATCTTGCCTATCCGCACCAGAATATTACTCTGATGAGAAAGGTAAATATCCTCCATATCGTCGAGTACAAACATCTCTAATACGCTCCACAGGGAATTTTCGCTCTAGAAATGCTTGACTTCCCTTTCACAGTAACCCCAGCAAAATTATCACTCCTGCTCTTCTACGTGCGGCTTTTTTACGTGCGAATCTTCTATGCGCGCAAGTCACAGATTATCCCATACGCAATTGGGGCATTAGTGTTGGGGCTCGGAATAACGGTGTTTTTTGAGACCATATTCCAGTGCAATCCTATCGCATATGCATGGGACTCCACTCTCGACGGAACATGCGTCAATAAAACAGTATTTTACCGTGCCATCTCTCCCATCAACGTACTCACCGGATTGATGATCGTTGCACTACCCATCCCGCTTATTTGGAGTCTACATGCAAGGAGAGGCCAGAAAGTAGCTCTGACAGGCGTTTTTCTACTATCCGGATTGTAAGAATTCTCTGGCCTGTTTAAGAGATCAATACTAACATATACAAAAGTGGGACTGCAGTCAGTGTTCTCCGAATGGTAATCTACTTCACAAGCCCAAGGGTTGAATTCAACGATGGAACCTGTCAGTTGCGAACCCTATTAAACAACTGCCACATCACATCATACTTACTTGTTGATACAGGGTTATCAATCAAATTGGGCATTCTTTCAATGGTCGAAAGCGCCATTATCGTCATCGCTACCTGCCTAGTCAGTATCTGGCCACTGGTCACCCACTTCATGCCCGAATCCCTTCTTGCAAGACTGTCCTGCTGTCGATCACGGAGTAATGATCTCGACCATCACCATCACGAACAATGGTTCACGCATTCCATTCATACAGAAACAAAAAGTGCCGACCCGCTTAAATATGAAGGAAACTTTATCCAGCGCGAGGTTAGTTGGAGCAGCCGGCCTTCTTCTCTAGCGGAACTGGAAGATCACCGGTCATGGATTCTCGAGGATGAAGACGAAAGTCTAAGACACCACCCTTGGGTTTCTTATGAGGTGCATATTACAGCCGGGATCTAAAAGTTTAACGAAAAAGAGTCAAGTCAACAAAAATGTTTAGAACAAAAGTGTTTGAAATAGAAATCTTTAGGATAGCAACGTTTAATTTATGAGTTATCTACCGAAAGGGAGCCACGAGGGCATAGAATACCTTCTATATAATCGGTCACTCAAGGCCGAACCTGATATAATCCGGGTTTGGTTCCAGCTTGCGGCCTGCTAAATGCATCATTTTTATTGGGTTAACTTTGGCCCAAGAGTCGGGTCAACATAGTGACCCGCCTTAGTGAATTATATGGGCGGTCACTATGAGCCACAGATATAGTTATTCATACACATTATTGCATCGTGATGTTCATGATGTGATCGTAAAGTGCATCAACTTTTAGTAAGTGTATTTAAAACCAGTCTACGCAAGTTGGTTAGCTAGGAATTATAGTGATTCTCATAGTCCATTTTGGAGAACTTACCACGCCCTCGATAGTTTTCAATCCCCTAGCCTGTTGCCGATTCACAATATAGAAGTAGACCGAAAATGCCGCAACCAGGAGAATCATGAGGATATGAGACCTTACGAACTGGTTAGTCTTTTGATCAAAAGCAATAAGTTGAACTAGACACTCACCCAATAGATACCCACACCGCTGTCTGGTACTTGGGAGCCTCTTGTGATCGCACAATATAGCTACCTGCCACACCACCCAAGCCATTGAAAGCAGTGACGGCAGCTGACGTAGCTGCTCGTTTCCACTGACCAGCGACATTATTGGCCTGGAAGGCATTAAGTGCAGCCCAATTGGAGACATAAGCTCCTGTAGCGAGGAAGGTCCCAATGTAGCGCACGGTCACCTGCTTCGATGCCGGGAGTCCAAACATCAGAAAGCCGGCTATCAAGCAAAGGCAATTGAATACGATGAAGGGACCACGCTTCCTATAGAAGTCTCCGGCCAAAGATGTGAGAACAACGGGTATAACGGCATAGTAGTAAGGCTAAGAATAGCACAATCAGCATCATTCAGAGGACATGTGTACGCCGACAAACTTACCGGAGTCGAAAGTAAGATTGATTCGTTCGAGTTAAAGCCCATTCCCGATTCTAAAATGATGGGAAGAAAGTACGACAAGGAAGTCGATACCAGATTCAAAAGAAAGAACATGCAAGCAAACCCATAGATCTTAGGATCCTTAAAATTACCAAGCAACGTACCCCACGAGAACGGCTCGGGAACTAAATCAGCCCGATCATTCTGAATTCTCTGCGATGCAACCCGCGCTTCAACCTCGGACAAAAAGCAAAAGCTGCGAGCCGAGTTCTCTGGAAAATCCACCATCCACCAGTAAGTGCTGATTCCCAGTACACAGGCAATGAGCCCCTGCACAAGGTACATCCATCGCCAGCCAGCCAAGCCAGCCTTCCCGTTCAAATGGTTGAGGCCGAAATTAACAATATTCCCCGTCGCCAGGCCCAAAACTTCCCCAGACTGCAAGAATGCGAATCGGAGCTGCTGCTCGCGTCGCGGGTACCAGGCGCTAATGAGATATGTGAGTCCGGGGTAGATCCCGGACATGGCGATGCCCAATAAGATACGTAGAGCGATCATCTCACGCCAGGTGTGGATGAAAGCGGTACACAACGTCAGTAGTCCGAAGGTAAATGTGATAGTCGCGAACCAGACGCGTGGGCCGACGAAGCGCACGGCGATCGTGCATGGTAACTGAAAGACGACGCTGGCAATGGTGAAGATGAAGATCGAGACCGAGTACCGGGACCCCTGGTCTAGCTGGAGGTCGCTCAGCATGGTGGTCACTGCTGCTGAGGACAGGATGCCGGAATCGAGGAGATTCAGACTGCACAGCAGGCCTGCGATGCTACATAGACGCAAGTCTACTTTCCGTCGGACTCTTTGCTCCAGAGCTGGTTCTTGGAGTTCTTGCCCCTCTTCATCTTCTGCGAGGGGTCCTCGATCGGAGATTTCGTGGGCAGTGTTGCTCGCCCTGTATTCTGGTGTCGCGGGTTCCTCAGCCGAGGATAAAAATGGATGTTTGATTGTGTTGGCCATCTCGAGTCTGCGCTCAACAGAGAGTTCAATTTTACAATCGCGGTGACGTTATTTAATTGAACTCTTTTGTTTTGCTTTTTAAGGTGGGCAAAGGTGGAGTCTTGAGCTGACCACCAATGGTCAGCTTGACGATGTAACTAAACTGCCAGGGATTAGGGCCGAACTCGCAGGAATCTTACCGAATGATGTTGCAGCAGTGACTGCGATAAGCGATTGCAGATTGCGTGATAACTAAACCACCAATTATCGTTGCACGTTCGATATGATCGCTGTACTAATGCAATAGTGGTGGCAATAGCGTCCATTTTCTGCAGAAACTGTCTGAGCTCTATACAGATGAGGTTCTCCATCTCAGATCAGATTTTCTGACTTGGGTCACGACCAAGTATTACTTCAGTTTATATATTGGATATCGTTTTGGGTCTTCAAATGGAAGCCCCGATTAATACACTTAAGGAAGGCGCGATTTTCGAGTTTAGACCCTCCCTCTTTCTTAAATACCAATCCTTCTCTTCTTTTTATCCTTTCCCCTCTTCTCTCCCTCACAGGCCGCATGAACTTGGAAAATCCAATAAAGAGAGAAACAACGAAGAGAAACAACGAAGAGAAACAACGAAGAGAGACAACGCAGAAATTGAATTTAAAGCATCCATCTTGGTCGAGGCATCAATTCAAGACAGTACCGCTGCGATACCCCGCAAAGTGTCGGAGATGCGGCGGAAATACTGAATTTCTAGCTATTGACCATTGCGGGGTGAGAGAACATGGCTGACTTGGTTCAAAGAACACAGAGAAACGGTATTTCATGTCAGCTAAATTGAACGTTGACATATTTATACTTGGGCCGAGAAGAGCAGATAAATCAAGGATTGGAGTGGAAATTTCTAGACATTACTTCTCTTGGTCGTGAAAGGTAAAGATTATGCTTATTTCCGGAGTAGAGAATAGCCGGTGATATACCTGAAAAGTTTCTAGTTTCGGATTCCTCGTGATCATCAAGAGGATTAGGAGGGGAAATGATTGGATGTGGAGCCATGGATCTACTAGACTACAGTACACCGAATGACCTCCAGTGCCTATACAAGTAATGCAAAATCGGACATGATGGGGGCGATCTCACTAAAAGAGCAAATCTCACGAGAACAAGGCCCCCATGACCTCTCTTTTTACTTTGTTTGGTCAGGGTCCGATTGGTGTGGCCCCTGGAGATAGCAGGCCAGTAAGCTTCCGGCCCCGTAAATCAGCGCTTTGTTTGCCCCACGTACATTTTGTTCGGGCGAATGGAGCCCACCTCCACTTGCAGCTCCCCGATACATGGTTCTTCGTGTTCGCTCCCGACTGTCGCTTTTTTCTTTTCTTTCACTCATTCTTACCACGAACTACCTTTGATCCCTAAACATCATGGTCGAACTCATCAGCCCTCCCGAGCCTCGTGATCTGCTCCCTCCTCTGCTCGCCTGTCTACCCACAGCCTTCGTTTCCCCACGTCCGCCACCAGCTCTCCTCCCCCTCCTCTCCCCAATCCTCCGACAACGGGTCAAGATCCTGAGCGAAGTGTCCAGCTCCCCCAACGAATCATGGCTGCGTTTACTATGCTGGGACGCCGAAAAAGCGGAGCGCTTGCAGACAATCGTGGACGGCGCCAGTTTCGAACCACACCCTGTCTCTGGCGAGATTGAACTCCCCGATGACATGCCCCTGACCTACAAGCGTATCGATGACGAGACACTACGTGCGCAATGCTTGCTGCCCGAGTTCAAATTGGCTGTGATCTACCTTTGGTGCCCCACAGACGTGGAGGGCGGTGGTCGTGGCTGGAGAATGACAGAACTTCTCCCTCGTGAAGGCCCTGCGGCCGACGAGAGCACCTGGGCCACCTCGATTGGCGAGGCCAACGTTCAGGCCAAAGAGAGACTGTACTCGGATATTCTGGACTCCCCCACCAAGGACCAAGGGTCCAATGAGCAGGCTCAGGAGGAGGAAGACGACGATGCCGATTACTGGGCTCAGTACGATGCCACCCCGAACCGTACCCCAGGGCCCAAGACTCCTGCCCCAGGTGCTAGCTCATCTAACCTCCCGCCTTCCGGTCTATCGGAAGCATCCTACTTCTCCCAGTACGGCGATGTTCAGCCAGCTATGGACAGCCACGACCCGGAAGAAGAACAGCCAGAGCTTGGCCCTACGTCTCTGACCGGGGACATGCTTTCAAATCTCTTGCGGCGACAGAACGGTCTGGACATGGACGAGGGAGCCCGTACAAATGGTTATGCGGCGGACGACATGCCCACTGACCACGCTGCCAGGTCGCTCAGCCACCCCAGACCTGCATCCGGGTCTATCTCTTCTCACCACTCGGATACTGTCGCTAAGCTGGAGCAGGAAGCTGAAAGCCAGTGCAACTACGAAGTCGGTGTGAAGCAGCACATTGGCACCAGCATTAAGAGCTTGTTTCGATTGGCTCAGGCGACAGGCGTGAGTCGTGCTGAGTTCCAATCTATGGTCCAGACAGAATTGGAGTTGCTGGATCTGACGGATCTTGATAATTGAGTTTCCTATATCGATTTTTGTCTGATACCCACGAGTCGTTTTTTGAGGCGTCGTTATTTGCAAAGAAACATCCATATATATGCATTTTGGTTGCGGAGCATTTCATTTGCATTGTTTCAAGGTTGTTTTGTTTCCGCTCGATTTCCACTTATTCTGATTATTGTTTGAACGATACTTTGAGCGGTCAATAATACGGAGAAGACAATAGTCAAATCAAATAAAATAAATTACAAATAGGAAAGAAACCAAAGCAATGTGTCTGGAACAGTAAAGGATCGATCATATGTAGCAGTCCAAGACCCTACTTCTTGTGCAACGTAACCCTCTGCGCAGCAGGTCTCAAAGAAGTAGCATTACCACTCTGATCCACACCAAAAACAAGCAGATCCATTCCAAGCCCAGCATAATGCGCTGCATCCGCCACTAACCAATCATAATTCGTATTATACTGTCCAGTAAACGGCCCAACAGCATCAAGTCTCTCCGCACCAGAAGTGAAATAGCTCCAAAGTTGCGGCTGGGGCGTAACCTGAAAAGCAACCTGACCTTCCTGCCCGTCTCCAGTCTGCTTAGGAATACTAAGCAAAAGCCTCGGCCGACCACCCAAGAACCGATCCGAAGCCAAAACATCCGTGCCATTCGAGATCCAGCGTGTGATACTCAAGCCTGACTTGGATGTAATGACAGAAGACTGATTGAATGCAACAGTGATGGACGAATTCAAAGCAGAGTCCGTAGACTCGTACGTCCCAACATAGTTCTTCGTTGCCTCTAGCGCAGCCTGAGCTTCTAGCGCAGGAAGGATCGTGTTCGTGATAGAATCCAGGATAATATTCGTAGCTACATCGCGCTCGGCACCGGTGGATGCAGCCAGGATACTGAAACCAGCATTGTAATCTGGTATCAACACGATGTTTGCACCGTAGGAACCCGAGTCGCCAAGTTTGGTATAGAGATCCGTTACCTTTCCGGTAGCCGGGTCCAAATAACGAAGAATTTCCCACGGTGCACCGAGCGAGTAAGTCAAACTAGCGGAGTGTGAATGAGGCTTCATCCATTTGCGGGTGGTATTCGAAGGAAGAAGGGTACTATTCAAGACAGCGATACCGAATTTCGCGAAATCGTTGCTTGAGGTGAATAGACCGCCCGAAGCAGTGGTGGCGGGGGCATCGACTAGGAAGCCAGATTCTGGTACCCCGGCAATAACGGAGCGAGCGAGATCAGCACGGGAGGTTGGTGGAGATGAGAACGAGGATGTAAGGTTTAGCGGATCGAAGATGGCTTTCTTGTAGATATCTCCTATACTCCGTCCCGTTATGTTGGACATCATGAGTCCAAGCATCATGAAATTGTCGTTGGCATACATTGGGGTTTGCCAGGGTAGAAAGGCTGGTGGTTGGTTGCGGACTGATCTGATTAGCTTTGGACCGTCGCATGGCTCCCTAGGGTCCCAACAGGGTCCCAATGTCGAGATATTGGTTGGTGGTAGACCCCAAGCCGTAACCGGGTCTTCTGTCGGGAGACCTAGGTAATCGTAGATTGTGAAGTTGTATAGTGTATCCAGAGCTGGCCATCCCTGGCGTGGGATACCGGAGATTTGGGATGCCAGTGCCCAGGGCGTGACCTTGTCCCATTCAACGTGCCAGATTGGATCTTCAGTACCCCTGGCAGCGGCTTCGGCGAACAGAGGGTTTATCTGACTCAGTGGGCGGTTCCATTCCTCCTCGGTCAGAGTGATCATACCGGCGTAGGCAGTGTACAGCTTGGTTGCACTAGCCATACGATAAATGCTGTCACCATTGACCTTATTTGTGCCATTCTTGGAGCTAGCTATTTCGGGGCTGGTCCAGTGGTATTGCAGCTTTGCGGCGCTCGGATCGTGAATTGAAAAGAGGTTCGTAGAGAATGTGGTGTTTTGTATACCAGAAATGGCGGTAGATGTTGTGCCATTAGAATTGTGTTTGAGATAAGAGTCAAGGGTAGTAGTAAGATTTTTCCATGCAGCTTTAACCAGACTCTGTTGGCTAGCGAGGTCGACTGGTGGTGGGTATGTTGGGCCAAGGTAGTCGGCAAAGCCAGTTGTACCGTATGCCAACAGCAGTGCTGTGTATTTCAATGTAGAATACATCGTGAAAGAGGAACTGAAATCAATGGAATGGACAACAAAACCAGCATCTGATATCTACGAATACTTATACTACAGGGCCTTTATGATGACGTCGAGGTTGCTGACAGTAGGTCCAAGGCTGTGTTTTGCCATAGCGGTAGATTTAACTACAAATAGGGTCATAGACAACAGATCCCACAGGGAAATAAAGTTTACTATGTCGATGAGGCATCTATTGTTGACCGCCAAACCCGATTTGGTGTCATGAACCGCTAGGTGGGGTCCCTATGACGATCAAGGTGTAAACATCTATATTACTATGACCCGGTCTACAGTAAATGCCGCTTCTCTATTCCAGTGTCTATTTTGGGGTCCAGTGCTGTTTTACGCTGATCTTGGCTTCTTTGGTTTCCAGGTACTCAGCCCAACTGGCCCCAAAGCACTCCATTTTGGACAGCGGTATATATGGTTCATCAAGGTAAGAGAGATACGTAAGCTGACGCCGACCTCGAAGTGGCAAGAAACATTGAAGCAAAGACTTGATGGCTTCATACATATCTAGTATGTTTTATGAACTTACTTCAATCTGAACAGTCATCGGCGGCTCTGGCAACTTGACATGTTCTTGTCACGGCACTCGCGAGTCTCATTCTGGATTTCAATGAGGCGTTTGCGTCGGCCAACTTGTTGCAATCCATTAAAGTTCTGGGTATCAGGAATAAATTTTATTGAGGTCACATCTTCTAGGTGGGTAATACTTGTCTTTTGGCCTTATTGAATGTAAATCTCTGCAGTCCTAATATTCCTGAGCAATGAAAAGTGGGTATTTTAACTAAAGAATTGGATTTATGTTTTTTGCCAAATGCATTGAATAACAGAAACACTGCTCTTGTGTCGATAGCGATTCTTTGTAAAGGTGACAACTGGTCACGACACTGGACCCTTGGAGTAGCGCGTGTTTCGGGCCCACCGCCTTTGGTCTGCATCCGAAACCAAGAAGACACGCAATCCCCAATCCGGCCCCTCCCTTATCCTCTCTTCAGCTTTCCTTGGTCTTTTATCCGGGTGTCATGCCCTTTGGTGGTTCTGGTAAGCTCTTGTTCCTCCTGGGATACCCTGTAATCAATTTTCGTTGACGAGCTACTGCTGACGCTTCACGCTTTCGGAAGTCTATTTACTATAGGTGGTTTCACGGTCGCTCTCTTTTTCTTTTCCTTTCACCATGTCGTCCCCTTCACCCTCTCTGCGCAAGAGAGGTGGAAAGAAGGAGGCTTCCACTGCTTTACCATCCGATGATGGCTCATTGAGGCCTGTGGCAGCTCCGAGCAAGCCCAAGTCGGAATGGGACTATTGGCTGGCCATCTCCATTCTGACCCTGTTGGCTTTCATAACCCGCTTCTGGCGGATCGATTACCCCAATGAGGTTGTTTTCGACGAGGTTCACTTTGGAAAGGTATGATTTTTAGAGCGTGCCAGTTTCAATCGCAATTGGAAAAAGGGGGAACCTACATCTGACGTATCATGTCCTCTAGTTTGCCTCATACTACCTCCAACGCACCTATTTCTTCGACGTTCACCCGCCCTTCGGAAAACTCCTGTTTGCCTTTGTGGGATGGTTGATTGGATTCGATGGTGGCTTTTTGTTCGAGAACATCGGCGACTCGTACATCGAAAACAATGTGCCTTACTTGTCCCTTCGTGCTATGCCGGCAACCCTCGGTGCCTTGACAATCCCCGTGGTGTTTTTGATTATGTGGGAATCCGGATATTCTTTGCCTGCCTGTGTGCTGGCTGCCGGTCTTATGGTATTTGACAATGCTCACGTTGGTGAGGACCGCCTCATCCTCCTGGATTCCACTTTGGTCATCACCATGGCGCTTAGTATCTTGTGCTATGTCCGGTTCTACAAGCTACGACACCAGCCGTTTGGTCGCAAGTGGTGGAAGTGGTTACTTTTGACCGGTTTCTGTATGAGCTGTGTCATCTCGACCAAATACGTGGGTGTTTTCACTTTCGTCACCATTGGTGCGGCCGTCGCAATCGACCTGTGGAATCTATTGGATATCAACCGGCGCGACGGTGCTCTTGATATGGTCACCTGGATCAAGCACGTTGTTGCTCGTGGAGTGGGTCTTGTTATCATCCCCTTCTTCTTCTACCTGTTCTGGTTCCAGGTCCACTTTACCATCCTCAACCGTTCCGGTCCTGGCGATGAGTTCATGTCCCCCGAGTTCCAAGAGACCCTCAGCGACAATGCAATGACTGCTCAGTCGGTTGGAATTGAATACTTCGATCAAATCAGCATGCGCCACAAGGACACCAAGGTTCTCCTTCACAGCCACTGGGAGAAGTACCCTCTTCGGTATGACGATGGCCGCATCTCCAGCCAAGGTCAGCAGGTCACTGGTTACCCCCACAATGACACCAACAACTTGTGGGAGATTCTGCCTACTGTTCCCCTGGCCGAGGGCAAGTCCAAGAGTGTGCGGAATGGAGACGTCATCCAGCTCCGTCACGTTGGCACTGACTCGTACCTTTTGACGCACGATGTTGCATCTCCATACTACCCTACCAACCAGGAGTTCACCACCATCTCGCAAGAGTTGGCCGCTGGCGAACGCCACAACGATACCCTGTTTGAGCTCAAGATCGAGAATGGCAAGCCTTTCCAAGAATTCCGCACTTTCTCAAGCTTGATCAAGCTCATCCACGTTCCGACTCGCGTGGCCATGTGGACCCACACTACTCCGCTCCCTGAGTGGGGATTCAAACAAGCCGAGATCAACGGAAACAAGAACATCCTTCAGTCCAGCAACATCTGGTACGCGGAGACAATCGAAGGCATTGAGGAGGGTAGCCCTCGTCTGAAGAAAGAGGAGCGCCAGGTCAAGTCGCTTTCCTTCCTGCGAAAGTACTTTGAGTTGCAGGGTGCTATGTTCCACCATAACAATGCACTGACTAGCAGCCACCCCTATGCCACCGAGCCCTTCCAGTGGCCTTTCCTGCTGCGCGGTGTGAGCTTCTGGACTAAGAATGAAACCCGTGAACAAATCTACTTCTTGGGTAACCCCATCGGATGGTGGATCGCTAGCAGTTTGCTGGCTGTGTTTGCCGGCATTGTCGGAGCGGATCAGCTCTCGCTTCGCCGTGGTATCGATGCACTGGAGGAAAGTAAGTTACAGAGTTCCGCCCCGTGCTCCTAGGTACTGGAGATGACTAATTTTTTACTCTTCTTCCCTTTATAGTCTGGGGTCCTGGTACTCGTTCCCGCCTGTACAACAGCACTGGATTCCTGTTCCTGTGCTGGGCTGCCCACTACTTCCCCTTCTGGCTGATGGGTCGCCAGCGTTTCCTGCACCACTACCTGCCGTCCCACCTGGCCTCGACCATGGTGACCGGTGCACTGGTTGAATTCATCTTCAACGTGTCGCCGCTGGACCCCGCCACTGCCGCACCCCCTGTAGATGATCCCTCCGGTAAGGCCAAGGGCCGGGTCAGCCGCAATGTACGTCGCTTCGTGACGGCCAAGGAGCGCATGGGCCTCAACTCAGTGCTTGCCGCATGGGCCGCGACCGTTGTCATTCTCGGGGCCACCATCGGTGGCTTCATTTTCTATGCGCCTCTGACCTATGGCACCCCCGGCCTGGACGTCGCCGGCGTTAACGCCCGCAAGTGGCTGAACTACGATCTCCACTTTGCCAAATAATCCCCCCTCCACCCCTATCAGGATATGAAACGTGTTGGGAATTTGAATCTTCTACATGATCTGTAGGATATGTATTATCAGGAGTGTGCTAGAATCTTGGGGAGTTGTTTGTGAGGGAGATTTCGGTGAAGACGGCGGGCGTTTGATATGCTGTGTATATTCAACTCCTGTTTTATTTCCTCTTGTTCCGATTGACTTTTCCATCCAATCCGTAGGCTAGTGAAGTCGAGTCCGGTGTGACGACGGCGTGGTACAGGCGTCATCAGCCGACCGAAGCCTGAATACAATACCAAAACGCAAAACCATTTGGCAAAAGGCTCGTCGATCTCACGTGACTCGGTGGGTCTGGGTGGACGAACCTCGTTTTGGGTAATTTGGTTACAATAGTACGGCCACAGGTGGAGCTGGAGAAGAATCAGAACTTGAGTCACCATGATCAGCTTCGGCTGGCAAGGAGTCGTCTGGAAGGTCAGTCAGGAATAGACGTGATAAATCAGATCATACCTGCAAAATACAGCGACGTCTGCAGTTCTCCGCCACCACATTCTCGATATATTAATTTAATATGGGTCGCATTCCTCATGTTTATTTGTTTGGAGTAGAATAGGCGTGGAACCTATAACCATGGAACGTGTAAAGGTACGGTACCGGATTGGTAATGGGGATCCGTTTATTTTTAGCGGGTTCTCAGGCTCTCCTAGTGTGTCCCGCTTACTATACATAGTAAGGAGGTTTCACTTGGGCGCAGAAACAGAAAAGCAAAAATTCAAATTCAGAAGTACCAGAATACATAATTCTCGGATCTGGCCTGATTCGCCTCATGATCGGTTCTCATTCGTCCAAGCCATTTATACCACTTATTAGCGTACATGCGTCTCCAGTCTCGTCCCGGCCCAGCCACGGAAAGGCAATAATGCAGGGACTAGACTCCGGTTAACCGTTCACGTCTTTAGTCGTTTTCTTCTCTTCACTTTGGTTTCCTGACATTCTCTCATCCCTAATTGCCCGAGATCCCCTCGTTGCTCTGTTTCTTTCATTCTTTCGGGATTCGGTGATCGTCCAGGGTCTTACCCGACCCTTTGACTTCTCTACTCCACTCCCCACTTTACTCTCCAGATCTGACTCGCTGCGGGTGCTTCTAAGTGTCAATCTCGGCGAAGTGAAACTGGCCACCAGAAGAGGTCTCAGTCCGGTGGGTTACCTTTTTCTGCTTTTTCTTCCTTTCCTTTGCCTGTGAGCATTCTACCCCAAGACTGCAATCTCATGCGATCCGGGTGCTGTGAAAAGATCAACAAATTCTCTTTGGGTGGATTTCGCAAAGGATCGAGAGTGTCAACCCACATGGTGGGTTCCGGGTCTTGATTTGCCGCTAGAGAAGCGTATTGCTCTTCGCTTGTTATCTCCGTACCAGAAGCTTCTTTATCGACTGACTCGTCCCCCCATTCTTTCGCAGTCCCCTGATCGACCCATTGATCCGTGGATCAATTTCTCCCCTTGCACCCGTCGATCGCGAAAACCCTCTCCTTGTATTTCCTTGTGACTGGTCGTTCCCCCTCACTCTGCTCTGCCATATTGGACACGTCAATCTCAGAAAGGCAATCTCACCCAGGAACCACGGAACCTTAATGGGACCGATTCGCGATTAAAGGAGGTTTTCAATACTCAAAGTCCGGTTTGCTCTCTACACCACCCACGATGCCTATCAAGCTACCGAAGAGCTTCGCTCGGCGAAAGTCATCTGGCAACATTCTGGAGGATGTGGAAGCCCAACCACAGTCATCCTTTCGGGTCTTTGAGCGCCCAAGCGCCGAGCGATCAATGTCTGACGGTGCTCCGCTGAGCAAACGTTTTAGTGAGGGCAATGTGGTGCCCTCAGCGCTAGAGGATTCAGATAACATTTTCGCGGGGACAGAACAACCCCTGGGCAAAATTCGGTATGAACGTGCCTGGTCCATGGATTCTCTCAGGAAACGAATGACTAAACACCGTACCAGTGGAGCGACAAACTATGAGAGCTCGACTTCTACTCGGCTTAGCTCCTCATCGACCCAGCCTTCCTCTACGGAGATCGCCTCGCCCGAAGATGCCTCCCCACATTCCCGAATGCATGACATCCCCGTTCCACCCCCGATTGCTGCGGGAGGACTACGTGCTGCTGCAGGCAGGACCTTTTCATTTGGCGCACGATTCAAATCTTCTGCTCCGGCTCCCCCACGGCACGCTACCCCGGACCAATCCACAAGACAACGAGCTGTGAGCGGCACTACGGATGAAACAGCCACCCCGCCAAAGCTCACGGACGAGGAGTTCAGCTTGGGAGGTGATGATTTTGGAAAGATGTTTGATCATTTAGGAAAGCGAGAAAGTGTTCTGATGCGAGACCCTTCCCCTCAGCCGGCCAATAAAGTACGCAGCTAAGATCCGTATGAGATGCAAGGGGTCCAGCTAACGTTCATGCAGTTAGCTTCTACTCCGCCAACGCAAGCGCTACCAGATTTCTACAATACTAGCCGTGCTGCACGGCCTCCACCTATTGATATAGATCGATCAGCGCCTGTCGAGCCGCCTCCTCACTCGTGGAATAGCCGTCACTCGGAGGAGGGCTTGCTTAATAGCCCCGGAGAGAACGACATATACTCGCCCGCTCAGTCTACTCCTGAAACGGTGACTGGTTTCCGTCGACAATCCCCAGCACCCAACCAAATGCTTGGTGCTACCACCTCACACCGGGCTTTGGACCGGCCCAAAAGACAGTCGGATATGGGGTTGCGACGAAGCATAATGTACTATGGAGACCGAGACTCCACTGCAATTGACGATGAGGACGCTGCGATGGTCAAAAGCTCCCTTATGTGGAGTAAAGAGAGCGGTTCTCCCCCGAGACAGACTGGGGGTATATCTCCGTCCGGTAGCACCCCACTTCTCAAGAATGGTCATGCGGGCAACTCTGCGAGCAACTCTGCGCAAGTCAGCCCAGAACCGGAATCAATGTTCTCGAACATACAATCACCTGCTATAAATGATCATATGGAAAATGCACGGCTTGCGGTTCAATTTGCGGAGAGTCTACCCAAGTCGGTGTCTCCTGGCAACAAGGTGATGACTCCATCCCAATTTGAGCATTATCGCCAGCAACAGGAACTCCGACGTTCAAACAGCGATGCGTCTGATAGCGAGGATAACTCAGATCATGATGATTTTGATGAACAAGATGAGGCCGAAAAGCAGCGTGAGGCGGCACTGCAGCGACGGAAGCAAGAGGCCCATTTGTCCGTATATCGCCAGCAGATGATGAAAGTGACAGGCCAGCAAGCTCCGTCGCCATCGCTCCGTCCGGTGATGAGCGGCGCCAGCAGCAGCACTCCCAACCTTCCCGTCTTCCTAAATAGCACGGGTGACAAGTCCTCAAGCGGTAAAAGCCATGAGGGTGGTGATGATGAAGATGTTCCGTTGGGGATTCTTGCAGCTCATGGTTTCCCTAATCGCAACCGGCCGCCTACCCGCTTAGCCAACGCAAGCTCCAACCCGAACCTTCGTGCCTCTATTAATCCCTATGCATCATCTTCCAGCTCACTCGTGGGTGTCGAGCAGGACCAACGAGGCAGCCTGCCCGTTTTCGCCAGGAACCTCCCTCGGGATCCCTATTTTGGTGCTAGTCTGGTCAATTCAACCAACAGGGAGTCTTTGGCTATGGGCGGTGGCTCAGTATATGGCGGTCCTGCCTCTTCACCGGGGCCTCCTGGAGGCCTTATTGGGGTGATTGCGCAGGAGGAACAGGCGCGGGCTATGAGACGAGGCAGCCCAAATACTCAAGCAATGTACGATATGGGAGCTGTACCCCGGCCATTCTCCATGATGCCACCACCACCACCTCAGCAAGCAATGACTCCGGGGGAGCAGGCTCAGGCTCAACTGACGGCCCAGATGTCCGAAATGATGAACATGCAGATGGAGTGGATGCAGAAGATGATGGCCATGCAGGGCATGCACGGTCCTCCACCGCCCATGATGCAAGGTGGTATGGCAACACCCCCCATGATGGGTGGTGGGCCTATGCCGGGAGCTCCCATGGGCCCGCCTTCTATGGCTGGTCCCATGATGGTCGGCCCTATGATGACAGGCCCTCCTTCCATTTCTGGACATTCTAATATGAGACCAGTCTCCATGCCGGGACTTACACCCAATGCTCCCAACTTTGACCAACGTACTTTGAGCATGATCGACCCAAACATTGCCATGCGTCGAACTGGTTCACCAATGCCCAATCTGTCTGGCGGGTCTTATCAACAACACTCACCGGGATATGCTCCATCGATTGCTCCCTCGGAGCGTAGCAACGCAGGGCTCTCATCTCGGTACCGCCCCGTTTCCGCCCTTCCAGGCGACCTCAACCACCATGCCTCACCACTACATAAGTCCTGGAACGATGAAAATCGTCCCAATGCGCACTTGCCTATGTCCAAGTCAACTGGAAGCATCCCGAAATCAATCTCCATTGCTACTGTGACCGTCAGACCTGAATCACAATCTAGTCAAGCCGGTCCTGGCATCCGAAAGGTGCAGAATGCGTCTGATGATGAAGATGACGATGAGGCCTGGGCCGATATGATGAAGAAACGAGACAAGAAGAAGAGCAGCTGGAAACTGAAGCGAGGAACTTCATCTTTCGGAGATCTGTTGAGTGTCGTGCATTAGGAGTCAGGACACCTTCCCTTTCATTTGAAAAAGCATGCATCTCTGCGGATACCTTGTCGCGCCGCAACGTATAGAATTTTTCTCTTCCCTCCTGTCTTTTTCTTTTTCTTTTTTTTTTTTTTTTTTTCTCTTCTTCCCTTTCTCCTTAATTTTCTATGCTGCATCCCCCATGACACGAAGATCACGCACATACATTTGAGGCTGTTTATCAGCCGCTCTGTTTTTTTCATTTCTCTCTCCTTCACGTGTGTCTTGGAGTTATGTCTCCGCTATCTGTTTGGGGCTTTTCCTTTTCTGTATCACCGTCATATCCTCAGGAAGCGGTGTCAGAAAGTATGAATACATAAGCTCCTTTGATTCTTTTGGCATTGGCGCATGGCGGATATGGCGTTATGTTTGATCATCTTCTTGTTTTTTATTGTCGAATCCGCTGCATATGTTTTCTCATCTCATTTCTCCCCTTCGGGCAGAAATATCGTCTACTCGACTAATTTCATCTCTAACAATGAACTTTATCATTGCAATTTTCCAGATATCTTACTGCTTTGTAGAAAGAACATTGGTAGGCCCCCACACGCCCTCGTATGAGACGGCACATCAAACGAGACCGAATACATATGCAACATCTTGACCTTACAGATGATATCAATGAGTAAGTTAGTTTCCAAGAATTTGTAGAGACTTCAATAGTACATTATCTCATTCTCAATCTCTCCAGTAATACCCCTTCCTCTTCCAAAATCTCCTCCGCAGACATAACCTCCAAAAAGTCCATCCCGTTCCCGCATTCATAGTCATACGCCCATTAAATCCATACTCATCACTCCTCTTCATTATCAACATCTGGGCATAATGCGTGTTAATTCACCAATACATCTAGATTAAGAGTCTCCATAGAAGCGATTGCTTCATGGAGAGAACCCACTTGGTTCCAAGCTACGTTCGATGATTTCCCTTTTCTGAAGCTAACTACATCTTCATAAGCTCGAATAAATTCCCCGGGCATATCTCTCGGCGCGACTATTCATTATTAGTCAAGGTCATCTAAAGCTACTTCCCTTTTTATAGACCTCGGAACCGCCCGCGAGCCGCCCTCCAAGGGCCGCCTATAGACCCGCACTTTTGCAGGCGGAGGGCGGGAGATACTAGCCCTCTAAATATATTTCACGAGGTCTAGGTATAAATGCTCCGCGGGCGGTCCGGCCCCCTATAGGGCCGTAGTACTATTGAAATTCTAAAAGCAGTTTTGTGTTTCCTAAAGCTTGAGAATTTTATTTGTATTAAAATATTTCATAAGAGTGGTAGTTAAGTATGCTCGTTCATGACTATAATACCCTTATAAACGTTTTACTGTATTATATGTCATCCTTTCGTGATAGTGAAGTCACTTATACCTAGTTGCTATACTATCGAGCGCTCTTAACTTTAAGAACTTGGTTAGTTTGGCCGAGACGTTGATCTAGTATTATATAAAGACGGATCTGGGGTTCCTTATAAGGTCGTCTTCAATTTCGGTCCGCGCTGGGTACTTGGCTTATGAACTACGACGCGTCACGACATTGGCACTATAGCTGCATTTCTAAACCCGGTCAAAGGGTTCTTCACCATCAAACCCCGTTAATGCTAGATCGGCCTCCATCGAAAGGTCCTTCAACGGAATGGCTGCCATGACATTCAGCGTAGGATTCATGCTGGCATCCGAGAAGCCCGCGCAAAAACCTCCTGCATATTCCGCTGCCATTTTCTTCTCCGGGCTTTCATCTTCCATAGGTGAAAACAGCTGGTTGACATCCATCTCCCACAGCACGCCGCCGAGCCCCAGACTCAAGCCGGCGATAAAGTCCTCGAGGCGTGACGTGATTGCACTGGCGATCCGGTGGGCGACCGCGGCCCCAGGGATGTTCGCATGTGCCCAACTCTCGAACGTGGCCTGGGCGAGCGCGAGTGACTGCAACGCCGACCCCGTGCGAGGCCCCATCGGATTGATGTAGAGTAAGACGGCTAACGTGACTATGGCGTTCCACTGAAATTGCACCAACTCGGGCAGCCCGCTGAATATGTCCGACTCCAAGTGGTACGCGTGCACCGTGACGATCAGGTCTGTGGCGCACTGCACCGCGGCATCGATTAGCCCCGCCACGGGGCTGGGGCCCGGCTCGCCGCAGAACAGGAACGGCCGCTGCAGGAGGATGCACGCGTTATAGTAGTGCAGCTCGAGCATGATGCGTTGTCGCTGCATCCAATCTGGCATGCTCAGGGGAATGAAGGGACGGATGGGACAGACGGAGGTGGTGGGTTTGCGGCTGTTGCTGCTGCCTACCGGGGTCCGCACCGCAAAATGCAGATGGGTGGGAAGGGTGCCGAGCCAATCCTCCAATTGCCTCATCAAGGGTGACAATTTCTCGGCGCACTCATGGAAGGCACTGGTAGATGATAGTTGGGCTCGGCTGCCGAGGAGATTTGCAGTCAAAATGACGTCGAACGGCTCCGAAACCACCGCGACCAGTTTAGCAATGTGAAAGATGTAGCCGGATGGGTTGGCGACCTTTGTTGAAGCGCCCGGCTCAACCGGCAGTGGGCAGGTGATATACGAGTGCTGGACCGAGGTGGGCAGGTCGAGCTGCATCGAACAGTACAGATCGAGCCAGCACAGGAGCCACCAGAGGCGGCTGCGGCCGATGGCTTCGTCAGGGTTGAGATGGACAGGTGGTTCCGCATGCAGTTGGCTGACGTAGGCGCAGCGGACCCCAATGGCGATCATATAGTAGGCGCTCTCTACCTGGTTTGTCTGCAGCAAATACAGTACCATCATGACATAACAGCGAATGGTTTCGACCGTCACACGCGAGCTCTCCTCATGGACGTGGTTGCGGCAGCGGATGAAGTATTCTAGACTATAGCGGCGCACTGCATTGGCTGCCGGCGCGAGATAATTATGTCCGGATGCCCCCAGGCCCAGGATGTGTGTTCCGCGGCCAGCGATAAGCCCGTACTGGAGGCCCACCGCCGTGATGCAGTCGACTAGCGCGCCATTCACTGTGCACCGTTCGATGTAGCTCTGCCAGTCAGAATCATACAGGCGTTGGAACTCCGACTCGGTCAGGACAGGAAACAACTGACCCAGGGCGCTCCAGAAGAGTCGGACAAAGTAGCACTGCTGTTCCTTAGTGAGCGGGTTGAGTTTTGTGGTTGTGGGTGGTGGCATCATCCGGCCGCCGCCCGCTCTCACGGCACCATCCACACTTCTACCACCATCCCCGTTGGCGTCGGAGCTCGTTGTCAAAGTAGTGGATCGTGGGAGCCCTGGAAACGGTTTTTCTCTGGTGTCATCGAGGGCCAGCACCGATGATACCCTGCGGAAAAATTGGCGTGTGGTCCATACAGAGCTTTGGAGAGAGGATCCTGCCATGCTGTGGTTATCGCTGCCCCCAATACCGGGATCTGGAATATTCATGTGACAGCTGTTGTCGAGAGCATAATCTGTCGATTGCAGCAAGTCTGTCAGGTCGATTGCGGTGGCTGATCGAGAGATCGAACTACTACTACAACGGGGAGACAGATCGGGTGACGCGATATATTTCTCTGAGCCATTGCTCTGCGCGCCACTGGAGTTCGGACACCTGCTGATCGAGCTCCCCGCCGACATGGTCACCATCGTTGTCGACTTTGACTCCTGCCATCGGCATTGGACCCTTTGCTCCCGACACGTGGCGCACGGCTTGTCCCCACACTTAATGCGATACAACCGGCACCTCTCACAAGCTCTGAAAGTATTACATCGTTGCCGGGCGGTACCTGTCAGCAGCGTATTACCGCTCCCGTGGGGAGGCGGCATGTTGGTGTGAGACTTGGGGTCCGGTGAATTAACGGCGAATGTGTAGAACATGGGTGGAAAACGTGGATGAAAACAGGACCGGCAATCGCGTTAGGGAGAAGCAACGGAAGAATGTTCATGAATAAAGCTTTAGCTTCGACTCGGTGTTGATCATAACTGGAGCAGGAAATTGTCCCTCATTTATAAGACCGAGGAAGTCATTATCCTCGAGTGCAGCATGTGTCGGTCTCCAGTGCGACTCTGCTAGTGGGTCTGTGTGCTGGCTACTTGGAGAGGCTGGGGCATGGATTGCTATGCTGCTGTAGCGCTAGAAACCGCCTACTCAGCTCTCGACCAAAGTGGATGGATGCTGTCAAGATATAAGCCTTTTCTGACTTGTCGTTCTTCTTTCCAGCCTCAAGTCTGTCCTCAATGGTACTAATGCTTCCGCACGCCACACTCGGGCTTGGACACTATTGAATACTTGTTAGATGTGATAAGTAACGCGCCAGGTAGGTCGGTTACGTAGGAGCTTCTATACAGCTGAAATTCATCGCTGTTCAACGGTGAAGTACTGAAGGTGGTTTTGGACAACAATATAGAATTCAACTCTCGAGTAACAATGAGGATGTCAACGCGGAGAACTAAATACCTGATAGTTAATTAGTGTCCTCACGTATCGATTCCTCCTATGGTGATGGACCAACCGGTGTATTTTCGATATACTGATGGTAGACGATCTGCTGACGCTTTCAATCAATCATCTGATTCGATTGGACATCATCAGTACTAGCCAATAAATCAATCCTTCACCCGGACAGGAACACCTAGGAAGGCCTAGTTAAATCAAAACCCTAACACATCTGTCAAATACCATTCAATACCCTCATGAAGTGATTTTGGGTTCGGCTCCGGGAAATAAGATTCTAGCGCTGGCGTCTTGACAGGGGGAAGGTCTTGACAGGGGGAAGGGAGGACGAGAACAGAACAAAAATTGACAGGTAACAAGCTGACTTCGCTGCCGACTCTATGTCTTGCGCGCTTCGTGCTGAGTCTAGTGTAATATCGCTGTGCGGGGCTAGTTGTTCCTCGCTCTCAGTTTAGTCGGAAAAGCCACAGGAAATATTCATATCGACAGTCAGATGGCGGAATGTCTTCCCCATTCCAATTTCCGATTGATATTGTCAAGGTGCTACGCTCAGTGCCCCCCAAAAAAAAGGAAAAGGAAAGGCTCTTTAAAGATTGTCCAGATGATGGTATGTACGATCTTGTGATCTTCTACCCCTCTCGAGATCTATTGATAAATGGCCCGTGTTTGGTGGTAAGCGAATTTGCCAAGGAGAAGAAGCTCTTGCGGTCCTGCAGCTATGTTTGCTTCGATTTCCAGTGATGGTCTCGACGCCCTCGATTATTAGAACGGTTACCAAATAAAGCATCTAATATCGTCTTCCTCTCAGTACTCAAAATTCCGAAGAGATAACACATGATATTACGAGTTGAAAGGGTACTTGGCACAACAAGACATTCACTCACGGCTGGTCTGTGAGTTAGTGATAATTATCAATAAATGTCATGATTTCCGGCACCGACACCCTTTGATGTCTACGTCGTGATAGGTGAAGGAGTTTGGTTAGAGAGTAACAGGCGTCGACTCAAGCCTAGGCCGCGTGGAGAGGTTGTGGCTCGTCAGATTTGGTCCGACGCTGAAACTGAGGCTTGGCGGTGCAGGTTCCACAAACTGTGCGAATATAAGAAATCTCATGATATGCATATTTTTGACAGCTTTAGGCCGTATCCTTGTATATTTGGAGTACAGTTAGTGGAAGGCGTAATAGAAACAATTAGGACGAAGGCTCCAGAGTTTTATTCCTACTATTCTATGGTCTATGAGAGTAGCTCGTGAGGTACTGATATTGTGGTTATATACCGTATAGATAGAGCCTTTCCTATTTGCGTCCTAACCCTGTCTCCATCAATGTGTTCTGTTTCTTCCCAACTACCTCAAAACTCTTATATGCTTTGGTTAAAATTTTGATTGACGCCATATGCTCCTCTGTGCACCACTCTCTGTGTGCAGTCCATAGTGATGGATCTGATAGATGTCAGGGTATCAACGCATCAGACGGGACCTTCGGTCTTGGCTGTGACACTACCAAGTCTAAAGTTGAAAGGATAGGTCGTATACCCCTTCGGTTGTATAGTCCAATGCCCACAGCGGGAAGTCGAGATGGGTCTTATCCGTTGGAAGACTGATCTCCTAATTCAGAGCAACTTATGTCTCGCTATAAAAGACCCTATGTGTCAATATAAGTAGGAAAGACTTAGTATTTACAAGAGCTATATTGCTATCACATACCGATGAGCATGTTCCATGTGAATTCCTCGAGCTCGAGGCACTGCTCCCTTAAAAGTCCTTCTTTCCATTGGCCCCAATGACAATATCAATGGAACCGAGTGATCCTTTTCTTGCATTTCACTATAGTTGCAGAGTGTGCCCTGCTCATCTTCTGAGAGTCCGGGAGTGTCATAACTTGATTGCAGATTGCACCTCTCACAGGCTGCCATTACGTTTCGCATTTATCTCTCTCATGTAAGTTGTTCATGACATACAAATCTAATATGCCCTGTGCCGCCTTCAGTCTGAATGATCCAACTAGTGATCAGTACTTTGGTAGCCTACGGAGGCTAAATAGCACCTTACCGTTCCATGGTTTATCTTGATGAACGCCTATTTGTCGAAACTAGGGTCCCTTCCGCCAATTATTAGGAATTTTTTCATCGCTAGGAATAGCCTGGCGACAACAAATTCTTATACATGTCCCAGCCCGCCTCTGTCCTATCCAAAAGTCGGCAAACTCACTCGTTCTGATCTCCGAGTAGACTGCTTGGTTCAGGCCTATACCTTGGGGGAAACAGGTCCCGTCGTCGTCATCGATAGCAATGCTCCGAGGAGCCGTTGTGATGTCTGATTTCTGTTCCAGCACGATGTTGCGGGTGTTCATTTGCTTGATGTATGCTGATAACATAGCGCCTGTCAGGCCATAACCGCAGGTCACCATATCGGTGATCTCACACTCTAAGGCAGATATATCCATCCAGTACAGGTACAGGAATGATGGTTGTCAGCTCAAAGTGGAAACGCCCCGTACACGTTTTTTAGAGTTCTTTATACTCGTCTCAAATTTTAACGCTGCTGTGAAGGTGTTCGACCCTTTAACCATCCTTATAAGATTTAAGGCAGCTATCTCGAAGACATTCAATATGACAGAGGGAAAACAGGAGAGACAGCGGGGTAGGTGATGCAACCTATACCATGTACCACCTGACTCGTGTGACGATAGCAAATGCACGTCAGATTGTAACAAGCACTATTGAACTTTCTAGTTGCCTAGACAGTCTGTCCCTTACTGTAGCACTAGCTCTGTATGTAGCGCAACCCTGACTACAATCGATCATCCGATATTGCTGCCACAAAGATTGGCCATGACGACCTTATTCTGTTAGACAACAATTCACCCATCGTGTACTACGTAATAGTTTATTATGTTAATGATTGTATTATCTTCATGTGATCATTGTTACTCTACAATGTGCGTGCTTTGCGTATAGTAATTTCTGAAGATGAATTCTATGTTTTTTTTTCTATTTTTACATAGGCTGCGGCATAAGTGCGGCCGGCCATGGGTATCCATGGGTTACCCATACTGATATAAACAACTATAAAATTACAAGCCTCGTGATAAAGAAGAATCTGCATAGATTGTGCGGTTTTTTTGGTATATTGGAATATAGGTAATCAAAAGATTACCACGAACTGGAGGAGTGGTCAAATACCACCAGGGCCCTTCGGTATAGGCTTATTCATCATTCACTCAATTTCTCCTAGGTAGTAACTATTTGTGTGACCAAAGTATGGTGACATAAAAAACCAGGATTTTATATCATTGACCTCTGGGATCGCTCAACTGATCTCAATCCTTTCAACCAATCATCTGATTCTATTGGAGTTGCTCAGTACTAGCCAGTGCATCAATGACCCAGCCTGACAACTATGTATAATATTAAATAATGGTATCAACTGTGAACTATGTAAGGTGTGGTTGAGCTCGGTAATCCGCTGGAGCTACGTTAGATATGTCCTCCTTCGTTCTTGTGTACATAGATGTTTCCTAGTCATTACGAGTACAATTTACTTCCCAAACATCATGTACTTCATTTGGTTCGTATCAGAGAGAGCCCGCTGCCTTCCCATGAAATCATTTTCATGTTGTCTTCTTGGCCCCAGGAAGCCCATCAAGTCCCATCTGCGCTGCGCCGTTGTCACTGAACGGCGTCATCTGCTGCAATTTGGCCCAACTGGAAGCGGCTCGATACGCCGTATGGACGTTTTTGCGGTAAAACCATGTTTGACTCATCTTGGCCACTGCGAGCTCCCAGTCGGTAGTGTACTCTCGGTAGTACGGCTGATACCCCAGCAGCCCACCGACCCATCGTCCCACGAGGATTGTGATCCAGTACCCAAGAAATGTACGAATCCAGACTGACCAAGGCTTTGAAATGAAATTGGGAAGGTTAGATGGAAAGGGAAGGTAGTGGTCTCCCCCGTCGAACGTCTGCGATTATAAATCCGTTAATATGAGTTGTGAGAAGTAAAATACTGTTCCATGGCTAGATGGTTCATAGAAACTTACGCAGCATTGCTGAATAAAATCAATCTTGTTTCCGAACTTGAAGCTGTCCACTCGAATACCATACCAATTCTCTAGGAAGATCCGATCGAGGACGAAGTCCTTACCACTATCGGTAGCATTGACCATCAGGATGCTCTCTCCATCCCAGTCTTTTTTTTCTTGATCCGTGAGGCTAACATCTCCAGTATCGACGAAGAAGCGGTGAATGTTTCCGGCGGGGCAGACGGCTACTTCGTCACCAGGGCGTAATATACGGACTTCTTCGTTAATTTCCACCCCAATTCGGCCCTTGAGAACCTTGAATCGCTCGGTCTGATGCACATGGAAGTGTGGAGGAGGACCCCGGTAGGCACCACTCCGATCCTCTTTTTTGAGCGCTTTGTACGTCTGCATGATCTGGAAAGCCGTTCCAGGAGGTGGTTCCAGAAATTGGGTCTGTATCTTCCCATCAAACCTGAAACATGTAATATCTTAGTCCCGTGGAATTTATTTCGGGGCTGTACGGGAGGGAAGAGACTGACTGAACCAGGGGGTTCTGCCCTGCTGAAATGGTGATTGGTATAAAGCCCATGGTGTCAGTTCAGGAATGATTCGTTAGTAATCGATGTCGAACGGTCGAGCAGAGGCAGTCGAAGGTGCAAGCTAGGGGTTTCTCGCGGCAGAAGTGCCATGTCTGGGTCTATTTAAAATGGATCAACGGCCCGCATAAGGAAACCCCCATAATTCTATCTAATTCAACATGTCGACGCTACCGGTGACAATGATTTCTCCTCTGGGATTCAAACTCATTTTGTGTCACGTAGGTATCCTCAACATCCAAAAGGGGTATTGCATTAAAGGGGAAGTTCCTCAAAGGATACTATCGCGAAAAGTGGGAACGTGTTTAGAGGCTGGATCTCGTGCGAATATATTAATCTGGCCGATTTTACATTGTTGTCGATAAAGAATGTGCACGGCTGTCCGAGTTTCCTCCTGTCAACCCGATACTCCCATTCCTTTATTGTAGGCAATTGAAGATGGCCGATCCCCAGCCAATAACACTTTATTCACATACCAGAGCTCCGAACCCATGGAAGGTAGCCTTGATCCTAGAGGAGCTGGGGGTGCCGTATCAAACCAAGTATCTCGAATTCCCGGAAACAAAGCAGGAGCCATACTTGAGCCTCAACCCGAACGGAAAACTTCCCGCAATTGAGGATCCTAACCATCATGTTACGCTCTTTGAGGTGTGTAGCACTCCATGCTCGACGGCTCCGTAGGTGCATGACATGACCTGACGTATCCTGCTCTTTTCATTTGCAGAGCGGTGCGATCATTGAGTACCTGGTCGACCTATACGACTCGAAATCGATTCTCACGCCTTCTTCACTACAAGACAAATATCGTGCGCGATCATGGCTGCACCTGCAAATGTCGGCACAGGGCCCATCCTGCGGATACAAATTACGGATGGGTCAAGTTTACGACGCCAAAGAGCTCGTCGCTGCCAACGACTACTTGAGCAAGGATATTAAGAGGCTGATGGGAGTTCTGGATACCCACCTTAGGCAGAGCGGTGGTCCTTACCTTTTGGGACCCCAGGTCTCATACGCAGATCTGTGCTATGTTCCTCTGTATTCGATGCTTCCAGTGTTTCTTCCAGACTATGATGTTGAGACTCAAAGTGACTTTCCTCATTTTGCAGCTTGGTGGACGAAAGTGGTGGAAAGACCGGCGGTTACAAAAGTCATGGAAACACGGGCGGCTCTAGCGAAATCTTTGACTGGAGATGATGAGTAGAAGGGAAGGATATGTTTCCTTGTTCAACCTTGGAATGGTCATGGATTAATGATCAATGGAATCGAAGGTCAGGCTTGCTGAAATGTTATGTTGACATGGAAATGTAAAGTGGGAAGAGGGCGAAGGTTATGTGAACAGTAACAATTTTATATCCATTTTGAAAGAGCATGCTCGGCAACTGATCTATATACCACCAGACACAGGTAAGCATCCCGAAAGGGTTGAAAGCTACTAAGGGTATATTTGCTTCTAGATTTGACATAAGTTGCGGGTCCCACGTAATAGGTTGGGCCCAGGTAGACTGCGGCATATCCACATTCATAGATCATCCACATTATTCGACCATTCTAGGCAATTAGAATCAAGCAATTCCCGAGTCACATCGCCAACGCGTCGACAGCGTATTTTTGCTAGTATCCCTTATCGTTACTATGGTGATATGAGGCTGGTGCAGATCAGGAACGATGCCCCACCATCGGAAATAATTCCCTAAGTGCCTATACGAGGAACCAAGTTTATTGAAATTGAAACTTGATTCTCTCGTTGTGGTTATAGCGCCTAATATCCTCTTTAGACCACAACTTAGAAGAGATGGAAGAACGACTTACTCTGAATTACAACAGTTACACGATTCATGTGGTATATGGCATGATCGATATCCCTTACTCCGCTCGCTCTCCTTTCACCCTCCCCCATGTTGAATTATGTCGGGAAAATTAGCCTGAATCATATGATAGAGGTTGGGTATTGAGCACAGTCACGAATTTTATATACACTGCCGTAGTCTAACATCACCAGGTGCCTGAATCCCAGAAATGTAGACTTCATGCCGCAACCCTCATGCACAGCCACTACTCGTATAGAACCAAAGAGTCAATCAGACAATTTCTCTCATCTCTGCACTCCATCGATTCGCATTCCGCTGGAGAAACCACAAGGATGGGGCACCGGCCAAGCAAATCACCGCCGTAATAGTGAGCAGCCACCCCACCCCAATGGCATTGATCAATGGCTGAACCACAACACATGCAACCGCACCAAAGGTGTTTCGCACTAAATTTGAGAGCGCCATGCCAGTGCTGGGCTGGCTCGGGACGAATTCAGTTAGCATGACGGTAGTGATGCTGAGAACCATCATATTCCCAAACGCGAAGAAGAAGTTGGCCACACAGATTACCGGCCATGGAGCGTGTTCCTGAGATGCCCAGCCGGAGCAAAGAACTGCCAACGGGTATACAATTGCGGCCGACCATGCGTTGAAGGCAAGCATATCCTGGGGAAGGGGGCGTCCGGGCGCCTCGCGGAGGCGGCACGGCGAGCCCTCACGCGGTCATTCCAGCGGCCCCCGAGGGTGCCCGCAAGGCCGTACCCTATGCCGTTGGGCAGGTAAAGGAGACTCACGATCATGGCATTGAAAGAATAAGGCGGCGTCGAGAAGGTCGCTTGGATAACGATCATGACGCTGTAGTATGACGCGAATGTAACGCTGGTGTAGAGGATGGTGAGGAGGATCGGAGGGAACCTGAGCAAGCGCAGGAGCCCAATCGGCGCCACCAGGGTGGACCACAGAGCCTGTATTCGTCTTGAGAGCACGTTCCGGCTTTCCCCTTCCGAGAAATCCCTATTGTTGGGTCTTCTGGACGTCTCGGGTAGAAAGAGGAGCACCGTGAGCCAGATCATGAAGCCGTAAATGGCCATGAACCACTGGGTACTCCTCCAGTTCCAGTGCGTGGTGAGGGCCCCCCCGATAATCGGCCCAAACACAGTGCCGCACATGGACCCCAGAAGAAATATGCCCATGGCGCGACCCCGCTCATCAAGGCTCCAGAGCTGGGCCACCGTCGCCGCACCCAACGACTGCACCGGAGCCGATGTAGCCCCAGCGAGGAGACGCATGGCAATGAACATCCCTGCTGAATTGCTCACTGCAGCGAGGATATTGAAAATGATAAATAGGAAGAAGGACACGATGAAGGTGTTACGGCAGCCCTTGTGTTGGCTGAGCGTGGACCACCACAAAGGGGTAAGTGCCACAGCAAGACAGTAGAAAGCGATGGAGAGGTTCATGATGGTGGGCGTGGTATGCAGGTCTCTTGTAGCACCTGCCAGCGCCGCTGGAAGTAAACATGTTACATAGGTAGTTCCATTGCTCTCCCCCCCCAACAATTAGGGTACAATTGACATACGCAGGAGTATATTGCTTCCCAATGGCGTCGACGCCGCGCACGCTGCGACAATTCCGGTTGCCAGGTGCTTAATGGGTCGGGAAAGTTGCATTGCATTCTCTGCCTGTGTGATTAGCGGGAATCGTAGCCACAGAGGACAGTGAGGTCTGGATGATGCATTGTCACTCGTAACTTGAGGCCTCGATGCGCCTTCTGTAGAGCACTTATTGATGGCGGATGAACCCATTTTACCAACGTACTCTTCTTGATTGTTCATAATTAATGAAACTTGCCCTAGTCCAGGGCAATGGGAGGGAAACGGAATGGGAATCATCAACAATAATTAACATGGGGAGGCTGCGGAGAGTGGAGAATATAATATTGTGGATGGATAACTCCTTCTGGCCACCAACGAATTGGAGCACTTCCAGTGCTCGGGCCACCCCCACTTGAGCATGATGTTAAATAAACCTTGGAAACCTTTTGCCTTTAATGGACGAAAAGTCAGTGAGAAGACAAGAATATACATATATAATGATACGACACCCCAAAGGCAGAGCGCAATGTTGAAAAGACTAAGGAGCGAACACGTCAGAAAAAGGAGCGGATCAGTGGCTACTGCATCATTCTCTCTTCCCTCCTCGTTCATCATCGTTCATTCTGCCTTTCGCCATTTATGTCACCCTCGAAGATAAAGATTGCTGTGGTTATCTGCAGTAATCGACCCCGACGGTTGAATCCTTACATTGCTACATATATACAGCGTACGATTGTGTCCAACTGCAACCCACCAAGCCCCGCACATGAAAATGAAAGAATGAGAGAATCAACAGTCGAGATCGTTGACCTAGCGTCGCAGGCCTTGGCCCTGTACAACGAACCAGAAGTGCCCTCATATCTCCCAGCCCAGGATCCTACTCCCCACTACGTGCATGCGCACACACGCGCATGGTCAGCCCTGGTCCGGCGGTACGATGCCTTCGTGTTCGTGACGCCGCAGTACAACCGGAGCATCCCCGCAGTGCTCAAGAACGCGCTCGACTACCTGTACCACGAGTGGGCGGGGAAGCCGGCGGGCATCGTGTCGTATGGTGGACACGGTGGTGGTAAGGCGTCTGAGCACCTGCGCGGCATCCTGGCGGGGCTCCGCATGCGCCCGACGGCGACGACCGTGGCGCTGAAGGTGAGTCCCAAGACGGCGATTGAGGAATGCGAGCGCGAGGGTCAGGTGACACCTGCGATGTGCAAGACCTGGATGGAGGAGGGAGAGGAGCAGAAAATACATATCATGGTTTCGGAGTTGCTGCAGCTGACTTAGCTTGTCATACCTCGGAGTATTGTTTGTGTTACGAAAAAAGTCTGCTTAAGATAGACTGACTGCCCAATACATTTTAAAACTGATAATTCCAAGCAATGGCATATTGTATCGGTTTGTCTTGTTTACGCTATTCGTAGAAATTCCCCGACCATAATTTTTCAGCATCTCAAGATTAATGTTGTGCACTTCAAAGAAGACAAGTATATTTAATCCTCGTCATCAAGTTGTTTCCGGAATAACCATTCACTTTGAGCAGGACGCTCTATCAAGAGGGCCTGGATCGGAGTATGACTGTTGAAAACTTTTGACTTAGTTTTACTCAGAGGTTATTGATATCTTGTGGGTTATTGTTAAGAGCTGTAGTACAGATCTTGTGTGTTGGCGTCTTGAGATGGACCATTGATTTGATACTATTCCCCTTCTTGACAATCTCGCACCTATGGTGAACACAGCAAGTAGCTGCCTTTGGATGCTTCATGATGATGATGGAAACTGTTCTCTATGTGACGGTTGAGAACAGGTTAGAACATCAGATGACACGAAGATGGGATAGCTCGGCGATATGACGGGCCGATAAGTGGTTGTAAGCAGGATGATTCGGATGTAAAGTAGTGAGATAGTTTGGCGGTATCCGATTGGTCGGTCTGGAAGGTGTTGATGCTTCAAGGCACCAGGAACGTGGTTTGCCCTAGGCATACCCCCGAGGTCGCCGCATCTCTCCTTCTGTTCCTCCCCCAGTCACTGTAATTGCTGCGGATACACTCTTTTGATCAAGACTGAATTGGTGTCACACTCCACTATGAGGGTCCAGGGCTTCAGGTACTGGCTATAATGTGATTGAAGCTTGGAAGTTGCATCACAGGCATACGTATTTGTTTTCCTCTTATGTGAGTTTTCGGTGCCCCTTGCAACATAGTCACCTTTATAATCACATGCGACAACAACCTTCTTCAGAAATCCACATTTAGTTTTCTTACCACGGTGCTTGACGATGACCGACTTAGCAGGCTTGGCGAGCTCATTAATCATCTTGATGGCTGCGTCGGGCGTCGGGCGTCGGGGTTTCCTAGTTGCAGGCGGAAGACGTATTGTTAAAAGCTCTGTATCGGCCTCCGTGTCTGTATCTGTAGGTGAAGCCGCGTTATTGGGTGGAGCCTTGTCAGAATTGAATTCCTAGACCTGAAGGCCTGGAAGTGATATCGTATCGAGTGTGCAAGTGTAGAAGGGCTCGTGCAGGATCCAGGATTGATGCAGCAATTCAGTGGCCAGGGGTGGTGGCATCTGATGGGTCAAATCAAATGATGTCTGAAAATGCAGGGGAAGGAGGGTAGCCATGGCAGAAACAGCCAGGACAGGTATTACTCACCAGGGTCTCTCGATTTCACACTATTCCAAATTGACCATGAATACAACCATATCATATGTAACACATGTCTCAGCAATCCTCTGAATACTCTGCCGCAATCCAGCTTGATGTCAGATCTACACACGCGCGGCAAACGGCCTCGGACACAACGTCAACATTGGCAGTATCAAAAGGCTGGAAGTGATTGCCCGGGATATCAACCGAGGGCACCGCACGAGCCGTCAGCATCTCCCAACCAGCGGTCGCGAGCGACCGATCCGAACGGTTTTGAAGCCACTTATTCTCCAAAAAGACATGCTGCGGTAGCATACAAGCCTTAACGATCTCGCTCTCCATCACGGGCGGCTTCCAGCCTTCATTGGACCGCAGCAGGAAGATGCGGGGAATCCGCCGGTCACTCCCTTTCGGCCATTGCTCCAGCTCCCCATTCCTCGTAGTAGAGCTCGTCATTGGACCGGCTTCGCGGTTGGCCGTGTCGTAGCGACCGTCGTGCAAACCCAACGGGTCAAACGCCCTAAGAAGCGCTGCACACGCTCGGAAACTCCGCTGTACTAGCTTCCAGATCAAAGTGGCTGTCGGGTTCGCAGTAGCACTGCCCGAAGGCGAGCTGATAATGCGAATGATATCTTCGGATAACGGTGTGTGGCTCACCGGCGGAGGGGAGTCAATGAGTACAACGCCCGCGACGCAGCGGGGTCGTGGCTGGCCTTCCTGGTCTTTCTCTTCCATTAGGATGCGGGCAGTCTCGAATGCAACCACCCCTCCAAATGACCAGCCGCCGAGAAGATACGGCCCGGAGCTGGTGGCCGTTATGATTCGCGCGTAGTGGGCTGCCATGGCCGGCAGACTGGCCCATGCAGAAGCCGAGGCTTGTTGCCCAGCCAACCTGTGTGAGAGGAAGAGCGGGTCATGGATGGCAAATGTCGGGCGCCCGAGGTTATGTAGACGCCGGTACTGTGTGCAAAGGCCACTGCCATCGTGGATTAAGAAGAGCGGAAGACTCGGGAGGGTGGTCGGAGACGAGGAAGTTTGCTGGATGATCTCAGGCTGATGGGCGAGGTCAAGCATTTTTGAGATCTTAGGGAGGAAGGTTACTTCGAATGGGGAGAGCATGGAGTCATCTGTTAGGGCGTGGTATAGGGTTGTTCCAGTCGCCTGGAGTTAGATACATATTAGCTTATAAATGGCTAGTTTTCTACTCTGTCTGCAGTTACAATACTTTCACTATACAATTTCGCATTTCCCAGCAGGTCTCTCATGATACGAATCTAACCTCGATGAATACATACCAGTCTCTCAAGGTCACCCACCGTGCAACAATGAGCAAATCCCGACACGGGAACTGCGTCGCCTCCGAAGACCTCTCGAAATTGGTCTTCCAGCTCTAACATCATCAAAGAGTCGATGCCCAAAGCATGGAGCGCAGAACTCGAACCCACCGTCCCCGGATTGGCGCCACAAATCTCGGTAATGATGTCAGTCACTCTCGCTGTCGTCCCCTTTGGATCCTCCACGGACATGGGATTCTGCGCTTCATAGAATTTCGCCACCGACTCCGAAATCGTGGAAGCGGGCGCGTTGGTCGGGCTGGCACTACTATTCGACGACATCGACGAGGTGCACAGTAATTCAATGTCGCCGACTGTCGCGCAACGGGCGAGGGGCTCGGGTGCAAGTCCACCGCCGGTCGCTTTAGCCAGCTCACTCCCTAGCTCAATCATCATGAGCGAGTCGATGCCCAGGGCATTGAGCTGCGACTCGGCAGTCAGTCGGTCCGGCTCAATGCCGCATGTCTGCGCTACCAAGTGCCGAATGTTGACATCGTGGTGACTGTCCGGGAGAGACATGGGGGGTGTGCCCATTGCACAGGAGGGGATTGCCGCGCGCGTAAAACTCTCCAAAACGGAACCTCCCTTCGCTCTTGGCGCTACAGCCTTGCCTTGACACCGACTCGCGAGTGTCAGTGCGTGGCTCATGCGCGATAGCGACACGTGTTGGAATACCATCCCCTTGAAGATGGCCAAAACGCGACCATCCGCATCTAGTGCATGAGCATCTGCCACTGTGGCTCGGGAGCTGCTGCCAGCCGCTGAAACATCGAAGACTGAGCAAACAACGTCGAACGGTGCCGAGTCAGTCGAAGCAACACTGGACTCTGCGGGAGTGCGTAGGACGGTCGCGGATGCGACTTCAGTGCAAATCGCCATAATCGTGTTGCTGAGGCGCAAATTCGCCACAAACCCGGCGACATGTAGCAAGACGTCCATAAAAATGGCGCTTGCCGACGGGATGCTCGCGAGGCGGGCTTGGGGGACCTCACAGATCGCGTGGGCGTCGCCCTTGTTCTGGTCAATGCGGATGCGCTGGACTTTTTGGTAGGGTTCGGAATAAGAGACGACGCGCGTGAAAACTTTGTCATACATAGCACGTCGAGAGAACACTTGCAGATCCGGAGACGAATCCAGGTCCGCCATGCGGACCTGGTATGAAGCGGCGATTCGGGTAGATTTCCGTTCCACGCTAGCCCTGGCCTTGCACCGCAGAGTGCCCTGACAATGAACCTTGCAATATCTGTTGATGTTGTCAGTGGGAACGGTCGACCCGACTTCGTACGAGGTGACCGTGAAGTCGTATCCCGGGCTAGTTTCCACGCGCGGCTTGAGAATCACCCGCAACGCCTGATCTGCGCTTTCTTCGTAGACGAAAGGGGCCGAGTACTGAACCTTGGAGAGCGACCACACTGTTTTCTCTATATTGGGGATTTGTCTCCTGCATTTCGACTCATTTAGGTTAACCGCGGCAAGAGCCATCTCGTGATATACCGCGGCGGGACAGAGTGCATATCCGCAGACAAGGTGGCCTTCAATGAACCCCCTCACCGAGTCCGCAGGCGTATCGAAGATTGCCCCATCATCATTGTTTTTTCCGTGGACAAAGTGTAAGGGGAATATCGAAAGGCCATGGACACTGATGTCATGCTCTTGCGAAGGAGGCGGTTCCATAGTATCGCGATATGGCGTGTGAAACTCTTCCTGAAAGAACGGCATGCCCGGCAGTTCCACCAGCGATGCGCCGCAGCCAAAGACATTACGCCAGTTGACTCCGTCTGTGGTTTCGTAAAAGTGGCTCAGCAGCTTCGCTATGGTCACATCCGCCGGAGTGTTTCGCAGAAGTGCAGGGAGCAATACAGCATCCCCCAAGAGCCGTTCACGGAGGATCGGCTGCACGGATGGATGGGGCCCAATCTCGATCCACCTCTGGATTGGTGTAGACACGGTAGCCCCGGCCACGCTGGTCAGGAAGTCACTGATACCGTCGTCGAACTCGACACGGTTGCGGCAGTGGGCGGCAAAGTACGCAGCCGAGAAGATGTCTGTTTCGCCGGGCTGGACCGTCCGGCCAAGCACGTTGGAAATGATTGGTAACGTCGGCGGCGAGACGTGTATCTCTTTGGACGCGAACTCGACCAACTCGGGTAGAACGTAATCCATCGCGGCTGTGTGGTATGCCATCGGCACATCGAGCAGCTTGCTCCTCGCAGCTTCACTCCCTCGAGACAGGACATGCTTAAGGGCTTGAAGTGTCGGAATCGGTCCGCCGACCACGCAACTGGTGGGACTGTTGCTGCAGGCGATGGTGAGTACCGCGAAGTCGTTGCATTTGTCCGAGTCAATTAAGGCTTGCACCGCTGCCGCGTTGGTGTTGACTGCCAGCATTGATGTTGTGTCCAGCGGGCAGCGCTGCATCATGAGACGAGCGCGCTGCGCAACGAGCTTGAGGCCATCCTCGAAATCTAGCACGCCCGCAATGACGAGCGCTGCGTATTCGCCGAGACTGTGGCCTGCGACTGCGGTGGGAATGATATCCCACGACATTAACAGCCTGGCTAGGGCCACCTCCAGGACGAACAAAGCGGTCTGAAATGCCTCCCAGGTTTCTAGGCGATCAAGTGGAGGAGTCACTGTCGTTTTGGCCCCGGCCTGTCCGATTTCGGGTGGTTGAGCTTCGAAAATTGCCAGACAGGAAGGATACTGGTTATCAATGAGCCACTGATCGCATGCCATGACTGTGTTGGCAAAGCCCGGGAATAAAGACATGAGGCTGCGGCCCATTCCGAGGTATTGCGACCCCTGACCTGAGAATAGAAAAATGGCTTCTGCTCGGCCAGCCAGTCCATGCGATGGCTGGGCGGCCTTAATCTTGTGCGCAAGCTCGCCAATTGATTCGGCTGTTACGACGATACGCTGGTCGTATAGCTGTCGACGCGCCGTCAGAGTTGCGCAGATGTCTCGCATCGAGACGGCAGCATCATTTCTGTCCGACGCTGCTTGGGTCGCCCACGCATCCAGGTGCGCAGCTAGGTCGTCTTGGAGTTTGGCCAGGGCGCGCGGACTCTTCGCGGAGAACCCGCATACCAGTGTGACTGATGGATCCGCCGTTCGTCGTTGTGCTTGTGGCGGGTGGTTCACGGAACTGATGTGTTCCTGTACCAGGACTACTGTGTTCGAACCACCGGCACCAAAGTTATTCAGGATCGCCAGTCGCGGTGTACCTGAGGCTGTGCGGGGCCATTCACAGCCGTGCTTTTCTACAATGGCTCCGTCGACGCCGAATGGGCGAATTTTGGGGTTCTGCTCGCGGAGGGAAATTTGCGGAGGAATCTTGTCGTAGCGGAGCATAAGCACGATCTTGGCCAAACCGGCCATGCCCGATGCCGCCTCGCAGTGGCCGGTGTTGGCCTTGATGGATGTGAGATAAACTGGGTGATGCGGATCCCGTTCCTTGCATAACACGCGGCGGACACATTCGACTTCACTAGGATCCCCCACTTGTGTTCTGGGTAATAAAACGTGAAAAACTATTAGCCAACCCTCACCAGCATGACCCTACACATCATCGGTTTGCTCACCCTGTGCCATGCAGTTCGGCGAGAGAAACCGCGCGCGGATCAATCCCCGCCTTCTGAAATAGGTTGGCAAACAGTACCTCCTGCGTGGGGACGTGCGGGTGTGTAATGGAGTGTGCATTTCCGCTTTGGTTGATCTCGACCCCCTTGATGATCGCGTGGATGCGGTCCCCTTCGGCCAGCGCGTCGCTAAGTTTCTTGATGATAAATGCTCCGCAGCCCTCGGCGCGGCAGTAACCATCGGCCGCCATGTCAAATGGCTTGCATTGGCCCGTCGGGCTGAGGAAGTGGGCTCGGTCCAGGCCCAGATACATCTACATCCGGAGTTTAGAACCGGCTTTCATTGAAGTGGACTGACTTACGTCGGGGCTCGAGATGATGTTCACCGCACCAACTAACGCGGTTCTGCAGTCTCCCATCAGGATGGACCTCGCTGCTTGATGCAACGCTACGATAGAGGAGGAACAGGCAGTGTCAAGCGTCATGGAAGGTCCGCTCCATCCAAAAACATGAGAAATTCGCGCACTCAAGAAGGCACGCAGGGTTCCTCCCAGTGTACACCCATCAGCCCCCGCTTTCAAGGAAGAATGGAAGAAGGTCTTACCTGTACTATAATACACATCGTTATCATTCCGGAGGTTATCAACCCAGTCCAAGGTGGACGCACCGACCCAGCATCCAAATGTATCTCGGGCAAACGAAGTCGTGCTGTCGGGGGTATAGCCCGCATCCTCGAGCGCCCGGTATGCGGTCTGGAGCAGCACGCGCTGCTGGGGATCCATGGAACTGGCTTCTCGACGAGAGATATTGAAGAGTTCTGGGTCGAACAGGAATGCATTCTGCAGAAAATTGCCGTATCGAGTGCGGAGAAACCGATTTCCATTGCCCTTCTTGCCGTCTCGCTTGTAGTAATCGTCCACATTGAACCGGGACTTCGGTATCTACGCCATGTTCTTACTGAGTGGCCCCTCAGAAAAAAGTGTGACTGGGTTAGACTACGTTACCTCGGAAGACGAATCCACGCCCTGCATCAAATTCTTCCAAAGAGAATTAACATCCGGCGCCCCCGGCATGTCCACCGCCATTCCAACAACGGCAATTTCGTTCTTCGTTGGCCCAGATGCCGAATCCGCCATTCTCTCTGCAACCGACGCGTCGATTATGTCGACGTGCCGGGCCACAATCTCTCGGTAGGCGGCTGCAGACAGTCCATAGCCCGGGCCAAAGTTGAGGATCTGACATCTTTCACTATTCTCTTGGTTCCGAGTGAATGATACGATGGAGTCCTGGACGCAGACCCAGTCGACGGGATCCAGAAATATCAGATCCAAGACGGTCTCAATAAACTGACCTATGGTTGCCCTCTCCGACGGGACGAGCGGCTGTCCAGTAGTGGTAGAGAGCAACGGTGCCATAAGTCGTATCTCCGAGTTCCAGGGACTGCCTCTCTGTCGCAAATCCTCGAGGACCTGACCCCGGAGCTCGGCCAACAACATTCGGTTGTGGTACAAACTGTAGACGTTGAGCGGTTTGCGGTAACAATGAGCCGGTAATGTCCGCGAAATAAATTCCTGCAGCTCACACGGCCGCCCGCTCACGGTCACCCGATCGGGGGCGAGGATGGCCGACAGGTAGATGCTGCAGTCGGCCTTATACTTTCTCCACTCTGCCAGCAAATCAGCCGCCTCGCTCGGTGGGAGCCTTCCCACCATAAAAGTGCAAGGCGGATGCTCCGAGTCCTCTGGGCTTGATTCTGTCATGGTCATTGCTCTCCGATGACTCTCAGTCCGGATACCCACCCAGACAGCCACCCGGAAAAACTCAGACGCCCGTGACATCAGGCTGATGAATGACAGCTCGGGATCGGACGTGGCTGCTGCTGCTGCAGGCAATAAGCCAGCGCAGAACCCCGCGGCGCCCTGGATCCTCCTCTTGTGGCCATGAGTAATGTACAGATGGCTGATGTAACGGAGGACTTGAATCAGGTATAGCGTGGTATGCTGCACCAAAGGATTTTGGTAATACTGCGGCGGGGGCCGAATTAGCGCCGCAATGTTCAGAAAATCTGTCAAATTGATTGAATCCTTGTCAAGGATTTTCCTCTCTAAGGCATTTTGGACCTCTGTCTGAAAAACATCCAGACAGCCCTGCAAGAAAGCCTTGCATTCGGGAAGCCCAGCATCCCTGGCTGCCGTGTCTAGGGTCTCGGCGGAGAAGAGCGAAGGAGATCCGAGGCCAGCGAAGACAGGGAAGTACACTGGCATGGCAGTTGCGGTATCTTTGAAGGTATGTCTGCATAAGGAATGCACTCGTGCTAGGGTGGAACCATTCATGGACAAGCGCTTTCAAGACTTTATACTACAGCCATCAGACTCTGGGAAGTTTTTAACATGCTTTCATGTCGAATCAAGACTACTCATTCTCCAAGGAGCTCCAATGCCAGAGTATCTCCCATTCTATCCCGCGCCGTGTTACACAACAGGGTTTCCAGAGCTATGAGATTACTCCTCTGGTACAGATTAGCCCCTTGGAGGTTTCCCTCGGCCGGTGGGGGATGAGAGCTAAAATACCACCATTTAGCCACTGTGGACCAGAGTCTTTTCGTCCCAATGTGTTCCACGTGGGACTATTATTCGAGCCAATTTTTGTACACTAATAATCAATAGGGATTGCGACCTGTTTCAATCAATTAAATTGACAACAGTTGAGACTTTTCCCTTTGGGGAAAATTGGAAGCCTGATCCAGCATGATAATGCAACGTTTTCCACCTAAATCAATTTAATATCTGACCCAGCCGGCCCTAGTATGCGGACAAATCTAAGAAAGGTTGGATCTGTAGATCTTTCTCTTGTTGAACGTTGAACGAGTGAGACCCAGCCCAAGTGCCTCATGGCGGTGCTTCAGCACTGTCACACGGCCGTGAAATCTTTGGCAGGACTCATGCCCCAAACTTGTACAAATGTATCTCGTGGACAATTTGAATACTCTGAGTATTATTCTCATGTCCTTGATCATCCACGTCGGGCTGTCTAACATGCGTACTGTGGTAGGCAGTGGTTCGTTTGTGGCGTGACCTGGGTGCAGTCGCAGGGACTTAGTTGTGTTATCGGAAGACGCAACACCAGTTGTCTCAGACAGCTGGATCCTCACCACACCCCACTCGAGCTTTCAAGTCCCTTGTATACCTCGGAGATGAGTGCTAATTCGCGCAATTGTGATGCTGTGACCTGTCAAGGTCGGCGGACCTAAGCTGCCTACATAGAAACAGTAGGGTTTAGTTTTACACTACATAGACTGTGATTAAGTTCATAAAATTATTTTTTTTAGAGAGGCTTTGATATATGGCTTAGATATAAGACAAAAGATCTATTAACCAAATTTGTATTATAGTATGTGAAGTATGGCGTACTTCAAGGTGAACGTGTTACAGGTCAGCTGGAGGCCGGCGCCTACGGGGTCAAAAGTGTGCGCCTTCTCTAGCAAAGTGTAACGCCATTATATAGAGTCGTCGAGCGCTGTTGAGATAGCAGGCGAGGACCCAGGAGGGCCATTACCAATGATGATAAAGTGGAGTTGGCCATTTTCAGTGCCATTGCTACCACGCGTGAGGGTGGAAGGTGTAAGCAAGAAAATACAAGCCAAGAAATTTGGGAGTCTACATTCGAATCCAAGGCCCTAAAGGGCTTTCAGTTTTAAATATTAAATATACATATATATATTTTCACTGGTGAAATTCTTACAGCGCATGTAATTCTCAAGGATCAAGAGGAGGCTTCGTTTTGCCCTCCTTTGGGCGGCTGTATTCTCCATGTGGTGGTGCATCTAATTACCACTGAAGACATGACAATAAACACTATCCCCAAATACGAAAGGGCGGTATCTCCTTTCGGTATTCTTTGATCCACAATCTACCCTAACAGGGACAAACATTGCATTAGATGCATCTTTACGTTTGGATTATTAAATACAATGCGAGAGAACACCGGTCCCGAACTCGTTTGAAGTCTTCGACCTTTCCCCGCTTCCACCTAGTGTCATCATTTCTGGAGCTTGGTTCGATCCTAATCGGACAGTGTGTACATCGGAAAAAGGCCAATTAACATGGCGAGCCGAGTCATGAAACTCTTAGTGACGCTACTTGGGGTTGTTGTCACTCGAGTAACAGCTGCTCTAGCGCAAGCGATATGGCCTCTATTGTGCGAGAATGGTCCCAACACCAGAGGCTGCTGGGGGAATTACTCCATAGACACCAACTTCTACGAGCAGATACCATTCACCGGCGTCACCAGAGAGTACTGGTTCGTGGTGGAAAACATTACTATGGCGCCAGATGTAAGCACCTCCTTCCAACTCTGAGCATGCAAGCAATACTGACTAATACGTCGTGAAAATTGCAGGGCTATTTGCAGAACGTCATTGCCATCAACAGATCCATCCCAGGCCCTACCATCGAAGCTGATTGGGGAGACAAAGTGGTCGTCCATGTGACCAATATGCTCGAGGCAAATGGGACTAGCATTCACTGGCATGGAATTCGACAAAAAAACAATAACCTGATGGATGGCACCCCTGGTGTCACCCAGTGTCCCATCGTGAGTCCTTCGCCTTTATACCAACCCTTCTCCAACACGCCGAACTAGTTCGAATGATTCTCACTACGGGTACAGCCACCAGGGAAGACTTTCACATATGAATGGAGAGCAGAGCAATATGGGACGGTGAGCGCCAAGCACAATCTCCCTTTGACGAGCGACGGGACTCATAGGCATCTGTCCAGACTTGGTACCATTCTCATTTCAGCATGCAGTACTCTGTCGGGTTACAAGGACCCATCATCATCCATGGGCCCGCGACTGCCAATTACGAGGAAGACCTGGGTACTGTCATCCTCCAGGACTGGTCCCATGTGTCCCCATTTACCATGTGGTGGTATGCGCGGCTTCCCACCGGCCCGCCATCCCTGGCCAGTGCTTTAATCAACGGGAAAAATGTATTTGACTGTACAGGGTCCAAAGATCCAAACTGTCTTGGGAATGGGACACGATCAGAGTGGCATTTCGAGCAGGGTAAAACATACCGGATCCGGATCATCAACACGGGCTTGTACTCTAATTTCCGATTCGCGATCGATGGGCATAATCTCACCGTCATTGCCAACGATTTGGTCCCGATCATTCCCTACGTGACTGACAATGCATGTGTCCACTGCGTCCTATTCTTTCAGGTATTTTGCACTAACTCGGTCCCCTTCCGCTGGCTAGGTTGTGATATCGATGGGTCAGCGATATGACATCGTTGTCCAGGCCACTGCACCGCCCGGCAATTATTGGCTTCGGGCAATCTGGCAAACTTCATGCTGCCCGAATGACTATGCCAATAACACGCTGGGGATCATACGGTACGACAATACGTCGGCCATTCTTCCGACGACATCGAACCCCGCCCTTTACTATCTAGACAATTGCGGCGACGAGCCTCTCGAGAGACTCGTCCCTCATCTACCGCTAAATGTCGGCCCTCCCGCGAGGACCGATGTTTTCAACCTATACGAAGTCACCTTGCCACTTCCTAAGGGATTCCTTTGGACGCTCAACAACACATACTTGTGGACAAACTATTCGCAGCCGACAAACCGGATGCTGGCGGAGCACAACAGCAGTTTCCCGGCCGAATATCATGTCTACCGAACTCCCGACACTCCCGACAGCTGGGTGTATCTCGTCTTCAATGACATCTCCGGGCGCAACCGTTCGCACCCAATGCACCTGCATGGACACGACTTTTTCGTGCTCGCCACGGGGAATGGCAGCTTTATTCCAGGGCAATCAATTCTTCAGCGGACGAACCCGCCGCGGCGAGACACCGCGACATGGGCGAAACGCGGGTATCTTGTCCTAGCGTTCAAGACAGACAATCCGGGTTCATGGCTTATGCATTGCCATATTGTCTGGCACTCAAGTCAGTCGCTCGGCCTCCAAATGCTCGAGCGGCCGGGCGATCTCGCGTTAAAGCGAGATGAATTCGATGCGATGGAGAGCATGTGCAATGCCTGGGATGCATACTGGAACCGAGGTGGAAATTACGTGCAAGAAGACGCCGGAATTTGAGATGGGGGCTTAGAATTGTTTTGACGGCAGCTGGGACTCATGCTTCAAGCTTCCTATCCACCGCTCGTAGGTGATTCCCAATGGTGAAAAATTTCAGTATAATAAGGAATAATTAGTATAGTGAAATAATTATGTATCCTTACCGCCTATGGCAGAATACTGGCGTGTGGAACCAGGGACGGAACCCTGATTACACGACCGTACGGTCCGGATCGGAGGGTATATATTGTAGTGGGGAACTCCCTGTTACCTGTTATTACGGGTTCTTGCGGGTAGAGTTTTTCCGAGGGTTTTTCCGGTTTAGGCCGTGACCAATAGTTTTCAGTACGTGGGCAGGTAGGCCCAGGATAGGATAACTAGCATCTAGTAGATAGCATGGAATAACACACTCCTACACCTCTCTCAACGGACCATGTGGTTCTCTCGTACGTCCTGCGGTGGCTTGTGTGGTTGTTCTGTGCGCTGAATCGACCCGCACATCTTCGAGTGTGCTGCCAACGAGTGTTCCCCTCTTCAATATGTAGTTAGGACATCGCCTGATCCCCCTTGAATAATATATCCAGTTCTACAAAGATCGTATCTAGTATGTAGCATATCCGACTAATACCATCTTTTATGGTCATATTTAGACCTATATAAATTGGTTCCCATAGGAATTGATTCCGCACCAAATCCTAAATAACTAGTAGAGGAGGATCGCAGGAGAACTCTCATAAGTTCTCCAGCGATTATATTACAATTAAATCAACGGTAGCGTACCCAGTACACTACGTTTCCGTCGTCACTCTTATCCTTATCCTTCCTAGGACTTCAGTCCTAACATTCTCCCTTCCATTCATCGGGCCAGGCGATACTTCCAGACTATCGAGCTAAGCTGAGTTGCAGAAAACATATCTCTTATTTGACCAATGGTGGACGTTGTGATAGAAAGAGTTGGTAGATGGCCTGATGAGAAATTGTTGAACTCATTGGGGGGGGGAAGGAAGGTGATAAAGGAATTAGGAACAACGAATATACCACATTGGCTTTGCATTATTCACTCTCCAGGGCTATTGAAATAGATCTTCACTCTTGAATTTGAAGTAGCTCTTTCATCTTTACATGTTTAATTTCCTTTCGATGCGTAAGGTAATGCGTCGAGCTGGTGGGAGATTCGTAATTTATATTGATTGTCAAACGATGGATAGAATTATAATTTTCGTTGGTTCGGCTGAAAGGAATAACTAAGAGACCTTCAACTCGTGAATCTAGCACTCGGACTCATTTTTTCTACTCTGCATCATTCCAAGGTTATCGACTCATTTGTGTTGATGGTTAGATGTCAACTTCCCGCAGATCGGCGCTGCGGGCTCTCACTGTGTGGAGAGCCGAAGGTGGAATCTTCGAGATGATGGGGATCAACTTCGACATGAATGGGATATACTTGTTATGCAGCAGGAAACTTACGTAATTACAAGAGTTAACTAGCATAATACGCGAATTAATTTTCAATTCATTCAAACGTTTGTCGCATGCAAGATCAATGTCGGAACACGTAATCAGGGCGGTCAATCAAGGTTCTATGGGTGTTCGATTCAATATGTGTCTGTCTGGTTGTTCTCCTATCTCTGTGCGCACACCTTATGTGCTGGCTTACTAATCTAGCTAGCTTACATCATCAAAATTATGCCGACAATCAAGAAGTGTCACGTGGTATATGTCACGGGACCTAGTGATATCATGTGATCGTGGCATCTCGATCTTCACGTCCTCACCTTTTCATCGAATTAGATCGTTTTCCGATCTTCACCATCGCCATATTGTTAGCGTGTGTTCACGCATCAAAATAATCTGAAAGACCCGAAAAGGTAATTTGGCATTGAATCCTCCCACTGTCATGCACTCATTCACTTTGGAGATTGAATTTTGGACATTCCCGCAAGTATCAAGCGTGGCCCCTTTTGGAATGGTTGCAGATGGATGTCCAGTCTGCTTTTGGTTTTGATGAATAGTCATTGGTCATTTGTCTTTGAATCTAACACATTCACGCAAACTGCCTGAAAGGCCATGGAAGACACTGTATTAATACTTTTCGACAGACTGCTCAGCAACTCCAACATTTCTTTCAAGTGTCTTTTCCATTATTTTACGGTTCTAATTTTATCTCAATCACTCCGCTATGAATGCGCCGGATCGGTGAGTGTATCTTACAGAGTTTTTCCTTTTTCGTTGGCTTCAACATAATCATGTTTGCTCTTGCGAATTCGTCTGATCAATACCTTGTTCATGTTATGACGGGTATGGAGCCCGTCAGGTTGAAGGGAAAGCGCTCAAAATTTGCTCACTTTGTTTCGTTTGGTCTTTTGGATTCGAGCCTCTCGCGACCAAATATCGCAAGAGACTCAAATCCAGAAGATCAAGACTCCCTCTTGTCTGTTCATTTTCTCTCCATCGTCTGTTCCCATTCCCCTTGTTTTGTTTCCCAGTCTATTTTGCTTCGTGTTTCCCTGTTTTCACTGGAAAGATATTGTCATGAGTGATCTTCGGTCCCCCTCGCCCTCGGGCTACCGGGCCATCCCCTTCGACACGGCAACCAATGCCATTGCGAAGGCAGGTGGCCGTCTGCCTGTATCTCGCCACGAGACCCTTCGTGCTGTGGATGACCGCCCCGATGTGTCAGTATGATGGGGGAAGAAAACTACACTGTATCATGACATTTCATATTCATCCTGCAGGCGTTCATGCGTTGATGGCCGTGGAAGCATGACTGACTAACTTGAATGCAGTTACGAGGCGATCCTTCTTGGTCCCGGCGAGAAGAAGATCGACGTTGACGTCGACACTCGTAAGTAATGTGTTCCTCACTTTGCCGAAAAGCAGCAATATGGGGTTTCTGACATCTGTGTTCAGGCCTACCTTCTGCGGCCATATTTACCTTCCACAAGGAAGACCACACGCTTGGTAATTTGCTCCGCGTTCGTCTGCTCCGCCATCCCAATGTGGTTTTCTCCGCTTACCGGGTATGTGAACTCTATCTTCTTGATATGATGAGTGGTACTAACTATATCTAGGTTCCCCACCCTTTGACTCCCAACTTTGAGTTGCGTGTGCAAACCGACGGCGAGATTACTCCCCGTGCTGCAGTCATTGCCACCTGCAATGTGCTTATCAAGGAGCTGGGTCAGCTGTCCCGCGAATTCACCAAGGAATACGAACTCCGCAAGATGGCGAATGCTGCCAACCAGCAGCAAGCTCACGAGTAGAGAGTCGTGAGCTGTTGGAAAAAAAAAAAAAAAAAGACATATGGCTATCCATTTGTGCCGAAGTTTACATCCAACCCTCTTCTCTTTTCTCTTTTGCTTTGGTTTCGGCGTACGGAGCAATGCTGGGATTTCTTTCTCTCTGATGCTCGCCTTTCTGTCATCTTGACCCTGATCTACTGATCCGTTGGTCTGGTGGTTTTGTGTTCCACCTTTGATTTTTTTTTTTTTTGCGGGCCCATAGTTCTTGCGAGCACTCATTATCCTTACGATTTGCATTTCGAAACGCCTCATGTATCTAAGATGCCTCCAGTGCAATAGCTAATTGTGTTGCCTACCTCACGTCGTGACCACGAGTAGCTACATAAACCGGTTAAATTCCCCGGAGATTAACGGAAAAAAGATAATAATAGTTAACTAAGTTAGCTCACGGGGAATCCATGACTAATCACCTAAACAGGCTAGCGTGCCTCCGCGTCCCTGCGACAGCGTCATTTACCTTGCTCCTGATCTGCCCCCTCTCTACATTTGTGTTCTTTTTCTCATCAATCTCTGTGGCTCTTCTGCATCTGCTTTTGTCCATGCGAGCGCTGTGTTTATAATGTACTCATCGTCGAATACCTTCCTCGGCGGTGGTGCCAGTGGCCGTCCAGGCCAGGCACCATTCATGCAACAGCAGCAGCAGCCCCAATACTCGCAATTCCCTCAAGGTCAACAGCAGCCACCAATGCAGCAACCCCAGCCAACAGGGTTCATGGCTCCCCAGCCAACCGGATTTGCTGGTCAGCCTTCGCCATTCGGTAGCTCGCAACTTCAACCTCAAGCTACCGGGTTCCCCGCGGGACAGCAGCTCCAGCCGCAGTTCACTGGCTTCCCTGGTCAGCAACTACAGCAACAGCAGCAGCAGCAGCAGCCGCAGCCAACTCAGCAACAGGGCCTCCAAGCTCAATATACCGCATTCCCTGTCCAGAATCAGCAGCAACCCCAGGCGCAACAGCAAGCGCCGCAATTGCAGGTCTCCCAGCCCACCGGACTCCCTGCGCGATACAAGACCTCGAGCGAGATGGCGAATTCCTTCCAAGATACCGGTGCTCCGCCTCCACAAGTCCCGCCGAAGAATGCATCAAAAATCCCAAGTATCCGGCTTTCGTTCATTACCGTTCAAGACCAAGCCAAATTCGAGCAGTTGTTCAAGTCGGCGGTCGGTGATAGCAAGACAATGGACGGCGAGAAAGTGAGAGACCTTTTGCTGCGATCCAAGCTTCCGGGCAGTGATCTGTCGAAGATCTGGGTCTTGTGTGATTCTACCAAGTCGGGCCAGCTGTTCTTCCCGGAATTTGCGTTGGCCATGTACCTGTGTAATCTGCGATTGACTGGCCGGGAAGTTCCCTCGGTGCTGCCTGAGACTGTGAAAAACGAGGTGTCCAGTATGGTTGACATTATCTCATTTGATGTCCCCGACACCCAGCCAGCGCCCGCTCCACGAACGAACGCACCCAATTTCGATGCCCCTCTGCTGGAGAACAAATCGACTCCACCGATCGTGCAGCAGCCTCAGCCTCAGCAGCCGAGCAATGCTGCTCTTCTCACACAACTGACGGCGCAGCCCACTGGATTCTTCCCTCAGCAGACCGGCATGCAGCAGCCCCAACAGACCGGCTTCCAGAACCAATCGCAGTTCCTTCAGCCACAACAGACTGGTTTCATGGCAAATCCTCAGGCCACCGGATACTCCGGTCCTCGGCCTCCAATGCCACCAATGCCCACTGGATTTGCATCCAACTTGAGCCCCGCGCAGACTGGTGGCTTGACCGCGCAACCTACTGGTTTGACCGCGCAGCCTACTGGTATTCCCGGACAGTGGGGCTTTATTAACACCCCAGCGCAGGGACTGCCTAATATTGAGGTCATGAAGCAGCAGCTCATGCCCCAACCCGGTCGTGAGGGTGGCTTCAACATGTCCAACCTCTCGGGTAATGCTACCGTGGCGTGGGCGATTACCAAGGAAGAAAAGAAGATCTACGACGACCTCTTCCGTGCCTGGGATGGCATGCACAAGGGCTTTATTGGCGGTGAAACAGCTATTGAGATCATGGGTCAAAGCGGATTAAACCGTAAGGATCTGGAGCGTATCTGGACACTCGCAGATCCTCACAACCGTGGTCGTTTGAATATGGATGAATTTGCCGTCGGAATGCATTTGATTTACCGTGCTTTGAATGGTTATCCTGTTCCTAGCCGTTTGCCTCCGGAGCTTGTCCCTCCTTCTACGAGACATTTGAATGATTCTATTGGTACTATGAAATCGCTCTTGTCCCAAGATGCGGAGAATCGGAAGACCACTGGGGCCTTTTTGCAGCCGCAGAAAACTGGTGTTAGCTACCTCAAGGACCACTCTTTCCGTGGCGGCGGTGGCGGACAGCCTGGCGCTACCCGCAAGGATGCGACAATGTTCAAGAACAACGACTCCGCGGGCGGCTACCGTTCAAGCGCGCGTCGCCGTGTTGGTAATGATGCCCGTACGCCTTCGCCTGCTGCCTCTCAAACGTCTGAAGGAGAAGAGCTCTCCGTGGAACAGTTGCGGAAGAAGATTCGTGAGACCAATGTGATGTTGGAGGCTGTTGATTTCCAGGACGAGAACAAGGCCGAGGACGACGAGGTTCTCGACCGTCGAGATCGTCGTGAGGCGGAGTCTCTCATGGACCGGATTCGGCGCGTACAGGACGACATTGATACCCATCCTCATGCCTCATTCCGTAATTTGGACAGTGGAGCGGAGCGCAGAGCCCTCCGTCGCCAATTGCAAGCATCTGAAGATCAGGTTCCACAGACTGCCTCTGAGGTCCGCCGTGTTGAGCGAGAGATTGCCGAGGCAAAATTGGAGCTATTCCGCCTCAAGGAAGCGAAGGCTAACCCGAATGGTGCTTCCAATATTGTGGGTACTGGTCCCGGTGGTGCCGTGACCGAGTCAGACCGCATCAAGGCTCGTGCTCGTGCACGTATGCAAGCCCGTGCTGCCGAACTGGCGGGACGCCCTGCTCCCACGACAGAGGAGGACGACGGCGAGTCTGCTCGCCGAATGGAATCCGAGAGGGCTGATGCCAACGCTGAAAGAGAGCGCAACAGCACCATGACCCGCGATGTCGAAGAAAGTGTCCGCGATTTCGCTCGCAGCCTGGAAGACAGCCTCCGCGACGAAGGAGAAAACTCTACCCGCTCGCACGAAAGACGTCGCTGGGAGGATGCCTTGGGCGTTGAAGACATTATCCGTGACTTTATCTATGATCTTGGCCGTAACAGCCGGACTGCCCACGTTCGCAAGGAAGAGTATGATAACCCCCCGTATCTTTGAAGTCAAGAATTAAGCTTACGTTTTATTACAGTCGAGAGAGATCTTCTCAGGAGCAACGTTCGAAGTATTCTTCGCCCGAGGCCGACTCGACTGCCTCCCGTCCTTCCATGCCAGCATCTTCAGCCTCGTCGGGCTCCATCCCTGGGAACACGCACGAGGATCGTGTGGCTTCCGCCAGGGAGCGAGCTCAGAAGCGCATTGCCGAGCGCATGGCCGCTGCTGGTCTGAAGCCTGCCATTGCTACTGAGACTCTTCAGCAACGTCAGGAAAGAGAGAAAAGGGAGCGCGAGGAGCGTGTCAAGCGTGCCGAAGAAGAGGATGCTCAGCGGGAGCAAGAGAGACAGCGCCGTCTGGCTGAGGAACGTGGTGGCCCTGCTCCGAGCAGTGCTGCTGCTCCCAAGGCCGCTGGCAAGAAGCCCCCACCTGCGCCTCCCACTCGCAGAGCACGAACTGACAGCGCTGGTCAGGCCGATGCCAAGAAGGCTGAAGAAGCTGGCAAGGCCGAGCACGCTGCCCGCGAGCAAGCGATCAAGGAGGAGCAAGAGGCTCAGGAGCTTGAGACCCAACGTCTAGAGGATGAGTCGAAGAAGCGTGAAGCCGAATTTCTGAAAGAGAAGGAGGCCCAAGAAGCTCGACTGCGTGCTCTCGAGGAACAAGTTCGACAGGGCAAGGTCAAGAAGCAGGAGGAAAAACGTCGCAAAGAGGAGGCCGCTCGACAGGCCAAGGATCAGGAGGCCAGACTCGCAGCCCAGCGCGCTGAGCTTGAGATGGCCAGAGAGCGTGAGCGTGAGCTGCAGCGTCAACTCGAGGAAAATGACGACAGCTCCTCGGACGACGAGGGCCCTCAGAGCATCACTCCCCAGTTCAGCACTCCTCCGCCTATTCCCACTGTCGCTGTTCCTGAGCCCGAGCCCATGTCACTAGAATCGGAGAAGGTTCCTAGTCCGGCAGCCAGCTCACCCGAAGCAACATTCCCTGCTGCTTCACCTGATGCTGAGTCGAAGAACCCTTACTTCAAGTCGCTTGGCCAAGCTGTTGAGCCCGAGGCAGTCACTTCGCCCGCCGCGCAGTCAACAAACCCCTTCCACCGTTTCACGCAGCAGCAGCAGCAGCAACCGCAAGAGAGCTCGAAGCCGACCTTTACAGGTGCCGCCCCTCTGGAGCGCAAGAGCCGCGCGCGTCCCGAAGATGATGATGACTGGTCTAACGCTGGCTCTGAAGCCGAATCTTCTGACGACGAGGATGACCGACCTGGTGGTGGCAGTGCTAAGCAGCTTGCTAGCATTTTGTTTGGCACCATGGCACCTCCTCGTCCTCTGAGCGCCATGGATGAAGATAAGGCTGCCACCCCCGTTCAGGCCAGCCCCGTCGCTCCTCCCCCTCCTCCACCTGCAGCTATGGATCCCGTGGAATCCCCTGATTCACCCGCCCCGCCAGCTGGTGCTCCTCCTCCGCCGCCACCGCCACCGCCTCCCCCTGGTGCCCCTATGGCTGCACCCCCTCCCCCTCCACCCCCCCTCGGGAGCTCCCGGTGCCCCACCTCCGCCTCCTCCTGCTGGCATTCCCCCGCCACCTGCTCCCCCCGCTCTTGGCGGCGGTGGTGGAGACCGTTCTGCTCTCCTTGCATCCATCCAAGCTGGTGCGGGTCTCCGCAAGGTGCAGACCAACGACCGCAGCACGAGTTCCTCAGCGGGCCGCGTGCTTTGAGACAGTCATATATTAGAGGTACATAGTGTACAGATTAGGAAGGGGTTTCTCATTGGCTAGGAAACAGTCCGCTGTGATTGTTCTCGAGAAGGAATTATGAACGCTAGCACATGAGAGGCGAAGACGATAGTAGTTAGTTCATGTTATTTACAAATATTCACTGGTATTTTGCTCTTATAATATCCTTTGCTTCTAGCCAACCTTAAACAACCCCACCACACAGGAACTAGCGTGTAAAATGATTATATAGAAAACTCAAGTGATAACCACCTAATGTAAAGTTTAGTATCATCACATAGCAGAGTTTTACTACCTGCAATTTTTGATTCTTCCTCCATCTACTACGTCAAGTTTCATCACATTCTCGGATCATAGAAGTTGAATAGCTTATCTGGAAAATAATACGCCTACAGATCAATTCAGCATTTCTACGGGATTCTATGATCTGTTCGATCCTGCAGGCGACTATCAGAGTTTTAAGGATATAAAGAGCATAAGTCATACATTGATTATCCTATACTCTTAGTTATAAACAAAACAGCTCTTAAGCAAAAGACATATTACGCCCTCCTTGTTTAATGCTTTCTGTGCAATCTCTCATCGCAACATATGCCTCTTCATTTTGCACGTAATTCCTAGTGGCAGCTTTAATACTACCCCACTTAGAAACTTCCTCCAGTCCAACATTGTCCAATCCTCGAACGACATTGAATCTGAACGCTCTTCTTGATTGGAAGAGATCTGTGTATTGCTTGCGAAACCGATCTGCCGTTTGCTCGGTCTCCATGGCAATGGCTTGCAGCGCCTTTGCGACCCCAGGAAGACTCGGTACAAAGGCAGTGAATCCAGTAATGCCTGTTCCGATAGAGACCAAACATTGAACATTGTCTTTGAGATCGCCGTTGTTCAAATGCCATGCGTCCCCGGCTTCTGTCCAAGTCTCTTGCACCGGGTTGTTCGCGCCAGTCTGACCATCGACAAATATTTCATCGCAAATTGTGATTGGTTCGAAAAGGTTCGTTGCTGCACACGTTGCCCTGGCTGCCTCCCATATTTTCGTCTCGTTTAACAGGTCGCCGCCTCGTCGGTCGTTGAAATAGCTCGATAGAACGACGGTTTGTGAAGTTGTTTCACTTGTAGCGCAAACGAAGCTAAGTGAAGCAAGGTCAACTCATCAGAAAGGGTATATACAATTGTGCGTGGGTACGCTGTTTGGGGGTAGATGGCCAAATCTGGACAATATCCTTCCACTGACAACTTACGTCTTACAGGCCGTTGCACTTGTATCCTTTAGAAGGCACTCCGAGTCCATGCCATGGTCGGCCAGCATGATTTTGATTGCATGTTCAAATGCCCTGTGGTCGAACTGAAAGGTATCGCTGTCGCTACGAACTTGGGTAAAGACATGCAATAGCTTCCTGTAAGCCGCCTCGCACTCACGGATAGTCATTCGCATGCGCCCAAGCATAATCGCAATCAACCCTCCAGTCGACGTTCCACCGATCAACTCGAAATATTCACAAGGCGCAGGTGGGTTATACTGGTCTATTCTCTCCATAAGATTCTTGATAATCAGGATGATTGAGAGGCCACGGACGCCTCCTCCATCCAAAGACAACAGACGAAGCCCCTTTCCAGACGAAGAGCCACCGGTTCCGGACAAAGTCGACTGCTTATGTCCTTCAGAGGTATAGTTGATAGATCCATTATTGACCCCAATCTGAAACCCTGAATTGTTACCTCCGAATGTATAATTATTGCTCATGATTCAAGGCTGCGCGGATGTCTTGATACGCAAATTCGACGGGAGTTCTTCTAGGTGGGAAATTCAGCCTCAACTTGAGATTATGCCCTCAAAACCCCTCATTGGGGGCTTAGGTGGGGGCGGCCATGCAACCCATCTTAGTGCAGGTGAACTGCGTGCTTCGTCGCAATTCCAAGCGCCCGTCTCCTTGAGATCTCGCTACTACTGGTTCATCTCGAAAAACCAAAGCCGATCATCTCCGCATTTGTAATATATGGATGCACGTACTTTTGTTGGGCGAGGAAATTACAGCTTTTTTGCCGACGGCAGTGGTTGTACTCCCTACCAGGATTTCTTTTGGAGCCACTTCAACTGGCCCATCGCCCTCCTCACCCCATTTTGGATTCTGTGGCTCTTTAAAAAGTCTACATAATATTCCGAAGGGTGCTTTGTCAGGATGTAGGTGGAGCCGGCCGCCCAACAACTGAAGCTACTGAAATGGATGCCAATGACGTTTAAAATTACTGTAGTGATATATCGGCAGAAAGGAGTAATTCTGCAAAAATGAATCTCTTTGCGGGAATCTAGGGAGTTAAAGGATTCTTAGTAAGAAAAAAGTAGAAGTTGTGACCAAGTAAAGCATTACGGACGCGATGCGTCTAGCCAAGTTCAGGAATTGACTATACCCATCCCCGTGCCATACGGCGTCCGCTTAACCTTCTTAAAAGGTTTAAATGTTAGATTTTATCGAACTGCATACAGGCCACGAGAATGAAATTTGAAAATGAAAACAAAGTTACTAATACCTATGCATGTTTCTTTCGCTGCCGTCAGACCAGTTAACGCTCTTTTGCCTTTCTACTCTCTTCTCGCAATAATTTGAAGTGAGACTAAGTCTTAACATACTTATATTATCAATATTTCAACCGCCAAAGTTAATCTAATACGCTTAGCACTAGGTACCGTCTTTCACATTCTATACACTTATTGCTCGGAGAGAGGCTGGATTTCGTTTCACTATTTTCGAAAAGATAGTTCAAGTTCCGTCTCCAAATGGTGATCCGATAAATTTCGCTATATATTACCTGGTCAGCTACAAAACAAATTGGTTACATACTACCCATATCTATATTAGCGGGTCATATGATTAGGGGTTGAAACAGCTTCTCTGTATTCGACATGAAAGGCGAAAGCGGTCGCTACTGTACGTCAAGCTAACATGCAAACCGCTATTAGGATTTAGAGTTATCACCGACTCAGACCATGCACTATATGAATCTATATCACTTTGTCCAAGCATAATACTCAATCTATAAGCCCACCCCAACCTCCAGATACAACATAAACAACTCACTCCTGCATGGGTATAAAACCGCTCAGTAATCTAAAAGACACACCATGTAACATCACTACTATGCAGCAGTCTCCTCATGAGCACTAAAGTGTTCAATCTTCTCCGGACTAATAGTCAACGGCATCTGCTTCCGCTCGATAAACTTATGCGTCTGTGTGCCCGGCACTATCCACGGCTCATTCCTGAATAAAGTGTTCATATCCTCCAGAGGCAACTTGGTAGTCTCAGGGAGCACAAGCCAGAAAAAGATAGCGTTCGTAAAGTTGAAGACGCAGAAGATGACATAAAAGCCCCAACCGCCGATGTTGGCAATGGCAGGGGCCGTAATCTGGCCGATCATCGTGTTGAAGGCGAAGGAGACCATGGTGGCGATGGAGACACCCTTAGATCGGGTCTTTGTATCGAAGATCTCGGCGCAGATGATCCAGGTGAGGGGTCCAATTGTCGCGCTGTAGGAGAAGTTGTAGCACCAGGTCATGACAATGAATGCCCAGCCCGCGGAGGTGTTGTTTGATGTGCCCGGGGGGAACTTGGCGATCAAGATCGTGGGGATGACCTGAGTAAGTTAGCATTGGAGAATTGGAAGGTGAACGACAGAAGAAAAAGAACATACAAAGAAGAGACAGTTGCCCAGATTGCCAATAATCTGCGGCCATCGTCGGCCAGTCTTATCAATGAACAGCATGCAAAGGAACTGTGCAATAATAGCAATAATAGAACTGATACCCTGGTACTTGAGCGTATCGTTGGTAGCAATACCCATCTGCTTGAAAATCGTAGGACTGAAGTACTGAATGGCGCTGACGCCAGTCATCTGCGCTGCAGCCTGAATACTACAAGCCAAGAAGAGACGTCGGAAGCACGAGCGATCCGTGAAAAGTTCCGTATAGGATTTGGCCTCGGCTTCATGCTCATGGGCGATGGAGTTGCAAATCTGGTCGTACTCCGTCTGGACCCAGGCGTCATTGATGTCGCCACGAGAGTGCAGTCGGGCTAAGGTCTGCAGACCTTCATCCAGACGACCATGATCGATCAGCCAACGGGGGGACTCGGGGAATAGCAGGATCAATGCGGCGAGGAAGACGGCTGGGACCATCTGGATACCCAGGGAGATACGCCATTGGCGTGAATCTGTGGGGCCAAAGTTGATATAAGTACCCCAGGAGATCCAGGAGGCGACTAGGGAGCCCACTCCTAGCATAAGTTGCTGGAGGGAGGTGACACGACCACGGATGTCTGGGTGTGCTAGTTCGGCTTGGTAGATGGGCACAATCATGACCAGGATACCAACTCTATTGTCATGACAATGATTAGTCTGGATGGAAGTGACATTGAAGGAAGTCATAACTCACCCGAGACCGGCAACTGCTCGTCCGGCATATAGATAGGCGATTTTCTGTGCGCCAGTTTGAAGACCACTGCTTCTGTTAGCATGGGAAGACATGGGTAAGAGTCTAGATTACGCACCCTCCCAGCAAGAAGATAATAGAACCAACAAGAATGGTATATTTACGACCTGTGTAATCACCCAGAGGACCGGCGAAGATGGCACCAAAGAAAGCACCACCTGTGAAGACAGCTGTGATAGCTCCACTCTGGGTGGAATCGATATTGAATTCGCTCACTAGCGAAGGACTGGCAATAGCCTCGGCAATGACACCAAGATCGTATCCATATAGCACAGATCCCAATGAAGCAAACACACAGACCAGAAACTAGCGGATAGTTAGTTGTTGCATACGAGTTTAAGAATGAGAATTGAGGACATACCTGGTACCACTTAGGAGGGAGCGCCATGGTGAGTGGCTGTCAGCGCAGGATCTCTGACTACAGAGATGCAACAAAAAGGAATCTACCTTCTATATGTATTATTAGCATATCTTTCTCATTGACACCTCCAATCCAGGCCTTAGGGTGCGGGTGCCGGGTGCCGTCGATGCCGCGCTCCTATTGGAGGAAATATGGCCGGGGAAGGTTGGGGTTGACTCTTCCCCCGCAGGAATTTTTCCGGTTACTGTTTAGAATACTTGCTTCTCCGGATCTCCCCATATTCGGGCAGCTTTGATGCAGGGCTCTAGTTTGGTGACAGCGGTAGTTATTGGAAGGATGGCCTCGCATGATATGTCCGGGGCCGAGGATTGCGTATGCTCATCGTACTTGGGCCCTTTGAAAGACTTCGGTTCAGTTTTTAGTGTTATCAGTTTCTGGCGTTATCAAAGTCTAAATGAGGGCTTCCCGGCAAACTTTGGTGCCGTTTGCTTGTTAACGGCAGGGCGTTGTGTTTTGGGCAGGCCAAGGCAAGCCTCTAGATCCCGGCACGCAAAGCCGGAACTTTGTTAGAGGGAATGGCGTGTTGTCGCGAAAATGAGATAAGCGGCCCATATGGGCTAGTCTCTCGCTTACTCTGGACGGAGAAGGCAGTTGGATCTGTCACTTCGACCGAGGCTTCTTCTCCTTTTTGCCGGGGTCCATGTCTCCCTTCAGGACCCATGTTTACGGCGCTAGTTATTGTACTAAAACCCAGGAGTAATTGATTATCTCCACCGGAACGTGATGAAGTTCATGTATTTGGTTCTAGCTCCGTATTAGAATTAGCGCATAACGCATTCACAGGTTCAAATTGCCTTGTGGGTTCCCATCCAATTACGCCACCTGAGTCTCATATACTTCTCAGATTATCCAGTACCAGGCACAAAACCCTCCTCCCCCCAAAGAAATAAACAAAGACCTAGAAATGAGGAATGAACGTGGTCCAAGTCACGTTGTAGTAAGCCGCCAAAGGTAGTGAGTAGAATGAAATGATCCCGACAACAAGCAACCCAATTCGAATCAACATGTAACAAACCACCAGAATCACCCAAGCCCACTCGAGAAAGACGTCGGGTAGACATTGATCAAACCAGATCAACAAGTTAGCAATTAGCGGCAATCCAACTCCTCCCCACGCGCATACCATCCAAGCAATCCACATACCACTATTGAACAAATTCTCATGCACCCACATGTGAGCCCCATTATAGAAGCCGGCCAGAAGACTGAGACCAAACCACAACCCTGTCACCCACGATTTCATCTTGAGTTTATCACTCATAAAAGCCGAAATCAGAGGACCGAAAGGAATCCGCTGGATAGCAAGCGTCTCCCCAACGTCCTTCTTGTACCAGTCCTTGTATATGGTCTCGATCTTCTCAATCTGCTCAGCCCCGATCTTTTCCTCCGAAACAAGCATGATCGGCACAGAAACATCCTTCGGCTTTGACCACTCAAATATATACGTCCACAGACTGATGATAGTGAAAAGCGCGGCATTGACCTCAAGCGCCATGATGGGAAGATTCTCCCGATACCGCGCAATACACTGTACAACCGTCCAAAGACCCTGCAACACAGCAAATGAGCGCGCAAAAACATCCGTCTTGCTTCGATCTTTGATATCCTCCTTCTTAGTCTCCGGAATTGTCACCGGGCCTTCCGTCACGAGGAGTCTCAGCGACTCCGCATTCAACGGAAAGTCATGCAGATCAGGTGTCCGCAACACAAAGCCACCCATATTGGCAAAGAACCCATGCGTCGTCGTCCAATTGTGTCCACCCGCAAGCATTCGCATCTCTTTACGAGACTTTCTCGCGAGACCGAACTCGATAAGTGCGATCGAGGCCAGGAGCTCTGGGAAGATGATCGTGAGGACCATCCATTTCACCTTGCGTGTGAACTTTTGCACGGCTGTTTCCTGGAGGCCTGGCAAGTTGAGTTGGAGGATGGACCAGGCACAGGCGAAGAAGGTTGCTAGACAGCTGAATAGGATGCTGAATGAGTTTCGAAGTGGGGAGGAGGATACCCAGCCGACGCGGGGAGAGTTTGAGTCGCAAACTATATTAGGGGTGCAGTACGAGGACGTAGTGTCATCTGTGGTCGATACGAGTGTCGCGAAGCCAACGAAAGCGACAGCATAGTAAAGGATGGCCTTCATTTTATCTTCTGATGTTGAGCATACGTACGGTAGCAAGCAGGTAAAGATCAAAACCATGAGCCTAGAGTGATTATCTATCTTATAGACTCTTCGTATAAGTCCATTTTTTTGTCGTTTTTACCCGGGTTGGGTTCGCAGGGTGCGTTCCATGTGGCCGGCGCCACAAAAGGCTAAGGGGTAAAAAGTGACATGTAGTCTTAGCCAGTAAAGCTATAGAAACCGTGTAGATTGTTTCAGGATTGTGTCGAGATGGTAGATGAGCTTTGACTTGACGGATTGATAGACAGCATCAAGGTACATCACCGGCTGACGGTTAGGTGATGAGCGAAACTAGTCAGTATTCCGAGTATCTGTCCCTATAGTGACTTCTGTTTATAGTTTGCGATCGTGAGCTGCGAAGCTAGTGGCTGCAGATACGAGTTCTGGCCCCTCATATAGATGGCACACACGGGCGCTTTCGCCATGTCAGAATAGCCGAGAGCTAATAGGTTGATTTGTGTTGGAAGAGCCTCATGCGCTTCCCGAATAGCTCATACCCACCGAGGGCTTTCTTCAACGGTCATAATTACCGACATTCAACTTCATGTACATATCAGCGATGGACTTTCGATTCAAATGTTTAAATACATTCAATGAGATCTCAAAATATATCAAACTCCATAATTTCACAAATGCAATGCCGGAGACCTTAGGATACAACCTCTGCAATCACGTTTCCCAAGGTACTCAAACACCATACGGCGATTAGACCCCATCCAATCTTGCGATCCATTCTCCAACCATTCAAAGGGACGACAATCAAAAGCCCAACCAGAACCATCAAAAGAGTAGCGCCACTGATGACCAGCACCTTGGATATGGCAATCTCATAAGAAACCGATTCTGAAGAGACGGTCCTACCAAGGATCTCGTCATGTCGTCGTGTGTTACCCCCGTTGAGTGTCATGTATAGGCCTCCAAGGCCAATGCCAAGCAAGATGTTAAGCATTGGCCCGCCAAAGCACGCACTGAGAGCCATGACAGGGTATCCAAGGCGGGCAACGGTAATATCTGCGACAAGATCGCCGAGAGAGTTGCCCACGGCGAAGACAGTCAAGCCTAGCAGTGAGTCTGAGATATCAAGAATGACACCGAGAGTTTTCAGCAAAGACACCACCTCAGTGGCAATTGTTGCGATCCAGGAAATGGCAACCAAGAATCCAAGTAGGGAGAGGAAGGGTCTCCATGAGGACGGAAGGGACGGTGGTGGAATGACCTCAAGCGATCCATGGCGTTGATCATTGGATGCATCTGTGTAGGCTTGTCGGTGCCAAGGACGACGTCGGGTGGTGGTTAACAGAAGCGAGAGAAAGATGAAAGAGAAAAGAAGGGAAACCAGAGAAGGAAGAATCAGGTTTCGGGGATTGAGGTCTTCATCCAAAGTTGACCATGCAATTAGGACAAAGAAGAAGGGGCCAGTGAAAAGCTGCACGATAACAAGCCAACGATTCCAATCCCTGGCTGGTACAGATGGCTCAGACATAACGGGTGGTGCGGGCGGGAGCTCCGAGTCCCAACGCGGACGAGTCGTCTGGTCCTGAATGGTCGACTTGCGATGGGAATGCGACACTGATAGGTGGGACGTGGAATCCTGGCGGCCTAGCAAGATAGGCGAAAGTACAGGACTATCGGCCGGCAGTCTGACTCTCGGACCAGAATTGTCATTGTCGTTGACTTCATCAACGACTACAGCGGGTACTAAGTCGGGCTCCGAGATTTCGGGTGCATGAGGCTCAATGACTGGGACCGTGATGGTGAGAAGAAATACACTAGGCGCAGCAACGATACCCAGAAATCGCTCCATGATACCCTTCGACTTCCATCCTGCCAATGTTGGAAAAAGCGTGCAACCAATATGCGAGGGAGTGGGGAGGACTGAGTAAGGCCAAAACCGCTTCAAAGGATTCCGGAATGAGCCATTGTTATCATTTTCCATGTCACCAATGCTGTCATGAACCAAGAAAGGCTCTGATGGACTAGCTGGGTAGGGGAGTCGAATGCTAGGTGGGCGGGACGATGGATGAGATGTTACATCAACAAACGCGGGGAACGGTGCGGAGGGGCTCTCAGGTATAGGTCCGGTTCGAAGACTGGAGCCTCCTCGTGGTGATACCGGAGCAGGGGATCGGTCGTGCGTTGCGCCAGTGAGATAATTAGGGGACTGAAATGCCCCTGGAGGCGCCAATAGGTCTGGAGTGTGCGGAGTTGCTGCATCCACTGGGCTTCCATTTGTGGATGACACGGCGGAAGACGATGGCGATGCCGTCAATGCAGCGCCACTAGTGTCTATACGGGGTAGCTCGGGGATTGCCGAGTCACCGGCTTCATTGGAGGGCCGCCTCACTGTCACGCGTGGCGTGTCTTCTGCATGGCGGCCTAACAAACTGGTGTCAAGCTGTAAGCCATCGGCATCATTAGCCGACACAGCACGAACTCGTGAAGAGCCCGATGCACTTTGCGGCGAAAGGCGGTCGTTGGTAGTAGATGGTCTGCCGGCACGAGGATGTGATGCAATAGACCGGGTGTCAAAGGCTTGAGAATTATCACCGTCGTCCGAGTAGCTACTCAAGCTAATGGTTGGATTGATGTTCGTGCTTCTTGATTTCTGAAGCGAATGGAGCACAGACTGGAATTCTAGTGCACCAACAAGGCTGGGCCGAATGGGATTCATCGTGTTTCGTCGGGATCGGTTGGGCGGACGATACACATGCATATTATCGCTGATTTCAGCAAGATAGCGGTTGCGGGTCTCATCATCTTCGTCCTCTTGTTCTTTCCAAATAGGAACCCCTTCAGTCCGTTCCAAGAGGTCAAAGTCATCCGTCGATGCGCCTCGCAGAAGGCTTCGCGATTCCGAAGCAACTCCCGGATCATCATCTTCTATCGGCTCTTCAACATCCAACTCCTGGTTTTCTGGGATGTGGAAGTGGGTTCGTGCCGCGAGGTCTCTTTCGTACTTCCGGCGGCGCCGAACCAAATACCAGTGCCAGCTTACGACCATCAGGACATAAAACACATAAAGCCCCACCATTGCAGCCGATTCCCACACGTGCAATCGGCCATCAGCCAACAAAAACATGCTGAAAGTAACCGCAACCACGAAGTACCCTATATCTCGGACAAAACTCCGCCGTGCCACTTTAAAAGGTCGGACCAAAGCCATGGAACCAGCCACAACTGAAGTAATAAAACTGGCTGCCCCAATCAGCTCGCCAATTGCCAGGCTCCCGCTATTTGACCGCATGGCGGCGAATGTGGAGAAGACATCGGGACTGCCGTTGCCAAATGCGAGGAAGGTGACGCCGGTGAGACTTTCACTCAATCCTAGAATGCTCGCCAGTGTGCTCAGGTCGATACACAAGAAATCACTGGCTGCTATACCAATTGTACTAAATAGGAGCGATAGCCAAAGTATTAGGATTGTGAAAGCTAACGGTTTCGCATCTGCCAAAGTGCAGTAATAGAGCTGCAAGTAGGAGAGTAGGCCATCTTGGTGGTCGGGGCAGTTGGTACGAATATAAGCGCATTGATCCTTCACGTCACGAACTTGACGGCACTAAATAGAGTCGCACATTGATATTTAGCTTTCTTTACTGTCCCACGAGGGAAAAGTAACCCGTTGAGGGGATGCACTGTACCTCTGGTTCGTTTCCTCGCCTGGTCAGGAACACATTTGTAGTGATACGTCGTGGGGACTGTCCAATTACATTGCTGCGTACAGCCCAGCTCAGTGCCACAAGGACCACGAACACCAAGAGTGTAGTGTAAAACGGGCGGACGGAATACCGAGGCCTTTTGCGAACGGCAGGCCGCAGGATAAATGGAAGTTGGTTCATCATGGCATCGACAGTACCAGCATCGTGAGATGAAGAGGTATTAGAAATCCTCACGCGACTGTTCGTCCCGAGAATGCCCTTTGAGCTGATCACAAGACTTGATTCCCCTCCATAAAGTTGGCGTTGGCTTGACCTGCCAATGCGGTGAAGGCGGTGATGTCAGCCTAGGCGGAGCGAGCTGCAGAAGTGGGTCAAAGCTTTAGCCTCTGGGGTGCATTATAGGTAGAATATGCGTTGGCAGTGAATGAGATGAACAAGATGTCAGAAGGCAAATTGATCTGTCAGTAGGTCAAAAAACCCTGGAGAAACTGGAATTGGAACGGAACCTTGGAAGCTCAGCGTTTGGATGAGACAATCTAAGCATGTCTTGATGCCTGGTATTTCAGGAATATGTAGGTGGGTTGACATCATGTGATATTGTGCACTGTTGGCTACCCCCGAGTGCCGTATGTTTGTTGACTTCCCCATTTGTTTGTCGCCCCTCCTGCGCTGTGACAACCAGACATTATCTCGAACGTCGCGCCTGCTATCCCCAACCGGGGGCAACCGCAACCATGCCTCGTGTAGCAAACAAGGTTCATCGCCGTTCCAACGGCAACACCACCCCTCATAAGAACTCCCCCGTCAAGTATGCGCCTTCCTCAAGATGCGAGGGTGAGATCATCACTAACGCGAACAGCAGGATTCCCCTCAACGATGATATGGTCGAGAAAGCGGCCCGCATCGGGGCACGCCAGGCGCAGTATGATCGTCAGATGAGCCAGATTAAAGCTGCTGTCAAAACCCCGATGCCTCCGCGGCGATACACAACACATGACCGCGATGGAAGCGAAAGTCCAGGAACCCCGCGCGGATCGAGCCACCGCGGTCGCGGAAGCGATGTGAATGGCCGCGGTGTTACCCCCATGAAGCGTGTGCCCATTCTGGCCAATTTCGAAGAGTGGATGAAGATGGCGACCGATAACAAGATCAATGCGAACAACTCCTGGAACTTCGCTCTTATCGATTATTTCCACGACATGTCTCTCTTGAAGGAGGGAGACGGTGTGAATTTCCAAAAGGCTAGTTGCACCCTCGATGGGTGTGTTAAGATTTACACAAGTCGAGTGGACAGTGTCGCAACGGAAACTGGACGGCTGCTGAGTGGCTTGGCCGATAGCCGTGATAAGAGAGGGCGTGATAATGATGCCGAAGGCGAAGAGGGTGACGACGATGAGGAGGGTGAGGATGGGGCGCCGCGCAAATCGCGCAAGAAGGTATGTTGATTACCATCGCTCGTAAATACATCAATCTTGTGCTAACCATTTCGGATAACAAAAGACACGATCTCACGAGGCTACATTGGCTCCGTCATTTTCATCATTACAACTGAAGAAGTTTGAGCTAGAATTTGCCGTGGATCCGCTCTTCAAGAAGGCGTCTGCCGACTTCGATGAAGGAGGCGCAAAGGGCCTGTTGCTCAACCACCTGGCCATCGATAGTTTCGGACGAATTGTTTTCGACAGCAGCGACGATGCTGTGGATGAATCCTCAAAGACGGCAGAGGGAGAGGACGACGGACAGAACTCTACCGACCCAGAATCACAAGCCGATGATCAAACGAAGCCCGCCCCTCAGACCGCAAGCGACACATTCGAGGACGACCCCGATATTGATCTTGGTACGCTGGCAAGCCAATTTTTCCCAGATCTGGATCGTCTCGGGGAGCAGGATATCTGTCCTTCCCTCAAAAACCTTGACTTGGGAGACCCAGCTGGAACACTGGATATCCCACTTCTCAAGGCACCCGAGGATTGGCGGCATGATAAGAACAACGAAGGTGAGGGCGACGATCCTTCGGGCATCATGCTTGATGACGACAACGCTGTTGGCTTTGATGATGATGACGCCTCACTGGCTGGTTTCGACCTGACTGGTGACGCTGGCTTCGGTGACGGAGGAGAGGCGTGGGCAAGAGAGGCCGCTTTAGAACCGATGCTCAAGGTTCACCGATTAGAGGATGGCGATGGCGACGGCGATGAAGACATGGACCGTGAAGATGCTTATGCCGTTACTATGTCTCATCAGCCGAGCAAACAGGACCACGAGAACATTCTCAGTTACTTCGATAATGCACTCCAGAAGAACTGGGCCGGTCCAGAACACTGGAAGATTAAGAGGATCAAAGAGCACACGGCAGCCAGCACATCTGCCCCCAAGCCACGAAAAGAGAAGGAGCCTTTCGAGATTGACTTTGGAGCACCTTTGGATCATGCCATTGCCGAGTTGATCTATACTCCCGCCAGCTCCAACTCGGCTGTCTCACTACCAAAAACACAATGGAAAACAAAGGGACGAAACCTGCTCCCTGATGACAAGCACTTTAACTCACGCAATCTGCTTCGACTTTTCCTCAAGCCCAAGGCGCGCATGGGCTCGAAGAAGCTTTTGGGCAGGCGAGCAGCTCCCCGCCCGGAGCAAACTTCTGGAAATGGTGACATGGACGAGGCTTTCTGGGCGAATCACAAGGTGGAGGATACTGGCGATCAGGATGGTGTCGCTGGTGCCTATGATGCCAACTTCTTTGCTGATGACGATGGCCTTGCTTTCCCCAATGGCATGGACATGGACGATGAGGACGATAACATGCCATTTGCCGATGCTCGAGAGATGTTGTCTCCGCCGACTGACGGGCTCTCTGGCACATCAGCCGGAGACGGTAGCTCACAAACTGGCCTCACTGCACTACTGAATATGGTTGGAGCTACTCCTGGAAAGCCTGGTGGTGGGTATGGCTCTCAGCTGGTAACCCAGGGCGGCCGTCGTGCGCGCCCGGATTACGTCAATTATGCCCGTGTCGCTAAAAAGGTGGATGTGCGACGACTCAAGACCGAGATGTGGAAGGGAATGGGCGAGCGTCTGATTGCCACCACCGACTTTGGCGCTGCGTCGCAGCCCGAAGTTATGTCTAGTGAACCACCAGCCGAGCCCGAGAGTGAAGCTGACGCCCCCGAGCCGCCAACACCACAGACAAGTAGCCCTGACCGCAGGGACGACAGACTACGGTTCACCCAGATTATGAACTCTCTGAAGACCGTCTACCCCAACGAAACACTGCGTGACATCAGTACGTCCTATGGTTTCATTTGTCTTCTCCATCTGGCCAACGAGGAAGGCCTTGTATTGGAGAGCGATATGCAGAAAATAGCCGACGGAGCTTGTAGTCTGGAAGAGATCTTTGTCAGTCGAGATGTTAACGCCGTCCGCGATGAAGGGGGTGTCATGCTGTGAGGTGCTTTTCCTTGTACAGTTCCCGATTTGAACAGAATCGGAATGTGTGTAGTCATGATGGGCACGGATGGGATTGGTAGATTCTTGTGGAGTTTATCGGGTTTCTTTGTTTGCACAGTGGCGCTCTGATCAGGTTTTTTTGTTTTCTTATTTAATGCAAACATGACATCTTGCACTCAACATACCCCGTTGATATTTCTATGATGTAGATACCGACAGCCCCGAGGTCCAGGCTCGAAGTGTCGCATGATCGCAGTCATGGACGTTAGCAGCCATCTTCACCTGGGCTGGTGGTGAAGATATCTAAGTCTTCCAAACATTGATTGTTTTTTCTTCATCGCTCAATGCTAGGCGCATCAGTGTTTCAATATCTCCCTCGCGTCGCATTACATCTCAACTCCTCCATTCCCTACCCTTTCCTTTTCTATCTCTCTGGCCCCAATACCTTACACCCCACGCCCTTCATCTACCCATTTTACCGCATCCACCGACCTTCAGCGAGCCTTGCTCTCCCAAAAGCCGAAATGCAAACGCCCAGAGCCGGGACCCCCGGCGAAAGTTTGTATATAGTTGAGCATATGAATCTGATATTGGGTACGAATATGGCTGTTGTCGATGAGATTGATCGAACTCCGAAAGGCTTTCAGGTTGATAACAATAGTCTCGTGGCTGATCATTCGCCCATCGAAATTCTCATCTACCTCAGTATCGATAGCTGGGAGGATATATTGCAACCGGTTTATGCTTTCAAAGAACAATTTACTCCAGGCGGACTTGATGCGTGTTGGTCACAGTGGAGAATCGATATAACAGCCAGACATTTTACGTTGGCTGCACAAGTTGAAAGTCCCCCCGGAAATACTCCTCGCCAGTAGGGCGGTCTTTTGGGCCATGATTCAGCGAGGACGAGTTGCGCTTTGCACTTGAGCTGATACCAGCCGGGATGAGAAAGCGGAAAAGGTTATTGCGGACTATGACATCTGCCTAGTCAGAGTAGTAGATTGTATGTAGGTTGTATGCTGTGACTGAAGGATATGATCTACATTTCTAATGTTGTAGCTCCACACTCTCTGTTTAATTCCCAATATCACACCCTTAAGATTCGCCCAGAGTTTCTATGTCGATCTCCTTCTCCGCAGTTGCTTTAGTAAAAGAGTCTACAGTTACTGCTTTGGGTGCCTCAATGCGAGCTAGACTTACCATTGGCCAAATTTCAGTGATTGCTGCACATGTGTGCAGGGTCAGCTCTCAACCACCAATCATGCCGTATTGTAGTACGCAAAACAGAGTCTGCGGGCTGTGCAGTTCGTAATATGCATCTTGAGATATAGATGACTTACGCACACAAAAATACCCGGATAAGGGCCAAAGCTCCACACTCCATATATATATCTTGCCCTTCGCAGCTCAAGAATGAACAGTCTTTTAAACCAGGGCCGTCCTCTTCAACATCCCACATCATCGACCTCCTGAGCTTCAGCGAACTTTGCTCATAAGTCAACATGGATTTACACACATTAATACGGGCAATCACAGAACACCCATGTAGTGCCAAGCCTCAAAGCCGAGAGCTAATAGCTTACTTTCAAGTCTTCGATCTCCAAGGTCGCCTGTACATCGAAACATTGCTTCATTCACCAAAAGAAGCTGCGGCCGAGGTGATAATGATGGCCGAAATTGTGGCTCTGAAGTCTCTAGCGTCCTGGCAAGGTCAGAAATCATTGTGTCAAACAACGGACTATCGCCCGGACGCATACATATCTGTGGTCAACCGACTCGAGTCCCGCAGGATTCTGCTGCAGTTTGCAAAGGCATGTATGGAATCGCCTGGTACAGGAGGCATCCTCGGCGAGCGTTTATGTATGGTCGGCAGCGATGCGATGGAGATTATTGATCAGGGTGTGGAATCTTTTCAGCAAGATGTCCATGACCTCACGACCGACCATTCGGTTATCGACAGTTATATCGACGGGGCGATCAAAGGCTAGAGACATAGCTTGAGAGAGGTTAGTTTTCTCAAAGAGTTGATCAATACGCACGGGCTTGGGGTTTGGTGGAGCGGCTTTAGAATGGAGGCAGCGTCGGTCACTCTCAAGCATAACCATGACATGTACATGTTGGCGGAGCAAGAGGAAAGCCGATGTGTAGAATACTACTCGTCAGGTTCATCATTCAGCGAGGATGAGTTGCTCTTTGCACTTGAGTTGATGTCTGCCGAGGATGAGAAGGTGAATAAGCTTATTGCGGATCGCTACGATATCTCTAGCTAGCCAGGGTCGTTGAATGCTAAAGGTAGAATGCGATCTACATCTAGTAACTGAGACCGGTATTGAGAAAAAGAGACTCACTGCTGAAGATATTGGCGATATTGGCGATATTGGCGAAATTGGTCTCTGGTTCGACGATTTGGAGCCATATATTAAGCAAATTCCGTATCAAGATATCTACAATTTTGACGAGATCGGCTTCCAATCTGGCCAAATCGGCAAGCAAAATATACTCTCAGGACAGCCAAACGAAAAATATCTCACGTTGGAAGGTATCGTACGACTCTTCATTTGAAGCTAGTAGACTCATGGTCGGCGCGGAGCAAGCCATGTAAAATGGGGGTGTGAAAACTTGGGGTCTTCCACCGTAATCATAACCTGCTTCTTAATGCCCCTGATAGTGTTTGGATCAGCGAGACGGGTTAGGGGGTACTCTCCTCCCCGCCCTTCGGCCTCCAGAGCCAAGTATCCTGGGGCATAAAGCTCAACATCACTTGTCCACTGCTCTCGATCACATAGAAACATTGTGTTTGGAAGTTTGTTAGCTTCCTTGGCTTGACAGAGAATATCGATGACCGGTAGGTCCATGTCAAGTCTGATATCATACGTTAGTTTGTGGAGCTGACTTGGTAGGCTAAGGAATACTCACGGCTGATTTTGGTGTCTATAACCACCATCAACGCACCAGATATCTTCTGGCCTTCCCCGGGATCCGGAATGGTGGGCGCGCAAGTTTGGACTTTTCATGTTGAATGGACGGATTTCAACAGATTCTTGCACAGTCCCATTGATTTCATACTCGACGAATGTCAAGCGCCCGGTTTGCAGACCTAGTTCATCAACCAACATGTATGTGCCTAAACGACCGAAATATATCACTGTGCCAGTATGCGTGAGATAGATAGACAGGAAGTTTGCGGTTTCAAGATCTGCCCAGGGTAGAAAATCCTCTACTGAAGGATCATTAGTGGTTGCTGGATTGAGAATAGCCTCCGATGGGATGTGACTATCGATACAGTGTCCAGCCTCGATATCATAGTCGTACAACAAGATCGCGAATTTCACCAATCGCGCTCGATTTTCAGGATGTTTCTCATCGACAGGGGCAATACAAACCAGGCCGCTAGTATTGTCTGGCTGGAGAGTATCGTAGATACGTTCCAATGCTTCGGCTGGGTATCGAAGACCTTCAATCTGTTCACCCCTTGATCTTGACCCCTCCGTGCCTGGAAGACCCACAGGTGCACGCGATTGGTACGACTGAATGAGACCCAAAAATCATAAGTGCAATGGACTTCGGAGATTGGACGGATTTGAGCGAGTTGGATTCACATCACGAAATTCCTGTGTGGCTGAAGCCCACTTTTCCACCAGTTGCCGACGGTGCTTTAGCTCATATTCCGCATCGGAGGAAGCGCCTGCATTTGCTGCAGAAACCCAATTCTCCTGCATTCATATTAGCGTAGAACTCCAAGACGTTCTTTTTGAAATTTTGAATTCTATACCATACCTTTACAAATAGTAGCCAGCCCTTCACTTCCTCCTTGATTTCGTCGTCAGATAAATCTGGTTCTGGGTGTGGTTGGATGCAAGTGGGGATTCCCCCTGACCAGTGCTGAACCGATCTCGGCATGGCTAATGCGTGATCAAGTTCGTCAAGGGTCCAAAGGGCTGTAGGGGTCCAAGGAATAAATAAATCAACTAAATAAACGGTGGAAATGGCGCTGGAAAATGCCGGAAGAAAACCTTGGCCAGCCTAGTTAGGAAGGCCCCACCCGGCAGACATTATCCTGTCTATATAGATGCATATACACGACTCGAAACAAGTGGCTTACATTACAATACGATAAGAATCCCAACGCTTAAATGACCTCTAGTGATATGTATAATGTAAAATTCATCATTGACTATGATCAATAAGGAGAGAAAGGTGTAAAAACACAAAAGTAGTCGAATGACCCCTCCAGAAAGTCGAAATAGGTATCTGTAACCAAAACGCCCAACACCGCTTCAGCAAGCCCCAGAGCCCAAATAATTAAGGATAGGGCTGATGTATGTCCAAATTTTCTCCAATTCAATACAGGTCTGGTTTTTTCATTTTCCAATTTTTTTTCATTTCTCTTTCTTTGTCGTCGCCAGTTTCATTTTAACACCGAGCCTTAACTCCAGATCATTTCAGAACGGACTCGTTCAGTCATCGACCGGGGAAGTAGATGCCTAGTATGCTCCCGGGATGGGCACAGAGCCGTAACTCTGCTCACCAGGCGCGGCACTCATATGCTCCTGAGTCTGAGGTGGGGGTGATGGTGACTGGGCGTGAGCAGCAGGGATAGGTTGGGCGCCGAATTCCTCCTGACCAGTGCGGGGTGTTGGCTGCTGGACACGGATGGGAGGGGCTTGGAGCTGGAATGATGGGGTTGGGCGCGTGGGAGATCGTGGGGACGCGTACTGGGTGGGGGGAGCAGTCGCGAACTGCGGCAGTGGGCCGGCTTGGCCTTTCTCGGCTGTGGAGTAGGGGTCCATGGCCTGGGAAGCGTAGAAAGGAGACTTGGGTGGGTAAGAGGAGAAGCCTGGGAAGCCTGGGGTGTTCGGGGCTGTTTGGCGGTGCAGCTGGGCGAGGTAGAGGTCTGAACGGGCCTGGTCACGGTGGTTCATGGACTTCATGAGACGGCGCTTCGACCACATGCGGTAGAAGACGACGACGTAGATGAGGATCACGAGAAGTTCGATGACGACTTCGATGATGGCGCAGACGAGACCCCAGTCCTGTTTGAGTAGGTTAGTATATTGCAAGGGAACCGTGATTCATTGTTTGGAACTCACCTGAAGACGGCAAAGCAGAGCGTAGTCGATAACATCCGAATAGATCTGCTCACGAGTGTTCTGTGCACAGGCCCATCCCCAGAGATCCTTCGAATTTCCAGTTGCTTTCGAGTGCTCGTAGATAGCTGCGCTGACGATCCACAGGACGAAGCTGAAGGTGAAGTAGATGACCGAAATCGTGCTGTAGTAGATGGCAAGCTTCTCAGCACGCTTGTGGCCACCCTTGAAGTACCCCCAGAACACAATCATGCAAGCAAGAAGAGAGAAGCAGGCCAGGCCCAACATCAACCACTGGGCCCATGGGTTGGTACCGGCATTCCATGCAAAGGCAGAGTTGCGCTCTGGGAGATTCCTGGTTGCCATGAAAGTCCGAAGGGTCACCGCTAACATAGCCAGGACAATCAGACTGCAGCCGAAGTTGACAAAGCGAAGAAAGATCTTGGCAATGCGGACACGGAGTTTGATTCTGACATCGCGGGCATTCTCCTTCTCCGCAGTGGCCTCGCCCTTCTCAAGGAAGTATTCCTCACGGAAGGTTGGGCTGAGCGGGTTCAACGTCTTGGCGGACTTGGGGACTTTCAGATCAGCTCGCCAAGGAGACATTGGCGGCATCGAATCGTCTGCATGTTGGGTAGGATAGTTGTTTGAGACATATCCAAAACCGGTATCAGCGACGCCCTGGGGAGCTTGCTCGACGGTGTCGGCAAAGGGCGATTTACCGGAGCGCTCGACCGGCGAGTAGATTGTCGTTGCCTCCGCGAACCGAGCCGTGCGGGGACTCTTCAGCGAGGCACCGCTGCTCTCCGAGCTTCGGGTCTCTTTTGTTTCCGTCGTAGTGAAGCCTGTAGGGGCACCCATTGCGCTGTGATAAGAGGCACGGGTGAGATCATGCGGGACGACGGGCTCGTAGGTCTGGGGAGAGTGGTTGCTGTCGCCGGAGGTCGACATGGTGCTGATGGGAGATAGACAACGAACAAATTGGAATAGTCAAAAGAGCCAGCTCTTGACAAACGAGGCCTAGAAATAGAACCAAAAATAATCAAACTCAAAAAGCCGGAGTCAATTGTCTGCTGGTGAGATCCCAGCGGTGTGACAGTAGCTGAAGCTGTATCAACCTATGCAAAACACCTCGAAACCGTGTGCGAAACCTGCGTCCACGGGGAATAACAACGGAAAACCAAACTTGGCAACGATGGATATCTGGAAAGAAAACAGAAAATTGGCAGATCCGGCAGCCGTGTTGAATATCAATTATGGACGAGCAGCCCATGGCCGCTGGGCTGGGCGGGGGCGCTGCAGGCCATGGTATCCCATCACTTCATGCCATGACTAGAGTAAGCGCCGAGCAAAAGGTGCAGGAGGAATCGGCGAAATGATTGGAGGATGGCCACCTCAACACACTTCGACGCCATCCTCGAGTGCATATTCACTCTGCACGAGACGAAGTGTGACTGGTTGGGAGAAGTGATCGGTCGAGCTTGTCACAGTGGAGTAGCCAATAGAGTGTGTTCATGGCCCCGGTTGCCCTTCAGCATGCACGCCCGTCACCTCGAGCGGGCGCTAACCTGCCGATCGTCTGGCCAACCACAAAATCTGCAGAACCGCTCGAATTTTTGGGGATTATCCTCCGTCGAAGCGGGGATCCAGTCACTCTGGATCAACTGCTATCGGGCCAAAAATACCCCTGTTCATGTGCAGGTAGCCTCCCATCACACACGTATCAGCGAGTCAGCGACCCTACAACCGTTGATTTGGCTCCAGGGTCTGTGCACGGTGGCACCAATACTAATTATGTGAGCCAGTTGCAATTGAATTTATTTTGGTATATAATCATGCTGGATTCCGGGAGATTAAAGGTTAAACCTCTGACAGTCTGTTGCAGTCAGCTTCACAGATACATGAGAGACTACACTTTGATCCAACGTCATAATCGACGTAACAGACTCGGCCTGCCCCAGCGCCTGGGTAAAGCTATACCCTGTACTCGTAGACCGCATAGACTAGTGGCAAGCAAGGTGATGATGTTATCACATCGCGCCTACCCGCGGGTCTAATGTATGAGCGACTTTGACTAGAAACAGATCCAGCTTCGCGATGTATGGTACTTTTTCCAGCACATGATCTGCGATGAGAATTATTCTGATCCAATCAATCTTGACAGGGGAGAATGATTCAGCAGA